TCATCTATGTGCCATGTGCTACTTGATGTACCAGCCTGCTATGCCGGATACCGCCAGCCATGCATCGACCAGGCGCCAGGCGCGAACTGATGGTGGTGGTGGTGAGAAGGAGAGCTCTGTGCCAGAACTTTGCAGCCTAGAGAGCGTGTGTGGGCAGGCGTGTGTTTACCGCCATATTGCCAGGTGTGTCACCATATTTATCAACCATAAGTACAGCTGCAGTGGTGTCTTCGACTTCATTCAACCTACTACTGGGCCTTGTTTATCCACTTCACACTTTGGCCCTCAATAGTTAAACATCCATCCACATTAATTTACTCTGCAGATCTACTCACTGCAAGTAAGCACCTTCCCATCACGGAAGACACTTTTTTTGGACGCTGAGTCGACTGGTTTTGGTCCAAGAAGGCTGCGATGCAGCGTTAGCCCTTATTCCCATTCGAATCCGGTTGAGTAACCGGTCACGTGCTCGTGCGTACACCAGTCGCCTGGTTAACGCAAGGTTCAACTCAAAAGCTACAAGCGCAGCCACATGTAATAAACAGGAACGCTGTATTTTTGCCGCCGAGTCGACTGGTTTTGGTCCGAAAAGGCTGCGATGCAGTCCTTATTCCCAATCGAACACGGGTGAGTAAGCGGTCACATGCTCATGCGTACACCAGTCACCTGGTCACCATGCCCGCATGCTACAACATATGGACCAATCGCGGTCATCCGTGCTTTTATAACAACGAAATGGCGCTTTTAGTGACTTTTTGCATACAAATCCCATCTAGTAGGGCACAGTCTAGGCACCGGCGGCCCATGATAATGCTAGTTATACCGTATATTCTCTATTATAAGCGCCGTGCTTATATTTATTCAACACCCCTCTACCCCGTGCTTATATTGGAGACCGCGCTTATATTGTTTCAACCAATACATCCATACGGAGCAAGAAGAAATACATGCTGGATATCATGCATGCAGCATTGATTTCCACCAAGACCGTGCTAATAATAGAGACTGTGCTTATAATGTTTCGAAAGGTGCTCACAGTGTGCTAGTATTAGAGACTGTGCTAGTAATGGAGACCTGTGCTTATAATAGAGAATATACGGTATGTGGAAATTGTGCTACTAGCACTGCTAGTTATTTGAAGCAATTATGCTAGTTATAATGCTAGCAGTGCTGATAGTGCTACAAAATGGCAATCCTTGCTGCAGGAAATAATTGCTTGCAGTCACTCGGAATATGGTGGGAAGATGTCAGCCACATACATGTACGTCAAGTTGCACCCGATATCTCCTTCTTTACAGGCCCGTCGCACTGACATAGGAGGTGGGCGGCCATGGAAGGGGGGGGGGGGCCTCCCGTAAAAATTCAAAATCTTCCAATTGCAAAGCATTTCTGGGCATCTGGTGCCATGTCAGTGTACATGTAACTACAAGGAAAGACTTTTTGATTCTGCAACAAACCAAGAAGACGCTACGATCGGGGACAAGGATTCTTCATTATCCTCCCCTGGGAACAAAATTCAAAAATTGAAGCCAAATGCAAGCATTTCCAGGCATTTGGTGCCCTTTCAGTGTAACTGCAATGAAAGACTTTTTGATTCTGGAACAAACCACGATCGGGGACAAGGATTCTTTGCGCTGAGCTGCGTTCATCGTGCTTTGTTGCAGTGTGCTCCAAAAAAATAATAAACGGCCGAAAAAGTGGGGCGGCCTCAGCCGCCCGGCTGTGACGGCCTTGCTTTAGTTCATCTACCTCCTTGTTGAGCAGGAATGGAATCAGCTGAGCCATGTAAGTGCTATAATTATGTTAGACGTCCGTAACCATGGTAACCACTCTCCAGGAGAGGGTGCAGGTAATCCACCTCAATGAGCGGAATTCCAGCCTTCAGGAAAGCCTCAACAATGTTGGCCCGCCGAACAACAATATCTTCTGACACAGCTTGTGATTGGCCGCTTCCCGCCAGGTCAGGCGTGCTTCCACTTGCAAACTTTTCCCACGAAGCAGTTAAGTTATTGCCTGTTGGTGAAGTTTCGCCCGTTTCTTTCCCTGCACATGTTGCTGGCTATCCACATGCGCTTTCACAATACATGTACTGGCTTTATACTGATCGTAAAGTCACAGGCTATGCAGTAGAGTTCCCTTGCAGAAACTGAGAGGTACTCGCCCCGGAATTCTGCAATCCAACCGTTGGTGCTGGGGCGAGGAGCTGCGGTGATTTCCCACCCGACGCTCTCACATGCTTTGCCTCGGTACTCTGGTTCGAGTCGCTCGACTTCCCACTTCTAGCAAACAATCTGCATCAGCAGCTGGTTGTGCTGCTGGAAGACTGTCGGCTGCCACATTATTTTCCAAGTCAGAGCTTTCCTCTCCGCTAACAAAGCCATTGCTCTCACTGCTCTCATTTGTTTCAAAACCAGACGCCAGTGCCTACGCTTCCCGTGGCTGCCATCGAACCAACAAATTTAACAACAACAAGCTACGACAGTACAACTAGTTTGCTCACTTCTAGCAAAGGACTCACCACTTTCATATTTCACTGTCAACATGCTAAAGCTGAAGGCCAAAATGATTACTAACTTGGGAAAGACTCGCCGTATCGTTTAACTTGAAAACAAGCACTGCAAACTTGCAAAACAAATTAAATATTTGCAAATCGAGTGCACTATACTCCAGGAAGTCAGTTTGAACAACTATTACCGGTACTTCGTAAACGTAGCGAACATGCTACTAAACGGCTAGTCCTGGCAACAGTGGCATCCGGCTTACACTTTCATTACATCAGTACATGTACAGAGGGCTGCATGCCAGCGGCAGCGTTGCAGGAAGCAGCAGTGTGTCTCTCTGCACTCTAAAAATAGCGTTTCTTTTCACGGTGGTGCCAACAGACTGGACGTAGTGCTAGTTTCACACATCGATTGTGCTAGACAAGGTCACATTTGGAGACTTTATGCTAGGGCAGTGCCGGTCTTCCCCACATGGGTCATTAGAGCGGTTGCGCACAACGAAAATTCTTAGAACAGTAATGAAATTGTTTTCATTAAAATGAAAAAAGCTAACGAATATTCATAAACCGTGAGGTTGCGCACAACGTGTGAAATTTTTCGTAGTGGGTTGACGCGGCAGCCGTGCGGGTGCGAAGAGTCAAGACAGGGAGTTGTGATATTATCAGCATTTTAGTACTCCAACGGATGAAAAATAGTTTCATAGATCTATAGTAAAAATAAAAAGGACCAAGAAACTTCAAGTTACGCTATAATGTCCACTAACACCACCAGTTACTAAACAATCAGCCCATGCGATAATGTTGCACGACACTGACACTGAAGTTCTACAACTAGCATGAGCTGATTGTGTAGTAACTGGTGGTGTTAGTGAACATTATAGCGTAACTTGTAGTTTCTTGGTCCTTTTTTCATAGATCTGCTCTGTTTCGGTCGCGAAATCTTACGAATTTTCGTTGTGCGCAGCCTCTCTATTATGCTAGTTATTATGCTAGCATTATCCGCCGATGCATAGCGCAGTCACCCAGTTTCAGTGGAAGTGCGCGAGTGCGATTGGGAATAAAGGGGGAAGAGAGCGTCTCAGCTTCCTCAGACCAAGACCATTCGACTCAGCACCCCGAAGACTGCAACCGGTGAACATTTGATTTAAGGGTATACTTCGCTTTTTAACAGCGGTCACATGCTGATGTGTACATCAGTCACCTGGTCACCATGCCTGCAGGCTACAACTTACAGCCCCATGGCCAGCAATCGAGGACATCTGGGCGTTGTAATATTTGTACTCCTCCGAGGTGTGATTTTTGGCGTCCTCGGCCAAGCACAAGGAAGCCACCTGTCAAAAAAAATGAAGAAAACGGTTGTTGTTTGATCCTTTGGTGTAATCTTTGTAGCTAGTCGAAGCAAGTTGCTGTTTGGAGCAGAAACGCTGAAATTGACTATTTTCTGCATGTACTCATGCATGTACTCATGTACTCAGGCATGCAGTCTCACTCGTATTTTAGCTCTCTTTCTGGAATGGATGCTGCTCTGCGCCCCTTGGTGAACATTTCCTGCGCTCGTGGAGCAGCTGAAAAGGACCACTGGTATGTCTGGTTCCTGGTTTGAAAGTGGAGAGTCGACTTTTGTGCCTTGAAAAAGGAGTAGAGAGTGATAAAGGTACGTCTGTAGCTTATTTTGAGTGCTCCTCGTACATTTTTGATCGTGATAGAAATTCTCAGACCAAAGTCAGCGCGATGATGGCCGATCAGTTTTCTTGTGGATTTTTTAGTTGTTTCGTCTCGTATCTATGTCAGTATCGTGATGGTGAAGTGGAGAGGGTGATTTTCTTCCTCTGGGCTTCGTTCGGCCGACTTTGCTTCGTCCTCGTTGAAAAGTGATGCTGAAAAAACGTTCGATTCGCAAAATTATGTTGATTTTGAATGTACGTGATGACATGCGATTGCTGGCTATGCAATAGCACGCTTTCCTGTCACGTAGAGCCTTGGTATGAAAGTTGTAGCCTGCAGGCACGGTGACTAGGTCACTGGCGTACACATCAGCACGTGACCGCTTACTCAACCGTGTTCAATTGGCGATAAGGGCTGAACGCAGTATCGCAGCCTTCTCGGACCAAAACCAGTCAACTCAGCGTCCAAAAGACTACAGCATATGGGCCAGTCTCGTTCATCCATGCTTTAATAAGAACGAAAAGGCGCTTTTACTAGTCTTTTAGTGATATTTTGCATATAAATCCCCATCTAGTAGGGCGCAGTCACCCAGTTTCGGTGGAAGTGGCGAGTTCGATTGGGAATAAAGGAGGATGGGAGCTCGGCTTCCTCGGACCAAGACCATTCGACTCAACACCCTGAAGACTACGAGTAGTGAGATTTTGATTCTGGACCATACTTCCCCTTTAACGTTAGCGCCCATGACTCCTATGAGTGGTTCTCCTAGTTCACCACTATGACAGCATTTGCACAATCTTGATACGGAGAATAGGCCGCTATGACGCTATAGTCTTACCTGTCACTGCCTTGGGCTACAGCCTACAGGGCCGGCTAACAATCATTCTTGGTTGTGCTCAGTCACCTGCCATTGCCCTCTCTGTCACTGTGTCACGTGAATACCACTGAGAAACTGCGGCATGAAAGGGCCAGGACATGTGGATGCCTGGTGCTGTGAGAGGCTCCGCAGTCCACATTGCCAGAGCTGGGGGCTCCAGACAATCGGCAAGCTGCCACCACACAGATAAGAAATGCAGAGACCGAACAACGGGGGTAGAGGTGAAATTATTTGTACATAATACATATCATTGATTACAGATAGCAAGGGCATTGCTAGAGATCATGAATATGAAACACACTGTGACATGTTATGATGTACAGTGTCACTGCTTCGCACTCCATTTCGCCGCCACAATGTTCGATGCTATACAGTGTGCCGGGTGCGTTTAGGAGAAGCGAAGCCAGGTGAGTTTGCAGCTACCCACCACTGGTCCAGAAGTACCCCACATCAAGAGTTTGTGTACTCTTGCAGCCTACATAATGGTGGGTGATATGAACCAGCTAAAACAAGTACAATCATGTTCTAGTACATGTCAACTACCGTAGTACCGAGGAGTATGAGTACCAAGCCGCTACTCACGTCCTTGTTCCGCGGTGCAGCGGTCGACATCGGAGGAAAACACGGAGCCAAGCCGACTCTGACGAAGTACTCTGGGTCCGAAGATGCAATACGTGTCGTCGCAGGTGTGTCACGCAAGAAACTTAGTTGCGAAAGGCTGAACACCATGGACACAATCAAAACAGACGACGAATGCTAGAACAGTAACTGCTGTTACAACTTACCGTAAGGCTGCGAGTCTAGCAAGACGGATGAGAGCGAAATGAAGGACAAACGTCCTCAACGAGCACTTGCAAGACGAAAGTGATACTCGGGAGGTTCGTCGTCGGTAGCTATTTTCTTGGCGGTGCTACTCCGAAGCAGGTGAAAATCTTCTGACAGTAGATCTACGGGCTCTCCCGCCATTAGTTCATTACTAGTACACGGCCTGCGGTTCACGCCATGCTAGACTATCAAGTATCAGGCGAGGGAGTCTACGTCACCTGGTCACGTGTGGCACAGGACTCAGGCATCACTCACACATGACTGTGTAGGGCTCCGGCCTGCCCTGGTCGCACCCCCTTTCGGCCTTGGAGAAAAGTGCTACTTCTCCTGAGAACGGTAACGTTAGTTGGCAATCGATCCCTGTTTCTACAATGATTATGTACTTGTCAGCTGCTCTGATCCGAGTCACGCAGACGAAAGAGATGCAACAGATCTCGACAATGCGATCAGACATCAAGCCGAAGATCCAAAGGTCGTCACCATGGTCACATAGCCCGCAGCATCGCTAGCGCTGCGTCCAGTACAAGACAAGTGCTCGTCCCAATGGCATGCAATGGCAATGCCAATGGTCATGATCAAGCAGCTGCACAAGAACGGATGGTTGGCATTTCACGAAATCAACCAATCAACATGCAGCTACTGTTTTGAACAAGGCTAACAGCGCATGCTCAATAACACCATCTTCCCAATCAATCTTCCTCCTTCTTCTTATTCGTCTTCCTGGTAATGTAAGTTGGCTATGTGGTTCGTTTCGCTGTGCGGCTTCGGGTTGTTCCTCTTTTGTTTGTGTTGTCACTTTTGAAGGCCACTGTAGGTTTCGTGCCACAGTCATACTGAAGGTGTAGAGAACCAATCATGCTTTATCCAACGCCTGGATAGCGAGCAGTTCGTTCCTGGTACAAATGCGAAACGTAAGGTCGTTTTCAAAAATATGGTTTCCTTGAGCCAAAATGGAATTTGTTGTAGAAAAGTGACAACGAAGCTACATGTATCTCTGGCATGGACTCTGGGCTATTATCGGCTATGCCAACTTGATTTCTTGTGGTTGAAATGCTCGGTAATGAGGTTGCGTCCTTTGCCAGTAAGGCAGTTTGGTGTTTGCTAGCTGCTTAGATAGACCTGCTTTAGCATGTCTTGACGATTCTGTACATGAGACCCTTCAGGACGATTAGAAAACCGCCTTCTTTCATTTCTGCATGTTTCTGCTTCAGCCTCCGGATCATGGCACTAACCTAGGTAATTAGTTAGTTGCTTCTCGGCAAGATCCGTGCTCGACAGCCTTGAACATTCTTTGCTGGCCATAAGGCTACCCATCGCGCATGCGCACCGCGCATCCAACTCCCGCGCGGGCGCGCACATGGTCGCTAGATAAGGGTCCTGAGCGGTGTTTGTATTTTGTGGTCGAGATTGTCTTCACTTGTCCCTACGCTTCCAATACTGGCAATAGCTGGCAATCTCGAGGGAGTTAATTCCTGGTATGGGTGGTTCATTCCTAGTAAGTAGTATGGGTGACGACGGCAGTACAGTATACAGTCATGTACAGTGTACAGTGTATAAGTATTCGCTGCTTCCCTGCTTCTTGATTTGGCAGGAATATTGCTCAGAAGATGCCCGGTGTCCCGGGAAGAGGTGTGCCTGTCGAACCGAAGAGGACGCCTATAGGTCCCACCACAGCCACTCTTTCACAGCTTCATCTGATGCTGTCGTCTGTCCGAGGTCAGCGATAGGTGACCGGTCCCTAACTTATCTCCAGCCAAGTTAAATCTTCACGCCAGGAGGCGTGGACTTGCAAGGACTTAGGTACGTTTGAGAAGTGATCAAGCAAATTTGCTAGCAGTTCTGTTGTGCTATGCCTGTGTGTAATTAGCAGGTAGAGTCGACGCCAGGCAGTATTCATGCATAGTACAATGTCAATGTATTCGCACGGGGCGCAGTGCGTGTCCGTAGCGCGTATGTGGCAGAATACGATTGTTGATATCCGTTCTCTTTGACGATGCGAAATTCCGCAGCGTGCTCGTTTCAGGAAACAGTCGACCAGTCGTACTGATGCGGATTGGGCCAATGGCTGTGGTAGATTTGTCTTCACGAGTGTGTTTATGGCCTTATCATTTTATGCGTTCGTTAGTTTTCATGATTTTGCTTCTCCTTTGTTCACTTTTCTTCTGTTCGCGAGTGCGTGAAGACTCTTCTACCATGCCGGCACACATCAGCTTGCACCTCGCGCGTAAATTTGAAGCAGCCTACATCTTTGTATTGACAGCGGAACAGGCGAGCAGAAACACGGCAATTCCGTGGGGCTCATTTGGGCCACGTTTTTCCACACCCATCCAATGGGAAGACGGAGGAAAAGTGAAATTAAATGCATGTTGTAGGAAGGTGTTTTGCACCGCTGCGGGACTCCCTTTGAATACTTTACTTTGTGCTGTCTGAAAATTAATGTCCGTTTTGTGGATGTTGAGTGCATCGAACACATGTGTTAGCGGTCTGTGTATCGAGCTTTGTGGTGCTTTTGCTGTTTGCGGCATGACGTGTATGGCGTCGAGTGCATGTGAGTTAATTAATTATTATTTGTGCAGGTGATCCGTACCTTCTTCCTGCCGGCACAAACTTACCAGCATCGCAAGAACACTCCGCTATCCAGAATGCTGCTGCTGGTCGCCCGTCTTCTTCATCGTGCAGCGAACTGAACGACATCCCATGAAAATGTGGTAACCTTTATTTTCCGGCCACTGCAATTCTTTTGTTGATTGATCAGGAGTGCTGCTCAAAGCATTTACTTGTACATTGTAAGCTGTGTGTTCTTTTTCTAATGGATGGTGGTGGTTGCATTGTGTATAGAGTGCACTGATTATGATGGCTCACTCCGAGGTCATAAAATGGGGGGAATTAGGCTAGAAATCCACCATGATTTGCTCTACAGAGTCCTGTATGCTACGTGACACAATGAAGTCTCTCTTTCGTTTTGTTTTCTGAAACGTTTGTGTGTGTGTATGTGTGTGGCTACATGCAAATGTCCATGCCGTGTTTGTTCTGTATATGCATCGCAGTTTGCACGTGATCTGTGTGTATGTGGTCCCCCCCCTTTTCTTCTCCTTCCTCTACAGGACTCTCATCTTTCACCTTATGATTTTGTTTTGCCCCTGAACTTAAACAGCAGTTGGGAAATCACGGGAAGTCCTCAAACGGGTTGCCATAAAAAGACAGGTGTTCTGTTCAGCCCACGGGGATTGAGTATGGATGGGGTATGGGGGTTGCTGGTGATGGCAGGCTTGGTCGACTCCTTGACTTGGCTGATCAAGGATATCATGCCAAAAAAGGAGGCATGATACTCTCCGAAACTTCCGTAATGTCTTCGGGCGTCGAGCTAAAAAATTAACATGCTCGACGTACCTGCACTTCGCAGCTGTACATTTTTTTGTCCAACAAGCTTCAAGCGCTCTAACGTTACCAAGGCCAACAGTGGTTTCTAAGAAACAGACTGATTGGGACTGTCCTGGGGGGAAAGATCAAATATGTGGAATCGAAAGATGACCATGCTTTCTTTGGCGTAAGTAGCCCCTATGCCTATGGACTTCAGAAAAGTTTATTCACAAAGCCAATTGCGTGAAACCATGAAGTAAGAACCAAGTGATGTATACTAGTGTTGGTGCATATCACTAAAATTATTACTTGTACATGTAACTGCTGTGATGCCAGAACTGGATTGCATAGGGCATCTGCCGGTCGGAGCACTTGGCCAGCATTCTCATACCTGGTATTCTTGACTGTTTTCACCTCTACAGGTCCAGACCCATCAAGCCCGGGGCTGGATGCTTGCCATTGAACAACAACGTCGGCAGGAGGACCAGGTATGTACATGTATGACTCCGCATACCACGTTTGTCATTTGAATTGCCAGTAGTTCTGGCGCAAAAGCATCCAAATAGAAATGCCATCCGGATGTGAACCTTGTCTGCCATGATTGAGTGTGCGCCCCTCCCTCCTCCTCCCCCCCCCCTGACTGAGGTCTGACGACACTGTATTAACAATAGCATGAAATCAGAGCCTGATCGAAATGTGTGCCTTTTGTTTGTGTTGCTGCAGGGAGATCAACGCCACATCGCCTTAGGACGGGTGACCAAAACCCTAAGTATTTCTGTGATGTATTGTTTTACCAGACTGTCAGCCATGACAGTATGGTACTAATGCCTGGGTAAATTATCTCCCTCCAGCCAATTTGTATGAAAACACTGAAGACACACCTATTGGTGGTCATAGATCACAGAATTTCTTTGAATATCAGCGTGAGTCTAGTTGTGGCTAGAAGCCCATGCACTATTTTCTATAGGCGGTAAAAGCTGCAGAAAGCACCCAGACTAATCTGTAACTCAAAGTCATCAATATTGCATCCGGCGGATACTTTCCAAATTCGAGACCATTAAGAACTGCAGGACATTTCTAGTAGTATAAATCTCTACAAAATTCTGCGCGAGCTGCTGGTCAGTTTGTCCAAAAATATTCTCCTGTGCGACAGCGCCCATTTTTAAATTGGCTGGGGGAGGGAGTTGCCTAGTGTGTTCCTTTTCCGCAAACACTTCCATTTCCTTGACGTTTTCCACGTCTGAGAGCTATAGAAAAGGAAGATATCACTTGCTCTGGAGCAGTTACATGTGAAGATTTTATCAAACAAAAATCATTTCAGTTGTACTTTCATGACGCGTGCAGAGAATTTGCTTGAAAGGGACATGTTATGCCTTCTGAAACAAAAAGAAGTCTGAAGAAAATGCTGAACGGTCTCTGCCAGGATGTTAACTATACCGTAGCTCAGTGGTTAGAGCATCGCTGGCGTCGAGCGAAGGTCCCTGGTTCGAGTCCTGGTGGTGACACTCAATTTTTTTCTTCAGACTTTACCTGTTTGCATCTTTCCCTCAAACCAATGAAATTTCAGTGAACTTTTTCCTGTTGGAAGTGTTTGCGGAAATATGATGTGGGGTGCATAATTGATTACTTTGTATGCATTGTATTCATTGTTGCTTGTATTGTCTGCATTATTTGTTCTAACTACTATTGTTTGCTCTTATGCTTCCCTGTAGTCCGTCAAGCCCAGCGTCAAGATGGACGACGAGCGCTACGGACATCACCGTCGTCATAAACAGTCTAAGTATCTCTTTGCTGTGCATGTCACTTGCATCAATAGACCAGTGCAAAAGGTCTTCTTTGTTTCATTTCCACCCAGACAAAAACAAGTTTGCTCAACCTGAACTTCATTACCTATCAAGTCATTAGATCTTCAGCCAGAACTTTTGCACTGGTCTGTTATGAGTGTAGTTTGCATTCTGCATGACTTTCTATCCCAACCCTTCCCCCATAGGTCCCTCTGCATTCAGGGAGTTGGTTTGTACAGCAATGCATGCTTCACTGTTTTCATCCACCCTGGGTAGTAGCATGTTGATGTAACCCTGCCTGCTTCCCACATGGTCTTGTTCGCATGCTTTGGCAATCCCCACGGGTGGGTAGTTAGGGTACTGATGTTGTAGTACCGGTTCATCGGTTTTGCTATCTCCTGTGTGTTTCTTCTCACCAGTCCAGGTCAAGCGTCGTGGACGGAGGACTTGATGGTGTTGCCGGAGCCGTGCAAGGTAAACCATAATGCAGTGCTCTGTAAAGATCTGTTGTAGTATAGCGGTGTAGTGGAATGATGGCAAAGCCCCTGTGACCCAACCCTAATTACAGTGGGTCTAAGCCTCTTGAGCCTTGGTTTCCAGTGCAATGTGTTGACCGGCATGCTAACGTTCTACCTGTGGGTTGGTGTCCCGGATTCTGAGAATTACAGCTCTCCGAACTCCGTAGTCAGCTTGACAATCCCGTGTAATGTCCTACCTTAGGGTGACATCCCAGAGTCTGAGAATTATACCTCTCACAGAAAAAACTTGACTGCTGGTCAGAGTGCTTGATGCACAACTGCATGCTTCCGTTTGAATTGTAGCTCTCTGGAGTTAGCTTGACAATTGAGTTTTGTCTGTTGGATGTACATTTACAGTGTTTGGGTGGGAAGTAAAACCATCCCCAGGTGCATTTCTTGTTCCTACCTTGCGCCTCGCTTCTGTTCTGTGTTCTTCACTCGCCTATGCTCATAGGCAGCTAACACTACAGCATTTCAGCCACCAAGAAATGCCGATGCTACTGACCATATGCTTTGGTATGGTCTTGCACATCGGATGCCAAGTCAAGGAGCGACCCAAGCCTGCCATCGCCAGCAAGCCCCGTCCTGGGAATTATTATTTTGGTCGGGGATGTGGGCTTGAACAGAACACCTGTCACCCTGGGAGGGGATGGGTTATACATGTAGATGTTTCTGTATATTGCTGGGTCTTTCTATTCCATTGTGATTCACAGTGTCGTATCAGCAGAGTAGGTGTGCATGCAGTCATGTTGTTGCCTGTTTTTAAGTTTGTTTCAGGGATGAACTCTTTCAGGATCACCGATTGCTCTGTAGCAAGACTGGTTGAGTCAGTGGCTAGTGCAAGCTGGGTGATCCTGATGGACTTCATTCCATTTGGCAGAGTGTGTGTGTGTGCGTGTGGCAGAGGTTTGCCTAGTGGGAATGAATGGCTCATGAATAATGACGTCAGCAGTGACGGATTATTCATTGCGATGATAATGCATGCTGCTGAGCCGCGGCTGGGGAAGGGTGGCGGTGCATCCATAACTAGGTCAGCTGATTCATGAGGGCCGAACACCCAAAGCCTAATGCATTAAGCTTGAATGCTGTGCTAATGCATGAAGTGAAGTCATTCACATGCATGAAAGCCGAAACCCCCAAAAAGGAGAGAATGCCCCAAGTTCATGCCCAAAATTTCCGAATCTACATCCAATGTTGTTCAGTCGACGTGCACAATATCTGGATTGAATAGTCCTGCAGTTCAGACCCCCAGCCCCGTCCCGTGTAAGAAGACGGTCCAATCACATGCTACATGTGTACTATCAGCATCTTTATTGGGGCCAGCCTCTGTTTCAATGTTTACTGTACATGTAGGTAGGTGAATATTTCGGATGCATTGAATGTAATTGAAGCAACAGATACGGTTCCATAGTCTGGCACTGGCAGCTAGGGTACAAGCAGTCGAGAATCGAAATCCAGGAGTTCTGCGAGGTGATTTGGCATTTTCAATCTTTCTTCTCTTCTATTTTTTCAATCAGTGGGAGTTAATTAAAGGGGAAGTTAAGGCAAAAATTAAAATTTCACCAGTTGTAGTCTTCGGGGTGCTGAGTCGAATGGTCGTGGTCCGAGGAAGCTGAGACGCTCCCTTCCTACTAGAATCCCAATCGAACTCGTGCACTTCCACCGAAACTGGGTGACTGCGCCCTACTAGATGGGGATTTGTATGCAAAATGTCACTAAAAGCGCCATTTCGTTCTTATAAAAGCACGGATGACCGCGATTGGCCCATATGTTGTAGTCTTTTGGACGCTGAGTCGACTGGTTTTGGTCCAAAAAGGCTGCGATGCAGCGTTCCTCCTTTATTCCCAATCGAACATGGTTGAACAAGCGGTCACGTGCTCCTGCGTACGCTAGTCACCTGGTCACCGTGCCTGCAGGGTACAACTTACTAGCCTGTTTGACCTTTTTTGGGTGCAGTCCTGTCACTCGAGTTGAACCTTGGTGTGAAAGTTGTCCCCTGCTGGCGTGGTGACCAGGTGATTTGGGCACCCAGGAGCACGTGACCGCTTCTTCAACCATGTTCGATTGTGAATAAAGGAGGAACGCTGCATCGCAGCCTTTTCGGACCAAAACCAGTCGACTCAGCGTCCAAAAGAGTACAACATATGGGCCAATCGCGGTCATCCGTGCTTTAAGAACGAAATGGCGCTTTTAGTGACATTTTGCATACAAATCCCCATCTAGTAGGGCGCAGTCACCCAGTTTCGGTGGAAGTGCGCGAGTTCGATTGGGATTCAAGTAGGAAGGGAGCGTCTCAGCTTTCTCGGACCAAGACCATTCGACTCAGCACCCCGAAGACTACAACTAGTGAAATTTTAATTTTTGCCTTAACTTCCCCTTTAATATGAGTTGGGTATTGCCAATACACAATATCCAAAGTGCCGTCACGGCAGGCTATCACACTCTGTACACACTATGATGCCACTATCAAAAACAGCCGGCACTGAGCCAGTGCATGCGCTCCTCTTGCAGCATACATGATTTACAGGTACACATACCGCCGGTACATGCAGCACAGCGACCAGCAACCACGACAAGAACTGGGCAAAACTCCACGATCTATGCTCCCAGTCTCTAGGACTCTGTAATGCCCGCAAGCAACTGTCAGTGGTGTAATCATGGTATTATATCATACAAAGGTAGAAATACTTGAAGTACAAAGAATGACAGTGAAATCGAACCGGAGCCGAGAGTGTAATACATCCAAGTGCTCAAACTGGTAAGTCGGTGAGTTTCTCATCGCATGACTAGCAAAGGCACCAGCGTACACGAGAGTCCTGCGTTGACTCACGAACACACCACTGCACAGACAAGGCTATACTCCGGGGCAACCACAGAGGCAATTAATATTTACATTATGCTGTACATGAGATAGTGGCAACGACAGACGAAATTCATATTTACATTATGCTGTACATGAGATAGTGGTAACACCGCAACGTTACTTCCTATGCTTTGTCCGCTTATTCTTGCCGGTTTTCGATTTCTTCTTTTTGGAGGCCTTGCCTTCACTTGAAGAGTTGGCAGCAGCAGCAGCAATAGGACTGCTTGACGCAGATGCCGTGGCTGCATCACCAGTATCCATCGCAGCAGCAGCAGACGCAGCAGTGGCGGCTTCACTGTTTTCCTCAGCTGATGTCACCCACTGCAACGTCTTTGGCTGACGACCAGCAAAGTGATTACGAATGGTGGCGTTTTCCAGAAGGTTGAGAATGCGTACGCCCTGCTTCTCTCCACCAATAGCAAGGGTGAACGGAGCATCATGGCAGAACGCTGTTGACAACAGCTCACCCATCTTCATATTGCGCGAGAGAACACAAGACGGTTTACCGCCCTGGATATCCCATACCTTGAGCTCTCGGTCACTAGACACAGATGCCAGGACACCCTCTACGGTTGGACTCATGCTGATGGCGTTGACTGCTTTGGAATGGGCTGACAGCTGGTACAGTGGCTTATTACCAGCTTGGCGCACATCCATACAATAGATGAAGCCATCGTCACAGCTGGCAAGAAACTGATATGGTTCAAATCGATTCCATAAGACATTCTCAACTTCTCCAGACACTGGCCATGCCCTGGTGGTCTTCTCTGGATCTCTGCAGTCATACAGACGCACAGACTTATCCATACCGCCACTAAGTAGCGACGTAGCCTCAAATGGATGCCATGCCAGGGTCTGCACTTTATCATTGTGCGCTTTCAGTGTCTGAGCGCATGTACGACTCCGCAAGTCCCACACAATAACAGTGCAGTCCGCTGATGCCGAAGCAAGAAGATGGCGAGCAATGGGGTTCCATGCCAGTGACAACACTGCATCATTGTGACCAATTCCTGCATTTTTCTTCTTTTTAGAACGTTTGGTCGATCCAAGCTGAAGAGCCGGTTCCATTGTGTCCACAACATCCAAATTCCAGAAATTTAGGCATGGCATCATACTCCCGGCCACAATAATGTTTGCTCGAGTACTCTGCTGCTCCTGTGGGTTGTCAATGTGCACAGGAAAGTCCATCCACTCTAAGCACAGAGGGAAAATATCCAGGAGCTGGTCGTGATGAACATATTCACTGCCTTCATTCTCATTGTACACCATGATTTCCAGCGTGCTGAGATCATCTGCTACTTTACCCACGACTAGCAGACTGTCTTCTGCTTTGATCTCGTCATCTTCGTCGTCTGAACCCTTCTCCTTCTCCAAGGTGATGTACTCATCAGCACCTGACTGAATGAGCATGTCTGTAAACGCACCCTCTAAACCGGCTAGAAGTACCCCTTTCTCCTCTCCATCCACCTCGTCATCATCATAATTATCCAGGTCAAACTTGGCCAGCTCAGGGTCATCCTCCTCATCACTTTCAGGTCCATCAAGCTCTTCCTTCACAATCTGTCTCAATTCTTCTTCATTCTCTTTCAGCTCAGAATCGGCTTTTTCCCAAAGGGCACGCAGCTCTTCTGGACTAAGAGTGATCTTGGTTGGGTGCTGCTTCGCTTTGCCTTTAGGCACCCAAGTAACACAAGGAACGATGGAAGACGGCATCCTTACATCATCTGTTGAATCTTACAAAATAAGCACAAAGAAATCGAGTTTATACTGCCATGCACTTGCTTCAAAGAATTAATATTTTCACTTTCCTCACGATCACGTACATAATCATACACGTGTTACACAGCAGTGTGAAATAAATTTTGTGCTCGGGATATCCGGGATGGCGGGGCGCCCCCGCGCCCGGCCCCGGCACAACGCCATTTTCCACCGACCACGACACGAAGGCGAAGGTGTACCGATGTCTAGGCTATGATTCGAACATGCTTGGTGCGCAAAGCATTCAACAAGTCAGCTGCATACTGCAAAACAAAGTGTACAGTTGTAGTCGAATACTACCGGTAGTATGCTGGTGCGCAAGGGCGGATGGTTTGGACCAGGCCAGGCAGGGAGTCGTGCCCAAACTTTGGTCCTCCTGGCACCTGTACAGCTGTTATCCTCGAACACTATCAATGGCTTATGCACCGACTGTTACTAGTGTTAGTCAGTAGCTTGCCTTGGTCCGCAGGCGCTAGGCTGATCACTCGTGATCGACACACTTTCTATGCAGCCCGAGCCGTAGCACTGAGATTTCAGGCATTCCGGCCAAATGGGATATATGACCGCAAATAAACATTATTTTCTATAGTTTTACCGGTTTTAGAAATGCATACTTGCCAACCCCTAGCCGGCTATATACATGTATAGCCCTGGCAAACAGTGTCCTTGATACTGATGACGGTTTTCCTTTTTTGCCCATTTTTCCTTGATCTGCAATTTTTACATCATAATTGTGCAAAGTATTGTATATGACATCATAGTGACGTCACCATGACCACAAAACATTCGCAAATAGTACATGTACGACAAAAAAGTACTTTTTTATGCGCTAACTCAAAAGTTCTCGCTCGCTACACCTTTCATTATTTATTATTACTTCAGTATTATTGCAGTACACTCATACCTCGTTTATCCGGGCAGTCCGGGACCTTGCACTGCCCGTAACTTTGAAATGTCCGTAACTCCGAATCATATACATCTTGATGGGGAAAAGGCCATAATAAACATGGCGCGGCATGTGACAGAACATGGCATGTTATTATTATTATTTATTATTATTATTATTAAATTTTTGATAGGGCAATCCCCACAGGCCTAAGGCCTTTTGACAGGGTACCCTAAAAAATGAAGAACAGAATTACGGAAGGTATGCAAGGAAGAACTTGAGCGGACCGCCGCTGGGAGGGCATTCCAGCGGTCAGAGCCAAGGATGTGACGTCACTTTTTCCACACAAAGTGACAAAGGAGTATGTAGTAATATTTCCACTGAAACTCAAGTTGCCCCCAGAGTGCCCGGTAGACCGAAGTGCCCGTAACTTCAGGGTCCGGATAACCGAGGTATGAGTGTATTATTATTAAATTTTTGATAGGGCAATCCCCACAGGCCTTCGTTTTAACTTTTGGGCACAGCACTGCGAGCGAGCGTCTTGTAAAAGTAAGTAAAAAAAAAAGTAAATAATTATCGTATCCGTTCCCGAAGGGAACTCACGACGGCCGCTAACACCCGATAAACCCTAGCGGCAGATGCAGCGCCTAACGCCAGTAGTAACCACTGGTAACGGTGGGGGTGAGTGGGCAAGTCTCACAACCACTGGCACAAGTGCCGAAAACGACCCAATAAGCTGCATTAGCGCCTTGTAGAACACTGAAAATCAACAAAAAAAGGTGTTCAATTTGAAACTCGGGTATTGAGCCAATAATAAAAGTAGAAAGGAAAAGGACATAATGGACGTTTTCGTTGCGCTTGCCTTCCCCTCTTTGGTCTTTCCATAACCTTGAACCTTCCAAGTTGGAAGGCTGTCGGTTAGCGCTACGGAGATGTGTTGAAGCTAGGTGTCAGGACGTCGAATGTCTCAGTACTCTGTCAGTTTTGTGCCTAGTTGTTGCACTTTCTGACTGTATATAGTATCTAGTTACAGTGGTGGAGAGTTACTCTTAACTCGTTTCCAAATGTCCTTTTCCTTTCTACTTTTAAAAAAGGTGTTGACGGACATTTTCGAAAATCCGGTAGATGTTATAACTTTTCCGGTATACCGGGATGAAAGCGAGTTTTCCTTGATTTCCCTGAAATTCCGGTAGGGTTGGCAAGTATGGAAATGAGGACGGGCCGGCCGGCCATGGCTGGACCTGGTGCTGGACCCCTGTTATGCACCATACAATGAACAATGACTATGTACATGTAGGTGGTCCGTCACCATAAGTGGTCCGGCTGCGAAAATACATACTGGCTATATAGAATTTGCCACTGGGCTGTGTCTACAAGATAAATACAGACATTTACCCTGCTTATCTTCGTTAATTTGACCATCGTAGTGATAGTGCAGCTTATACTTTGGAAAATACGGTAGTTATTACTGCCACCAGGTGTGCGTATGGCCCGTACAGTGTATCTGGATCGCGGCCCAGGCGACTTCACGGTCAGAGATAAGTGTATGTTTAATTATAGAACAATAATTTTCTCTGTTGCAGTGCCCAAGGCTAGCTGTAGAGGTGGTGACCACTGTACTGATCGTTTTTTGTTTTTTTTGTTTTTTTTAATTTTAGGATTAAGAAAGGGTTTGCTCCCCACACCGGAGCTCGCTTCCTCAGCCTACTCAAGCTCAACTGATGAGGGGTGAATTCCCCGAAACACTGTGTATTGAGCAGGGAGTGGTGCTTTCTTGCAGGTTTGCCGAGTCGAAGGTTCGATGGACTTCTCGTGTGCTCTGGATAGCAGTCGTGAGTCAGTCAAGTGTCAAGTAAAGTCGGCGGAATAGCGCGAGCTCCGGTGTGGGGAGCAAACCCTTTCTTACAAGTCATCGCCGAAGTCGCAACCACTACTTCGTAATTTTAGGATTAGCCTGATTTATCATGACCGTTGCCAGTACTGAGTAAGGGTGCATCACATAAATGATAGGCTGGGGCAGAGGGGGGTGGTTGATCAAGTTACCGAGAACTGCATGTACAGGTAATAATAATAATAGTGTATACATGCCAGCCTGTGTCTACTATCATGCCTGTCCCGGTGTGCGGATATTAACTACAGTGCTGGCAACTGAAATCCGACCCCCTGAGCGGTGCGCTCACGTCGCAAAGACCCAACACGGGATGGTAAAACTACGAAACAGAGACCACTAGAATGTGAATCCACCGCTCAGGGGGTCGGATTTCAGTTGCCAGCACTGTATGACATGTAGACAATGATGATGCAATCAATGAACCCCAGCCGACACTCGGACAGATAAATTAGTTTCCCAATCTGTAGTCCCATCACGGCGCGTGTGTCACAAACTGCAAATATCATTGGCAGAATATAAAACTCGGTTGTCGAGCCAATAATTTAATAGAGAAAGGAACGGAACATAATTATGGATACGAGTTAAGAGTAACTATCCACCACTGTAACTAGATACTATATACAGTCAGAAAGTACAACAGCTACTACATTCCATACTGGTTGGCTGAATAGACAACAAAGAGGCTCTACAACGTATGACAATGTCCAGTGATCATCCGCTCTAAAGTAGCCTGGACATGTAAATTGGAAGTGCACTAGCGTTGGCCCATCGTAACCCAGCACATCTTCACAACTGTACACAGTGAAATGTAGATGTTGTAAGCAATGAGCAAGTAAGGATCAAGCCGTGAATAGAACCAGCCACGTAAGACGGAAACACAGTAGACCGAAGCCAATTTACTCATTCCGGTATATTGTGATGAGTCAATTCAACTCAAGTGTTTGAAATTTTCTCTATAATAGACACAATTACAAGTGGAAGAATAGACACAGTTGCAGGAACGTGTTCAAAGTCATTCTAGCAGATCATGCTGGAATGAAAAAATATCCGTTTGTAGAAAAGGCAAAAGGCGCATCAACAAGATCCATGACATTGTCACAGAAAGGCGTTCCTGAATGTGTGAAATTGATTGAATAGTGCCAGGGTTCTTGCTGTTGGTGTGTCCTTTACGATCAAAATAGTTTCCTTCTTGTCTCCTTCGAAAGTCACAGTATCTAAGAAAAGCCTGGTGTGCTATAAGGTCATTTCCTTTTCAGTCACTAGTCCTAAGCACTCAGCTTCTTACAGTGCTGATATTTGCAATCATGTCTTCTGCTTCAATCCACTTGTTTCTTTCTTGAGAACTTTAAGCAAGCTCTGTGAACTCTCCAATATCTACACAGACACAAAACAATAGTGAAAGTAGCCATAATTATAGTGATCACAACTTTATAATAGCGAAGCTATGCGAATGTTCAAAGAGCAGTTTATAAAAATCATCTGGATCTATTTGAACTCTTGACGGTTTGGCACATTGACTGAGCGTATTGGGCCCAGGCATGGGGGTACCTTAAGAAGGGACGTGTGTGCGTGCACGTGTGTGTGTGTCTCTCTCTCTCTCCCTCCTTCCACAATACGACCACAGTGGTGGTATTCCGTCAGTGATGACATGTTTGACGGTTTGGCACATTGACTGAGCGTATTGGGCCCAGACATGAAGGGACGTGTGTGTGTGTGCACGTGTGTGTGTCTCTCTCCCTCCTTCCACAATATGACCCGCACAGTGATGGTATTCCGTCAGTGATGACATAACAACACATTGTACTGTACCGCTGCTGGCATAAAACACAAGATCAAGCTGGACATAGTTCTCTTCACACTTACCTTCATGTATGCTGTTTCCGTCTCGCTCACAGTGCGATCGTAGTCATTCCTTGCTGCCATCTTCTTTGCCAGGCTTTCATTCACCTTTGCCAAACGTTCTGTCAGGATGCGAATGTCATGTTGAATCTTTGCTTTCTCTTCCTCTTCTATCAAGATTTGTCGATGCAACTCATCACGCTTGGTGCAAAGGTCCTCAATACCTGTATGAACAGGCCAGGCAAGGAAATTCATACTGTGCTTGTTGCTTCATTGTAAAAAAATAATAATCATGAGTCTGGCAGAGGTAATGAATATACCGCAAAGTACCGCCAGAGCCGTCTCGCGAGAGCACCCTGCCTTGATTTTACAGCCAGGCAAAGGAAAATCGTATGACAGAGTGCAACGAAGTTTGTACGCCGGTGTGAGAAACTTAGTGTACTAAGGTTACACTTAGCAGGTTTTGTGTGGAGCTCGTGTCCGCTCGAAGGTACGGATTGACTGCAAAACGTGCAATATATTGTGTACAAGGTCCGTGTCGTATGACCTTCAGACAGCAGCCTGGCCACATCCACAATATCAGCACGAAAGGATGAGATGGCGCTCTCGCGGTACTTTACGCTAATAGCAGGAGTTCCCAAAACTAAACTTTAAAAAAAACTTAAAAATGCCCATTTGCTGATCACACGGCCAAGACTGTGCACAGAATGTTCGACTAGAGAGATGTCGCCAGCATAGGTGCTAAAAAAAAGACACACGCAAATGACGAACGGGCATCCTTTGGGCCCAAGGACCCTGGATAAGAGAGATTGCACCATAGAGTTCACCAAAACAGTGTTTCCCACATGCTCCATAAGCTCAATCGCACAAATTGGCAGTCGCCTGCTGTGTCCCAGTGTATGCAGGAACTGATTTGCATCACCCACGTGAGGAGTTTAATCAATACACGTCAATTTCCTTGCATTTCACAACTGAGCTGAAGGCTCATCAAGACCCTGCCAGCACCAGAGCTCAAGGCTCACCATGACCCCGCCAGTAGAGTCTACCAGAGCTCAAGCCCTACCATGACTCTGCCCAGAGCTCAAGGCTTATCATGAACTTTCCAATATTAGAGCTCAAGGCTCACCATGACCTTGTCAATATTAGAGCTCAAGGCTTATCATGACCTTGCCAATATCAAAGCTCAAGGCTCACCATGACCTTGCCACTGATATTAGAGCTCAAGGCTTATCATGATCTTGCCAATATCAGTGTCATGCAGTACAGTCAGACCTCGCTTAACCGCACACATCCGTTTTCCACAAAACTATCCGGATAGGCGAGGGAACCGGATAATCGAACACACATACTGTATGTATGCATGGCATATGCTGTAAATCGGTAACCAACGATTTTCTTCCGGATGGTGAGGGATCCGGATAAAAGAGGACCGGATAAGCGAGGTCTGACTGTATACATGTACTTTGGCTTACATTTCACAAGTTCATTGTTGTATTCTTGAAGGGCTGCTCCGGATTGAGACATGATGGCTATTAGGCTAGGCTATATCGCCAAAGTCAATGATCAGTTACTAGACACTGTCAGCTTAGTGCGTCGCTCAGCAGATAACTCGCAACTATGCTCTGACCGAATATATCTATCAGAAGTGCACTCGGAATGGATTGCTTGTCGAATCTTGCTAGCTGGCTCTGCTACCCTTAGCACATTGGACTGTGGAAACTGCTACTTGCAGGCACTAGCTCAACGCAACGATCCCTTGCCGCTGGTCTACTAACGACTGTGAATATTTCAACTGATTCAGCTTAGCTTAGCTCAGCTTAGCTTCCAGGAACACCGGTGGGCCCTGGTTTAGAAAGTCTGAATTGGCTGAAATAATTACTTGGCCTGCTGATGATCTGAGCAAGAACTGCATGACGTGCCAAAATACAATCATGTTTTGTAGTCTAGTCTGTACAGAAATATGCCGCTACACTAGCAGTTTGCACTTCGTTACAACGTTAGCACGTCGATCCACTGAGCTGAGTCTAGTCGAGTCTGTACTGCGCTGGCACATACGTGTACATGATTGCGGACTTTAACACGAGTCACGACTTTTGACAGACTTTTGGTTGCCAGGCGCTAGCTAGGCTACTGTTGCGACGTCGCTGCGAAACCGACTCGTACTACGGATTATCACTCCCTTACTTAGACTCACATAGATTTTTGCCATACCTAAGCAGTCAAATATTCCTGCATATTTCACTCCTTAGGCTTAGGGCTATGTTGACTGCTTATATTTGACTGCTTAAGGGGTTGCGCAGTTGAACGGTGCCTAGTGCAGCATTGTCACTGCATGAGTAGGTGGTGGTGCAACGGTTGTGCAATCATAAAACCGGGATTCATGAGGTTATTGTTCTGGAATTTGAAATAAGGACTGTTTGTAGTGATAAATCTAATATTGACTTCGTACTTGGTCAGTATAGGAAATAAAAACCTCGTAAAAGACCTCGGCTTCGCCTCGGCCTTTTACTCGGCTTTTATTTCCTATATTGACCTCGTACTCAGTCAATATTAGATACGGATTAGCAAGACGAAATTCGCGTTCGCGTTCGCAAACATTTTTCAGTTCGCGAACTGGATTGCGAACTTTCGCATTTTTCGTTCGGAAAAGTAGTCGGAACACGAATTATTATTATTATTATTATTTAAAAAGGCGACGTGGAGACAATAATCTTAATAATGCAATGAATATAACTAAATGCGCACTCATATCACAACCATGGGGACGAATCATGTACATGTATTCCAGAACTTGTCACAATTATCAATGGAATTCGTGACTAAAGAGAATGATGAAACTACAATAGGATTTATACACTTGGAGTGGAACAGCGAGGATACAAGCATAGTAAGAAAAATAGCACAAACCTAGGAACAATGTGCACAGGTAATAAACTATAGGTGAGGTGAGAAATGATAGGAAATTCAGCAAGTGCAGTGTGACAATGGACATGCATGTGCAAGTGTGTGTGAGTGCGAATTTACTGGAATTCGCACTCACACGCACACACTCACACGCACACTTAAATTCGCACTCACACACACTTGCACATGCATGTCCATTGTCACACTGCACTTGCTGAATTTCCTATCATTTCTCACCTCACCTATAGTTTATTACCTGTGCACATTGTTCCTAGGTTTGTGCTATTTTTCTTACTATGCTTGTATCCTCGCTGTTCCACTCCAAGTGTATAAATCCTATTGTAGTTTCATCATTCTCTTTAGTCACGAATTCCATTGATAATTGTGACAAGAAAACGTTCTGGAATACATGTACATGATTCGTCCCCATGGTTGTGATATGAGTGCGCATTTAGTTATATTCATTGCATTATTATTATTATTTATTTATTTTTTTCTTAAATTTTTAATAGGGCATTCCCACACTGACCCACAGGCCTAGGGCCTTCTTACAGGGTAGATCTACCCTATATGTTTTTGTATGGATGAGCGGAACGAATCGCGGATTCGTGTCAGGGCAGTCTTTTAATGCTCGTTATGCTCGTTATGCTCAATTTAATGCTACTTTATATGGGGTCAAAAAAGTGTCACGGATGGACTTCGCACAACTCCACAAAAACATGGGATGTAATATTAATTTAAAAACTTGGTGCTCTGTTTTAGGCCTTGGCGGCTAATGCCGGCAGAAAAATTGGCAGAATTCGGTACTTTTTCGGGTAAGTTTCATGCATGTTTGGTATGTGGATAAAGCAATGGAGCAGAATTCGAGGAATTGCCCGCCATAAGGTTTGTATGGTTCTGCCAATTTCACTGCTTTTCGAGCAGAATCTGCCACCTTTTCGAGCATTATCCGCCAAGGGCTACTCTGTTTACCTGGTACACATTGTTCTCCATGCAACACTTAAGCCCGATTCATACTTCATGTCGCTTGCGGGAAACGCGTCGCGTCGCGAAAAAGTTGATCTGAGCTCAACTATTTCCCGTACGCGAGATGAAGTATGAATCGGGCTTAACGTTATAGGCTAGCATAGTGCAGGTAGAATACATTATACTTCATGATCACCACATGGCAACAACATAGGAAGCCACTTTTGATACAATAACAACAACAAAAATCCCATGTTTTGCAACAATATGCTAGTTTTCGCAAGAATATGCTAGTTTTCTGCAAAACCTGCTGATTATGCTAGTGCAAGTTTCCAGAAAGTGCTAAATATGCTAGATATAATGCTAGCATTATCCGCCGGGGCCTAGTCTGTACGCAATGATTATGTACGTCGTGTCAACGTCATGCATGTGCGTGTTTGCTAATCCTTCTCACAACGCGAATTCCGTCACTGAGTTCGACTTTCCTTGGAGAGCGAACGCGAACGCGAATTTCGTCTTGCTAATCCTCCGTAATATAAAGGCCGATTCACAACTACTTCTTGCGACGCGACACGCGACACACTCGCGCAAAAAAGCTATTCAAGATCCATGGGCTTGAAAGTGGTGACGTCTAAAACGGCCAGGGAGTAGTAAGTTGACATCAGATTTCTATTTTGGATCCACTAAGGTGTGACTTTCCCTCAGTAGAGAGGTTCCGGGGTACGATTTTCCGTGCCAAAATCCGTATGGGCGCTACGGATTTTTTCCAGGCGTGCTCCATACGATTTTTCGGCACGAGAATCCGTGTGGACTGGCTTTCATACGAACCATGCTTCGTATGGAGATTTTGCGTCATCGGGTGCAGAAAGATTTTTCGTGTACAAATTTGGTACGAGAAACATCGATTTTTCGCGGGAAGTTTTGATTTCGGTACAAATTTTCAAAATAAAAAGGCATAGCGCGGGAACGTGACGTGTTTGCGATCGTAACCTAGGCAATGACGGCAAACACATAAGTTCCGTACCCCGGAACTTTTCACTGCTCGAAAACGACTACCATTATATATAAAAAATCCGTAGAGCCTCCACGGATTTTGGCACGAAAAATCGTACTCCGGAACCTCCCTAATATGTGGGTGCATATGCGCATAGCAACCCACTCATGTCGTATGCATGTGTGACTTTAACTTCGCCACCAGGTGTCACCCCGCCATAGCCAAATCAGTCAGTTTCACTGGCTACATCACCTTGCTGTAAGACCACTTGAAATGTGCTTGGATCCATACAAAACTGGATCCAGTTTTTGAATTTTTGAAATTGTTGGTATACTGTGACGTAGCACTTTCAAGTCCTAATTAGCTGAAATCAAAACATGCACAGGAATAACTAAATAACTTCATTTACTTCCCCAAAGTGGCCAAACACAGCTACTGTAGCTGGCAGCAGGCAGGCATGTACACTGAAAAGCTGCACAGTCTGAAGCAGAGACAACACATGCACTAAAGACACAGAAGTGCCTACACAGCATGGAATTTTCTTCTTCACAGTATGACGAACAATAGATCTGATGGAGAAGAAAGTAAAGAGAAAGAAGAGGAGAAAGCAAATCAGCTCTATTGTGGTATCGTACACAATAGTAATGTCGTGACATGGGTTACAGTAAGTGGGTAGAAGCATGCACCATGGGAAATAGTATTTGTCTTTTGCTACTTTTTTCATTGCTGGCGTTAGGACAAAGGGCGAAGTTGAGGAAATCAAGCAAGGTGGCAAAAATGATCGGCCAGCGCAAAAAAACTTCTTACAAAGAGACAGGAGCACGGCATAATATGACGCAGTCGCTTCATGTACAAAATTTTAATATGGGACAAACCAGCCGTGAGCAACTGACAAAGATGGGCAAAGCAAGAAATGCATAATAGCGTGATATACATGTAGATAAAGCAAGACAAAACAAGGGTACAGGTGATTACTAAAAGGATCTTCTGCATGAAGAGTATTATGAAAGTTGGACCACACTGGAGCCTATACTGTGACTTTTCAGTGAGCATTGAAATTCGTAACGGGAGCTTTGCTGCCATTGATAATATCCTAGAAGAACAAGCCGCTAGGTAGACCACGAGTACGGCCATAGAACAATTAACAGTTAGCTGAATAAATGAGCAATTGGCAGCGATCAGTACCGAAGTGGAAGAGGCAAGGGGTATCCTAGCAATACAATCGTTATGGGTACAAAAAATGCAAATCATAATACTAAGCAGAATGTGTGTGTGTGTAGCAGGTACACAGCGTGCATTATCAAGCAACCTGGGTGCAAGCCATGCTACATCATGCAAGTGTGCAGTCGAGACATGATAGCATAGCTAATGGCTGTGTAGCATGTGTGGGAGAATTATACTCCACACACGGAGGGAGAGAAAGAGAGGGGGAGAAAGAGAGTGAAGCGAGATATGGAAAGGATGAAGCCAATGCACATGGTTTCAAGACGGAGACAGTAATCCTGGAAAATCAAAACATGGCTACTCCAATTTGTTGATCATGGACGATCATCGAAGAAAGTCGTGTGGCAATGGCAAATTAGAACCATATCAATACAAATAACCTAGGTTACCGAGTTAGATACACACGGACTCGAGAACAAAAACCTGACAACAATTGACTAAAGCAAAGTAATGTGCTTGTAATGTCCAAAATAGCTACCTACGAAAGATGGGTTGGATGAACTTGAAAGTTCTCATTCTGTAAACGCCTGGTCGAAAGACAGCGGGCATTCACAGGTCAGCCGCTTGCAGTGGCTGCTGCACAAGCGTGTGCGGAGGCAGCTGCAGATGCATAACTACTGGAGTCACCTGTGCTGCTAGGAGCACTGTTCACCTAGAGAAAAGGATATCAAGAGCATGAAAACACACACACAATCGAAGGGTACATTCAGACTGACGTGAAAACAAGGTTGAATGGAAAAGGTGTCTTGGCGTACGTCGTGCACTTGATGTTCACAATGGGGTACTGTAAGAGTGCGTTCTTAAATCCTCTCGGAGAAGTTCGATTATATCCTCTCCGAATTTTAGGAGGTTCTCCAAAGCTTTCCAAGCTTCAGAGGTGGTTGAAACTTGGAGATTCCCGCGGTTTGGGATCAGCGCATGTGAACTGCAGCTAAAAGCATGTGTTGATCATTAGTGTATGCATTTCCCTTTTTGCATACGCACAACGTGTACTACATTCGTGGCACTCAAGGTCACGGCCCCTTTGGCGCTTCATATTGCTTCACAGGTGCAAAATATCTCCGAACCCTTGGAGACCCGTTCTTGCACCGTACCACTTTCTTCGACTTCTCTTTTCTTCTTCTCCGAGAAGCTAGAGAATATAAGAACGCACCCTAAGACATGTTATTATAACGAGTCGCAAATTCAACGATTGTCCAAGATCCATAGTTTAACGAGAAGATACGTTAACGATCTTACAGTCTTCAGGCATATCCGCACATAACACATAATTATGAGGCCTTACAGCCACAAAAGAACTTATTATAACGAAGAAATTTCACTCGTTATTAAACGTTAGATTTATTTCCTCGTTATATTTACATGTCTTACAGTAACCGGAAAAAAGCCGTTGTTTTAACCCTTTACCATCCGACCAAAATTCCCCAGCAGTCCCAAATGCAATAATTCTCACCTTATTCTGAGAATATCTTCGGTTCTAATCAACCAATTTTCACAATCTTGGGCATTCTGGAAAGCTCTCCACGAGCTGCGTACATTGAGCTCAAACAGGACACTACCAAGACCACATATCAAGCGCCAGGGAGCTTCAAATACACCCCATCGCTGGATATACGAGGAAATTCTCTCCTCGCCAGCCATTTCTCGCTCCTTCATCGTAAACTTTCCAATTTTTTTTTGCTTGAGTTCCTTTTCATGCTGCCCACGTGCTCAAAGCATGCCAAAGTGACTCAGCATGTCAGGAGAGGGGAAAATCCCCGCTCAAGGTCAGTCACTCGGAAAGAAATTCGACTTTTGCCGTAGCTGAAATGTCGAGCGAAATATCTTTGGAATGCGACATCACAGCTCTTTACCGATTGATGCAATGGAAAGCTGGGCTCTTCGGCTTCTTCCTAGATATTTAGTTCTTTACATTCCGAAAAGAATCGATCGAGTTACGAATGCTTTAGTGTATGCATGTCCATCGATCTCTAGAGATCGATTCAAGTACACACGGATGGTAAAGGGTTAACAAACTCTGAAAACAGACTCAAGCAAGCGTAAATAGAGTCCGCTTATTCAAAACTATAAATAAAGACTTGTACTCAAAACGGAATTTCGCAGCCTGGCATGTTTTTGCATTTATGTTTTTTTAGACTGGTTCTTCAGCTGGGGGTTCTTCCGTGCCTGAAGTCATAATAGTCCAAATTTTAAAGAGCTGGGTTCTGGACCGGCTTCCATTTTACCTTGTAATCCAGGATGAGGTGATGCAAAGGTGGGTAACTATGACCTAACCAAACAAAGTCTTCACCATGGACTTTCTCTGGGAATCGTACTCGGGTTTATGTATCCTGGCTCTAACGCAATGTCCTGACACCAGGGAGTCACACACTTCAGAGAGAGGTTATCATTGTAGTCTACCATGTTACATTTATCGATCCGGCATTAGGCGAGACCAAAAAAATAGAGATTCCCGGGCCCTCCCGCACCAAAATCGAGCCAAAGCCAATTTTTTTTTTTTTTGAACAGTTCATACATGTACAGTACTGTTCGTGTGAGTAGATCTGTGACGTGGAGTCACAAAAACCCGAGCTTGTACGGCTCCCTGATGTACAGAGCAGGCCATCGTTGGCCGAAATATAGAAAAGTTGAACGGGTAAACCGCGTACCTGTTGTCCGTAAAAAAATGAATAAAAATTACCGGAAAATGCTGTAAAAAAAGTTCAACATGGCATGCACATTATAGTCATGTACATACATGGGAAAAAAAATAAAAAATAAAATTCGCCCGCCCGCCCGCACCAATTTCACATGGGTCCTGCCCGGGAATCTCGATTTTATTTTGGTCTCGCCTTATCGACATTTTTCACGAAACGAAAAAGTTAAGTTAGGGTGATACATGCGACGGTAGACACTGGAAGCACCCTAATAGCCAGGACCCACTGCTGGTGCGGAAAAGCGTCACACCAGCATGCGACACGAGGAGCCTGATATGGTGACAAGATCACTTTCAAGCACAATTTCAGAGGTTGAGAAGAAAGTGTCGCATTCCTCTTCACCAAACTCGACTGCCCATTCCTTTCTTCAGGAAACAGACCACAATCGAGCCGGGCTCTTTCTAGTTGCTTTCAGTACTCTGCTGCCACTAAAGGCTTCTTCTTGATCTACCTTTGGGTGCACTGGTTGAATGGATAGTTTGGGAGTTCAGAGAAGAGTTATAACTTATAAATTTACCCAATGCTGTAGACAGCAAGCTGTTTCGGCCATATTTAAAAGGCTGTATTAAAGTTTACTGAAAATACAATGCTTACATATTCACGGAAATCCTCCAGCCGTTTGAACTTGGAAAGGCGCTCCTCAAGTTCTGGCACAACGACCAGTGCAGTTTTGCCCTGCGAAATGGACAGTAAAAATGAAAGAGCATTAACATGAAACCAAGAGTATATAACCCCCCAAGAGTGTGAAACTCGACTATGGGTGCTGTCCCGACAGAATTTCACGTTGACTTCATTTTTATGATGCAATGCGCACTGTACACGGATAATCAGATGGACCCGGAACCTGTGGTGGACCAAAGCCCATCTGATCCTGTACAAATTATTCCAAAGTAAAGCGTGTGATGCGCTGACACCCGTACACATGCTGTGAATCACTGGTGCAAGGAGCATCGCATCATAAATAATAATGACGTCAACTTGAAATTCTGTCGAGACAGCAGGGTATGTGGGAGTTGCACACTCGTGAGGGGTTATGTACTCTTGATGAAACACGGAGATCCAAGAACCTGTAGTTGCAAAACATGATTCTAAAGAGGAATGTGTGGAGCAAGGGAGTTTATAATACCAAATGTTCGCACATATAAGCACGTGCTTACACAAGCTTATACGTGAGTTTTGAGACCGCACAAATATTTTCACAGTGAAAATGTCCAAGTTCAAGCGCAGGTGTTTCCTGCACTGAAAAGGCAAGTCAAACCACCATGCTATATTTTCAGTGTTTGATAGTGGGACGAAGTTACTCCTGACTCCATTCCATGTCTGCAAGCGCCATGTGGTCTCGTCTGGCCAAATGAAAAAAAACCCTATTACTAATTTCCAAAGGATGCCTACTGGCCGAAACTTTGATTAAAAAATTAGTAATTTGCAGCGAAGAGACCACTTGCTGACGCATTTCAAGTGTGCGCAGTGTTTGATTGTCGGGATTGCCGCGGTGCACGGCCCATGCACGATAAGCACCAACATGAGTGCATGAATAGTCTGATTGTGCTGGTCTTTGAATCTATGTGTTACGTAAGGTATGAGCTACATATCGAAGCCACGGCCCAATAGAGCTTTCGAGGTGTCTGCAGGCCACTCTCCTGGCATACAGGGTACTGAATACAAGAGATCGATAGAGAAGATCCTCAGCTTTCCAGAATGCACAATGTCAACATTGCGCAATGTAAATGTCAAATAAATGGCAAAACCGTTTTTACTTAGGGCGCGTTCAGACTGGCGTGAGTAGCCGCCGGAAAGCTGCAGCGTAATACCGGGAATCGCAATCACACTGCACGTGTATCCCGCTGGAATGGCCAGTACATGTGAAGCTTCGACATTTGAAAAATTTGAGTTGACTCAGTTTGAGTTGGAAATCAAAATAAACTAATTCAGTCTGTTGAGATACTGGATCATTGTGCTTTTGCTTGTGCTTGTCGACGGAAAGAATACTATGTCCGGAGTGTTTGGTGCTTGGGTGGCATTCATCCGCTCCGCGATCAGAGTATGCTTCTCGTTCGCAGTAACGTTTTGCCTGCAGAGTGGCCCGCAAAAATCACCACGTACAGCTCCATGAACTCCCTCTCCATTGCTGAGTCGAACAAAGGCATGATGGGAGAAGTTGGCAGTCTAGAAGTGAAAACTCGAAAGCATGCAGTCAGACTGCAAGAGTAGATGCTGAAATAAAACGAAAAGACGGAACATGTGCTGCAAGGATATCAAAAGCGCTCCGCGTGCCGCCGGAATCTGCATTCCACTGGCCTGCAGAGTGGTGGGAAACCTTTTCCGTGTTTACGCTGGCGGAAACGTCACGTGAGCGATTCACCTTGACAACTTTCACATTCCGCTTGTTTTTTACGCCAGTCTGAACGCGCCCTTAGGGCGTGTTTGGTTGGTACGATCTAGAACAGGATCGAACAGCTGGTGCACATGGAGCAGCCTCATGCCAACCAAACGGTACTCCAAAAACAGAGCATATTTTGTGAAAAATGTGCCAAACTTGGTGCATTCTTCATAATGTGCATGGATCACCATGGTCACTATGTACGGTACAACGAGTCCAACCAAACGCGCTGTTCTGGTGAATCCTGTTCTAGTTCGTACCAACCAAACACGCCCTAAGTTCATCAAAATTCCACTGTGCTTTGAAATGATGCCACTATTGAGAATGTTTAGGCTAACACAGCTCACAACGACTAGTTTCACAAAGAGCACATGAATCAGAGTATGCAACCCAGTCAGTGATGGAAAAGTGTAGTTCGTCGTTTGCGTCTAAGTAAGGTAAAACTGATGTCATTGATAGTAGTACTGCAGTTCAAAAGTGAAATCTTCTGTCCAGACAAGAAGCAGAGCAACAAACTCAAATTCATGTACTCTTGCTTTCACTACAGTGAAATCGGTCTGAGGCGACCACTCAAGGGACGTGAAAAAGTGATCACCTTGGGCAGGTAGTCTTCTAATGCAGCTTCAGTGGGTCACGCGACTATATTCAGAATACATGACGTAACATATCATTTTGATCAGTGTATCACATGCACACGGTACATACCTACATGTATGCTGCTATGCACGACTCATGAGTCACCCGGGGGCCTCAGACTGCTCAGAGCTGCCAAGTACTGGTATCTTGCATGCACCATGTGCATCTACGTTTCCTGCGCTGATGTGTATACATATCCATGCATGGTGCACAGACTCAGTGCAATGCGTGCATGTAAATGTACATGTAGCAGTGTGCAAAGAGGCCGCGGGTGAGTGGTCGTCGGTCGCGTTGAGCGAGCGGTCTCTTTATCCGAGCTGTTCTGAATGTGAATGCGTCCGTGACAAGGAAAAGTGGTCGCCATAACAGGTTTACTGTATATTGGAAACAGCAGCATACCTTATAGTACTTGTGAAAAGCCCAGAACTTCTCCAAACCATAGAGTTGACCTAAACAAGAAAACAAAACACTCCTTAGCGAAGGAACTGTACAAATTAATACAATCAACAATAGAAAAATAGAAATGGAAACAAGGCATGAAACAGATGACGGAATCACATGCCGTTTGCCACCTGGGATTAAACCTTGAAAGTTACTTTTACCTCCAAATGATTAGTCACACCACATGGTACTGAAGCAGTACATGGTTGACATGCCCAAGGAGGTTAAAAATACAACAGATACGCAGGGCAATTACCCTGTCTTTACCTGAACACTTTGAGAGTCACAGAAATGTCAAGATTCTTCTGTTCTTTGAATCATAACTCCATCTCTATTTACAGCAGGATTGGCTACCCAGCAGAATGCAATAGTCATCAGCGCAATAGCCTTACCACATCCGCAATCCCGCAAGGTTTCCTGTTGGAAGTCACTGTAAACATCGGGACGGAATTTCTTCTCCAGACCGTAACTATAGAAGCGGAACAGGCATTCTAGACCATACCTTGGAAAATCAAAGGAAAAAGAAGACACCACGAAAACAGTCCATCAAAATACAACAAAAGACAAACAGAGAATGGCATATAAATAAAGATGCATACGAGATGCATGCGGTCAACCACACCAAGAGTACATAACCCCCAGACACGGCTGTTTTTTTTGTTCGATTTCACGCAACTTAACAATATGGCCGCCGAAAGTCTCGATTGGGCTTCAATGGCAAGAAAATTTGAATTTTCAAATCGTCAGAACGCGAGTAGGCCATGGTTTCCCCTGGATTTTGGAGACTAGTCAGCCCGGGGAACACGCTGATCATCTGCGTCTTGTTTCAAGCTTTCCGCTCGCACCTCACATGACTGCCTTTCCTTCAAGAAACATTTGTTCTGTGTCGTGCGACTTTGGCTTCGTTCTGGAATACTCCTTGTGTCGTCGCTGACAAACTCGGCTCCAAGAAGCCCTTCTCGATTTTTCCCCAGCTTAGATCGATATTTTCCCAGGTAGAGGAATATCCTCTGGTGGTCTTCCCCAAGTGTCATTAGAATACGCGCGTGAACTTCTAAATACGCGCGACGAGTCAGGAGCCTGTTTTCTCTTGATTTGGAAAACAAATGGTGTGGTCCTTTAGTTGCTGTTGAGTGTAGAAGGCTGCTTCCTGCTGTACATTGCTTAGTCGGCATGTGGGATATTGTAGAAGAAGACAGCAGCTGGCCAAGTGAGCTTGAAATTGTGATATCTACCCTATTGTGCGTTGAACGATTACGAAATGTCTAACTTGAATGTTGTACACGCGAGCACGCCAAGCAGAGGCTGGCAATCACTGGCGAGATCAATCTCCAGACTGCCAGGAGTAGTTCGAGCAAGTTTGAAGCGGAAAGACAGCTAACTGGGCAGGCCAGGACGCCTTTCCACCCTCTTTCTCTCTCAAATTGCCGAAAAGTCGAGTATCTCGCTCGAGCGCTTTCAAAACTTTTCTCTTGGTTTCGTGTCCCAAATCGTGGAACCACGCGAGGATCGACATGAGTTTCTTGCAAAAACGCAAACTTGTCGCGTATTTGTACTATTCGCAAACTGTTACATAAATCGCACCGAACGACGCCATATTGTGCCTGCGCGTGAACAGCCGTGCAGAGTGCGCAACTCCCACATACCCTGCTGTCCCGACAGAATTTCAAGTTGACGTCATTATTTATGACGCAATGCTCCTTGCACCAGTGATTTACAACATGTGTACGGGTGTCAACGCATCACACGTTTTTCTTTGCAATAATTTGTACAGGATCGATCGGCTTCGGTCAACCACAGGTTCCGGATTCGTCTGATAATCAATGTACAGTGCGCATTGCATCATCAAAATGACGTCAACTTGAAATTCTGTCGGGACAGCACCCATAGTGGAGTTGCACACTCTGGGGGTTATGTACTCTTGACCACACCCATGCACACAGCAGAAGCAATGTAATGTTCACAAGGCATGAAACAGATGACGGAATCATATGCCGTTTGCCATCTGGGATTAAACCTTGAAATTTACTTTTACCTCCAAATGATTAGTCAAGACCACATGGTACCGAAACAGTACACGGCTGACATGCCCAAGGAGGTCACATGTGACTATTTTTTATTTAGGGGTCGTCGCAAAAGGGCGACCCCTTACTCAGTTTACTACAGTACACCTTTGAGTACCTAGAGGTTCATTTATTAAGAAGTCTGAACAGTCGCTGCTTGCATGACCACTACACCATAGCTGATAAGAGCACTAAGAGTCTATAGCTAAGGCCTCTTGGTTCGAACCAACCTCGTTCCCGTTCAAGAATAGCTCAGAAGAGCGAAATTGGCGAATGAAACTCAGCCATCTTGTTGTTCACTTGGAGTTGTGGTGAAGGCAAACAACCACATGGTTTCATCGTGGCAGTGAAACGGCTAATAGAAAATTGAAAATCTCCCAGGATTTGTATGAAAATACCAGTGTTGCCTGATCAGCTTTGAAAGTTTGCAACGCCGCCTAGGAGATACAGATACTAGTAATGTTCTGGAAAAATTGGGAAAAAATCAGTACCGTTGATCCGCTCCGGTCTAATTACTGTGAAGCGTAGAAGTAAAAATACTGCATTGAACAGACCCTTACACTGCTGTACATAATATGTGACAATCCAGGTATGCCCGTAGAATTGCATATAGAAATGTGCACAATCCAACATGACTGTACATAGTACTGCACTTGACAGCCCTGGACAAATTCCCACCGCAGCGGACACTTTCCTAATACGACAGGACTTTACTGCCCAGCTCCTTGAACACAGAATCTACTAAATATACAGCATATCGCGTCCAGTTACAATACTGCGATGAGTAATATAGCAGTGTCCTAGCCAAGTACCCACCGATAGTTCTCAGTAGCATCTTCCCGGGCCAACGACTTGAACTCTTCATACATTTTCCTTTGCAACATTAATGAAAGAACACAAGAAAATCGAGAGAAAGTTCAGAAAAAATTGAGAACGATCAAATAAAACATTGAGAGGCACTAAAAAGAAAGTTCCGATGCACTTTGCACTGACACAGCAAAATACACCATATTAAACCATTCGGCGTCCATCGTTCGAAATTGAACGGTGCACGTGTGCAAGTGGGTGGAGTCAAACATGTATAACTCGACCGAATCTTGACCAAATTCAACAATCGAAAGGTTTAGATTTCTAGGACTAATGATCTAACAGGCGCATGATACATTTTGCACGCCCAAAGTGCTTTCACAGAAAACAGTCATATTTTAGGCATTGCAACGCCTTCGAGCACTAATTAATTGTTTGACCCTGCCAGTACGTGGTGAAAGCCAGTGAAACAGAATTGAACACTGTAAAAGCCATTATTCTAACGAGCCGCATATTTTAACGACAGATTTCTCCTCGTTAACTCGTTAGATTTAGGTCTTCGTTATATATGTCCGCAGATTGAGTATATATACATATAATTTATAAGGCTTTTACAGTAGCTACAATGAGGGACAGCTTCTGCATTCATGTGAATTCCGTAAAACCAGAGGGGGTTAAAAATGAACAAACCTGTTGAAATGCTGACGGAGGAAAAATGACCAGAAGCGGTACAATGTGTTCATCTCCTGACTCTGTCCAACACCAGACTTCTTGCGGTCTAGTAAAGAACAGAGAGCATACATACAGTTATGGAGAACGAACAGCATTTCAAAAGACAAACAGAGAATGGAATAGGAATAAAGAAGCATACAGGATGAATGCGTACAATCAAACATGTGCGCACACACAGCAGAAGCAATGTAATGTTTACAAGGCATGAAACAGATGACGGAATCATATGCCATTTGCCATCTGGGATTAAACCTTGAAATTTACTTTTACCTCCAAATGATTAGTCAAGACCACATGGTACCGAAACAGTACACGGCTGACATGCCCAAGGAGGTCAAATGTGACTATTGAAATGATTGGTCCTGTAGCCGTGCTGCCCCTTAGGAGATGGCCCTGGCCACTACACCACCACAATATTCTGACAGCATGAAAGCCTACCTTTGAGACAGCGCATGTAGTACTTGGAGTATGCTTGTTGGGTGAAACCCTTCTCCTTCAGCAGCTTGTGTGAGGGGTGTTCAAAGTTCGGGAAAGAACGCGGTGTTCCGGTGAAGCCAGATCGATGTTCATCAAATGATGATACACTAGGACTGGTTCCACTGTGGGGCAACAGAAGAAATCAGCAGTATACTAGTATCACGAACTCTAGAAAGTACTTCCTCAGATGAATGCATGCATGTATTGGTTGTTCAGACAGTGAAAACCAACACAACTAGCTCAAGCAACAACATAACACGCTGAGCAACATGTGTCCAATATACAGTTCAAACAAACACAACTTGGAAGTAGGGGACAAGACAACCTTCCCAGGCTACCGAAGCACGCAATGATCTTCTGTGACGGGGTCCACTTCAGTCACCTCCAGTTGAAACAAGTTATTAAAGTGTACTTATCCTACCGAGATTTCCGCACAAAGCGGCTTATCTTAGGGGTGTTTTTCAGGCGGCACGGATGGTGGCGTGCCGCCTGGTGAGCACAACTCAAAGAGCCAATCATCAGCGAAAATTGCCTCTGGACCCCAATCCTTCGCTGGCAATAAACCCACCTCCGGCTCTCGGAGTCTACTCGGTCACGAACTGGAACTCCACGAGGACTCATCAGCCAACCGACGTGGCTCTCAACTGGAGGGTTGTTTCCGTACTTGGACTTGTATTTCTAGAATCATAGGCAACACAGGAGACACAATTCGTGACGAGAAGACAATGGAATCGATCCTGCTACTTTGTGAGCAAGTTTTAGTGGAATCAAGCAAAGAAAAGAACTTGGACACGAAATATTAGGAGAACCATGGAATGTACACAAGGCATGAAACAGATGGCGGAATCTAATGCCGGTTGCCATCTGGGATTAAACCTTGCCATTTACTTTCACCTCCAAATGATTAGTCACACCACATAGTACTGAAACAGTACATGATTGACATGCCCAAGGAGGTACCAACCACCAAAAAGGGACAAGGTGCGTTTGAACTATACCTTGGGCGTAGCCTTCTCCGTAGAGTGTTCTGGTTTGTTGGGCACAGGGTAAAAGCGAGGCTCAGCTCCACCAGTCGACGAAGACATGCGCTTCAAAGGTACACGGTGGTTCTGATCAGCATTGTTGCGTTTTGGCATGGCTCGAGGCTTGCTAACAGTAGATGATTGACTGTAACCACCTGAAGATGAATCACTGCTGTAGGCCGACTGCATCTCTGCAAACCTTTCCGGTGACAATACTTCAACTTTGTTATATGATTCACTATCCGTCTACGAACAGGGAATGGCACGAAAAAGAAAGAAGCATACGAGATGTTATCTCCGTGACACGTGCGTGCAACCAAACATGTGCACACACCAACACCAACACACACACACTAGTACCCAGCAGAAGAAATGTAGTGTTCACAAGGCATGAAACAGATGGCGGAATCGTATGCCATTTGCCACCTGGGATTAACCTTGAAATTTACTTTTACCTCCAAATGATTAGTCACACCACATGGTACTGAAGCAGTACATGATGGACATGCCCAAGGAGGTACTGCCAGAGATAGTAGAGAAAGCTAAGTAAGACAACATACCTTGCGATCACTGTCATAAGAATGAAGTCCCGTGATATCCTATAAAGGATGAAAAAGAAATACACAAAATGTATAATCTCGCTCATGGAAAGTAATCAAAGCACGAGTGGAATCAGGGCAGGGTGAATGGCAAAACATGTTCCGTCCCAGTGACACACCGTATCCCATTCCGATGATAACTTTGGTTTCTAGCCCTTGTTCATTTGTAAGAGGAACTAAATCCATACAGTTGTACATCAGCGCTTGGGCAATTTTTAAGCCGACAAAAGTTGAATAGTGGGTCTTTCCTGCTTCTTTTGAGACCAAAAAGGTGCAGGTTTTTTGTTTGTTTAACCCTTTACCGGCAGCCCCATACTTGAATGCGTCGTAAACGACGCATTCGACATGCATACTAAAACCATGCCCGGTATGACAGGAAGCATCAGCCCACGGGGATTTCCCGTGGCCCTCACACAGCCTAGGTATGATCCTATCCGTAGCTGAAGAGATCTACGCGTGTCCCATTTGATTTCATTGAGAACTGCGCGATCGAAAATTTACGGAAATACACGCGCGCCGACAATGCCGTCTGCCTCCGTCAAAACGTCGTCAGGTGCATTTCCTCTTGCGCAGTGAGTTCCTTTCGTCCTCAGATGACTTCTCCGACGAGGACCTAGCAGACCTTCGCTCTGGGACCCACGACAGATAGATAAATACTTCGTTCCAGCCGCCGATGCAAGCGAATTTCAAATTGCGGAGCGCACGCCAAGTAAATTCTCACGCAAATATCGGGAGCTCCAGCCGCTGAAGACGATGTCGTCGTGATGTAACTGGAAGAATCTGATGGTGCTTATGGTGTGGAAGCCATGGAGAGTGATCCCCGTGTCGACAGTCTTCCAGAGATGGAATTTTAGGCCATCGACTTTCTACGTACCTGAGTGACGGCAGCGCTGCGCGACTTGCGCACGACCTTACGGAGCCATCGGACAGCGATTTTGGGGCGATGCTGCTCTCAATTGCGAGCGAGGCACGGCCACTGAAGTCTGTGATGGCTATGGCGTTCGTTTCCGCTCTGAAGTCGACTAGTTTTGGCAGTATCATGTCAATGTCGGAATCTGACGATTTGCATTGTGTACAAATTCTGTGTTTAGACGTATAGGTGCCAATTTAGTAGCGTATGTGTGTGGTATGTGAAAATAATTTTTTCCATCGTCAAGAAGTAGTACCAGACTTCCAAGAACACATAACTTGCACATACAAAATGTGCCCTCGTTGTGAGTTATTGGCATCCTTCTCAATGTTATGGATTTCATATACAAAATGCACTTGCCGGTAAAGGGTTAATAGTTGTCGATATTTGGCAGCTACTGTCAGACAAGGGTTATTTTTTTGCTTTGCTAAGTATTCACTAGACCTCATTGCGATTGGTTAACCCTTAACCGTCGACCAGTCAAAAATCTACGACTATCCGTCGATCAGTAAATCCATCATATCTCAGTCATTTCTTGACCAAATTCCATGATCGAAGGGTCTAACGCCATTAGAAAACACCAGGCTATCGTCTCAAACAATCGCTGAAGAGCTACGACGCTCCCTTGCAACGATATCGTCCGCCGAAAGTAAAATCACGGCAATTGCGAATTTTCTGCGCTCGGGAACATTTCAAAGTCAGATTTTTCTTTTTTGCATGACAGTTACGTCACCAAGCACATGCTCATGACGTAAAAACCAAATAAATGTTCTGTACACAAAAATTCAAAGTCCAGCGATGGAGGAGAGTGAAATGGCGAGACAATTTGGATTCTGCCCGCAGATCTGGCGCTGGGGCAAGTTTGGCAAGTGGCGGCGCTCGACTTGTGGCTTTATAGATGTCGAATGTGGGCTCTGTGCATTCGTAGCGTTAGGACCTTTCCAGGAAGCGCAAGATCATGGAATTCGGCCATTGGAGACTAAAGTTATGATAATTTGAAGGTAAAATATGTCGTGAAATTGCAATTTTAGCCTGCTCAGCGATTTTGTCGGATGGATAAGGGTTAACCCTTTCACTGCCAGCTGACCACTCAAGGTGACAAGGCGCTCCCTGCCAGGCTGTCAGCTGAGCTGTACACCCCCTCCCTGCCAGGCACTTTTTGCCTCCAGCTCGAAAAATCGAAAGGCCAACTTTTCATGGATTTTTTGGTACTTTCTGTACGGAATATCGCTTTCCAAAGTATACATCGTAGGTAGACAACTCATAAAGGAAGCCATTGCCGTCGAAAAAAATCGCAAAATCCGAAGTACAACCGTGCTGGGCGCTCTAGCGCCAGCCGCTGTGCAAAAATGCATGTCATGCGAAAGTGCGCCGTGCGCCGCATGCGCTACATACACTATGTACACGATCGGCCCGGACACTCGCGAAGTAAAATTAGTTGTTGTTTTGGAGAGAGAAGCAGATCCTTTTTTTGTTAGCTGGGATTGAAAGATCTGCCAGTGGACCGGAGAGCTACAACACTGGAAGCAGAAGAGATGGCGTGTGGAATGTTCTCTGTCTTCGTGGCAACAGGACTTCAGTTGCGAGAGACTTTCGTCCTGTTGTTGCGGACGAAATTCTAGTTGCTGCCACCAGAAAACTCGGAGAACGAAACGATCGTAAGTCGTTTGGTGAAGCAGATCGTGTCGGTGAACAGCTGCGGAATGTTCTGCCGCCATGGTGGTCGTTTGTTCTCCTGACTAGCAGCAGTCCGAATACATTTCGACTTCGGAGAGTGAAGCGCTTCCCTGTTCCGTTGACAAGCGCGGCGTTCGCGGGTGTAATGCACTTTCGCATCAGCTTGCAGTAGATCGTCAGGTATTGAGCTTGAGGTAGGTGTCGTTGTAGAAAGAATATAATTATGTTGTAGCTGACATACCTGTAGTGTCTCTTGACTGTGCTGGTCGCCATTGTAACGTGGTAGTTCTTAGAAAAGTTTAGTTCTGGACTCGGTGAGCGCCGCCAGCGCTGTTTCCGCCAAGTTTGCAGTGAATGCGTCCGTGAGGAATCCGTCGTGTGGTTGTCTCTACCCGTGACTCCAACCGCCTATCGCAATGGATAGCCGCCTGGAGTCTTGGGTAATGGCTAGGCATCAAGTCTGAACCAAATGTCATGCTCCTTGCAATGAAAGTTTACGGGAAAGAGAAAAAAACTGGCACCGACTCAGGAAGGTGGAAGTGCGTGAGAACCGATTTCTTCCGCGCCGCTCGGCTAAAAATCAGATGCGCATTTTTCAACGACGCTGGTTCGATTTTTTTCAAATGGCAACCCATGCTTCTGGCAGCGTATTTCGATGGGTATGGACCTCTTCTAGGGCCTAGTGGCCCTCTACCACGGCTAAACATCTCCAATAGTCCAAAATATTGGCCCAAACTGGGTGAAGTCTGCCTGTCGACAAAAGTCGACGGTGGCACTGGGGACTGCATGTTTGCTTGTCGACTTTCGTCGACAGTGGCACTCAGAGTGCATGAATGCGCTGTCGACTTTCGTCGACAGTGGCAGTGAAAGGGTTAAACTAGTGACTCTGATGAGCTCCGCTGATGACAACTACAGTCCATTTCAAAACTATAGACGCGTACCTAGGCAAAAACCGTTATGCCAGCATCTATACCACATAAAATCTGTGATCACTTTGTGCATAAATTTTTCCAAATTGGGCGTCTGTTATCCAATCCTTTAGAAACTATATGAGAGTAATTGTGGAGCGATCCTGAGCAATATTCCGAAAACTATTCTCAAAAAGTTCCAGCCAAATTTGAAATATTTCTAAAACCCTACGCGTCTATAGTTTTGAAATGCACTGTACTAAGGTCGAATCCGGCAGCTGTATGGAGATTAAGTGAAAAATAAACAACATCCTGGTAACATAGCTAGTATTAGTAAGAAAACAGTGCCGGGAGATAGCATTGAGTCAAAACAGAACCACTTACTGCTTCATAATGTAACAGACCGTCGTTGATAACTTCAGCTAACTGCGAAGACATTTTAGCACGCGATTGAAAGCTACCAGTACGGTCACCACCAGGGTGCTTAGAAAGGCGTGCGTGGGGTGGAGTTTGTGTAACGATCAACAATTTGGTCACATCTTCGTCCGCTATCTCATCGTCACCAGACTCAGATTCTGACCTGCAGTAGAAGACCATAAAGCGCATTTCAAAACCATTCAGCATAGCTCTCTCTCGCTCTCTCTCCGCACACTGGATGTTGCAGCAGATGAACAGAGAATGACGAATGGCCACAAGGCATGAAACAGATGACGGAATCACATGCCGTTTGCCACCTGGGATTAAACCTTGAAATTTACTTTCACCTCCAAATGATTAGTCACCCCACATGGTACTGAAGCAGTACGTGGTCAACATGCCCAAGGAGGTGTGCATGAATATCGGATAGTCGAGAGGTCCTAAACACAATGGGAACTAACATACTAAGCAAATCAATGAGCAGCGCTTAAAAGATCATCCACACTACTTGCAAACTCACTCAATCACATACAACCAAAGCTTTTATGAACAAGAAACAACCCACGGCACTGAAAACTATGCAGTAGAGTGACTGAGGGGTGGATGAAAATACGTAGCTACACTGAATGCACGGTTTACACACGACTCTCACTGTCGTAGCGAAGTAGACTTACTTGTGCTCACCCATGAATTCGCACGACTTTCCTACTACAACACACAAGTTGTTATATTGCAAAGCTCACCATTCGCCAACATCAGCAGAAAAAGTATTCTTTCGACCACCAGCATCAAGTTCATCCTCAAATGCGAACTCGAGGTCTTCTCCAACTTCCTTTCCAGAAGCGGCTGGTGACTAATTCACAGTATAAAAAGTCACAAAAAAACCCAAAGAAACACAACCATATTGACAGGTTCATACCCCAAGTTCATAATTCACAATTATAATAGCGACAATGGCAGTGCAAATGGTATGTTCACAAGGCATGAAATAGATGACGGAATCACATGCCGTTTGCCACCTGGGATTAAACCTTGAAATTTTCTTTCACCTCCAAATGATTAGTCACACCACATGGTACTGAAACAGTACATGATTGACATGCCCAAGGAGGTAAGCAGACAGCAGACGCCTGATACAACACAAATATGTAGTTTTCTAAACCGAAATGGGGTACATAAAAGTGCACGTGCCAATAAAAGGGTACGGGTGGAATCCTGATAATTCGAACCTCAAAATGCCAGGGAAAAAACTTCTAATCGTCCGGACATTCTAACAAGTTAATTATCCAAACATGAACCCACAACACAATATGTATGTCAAAATGCTCTCATGGTCACGCGGAGTTGCGCTATGGCCCTAGTATGGGCCTTATAGGCGATTCAGACTACGGCCAAAATCACGTGTGAGCTTGAATTTTCATGGTGATGCAGTCGTGTTTCAAAATTTTATGCACAATCTCGGATCAAATAAATCTGAATCGTAGAAACGTGATCACAGTTGGCCGTAGTCTGAATAGCCTATAAGACACAGATTTCACGGATACTCAACTGACCGGCAGAGCCTGCTCATGCAAACTGAACTGACCAGTTTTATGAGCACAAATCCCACACATGTTCTATGTCAGTGGAATCCGTGGGACTACTAATTAACCGGATATGTCCGGTTCGAGGTTCGAATTATGAGAAACTTTCATTGACAGAAATCGGTCCTGGAAAACTTCTAATTAAGCGGTATGTTCGAATTAAGCCATATTCGAATTATCAGGATTCCACCTGTATAAGTGTACCCTCACAAAAAAGCGCATGGGTTGATAAGGGAATGTTAAAAGGGATGAATGTGTAACCTCCTGGTTCCATTCTGGTACCGCACTTCCCTCAGCGCATGTGCTTATAAGCGAAAATGTGTTGCAAATTGGTCGATATCACATCGACCAATTTGCAACACATTTTCGCTTACACAAAAGTTTGGGCATGGTCCATGATCATGGTGATAATTATTATGAAAGAAACTTGCCAAAAAGAATAGCCTTCAAATGTTACACACCAAAACAATCTATATCATACAAGTGTGAGAAGGGACTTGGCTACTCACCAATGGCTTTTCTTTGGATTTAGAAATGGATGTTGTTCTCTTTCTGCGACTGACTTCCTGCCAGTTACTGTCCTCAGCAGCTTCAGATGACTAACAGCATGGGAAAAAAGAAACCATAAAATACTATTGCAATCCCCGTGGCCTAATACAAAATACACTGTAAGAGACCAGTTATGACATTGAATACTAACAGACATTTACGTAGAACTCACTCCGCCGGTATGCTGACCGTCAGGTGTCATGTCACCTCGCCTCGATGGAGAGCCAGTTGTCTGTGAAACAGTAGTCTCTGATCCACCACTGGTGCTTGTCTCGCGGTCATTCAAGTTAGTACCAGTTGTTGCTACGTCACGCACTGTACAGTCATACACACAAGCAGAATAGCCGTGCTGAAAATCACACCAAAAACACTGCCAGATAACCCATACAGTTCAACTTCTTTCAGTGGTGACACAAGAAGTACAGCGGTTGATACTTGGATGTGCCCCACAGCACTTACTACTTCCAGAAACTGAAATAAAATGAACCAAATCCGTTGGGCGGTTCGAGCGAAAACTCACACCACGTGACTCAGGTACGTTTCGTACTAAGTACAACGAAGGATAGCCGGCGTGCAATCCGAATATCTGCCATGATCATGCTGAGGAGTTGCATACACGCAGTGAGTTTCCATCACGGAGTGCTTTTTTATTACTCCGCTGCTCCCTAAAGACGGCCTGGAACACTACACCCTGTGATGTGAGTGTTCGCTGTCGAACGGGTATCAGAAGTTGGGAGCCTATACTCTTGCCGATATCCATATTCCACACAAATGCGGTCTGCAGCAGCTGGTGTTTCTGGGAGTTGCATCAGGTGGCAGATAGAGGGAGGGTCCAAGGCTGGTGGTGACGATTTCAACCGCAATGCCTTTGCTGGATGCGAGAAGATCAGCAAAAGTTGCATAGCTGCACAATAGCAATATTTAGAAATTCGGATGCAATTGTTTTGTGTCTGGCAATGACCAGCAACGCTATTGTTCATGCATGCAACTGACAGATGTGGCCGTGCTAAAAAAGGTTGCAGTGTGTTCAAAAGGCAAGTAGAGCACAAAGCTGCATCCCCAAAAACCCAAGGAATAACAGGCACAACTAACCTTGCACACTAGGCTGGGTTATTACAAAAATATGCCAGCCAACCCGCTTCCGCATCTTGTCCTCAACAATCTCTACATCAGAACTTTTACGCATGGCCTATAGGAGGAAAAAGGAAGAACAAAACAAAGCAAACAGGGAAGCAATTAAAAATTGAATGCACACTGGTTTCCCAAAATGGAGGTGAAGTTCACCGCAAATGTACCTGGTAAAAGCACCCATCAATCAGGGAATATGGAATGAATGGGTGATACTACCTACAACACAACAAGGATTCTGGATTCAGGATTACTGAACGTGCACAAACAATTGGAACATGATCTTTGCCAAATACGCGAGGTCTTACTAAATGGAGTCAGCTAATGTTCACAAGGTATGAAACAGATGACGGAATCACATGCCGTTTGCCACCTGGGATTAAACCTTGAAATTTTCTTTCACCTCCAAATGATTAGTCACACCACATGGTACTGAAGCAGTACATGGTTGACATGCCCAAGGAGGTACGGTACACCACAAACTGACACGATGAGCACAAACAGTTCTGCATGACATTGTACTATGGGAGGCCATCCCAATGATGGGATGAAGTTGGTCCCTAAAGAAACACTTTGCCATGCCACAAGTCCTACATGTAGTAGTGAAGAAACGTACATCAAGAATAAGAGACACATCCTGGGTGATTGCAGATATCCGATGGAAGCCAGCGATGGTAGAAATGGGAATGAAACCTTCAGAGTCCATCTACATGGAAGAAAACACATCCCATATGCATTGGAGATTACTCATTTAGTGCCAGCCCTAGAGAAGTCACAGTTAGATCTTGTTAGACTACATCGTCGTTAGTTTTCATTGAAACAATACCACGTACCATCAAGTCTGGGAAGTTTGAAACTTCCAATCAAACTGACGCAGGAGCCACTGATGTGCCGACCGACAGCCTTGGCCCTCCTGCCAACTTTCGAACTCTAGGATCAAGAGTACATAACCTACCAAGAGTGTGCAACTCTGCATATGGGGTCTCCGCCGGCGAAAACTCACCTTACGTGCCTCAGGTACGTTTTGTACTACGTACAAACGAAGGATAGTGTGCACGCAATCCGAATATCTGCCAGGATCACGCTGGGGATTTGCATACGCGAAGTGAGTTTCTGTCAGAGAGTGCTTTTTTTACCCCGTGGCTATTCTTCATTTGTAAGTAGTACGAACGTATCTGAGACACGTGATGTGAGTTTTTGCCGTCGGAGACCCGATATGCAGAGTTGCACACTCTTGGGGGGTTAAAATTACACTCTTGATGATAGCATAAGTGAGCCAAATGGCTATGATGTCATTCAAAATCCCGCTGTGGGACAAGGGATCGCCAAAGTGTGCACACTTTTAGATGCCACTGAAAATATTAAAGAGAAGGGTCTTGCCCACCCGGCAACCTGACCCTCTAGCAGGGTCTAGTAGGTGTGTTTTCGTGCTCCTTGGGAGCAGGTTACACTTTCTGAGCTCCGTGTTCTTGGTTTTCTCCAAAGTTTTCCTGTCTGCCCAGGGCGACCCTGGAGCACCCTCTCACTGCCAAGGTAGTGCTGCATGATTGGAGCGCGGAATCGTGATGTAGCTTGCAGGACAATTTACTTTGATATTGTCACTGCTGCGTCGGCCGTGGTCCACCACTCGCAGTGGAGTAGCTGTCCCTCGAGTGCTGTAAAGAATCCAAGCTCGAAGAATGCAGTGGTGGGAATTGCGGATTGGCTGGTGGAGTGCTGGAACAACTCGTTGTTTCAGTGGAGTGGACGAGCGAGTGCGGAGAGGAAGGTCGCAATGGCAGAATGGTGGGAATTGAAACTTCAATCTTTCGTCATCATGAGTGCACTGGTCAAGCATTGTGGAAGTCTGTCGAATTTGTGAGCCTTTGCCCTGCCGCTTACATTGTCAACGTGGAAGAACTGCTAGTGGAGTCCTGGTGGGATTTCGGATGCCCACACTCCTTTTGCTTGGTGGATTCTTTCCTGCACAGTGTTTTTTCGTGGCGTGAAATTTTGAATTTTTTTCTTTCCTGTTCATTTTCAGTCGTTCTCACTGTAGCTGTCAGGTTGTTGTTACAGTACAGCAGTCGTCCGTTCTGCTCCATTGTTTCATCTGTTTTGCCAGTTCTGCTAGCTGATTCTCTTTATTTGCCACTGCCCCTCATAATGCTCATGCTTGGGTGGAGGGCGGTGTGACCCGTTTAGGGTAGCTGTATCATAGTAGTAGTAGTAGTAGTAGTAGTAGTAGTAGTAGTAGTAGTAGTAGTATATATTATTTCTTGAGTTTATGTTACCGGTGTTCTTTTCTTTCTTTCCATCATCATTTTATGTGGTCAATAAAAACACGCTTCCTAGTAGTAGTAGTAGTAGTAGTAGTAGTAGTAGTAGTAGTAGTAGTAGTAGTAGTAGTAGTAGTAGTAGTAGTAGTAGTAGTAGCAATTGTGTTCTTTTCTTGTTTTCTCGCTAGCTTCTCTGATTATTGATTTTGAATTGCCTTCATCATTGTTTTGCTTTGAATCTCTTTTTCGTTTTTGATCTTTTTCCATATTTATAACTTCGGGTTCTTTCAAATAAAGATTTTGAGTAGTAGTAGTAGTAGTAGTAGTAGTGCGGACACCCCTCCTTGTTCAAAACAGTGGGAGCACATACCGTATTTCCGCGCATATAAAGCCATGGCGTTATATCCGAATATAAGGCCACCCTTGCTTATAAAGCCATGGTGTTATAAGTGAACAAAATTCAATGTGGAGGAAGTTGCATATGGCATTAAAGGCGAGTTCAATTCTTTCAGTGAACCTACAGTAGCGGTGATTCTCTCTGCATGTGCCCATCCCCACTGTCACATGCCATACCGCCACCGTACCTTCACAAAGTTGTTATGCCACCTTGTACACAATAGGTTCACAATTTGAAATTTTCACGGAAAATTGAAAGTACATGGATGCTCGACATGAACGTCCAACGGCACCGTACGAGTACTCGAAGTTCATACTCTGCCGATTTTTTTGCATGTACGCATCTCTCACTTTTAGCGCCATGGCGTTAAAACCGAGGCTATTTTCTCCAAAAAATTGGTCCAAAACAGCGATGTTTCACCTATAACGCCATGGTTTTATATGCGCGGAAATACGGTAGCAGTCATTTTCCTTCTGACCAAACTGCAATTGGCCTCAAAGGGGGTGGGGAAAGATGACAAAGTAAAGGGCCAGAACTTCTAAAAATGCATCCAGTAGTCATACGAGAATTCGAAAAACCAGTGCATACCTGGGTTCGAAGGAAGTAGTCCCCAGCAAGGTTGTTATCACTGAAGTAATACTCACTGCAGAAGCAGAAAAGAGAATGGACAATACATCAACATTGAAGAAACCTCAAAAGCATATTTTTGACACAACTGAAGAAGTCCAGATTGGATGTCTGCAAATACAGTAAGCGCAAACAGACATTCAAAAAGGTGATATCATACTTGACGACGGAAAGTAATTCAGTATCACAGGTACAGAGTACTTACAGAGTAAAGAGCACTTACATCTGTTTACGAATAGACTCCTTAATCATACTCTCATTGATTGGCATATAGGCAGCTGAAGCAGCCGCAGCAGGGGGAGGTGGATAATAGAAAGATCCAAATGGAGTCGGATGTTGATGGGTAAAGCCAGCAGCTGCAGCAAGTTGACCGGAGCCATTGAAGAACGAATTCGGAGGAAACACGGCAGAAGGATACATGAAGGGTGCATGCTGTTCAACAGCAGCTGTACAAAATAACACGAACACCAAATAGGAGCAGCAACAAGGAGAGAGAGAGAGAGAGGATTCTGTAAGACAGAGAATACAAAAACTAATGAGTTCACCATCATTGTGGTGAACTGCAACTTGTGGAATACACAAACCCGGTACGATGAAGGGAACCTATGTAGGATGCAACAGAGAGGTTAGGGTATGGAAAACAATGCAACTAAAAGCTACGTCCGCCCTATTCGCCATATTCCAACTAGGCTACAATATTAGTCGCGACTGAAAAATCAACCTATGGGTACGCAGCAAAATTAGCGTGGCTTATGAGCTTAGGGGCCATCCGGCATCATTGACAATTTTCACGAAACGGAAAAGTTTAGTTATGACCCTCATCACCCCCTTCAACGAAAAATAGATTGACTTGACAGCTAGAATAGATTGATATTTCAGCTATCAATAATTTTCAAAGCGAAACTCTCCTCGACCCACCCACAAACGAAACTTTTTCTCTTCGTGACAAGGATCGATTATTACGGACGACCCCTTACCCGGCTGACCAGCAAATATGCCAGCTTCAGAAGAGGGCACTGGTGCATGTGCCGTTGTTTGGTTTGGGCTTGTATGTGAATCAGGTGAGATTGGCTGGTTGTTATTGGCTGGAGCAGAATGCCCATTCACTGCAGCTGTACTGGTAGCAGGCACAGCTGTTGTTACAGTAGCATTAGTGGCAGAAACACCAGTATTAGCAGCAGAAGCAATAACAGCACCACCACTAGTGGCAGCAGGGTGTTGATTCTTGCCAGCATACGACGGCTGAGGGTGCGGCTTGCGGCCACGAGGAGGGCCTCCGCTGCGACCACTACTGCCACCACCTCGCCCACTACGCATACCTGAGCGACTATTCGGCCAATTACCCTGATTGCTCTGCCCACCAGCACCGCCTGTCCATTGGCCAGAGTGTGTACCACCAGATGCTTGTGTCGTTGCTGCATTGTGGCCAGATGGGGTCTCTAGTGGAAGGGGTACCCACTTGCGATTTTCTTCAAAAGGAAAGCAGAGTCAAAGATACAACAGAAACAATAATATTATCAGGTAGAAGACATACTTCGCATCCACTGCAGCCATTTTATAAAGCAAAATCATGATGCCACAACCACCAGCATGTGAGATGTCTGCAAAGCAGTGCCTAAAACGACAAATTTGGTGTGCTAGGAGAGTACATCTAAACACACAACTTAACTGCATTCTTGCTTTGGCACCTGACCTGTCATGCCCAATTATTCATAACAAGCTCACGTGCCTAAGCCATAGCATCATCATGACATTTGCAAAGATTTGGATCAAAATAATAGTAGTTAGTGTAGACAAGGATGAAATGGTTTGAAAATAAACCACCGCCACAGCCTTACTCTTTCGATTTTTGTCTAGCTTAGCACGCCAGTCACGATCAGATGTGGCATTTTCCACCATTCCACCTGACGAAGGCAGCGGTTTACTACTGCTTTGCCGGACTGAAGTTGGTTGTGGAGCAGAAGGCTGAGATCGATCTGCAGACCCTTTCGTAGGCGAGGTTACTGTGGTAGCAGCAGGGGAAGATACATCCTTGACTTGCTGTTGCTTTTGAACCGCAGAGCTGACTGCAGTGGTTGCAGTTGGGCCACTCACAGGTGGTTTTCCTGTAGATGCACACGGCTGCGGTTGTCTGTCTTTACGAGAAGGGACAGTGGTAGTGACAACATCATTTGAAGCCTGCATGGAAACCAATTTCATAAAAAGAAGAAAAAAGAAAGCTCTTTACAACTCTTTTATGGCCCAACTGAACTTACGACAGTATACTCGCATTCAAATGACAAGCACAAGCATTTACAGATTTGCACAAACTAGCCCGCGTTGGAAGGGTATTTCCAAACCGGTGCTACGATACCAAGCGCACACAAATTTGGCCTGCAGCATGCTTGAGTATGACGTACAGTGTTCTAGCCAGGTCAAAATAGTAGGGGGCAGAGGAAACAGTTACACCGTAACCCATTTTCAGAATTGTCTTGCCATTCAAAATGCAACATACGGGGCAACCCCCGACTTCACCCCCAGATATTAGGGAGGTTTAGTTCCCACGTAACGGAAACGCGTACGTGGGAGATCCACGTAAAGTGGATGAAGGGCACCCACGTTGCAATGTTGTGTTTAGTCACACGGAACAAACAAAAGCATAAAGCGAAAGGCCCAAACCTGGTCAAAGACGAAGCTACCCGGGCCTAAGAAGCTCATCGAATATTTTGATTTCGTGCTTTGGAAACTTCTTCAGCTGAGCACCCTCACAGCTTGCACAATGCGCTCCATTCTGATTTTCACCCACGTTCTGGCGGAACGTGGGTGAGCCTCCATACACGGCATGTCGTGAATCAGAAAACGTCTGTACGTGGGTCACTGAGTATCACGTGGTACACCCACGTAAAGTACCCACGGATTACGTGGGACTAAACCTCCCTAATAAGCCTTTTGCGCGTTGTACAGATGCACGAAATCCCGTAGAACCTAATGGGTGTTGAATGTGCAGGACCCTATTGTGCTTTCTGCTATTTCCACTAAGAAATGGGCCCTGAAGGCATTTCAAACGAAAACCTTTTCTGACAAAGATCTAGCTAGGCATTAGTTCTAACCAAAGTGAAGTAGTTGGAAAAGGGATTGTTTGCCACTAATTATGAGGCTAAAATTGGTCAAATGCGCATGCATAGCACACAATGAACACCCCAACCGGGTCTGTACACACCTGCGCCCTAGTACTGAACTTCGTACATCTGTACAACGCGCGCGAAAGGTCTATTGTGCCCTTATGAACCCTGTTAGGGGTTGTCCACAAATATCGAAGTTTTTTCACAAAACGAAATAATTTCGTTACGAGGTGGGAGGGGGTTGACTAATTTTGTTTCAGAAAACATTGATACATGTACACAGCCATAGGAGCAGCAATACACTTGCGACTTTTGCATGTATTATGTCAACATTGTTTACGTTCTGAGGAGGAGGGAGGGAGGGGTTGGGTCGAAACTAAAATAATTCGTTTGGTGAAAAATGTTCGATATTCACGGACGGACCCTTAGTGACTATCGACTGCATTTTCATTGAATTGCCGAAAAAACACAAAACCAGCGCCACCAACCCTCCTTTGGCAAGAACCATGACGTAGGATCCCGGAGAAATCCCTCACCAAGTAGTAAAGTACAGTTTGCACATCCACTGTCCACCAACGCAACCAGATCACATACAATCAGTAAGTGCGACAAAATGACACAATACTGACAAGGAGTACATGCACTGAGACGTTTGCACTCGCTGACTGTATATGATCTGGTGACATTGGTGGACAGTTAGTCATAACTCGTAACAATTTTGTTCTCCATTTTATCCATAATTAAAATAATTACAACTTTGTTCAACATACGAATACGAAGAATCAAAAGTCCAGCTATATCAGAGAGTCATTTTGTCGTGGAGCACTAAGCTGTACCGGATTTCCACAAGTCAACAAGTATACAAACACACAGAGTGTGCAATTGCGAGTGTGCAAGTATGCGTGCATGCATGATCCAGTGTGGGATTTGGTGAGGGTGATGGTTCAAAATCTTGCCATGGGCAGCTTGTCGGGAACTGGTATTAGTGGGTGGCCTTTGTCTGTGTTGCGTTGGCAAAGAATAAATTCTGTTGGGTTTGTGTGCTAAAATTTGCAGAACGACTCAGGTCAAAGAGTAAGTTCTCAATCAAGACTCATTTTTTACACTTCCACATGATTATGCCATTTGTGAACATACACATTGGTTGCTTGAACATGACCACCTGACATGTGATTGTGATGCGACTTTTTGAAACAAGTAGGACCTTGTACTTCCTCTGCCTAAAAAAATTGCTGCCTGTTCTCTGCAATCACATAATTATGCTACCAATGGGGGGGGGGGGGGGGGCTTGGAACATTTCGATCCAATCGAACATCCATAACGTACGCACGCACGCACCTACGCACGCACCTATTTCTCTGTGAAAAGTGCCACACCAATACACGCCTACACCGATGTTACATTCTATTCTAAGAATGGTGGGAGCAACTCATTGAAGCCAGACAAAAAAAAACACAAAAAAACTCACTTGACTGGGTCGAACTTCTCCAGGCGTAGGCCAACTCGACGCATCAGAGAAATCAGTCTGTAGAAAAGCACAGGATATAAAACAAAATTAGCTGGACTATTCGAACCTTATTTTCCCAGAGCAAACTCAGAAACCAAAAAATAATATTCTTGACCAACCTTTGAGCGAGGTGGGTTTCGCCCTTTGCCTTTCGCGGCATTTGTCGTGGCTGGTCCTCTAGCAGCAGTGTTCGCTCGGGTAGAATGGGGAGCTGAGCTAGTAGATGTTACCATTGTCACACCCGAGGAAGTTGCTACGCTTGCTGTAGTGGTGGTATTTGATGGTTTTGCAATCGGAGAGATTGTGCTAGTAGAGGCAGCCGCAGAGACGGTCGCAGTGGTCACGGGAGCTGCAAGTTGCTTTCTAGTAGCATCACCAGACCCACCTACGAAGACCCGATAAGAATAGAGAACGCACAGACAAACCATGATCAATAATCGACACCCAAAATTCTCCAATAAATAGAAGAAGCATTTTCGCCTTGGTTGTACATCATCAGGTAAATACAAAAATGGCAACCACGAGCACCAAAGAGAAATAATTATTCACCTCCTGGCGAAGTTTCCGTTCCATCCTTGGGCTTGGAACTGGCGATAGGTTTTTCTGTAGAACTTTTATGCCAAGGGTTTTTAGTCGGAGCTGGAGCAGGTTCTCTAACTACAGGCTTAGCGCTTGGGGACGTGGCCTCGGCAGATGGAGATGCACTGCTTGTTGGACATTGATCCTTCACAGCTTTACCAGGTTGTTTTGCTGGATCTGACAATTGGTTGGTTGCACAACCAGATTCCTTCTTCGGAGAGGAAGGGGCAGATAACTTTCCAGAGTCCGCCATCAGAGTCAAGCTCCTCCGCCAAGATCAAGAAAGCACCAAGACAGTGATATCCAAGCACCAACACGGCGACTATCTACGCACGTGCAAAATAGTCACGTAAACTTCTAGTTGCACATTTGTTTCGGTTGGATGACCAGGATTAATCCAAGGCACCCCTAACAGAAATGTTGATCTGGAGAATGGAACCAAGATCCTAAACCACCAAGAGGACAGAGACTAAAATAACTGGAGATGGAAGAAATCTCCGCCACAGAAAATGGATACCTACAGGACTCCACACCTCACACACGGCAACGACAGGAAAGCAGCGCATTCAACCCCAACAACTGCAATGCGCAACTCGACCCTTGGCCAGGATCACAAGATCGAGATGCACTGACTGACCTAACGAAATCTACGGCATGCACTCTGCTGATCTGACTCAGTCTGAGTCTGAGCTCATGAGTATCTACTCTTGGTCTGACCAAGGCAAGAGTACATTTTTCGCTGGCGATTTAATTCGCTGATTTCGCCGCTGGGTACCAACCGGCCAAAGTAAATCGCCGGCCAAAATTTGTCATAGAGGCAAATGATGCATTATTGAGCCATGGCTGCATGTGAGGGCAACAAATACCAATCGATTTCTTTTTTGAAAACCCAAATCGGCCAAAGTTAAATGACGGCCAAAAGTTTCATTTCGAGATCGGCCAAAGTAAGTTTCTCACCGGCCAAAATAATTAAATAATTTGTTGATTTACAGTACTACGGTCAGACCTCGCATAACCGTACACATCCGTTTTCGACAAAAATATCCGGTTAGGCGAGGGAACCGGATAATCGAACACACATACTGTATGTATGCATGGCATATGCTGTAAATCGGTGACCAACGATTTTCTTCCGGATGGCGAGGGATCCGGATAAATGAGGACCAGATATGGTAGTAAGCGAGATCTGACTGTAGTACATGTACTTGGTCTGACTGTGCAGATCTGATCGATGTGATACATGACCATGATGACTGTACTGACATGATGACTGATGTAGCTCGATGGCATTTCTCTGTACACCGCGTACCGCGAGGTCTTGCTGCAGATAAGAGTACTTGTCTTTACATTGTACGGTAATTAAATTTTGTACGAGAAGTCATGTCAATTAATATTTCAAAAAAGTGACCCTGATCCCCCTAGCCGGCCTAGGCCCTGGCCCCCGGCCCCATATGTACCGGCAAGAGATCTACTCTTATGAGTTATCTGGTTATGTCAAGAGTACATAACCCTGGGTTATGACTTATGTACTCTTGGTTATGTCTTCTTGGTACCAGGGAGTCGTAAAATACAGGTATTTATGACTCCCTGCTTGGTACCGGTACCGCGTACCGCGGCGGTACACGACCAAAAATACATAATTATTACTCAAGCATTTTTGGCGCAAACATTTTCGTTCTCATATCAGTCGGTTTGAGAAGTAGGCGCGCGCGCTCAAACTTCCAAATCAGTGACTATGCGCCTGTGCAGAAGATGACGACGCTGCAGGCTTGCTTTCTCAAACTAACTAACTTTCAAAGCGTGACATACATTTTCATTATGATTGTTGGCTTTCAAGTCACTTTGATTAGTGAGCAACATCGTCCGTCCTAGACTAGATCCTGTCCACTACACTAGTCACTAAGCATGGCGCTTCGGGAGAAAAGCGTGACAATTATTTCCTTCCCTGGCATAGGGTGTCTCCGTACCAGCAATTATTATAGGGCACAATAATCGACTCGCGCTCGCCTAGTAGTAGTAGATCTACTCCGGTGCAACGCGTGCAGGCAAAGACTAGTAAGTAAGTTTCAAAAGTCACGGTATTTCCAAGTCTGACTGAGGTCGAGTCGAGCGAAGATTCCGGTTGAGTAGGCGAGGTGTGAGGAGGTGTTGCTTGCTGACAAGTCGGCCTCCGCGTCCCTGAGTCCTTACGTACGAGTCGTACTGTAGATCATCGGAAGATGTTGAGGACTCTGAGATGCTTGGGATGATTTGTGATCTTTATTACTTGGCTGCGAGTGCCACAGCCGGCTAGCCGTAGACCTACGCACCACTGACCAGTCACCGAACGTGCAAGATCATCATCACCCATGTCGGTACTCTGCCTGGCCTATTTATCTGCTGGTGGTGTCAACTCCGTTGTAGTTATTAATATTATTATTAATTTTTATTTATTTTACTAGGGTGTTTCCCACAGACATATGGTCTTCTTACGTGAGCCCCTAGACAGGTTGAGCATGATCGAATAAATGTGCGATAATCTGTACAGTTTGCCAGCTTGTTTCTTCTACTCGTTCTTCACTGATTCAGGTAAGCCTAGCTGCTATTTCACAAAACATGTTGTGTACCCTATGAGAGATCATGTAACTCAAAAAACGAGAGATTGTTTGAAACAAAGGTAGAATGACAATCACTGCCAGTTCCACATGCACTTCTGACAGGAACTACGACAGACTTCTACGTGGCACCACCAAAGGAAAGCATGGGAACACAACAAGATAGCACATGCATGCCCACGCGTGCTTGTACACGCACGCGTGTGTGCGCATGCATATACATGCACACTTGTGTACATGTGTGCATGCCCACACACGCATGCAAGCGTGTACTCACACACGTGTGAGTGTGCATGAATGCACACACACACACACACACATACACAGTAGTATTTCAGTTCTTTTCAGTAAAAATTCCCCATGTCAGGATAATAAATAAAAAAACAGAGACCGAGGCGATCTGGCCAAGTAACCGTGACTAACAAGTCATGTGTGCATAAGACAGTCGATTCTTTATAGCCGAAGTTCGTTAACAGAAATGCACTCACACTATGCAAGGAGCAAGTCATGACTGGAAAGTGGCCCATATGCCATGACAGCATGAGTGCACTTGGTTTACATGCTGCCCTACACGATTTGGTTCGTTATAATATAAACGAAAACTGCAATTTCAAATTTGGACTTCACAGAGAATTTCAAAGTTTTTTTAGGAAATTAGAGGCCACATGCCACGTACTGCTCTTTTCTCTCCCAAACTCAACACTTGCAAGCCAGATAGAAAGAATAAATCCGATCAGTCACATCACCGGGACTCGAACCAGGGTTTACACTTGCAAGCCAGATATGAAAGAAAGAAAAAGTCATCAGTCACATCACCGGGACTCGAACCAGGGTTTCGTTAAATTAATTTTCATATCTGGCTTGCAAGTGTTGAGTCTGGGAGAGAAAAGAGCAGTACAGTAGAGTCGCGCGCTGAAGAACGCAGAGCCCAAGAACGTCCAGCCTGAAATTCTAAGAACACCACAGCCTAAAGCTAAGAACGGCGGTGTTGGTTTTCTGGCAGCTTGTGGAATACATATGATCCAGTACGGATTGTTTCTAAGAACGTGGTATAAGAACGCAGCCAGATTGCAGAAAAAATAAGAACGTCCCAGGCTAACCCCTTGGAAACAACGTTCTTGGGCGCGCGACTCTACTGTACGTGGCATGTGGCCTCTAATTTCCTAATAAACGAAAACTGTTCGCTATAAAAAAGTATAAAGGGTCAATTTGGTATGTGTTGAAACAGGGACATGGACAAGGGTTCGCTATATCACGAAATTTGCTATATGCGAGTTTGTTATAAGTGGAATCGAATGTAATTATTTATTATGGATTATGGTCCGACCTACTTGTCCAAGAGTACTCTTGCTTGTACTTATTGTCATTACCATTATCTTCTACTACAAGTACCGTAGATGACAATGAGGACTATGTACCTACACTGTACACGGGCTACATGTACAGCTGGTCAAGTACAGTGTAAGTCGTTAGTTGAAGAATGCAAGAGTAAATCTACTCAATGCGAATGCAGGAGCAGCTGTTTACATGAACACAATGGCTACATGTACAGCTGGTCAAGTACAGTGTAACACAATGCAGGAGCAGCTGTTTACATGAACACATCATCATCATTGACATTTTTAAATGTCAATAAAATAGTCATTACGGTACATTGGGTATGATTGCAAAGACGAGGGTCGAGGACTCTTGAGGTGATCGTTTGGCAGCATGTTACAATGATGAATATCCCGGTTCTAACTTATGTACTCTTGCTTGTTGATGCTCAGTCTGGTAGGAAAGTCGAGGTAAGATCAGCTGCTCTTGCTAAGACCAAACAGAGAACAAACAAGTCAATGCGAGGTACTCTTGCCAGGACCATGCATTCCCATTAAATCCTCAGCATTTCAAACTTGTTGAATTGAAATAATTATGGAAAACAGTGGGGCACAAGTAACTTCTAATTGTTGAGTTTGCAATCTATGAAAATACATCTCCCTGAAACCATGACGTGCTCTTGCTGCAACCAAAACGCAAGAGTATAATAACGGCATAACCCACAGGGAGTTATGCACTCTTGCCAAAGCTGAACTCCACAATGTAGAGTCGGGCTCAGTCAGGTCCAGTGCCATGCATGCACCTATCGCACACAGACAAAAGAAACGATTGTGGTGCTCTAGGCACTGAAAACCACAGCAGTGTACCTTGAGCTGCAAATCCTTGAGCTGCGGACCGTCTTGAAGTACACGTTGAAGATGTGCCATGATTGATGTAGAGAAAAGAACAGTGATAAGAAAATAGAGTGAAAGGGTTGGCAGAAATATATAAAATGCCATAGCAGCCGGAGTAGTACTATTATAGTCTATAGACACCAGGGAGTGCTAGGCTTTCTTAATTCTAGTTTCTGGTACACCCTGATAGAAAAATAAGCACAGCACAGCTGAAGAAGAAAAGTAAGCACATGAAAATACAAACAGGCAGATGTACCCTAATGGTCAAAATCAATGTGCGTCCTCACGCAATACATATAACTATATCCAAAGACGCAAGCGCTAGATCTGGACAGACTACATGTACTATGCAAAACAACATTTTAATGTCTGGAATATTGAATGGTGAGAACTTCACTGTCATGAAAACTACTTTTAAGGTGAAGTATAAAAAGTAATGAAGAAACCGATTGGCAAGCCTTGGAAAGACAAAAAAACACCTCGGAGAAATTTCTAAAACTCAAAGTACTGTACATGTATATGCAGTGCCTGTTGGCACCGTGCTATAAATAATAACTATGAGAATATTGTGGGTGTAAGTAAACTTATGATCTAATATGCAACCAGACACACATCAATACGTATCAACTCCAATGAGTAATCGTAACTATAGTAAGTTAGTATTTGCACACACTGTCAGCAGTCCGGTGACTGCTAACAGTTACTCAAATAATAAGAAAATATGTTTAAAAATGTCTCTAGTTCACCAAAGTGGGAATGACACTCTAATGCAGGCAAGGCGCGAATATCAACACACAGTGGTCACCGATGATGCCACTTGCAAGGTTTTCAGGTTTACATAATGCATGCGGGAGATTTGGTAGCAGATCAGGGAGTAAACGGATAACGCAGAAGTATTTGTCGAGCTGGTGCGAAGATGCTACTCCCACACCTAGTTTCAGGTGTTACCATCATGTGCCATTGCTTGTCTGATGGCAATCCATTGTCGCAGTATCAGCATCACTCGTCTTTGAGGAGGGACTGCTGACAACGGATGCATGACAAGTGATGCCATTGGCAGTAGCTGATGCTGTCGTGATGGGCACTGGAGTAACTACAGGCAGAATGCAGGCGGCTGATTCAGCAGTAGATCGGGGAGAATCAATGGGTAACGCAGAAGTATTTGTCGAGCTAGCATAGGATGGCTCATCAACAAAGATATCGCTGCCACTCTTAGTTTCAGGTGTTGTCACTGTTGGTACTGCCGTTGTCGACATTGGTACTGCCATTGTGGATGTTGGTACTGCTGTTGTCGATGCCGGTACTGCTGTTGTGGATGCTGGCACGGCTGTTGTCGATGCCGGTACTGCTGCTGTCGATGCTGGTACTGCCGCTGTCGGTGGTAGTACTGCCGCTGTCGATGTTGGTTCAGCCTTTGTCGACGCTGATACAGCCTTTGCCGATGCCGGTACTCCGGCTGTCGATGGTGGTACTGCTGTTGTCGATGCTGGTACTGCTGCTGTCGATGGTAGTACTGCCGCTGTCAATGGTAGTACTGCTGTTGTCGATGGTGGTCCAGCCTTTGTTGATGCTGATATTTCCGTCGACGTTGGTACTGCCGCTCTTGATGGTGGTACTGTCGCTGTCGATGCTGGTACTGCCGCTATCAATGGTGGTATAGCCGCTGTCGATGCTGGTACTGCCATTGTCGATGATAGTACTGCTGTTGTCGATGTTGGTTCAGCCTTTGTCGATGGTGGTACTGCGGCTTTCGACGTTGGTACTGCCGCTATCGATGGTGATACTTCCCCTGTCGACGTTGGTACTGCTGTTGTCGATGCTGGTACTGCCGTTGTCGATGCTGGTACTGCCGCTGCCGATGCTGATACTGTCGTTGTCGATGGTAGTACTGCTGTTGTCGATGTTGGTACTGCGGCTGTTGATGGTGGTACTTCCCCAGTCGACATTGGTACTGCTGTCGTCGATGCTGGTACGGCCATTGCCGATGTTGGTTCAGCCGTTGTCGATGTTGGTACTTCTGCTGTCGACGTTGGTACTGCTGTTGGTGACGTAGCTGTGATCGTTGACGGTTGAGCTGGCATAGTTGTAGTGGATGTACATGTATGGCTGCTGCTTTTATCGTCAGACTTAGCTGCAACGGCAGTGACATTACTTCTCCGAGTGCAATCGGTCGATGCAATATCAGCATCAATCGTCTTCGAGGATGTGCCACTAACAACCGATGCATGGCAAGTGATGCTATTGGTAGTAGCTGGCGCTGTTGTGACAGGCATTCGAGTAGCTCCATTGCTGGTAGGTTTGCATACTTCATCCCTGTCTTGATCCGTTGGCAATTTAGATGCATGTACTAGCTCAGGAGTTGCATCACAATCAACAACAGAAATCTGTGGTGAACTGGATGCAACTGGTTGAAAGTGCTGCAAGTGCTTCAAATCCACATCCACAACAGACGAACTCACGGATGGAAGCTCACATGGCAGCGGAGAGTGGCTTGACACAGACCCGTCATCAGACACAGAGAGCGGCTTTGAACTGGTTGAAGTACGATCTTCGCTGCATTTATAAGATCGTTTGAGGTACATGAGGAACTCCTCACCTTCATACTCCAGAAGGCTGGGCATGCTGAGGCTAGGTGAAAGCGGTCGCAAAATAACCAGCGGGTTGTGAGGCGCTGATACAGCAGAGGAGTTTCCATTCTGATCGGAGTGCATGTCAACTAGCTTCATCTCTCGCCTTTCATTGCTGACCTTACGCACCTGTGTGACATTCTCATGAGAGTAAGTACGGACCAGCTGACACAGTGCACTCTCCCGGTGACGCAATCGAATCGGCAGAGCAGTGGGTCCTTCCTGGAGCTGCTGTTCGGCCAGATCAAGAGATTTGATATTCTGGCTGATCTTGCGATCAAAGTTCTGCTCAATACCAAAGGATGATAGCTGAGAATAGTGTCCCATTCCTGGAAAATTGGAGTGCTGTAATACATTGGCCCGACTGAGCACAGCCATTTTGCGCTTAAGTGGCCGATGACGAGGTGAAGTAGCACCAGTATCAGCAGAGCCAGGAGGCACAGCACCAGTAGCCGCAGGAGCACTTTCACCACCAAGCATTAGGCCGCTGAAAGGACAGGTGAGGCCAGTGGCACCATCTGACTGAACACCTTTGGAGAGAGCAGTAGCAAAGGTGCAAGGACTACTTGACGGCGGGGTTTGGTCAAGGAGAACAGCTGTGACAACTTGGTCTTGCTCAACATGAGTCGCAGGATCGGAGTGAATGACACATTGCTGGGGCTGAAAAGCTGCCTCTGGAACAGTCCTTGCACCCGCTCCATCATGTAGATGCGGGATGTCATCACAGCTTTCTGCACCATCTGGATTGTCAGTATCAGTCGTGAAACCTATGACCTCATCATATTCTTCAAAGTCGTCATCATCACCCGAGTCCATCAAGTCACGGTCATGGCCACCCTCAACAGGCGCGGTGCACTCGTGTTCACACATTCGGCATACATACCGCTCATTGGGAACTTGTGGCAGGTCTGGTTCTTCAAAGAATGCACTCTCGGTGAGCTCGGGGCAGTCTTCAACGGACACTTTCTTATCATCAGGACGCTGTTCGATTAGAAAGTAGGTCTGAATGTCCGGCGAGACTCCTTTCATCTGCACCATTGGCACACGCTTGACAAAGCCAAACTCTCTGCAACGCTTGATGTAACTACAGTGAGACACAGACAAATGAATACATATGGGCGTTAGGAAAAGATAGCGTATAAGCAAATGTGGACACACCCACAAACGATGAACCCAAGTGCAAGAAGCTAGGTAGCAGAGCAGATGGGCTAATGACACAAACCACCCAGTATAACACCACCATCATCACTAAATGATAGCAAGTCACAAGAAAGTGGGTGCAATTCTATCACACACACACACACACACACACGCGCGCGCACACACACATGCCAAATGTTCTGAATCAAGTTGCTATGAAATATATTATTCGCACATATGTATATATTATACAGGACAGACATGTATGGCACCAATGGTGTCCGTAACTGAAAGGCTCCACTTCGCAGTACAAGTTTATCTCAACAACAGTGATTTAACTGCAAATTCTGCAATACGTACTACCTCCGACAAGCGAAACTTGGCGCGTTTTTTGTTTTTGATTTTTTTGTGTTGGTACCACAACTTCACAAGGCTGTGACTCAAAGAGGCACTCGTAGATCAACGACCTACTTGTAGCTCCATGCAACCGGTTGCAGGAAGCCAAGCGACGAGCTGTTGAGTGGCACATGGCTCAGAGGCAAGCCAGTCTCTCGTGTACCAGCAAAACAGTGCGCTCGTCCCTTCTGCGAAGAAGAATCGTCGTGCTTTCGCGTTGTAATGGAAAACCAAGGAGTTCTCTCTCTCCACTTGGTCACTCCGCCAGCACAGAGTCCATACGTCCATCCCAAACAATCCTAGCGTCTTTCAATAGCCACCAGAGCGATGCGACTCTGGTGGCTAAGGAAAATCGCCGGGAATTGCTACAGGCAATTATTTTGGGCAGTTGGCGAGAATACCCGGCAAAACAGTTCGAGTCCAGGCGCTTGTGGAGGTGTTGGACAGTTCTTACCACGTCAACCTGGATAGTGAGGGGTGGCGGCGGAAACGACTACCCTCGACACCGTAGCTCGAGCACAGCACACAGGAGCGACATCGAGATTTTCAGAGCGATTACAACAGAAGTACTTGCTGCAACAGAATCCGCTCTAGTCGCACTTTGGTCTCAAAACAGGAACAATTCCTCTCCAGACGAAACTGCGATCTCTGAATCAGAGGAGAGTGATTGAGCCGAACAGATGTCTCTAATGTCCTTATTGAGCAATACAAAGTTGAATTTTGGTGAGTCAATCCTTAGTTTTGATTGTAAAGTGAGAGTTATTTCTAGTATTTGAAGTAAAAAAAACGCGCCAAGTTTCGCTTGTCGGAGGTAGTATGTCCTACTTACTTAATTCTGCAATACGTATGTCCTACTTACTTAATTCTGCAATACGTATGTCCTACTTACTTATACGTGCTCTGCGTGATGTGGATCTTGCCAGCCTCTCCTGTACTCTCAGTTCTGCTTGCAATATTGACATTGTTTCCGAAGAGGCAGTAGCGTGGCATACGTTGTCCAACAACTCCAGCCATGACTGTGCCCGAGTGAATTCCAACACGGATCTGCAGATTTACAGGCGTCCACACACACATGCACACACACGCACACACACACACACACACACACACACACACACACACACACACACACAAACACACACACATATAACATTATTACAAATATAGCACCTGTGCAGGCACTAACAATACATTCACAGAAGTACAGAGTTGACGACCATATCTTTCTTTCGGCCCAAGTAATTTATAGCCGATGTACTGTTGCAGCGCCTTAGACACATACAGAGAGGGAGAGAGAGAGGCAAAAAGACTGTCTTAGCTATGGCTCAGAGTCTCATGGATACCGCGATCATCGGACAGCACTGACTGTAATGTACAATGGACGTGATTGATATAAGCTGCAGGTGTGAATGGCGTTGTGCGAACGAATATGTGCGAACAGCACCCAACTGCTTGTGAGCTACAAGTAGTACTTGAAGGCGTTGCACGACCTAAAATCGCTAAAATACGACTTAAATTGCTGTTTTCTGTGAAAGCCTGAAAGAATGTTTGGACACACACACGTATCACTTGCCAGTTGGACGCACAAACGTTTGGACATGCCAATTAGAGCTTTAAAATAGTGGGGGCAGGGGAAACAATTATGAACTTTTATTCTTCTAAAGAGAATGATGAAACTACAATAGGATTTATATACTTGGAGAGAAAAAAAAACACACGAGGATACAAGAACCAAGAAAATAGCACAAACGTGGGAAAAATTGCACTGGTAATAAAAACTACACAGGTGAGAAATGATAGGAAATTCAGCAAGTGCAGTGTGACAATGTACATGCATGTGCAAGTGTGTGTGTGTGTGTGTGTGTGTGTGTGTGTGTGTGAGTGAGTGCGAATTTACTGGAAGAGTGTAAATGCGGTGACATTTTCTTTTTGTTTACAAAGATTTGGATCACGAATGCGAATGTAGACTGCTTCTAGAAATTTCAACTGCTTGAAACTACTTGCAGAGCGAACAACACTGAACCAAGAATCATCATAACTTTCACGACACACTGGGTTAGACAACAAATGCAATTTAATCGCCGATGTATTCTTCTTCTTCTCACCGCCTCCGCCTCCACTGGGTCTCTGACCACCACCGCCTTTCACACCATCGTCACCGTCCTCTTCATCATCGCTGCCACCTTCACCTGTCGTCGACTCTCCCAGCAACTGACCACCGGGTTCATCATTGTCGCTGCACACGTCGCTTCCATATTCCTCCTCCTGCTGCCGTCGCGTTCTCTTCCCGACCGGTCTTCCCAGCACCTGACAGCCGTCAACCCTTCCGATGGCATCATCCAGATCCGGAGAGTTTCGTTGCATCTCTCCAGTCATCTCTGCAAACCGAGCTGCCGCCAGCCGTTTGCTCCTTCTCAGCTTTGGCGTGTTGCATTTGTCTGCGTCCGGCGTACCGGTAATCGCTGATAATGGGGATGTGACACAGTGTTCATCTTCGTTTACATTAATGTTTGTTCTCGAGTTCTGCGTGCTGTGTTGGCTTTTCGGAGACACCGTTTGTGGAGCATAAGCCTCTGCCGGAACGGACAGTGGCTTCGGGTGCTTACGTGGTCTGCCACGCTTTGGTCGGGAGGACCTGGCCGCCTGTGACGATAATGAGAGTGGCACGTGTTGTTTTTCACTCCAAGTGTATAAATCCTATTGTAGTTTTATCATTCTCTTTAGTCACGAATTCCATTGATAATTGTGACAAGAAAACGTTTTATTCTTCTTCCGAGAATTTTGAAAACCTACGCACACTGTGACCCGAAACATAGAAAAAAGTATGTGTGGCCTTAAGCTGTGTTCCCAACTGGCGCGTGGACGCGGTACGCTTGCGGTTCATGCGTGCCCAAACGCGCGCTCAAGCTTTCACAAAAAAACAGCTATCCCAGTCGTATTTAGCGAGTGCGACACCTTCGAGTACTATTTTTTTGACCCCGCCAGTCAAAAGTGACTGGCATGTACGTTGATACGCGCCTGATACGCGCTGAAAATTCCAACATGTTGGAATTTCCATTTCGGCGCGTTTCCGTACGCTTGGCGCCCCAAAAGCCAGCAAAATACGCACAAACGCGTGGTTTCACGCGTACACGCGCCAGTTGTGAACACAGCTTAAGGCACAATCCTCAAATAATTACATGCTGCTGCGAATGCAAGTTGTTATTATTTCTGCTACTCAGTTTGCTATCATAGTATGTATTGCGCATGCCCGGATTTGATCATTGTTGTTGCTTCACTTAACCAAGAAACTTACTAGCCTCTGATCATTTGTGAGAGCATGAAAGCATGAGGCTACAAATTGCATGTATTATGTTAGTCTGTTAGGGGATATGACAATTTGACGACGAAGATGGGATACCGATATTTTGTTCAAAACAGAACCTTATAATTTTTTCTCTTACTCCTACCTCTCCTACAAACACACATGTGTGCTGACCATTGCATGACCATGTCCCACCTCACTGATGACGACGAAGATGGGATACCGATATTTTGTTCAAAACAGAACCTTATAATTTTTTCTCTTACTCCTACCTCTCCTACAAACACACATGTGTGCTGACCATTGCATGACCATGTCCCACCTCACTGATGGGGCGAACAGCACTTCACACCCCCCCCCCTCCATTACGAAAGTTTGTTTTGAAATTAAATTACTGTTGTTAGATGGTGCCTTAGCCCAGTGTAACCGATGGCTTCTTGGAGAGGACCACAAAATACAGTGTTCGTGAAGTACAAACAACCTACTCCAGCTCAACTGACGAGGGGTGAGATAGGAACCTTTTCTTGGGATTATTCTTGCTGTACGACAGTTCCCTTTCAAGCCTGGATTTACTAAGATTGACTCCAATGGCCTGCCTCAAGGTGACGAAACACAAGGCAACAGCTAAGAAGCCAGAGAGAACTAGAAAGTCATTTCTCATGCTGCTCGGTTTCATTAAGCACACTATGAGTTCATTTCCCTTCTCTCCGTTCCCGCAAATACTGTTTTAATCAGCGTGTAAGTGCATTCTTACCTCCAGAGGTTCACGGGTGTGTGGGCTCAAGACCTTCTTGGCTTCCGCTTGCATGTCCAATGCTTGACATGCAATTCGCTGAGCATGATCTTCGCACATCTCTGGTAAGCCGCCGACCACCATATATGCATCACCAATGGTTTCCACCTGTGATACAAAGCCAACAATTAAACATTTCGACCATTGGCAATAATGAGATGATGGTCAGGAAAGTAACGTGTGGCCGCACACACCCACCCAATCTCACTCTCTCCCTCACTCAAGTCACTGCTGGAATTTTTCAGCGTTCTCTGAATCTGGACCGATTCGTGATCAAATATTTTAGCGATCAGAGTTGACTGGTACTGTACATGCAAAATTTCGATTGGCAGGGGCAAAACTTGAGCAAAAACACTCCATTCGCTAAAATCGCTAAAAAATCACCAGGCGCTAAAATTAGCCGTTTTACAGTACATGTAGGCCATACAGTATTCGTAGTAGGAAGCCTTTTGTGCATAATCATTTGGCATCTCGCCCTGTTTGTTGCCAGATGTAATCTCATTCAAGTTTCTACGTTTTGTGCCACGCTCGTCATGGTTATAAGGTACAGTTAACCCTCATGCCACACAAGAGAGACGAGCCTGTGGGGTGTCGCAAGCGTTTATTCCAGCATGAATAATCATGAGCCTGTGATCGGTAATCAAGTATGACGTACATGTACTCAGTATGAGGTCATGATTATAAATGATGTACACATATCACGCATCAGAGAGGCAAGGACAGCAGAAGCGACCCGCGGGGTCCTGCGCCGTCGGAACGGCTACGTGTACTACTAGGTTGCTATGGCAGCGGAACACTAAATCTTAGTACACATGAATAGTTCAATGGTGCCGATGTGCGTGCACTATGCGGCGCCCATTGGCAGCACCCGTGCCTCCTGCCTTTTAAATGGTGCGGGAGGGTGGGAAACAATTTCTGCGGCGGGCAGGCACAACAAACAACTGGTGAATGTCTTTACTTGTTCCTGCCTTGCGAGGGTGGCCTTGGGTGAGCTTGCACCCAAGGCTGATAGGTGGCTTATACGGCATGCCGTACGCGCGTCGCGGTTGCAAATGCTTGCGTGGGGCCCCACGCAGGAGCCCGGCAGTGCGTACGACTTTTGCGGAGCTCGTATGAGACTTAGTCGGTTTTGGCGTGTCCGCGGACGGCATCTCCATGCGGGAGATGCGGCTCTGTGACATGTAGGTTAACTACGGTTTGCGCAACGCAAACCAACATTTAAAAGTGTTGGAAAGCCGCGTCACAGTGTGTCCTCAAGTCCGAATTGTGTGTTCAGAAGGATAGCGTTATTTATTTGAAGCTGGCCAATTAGAAGAGTGTTGTGCTGGTCTGGCCATGCCTGGCCATATTTTGTCACTGGCGTTTCGCATACTTCAGTACTTGACTTCCGTTTGCTTCCTATTCTTCGCGGTGTTGCCTTTCACACGCACAGTACCAGTGGCGTAGCTCGGGCAATATTTGTATGGATACTAGATATCTTTGGCCAACCAAGTCTAGATGTATTTGAGGTCCTTGATACAGATAACACATGTTATTCCACTAGAGGCTAGGCGAACTATCTGGCAGTTGCAATATACAATACAGAAGCGTGTAATTGATAGCAAAAGTTAGTACACTTTTCAATTTATATACAAACACAGCCTCTGTGCTACGCTTACGAGTCCACAATGGACGAAACAGTTCCGCCCACAGATTGAGTAAATTACAGGTTATGTATTATATGCAGCATCACAGCAACACAATTTGTTGCTATTATGCTGCATATAATACATGTATTTAAGACATGATACTGGTTCGGAGTGGTGCGAGCCGCGGCTTTCCGACTTCGATTTCGACTCCGGTTTTGCTAGTGCAAAATATGGGTGTGAATCCGCACTGCAACGGTGCTGCGCAGCACTGTTGCAGTGTGGTTCACACAGCGAATACGAACAGCGGTTCAAAGAAGTACAAGCCTATCATCAAGCCTCACAAATGATTATGTACATAGACTAGATGTCCTACAAGGCTACAATGCCATGTAAATCCTGCGAACTCTTCTTCAGTCAACAGTCGACTCCACGCGTGAAGTCAGTGCCTGTAGACTTATTATATGCATGAACTGGCAGCAGTCATGGTAGTACAGACTAGTCAGTGCATAGTCAGTGCATAGTCAGTGCATAGTCAGTGCATAGTCAGTGCATAGTCAGTGCATAGTCAGTGCATAGTCAGTGCATTTCGACATGTCCTGGCCAACCAAGTATGGATACTTGACTGCAAAGTATCCACTCTGGCTACGCGCCTGAGTACCTTGTTAGAAGGACGTGTCATCTTCGCAGTGTTAGATGTCATTTCTCACTCTTCAAACTTTAGAAAGTTCTCTACGAGAGAGCTTGGAAGCTCAGGGCCCTACGCTATGCTTTTTTGCCTAGCTCATCATGCATGACTTGTTATTAGAACTGATGGAAATGTTTTTTTTTCCATTGATTGGCTACATCATTGTATTGCAAAAACGTTTCAATCAGTTTGAATATGAGTTAGGCAAGATGAGCTAGGCAAAAAAGCATAGCGTAGGGCCCTGAGCGAAATAAATAAACTTTCTCTTTGCATTCGAATTTCGAGGGTAATACGACACCGTCTACCACCTTGATGACCTTGGCAAAAAAAGCAAAGGGATGTTATAAATTTTTCATTTCTCCTATTTTTTCAAGACATAACCTAGGATTCGAACCGCACTATTGCCCTGCATACATACTCATTCTTCCAAGTTGCTTCACGTTATGATCTTGCATTTGAAAGCCCTATTTGAATATTGTGGCCAGCTGTCTTTGATGGTACGGTACGGGACAGGTACGGGATAGCGCCAGGCATGCCGACAGCACAAACACACAAACACACGGAATTAAAGCTGTGTGGACCCTGGTTGGCGCCAGACGTTACTGAAGTAACGTCTTTTGCATAGCTACGGGAATAATAGTCGCTATGTCACCATTTGCTCATTGTACAACATAGTTCTCTGAGGAACGTTGTGCGAAAGCTAGTTCGAGGCATTTTTATCGTTCCTATATTATCGTCCATCTCATTTATTTCCATTATACTCGTAGTTCTTTCTTTGTCCATCGCCATTACCGCATGATTTTTTTGTGCCACATGACACACAGATTGCCCGGCTGCTGGAATAATCTTCAGCAGGGAAGTTGGGATAAGGGGAGTTTGAATGTCCATGTCTTAGTAGATGGTTTGTCACCACTCAGTACAGTGCACTCTTTCCAAACTGCACAAAACCAAGAACCAAGGGGTGAGTGGGTAAGTCTCACAACCACTGGCACAAGTGCCGAAAGCGACCCCATTAGCTGCATCCATGTACCCCTTGTGCCTGGCCACAAGTTCCCAGTTGACTGTGGGTAGCAGCACGGCTGGAAAAACCGCTCCCAGGCAGGACTTGAACCAGGAACCTCTCGTATCTCAATCATGGTCTTTGACCAACCCACTGTGCCTGCCTGGTTAAGTTACTGTTAACTCATCACTCTCAAGTTTGAACTTTGAACAGGATCAGATGGTGATGTGATCAACATACGATGCCAAAAGCGTGCACCACATATACCGTAATGTCGTATGTAAAAGCAGGGGCTTACGGCCGTATAAGCCGGGGTTCAAACCATGCGTCTATTCAAGTTATGCTTCTACGTCAAAATCTTCAGTCTACACTGTACAGTGCACATTGTCATGCATGTAGTGTGCACATACATGTACTTGCACGTATGCTTCTACTGGAAGTCAACAAATATTCGGCGCATATTTATTTTTGGCTATTTTCGGCCTGGTCATGTTTGGCCGAAAACTTGTTGCGGCCGAAATTTTGTTTTGCAAGGTTCAATGTGACAGTGTATACAGGCGGCAGCAGTACAGGCCGAAAATTTGATGCGGCTGAAATGGGTTTTAGCCCTGGAAGGACGAAATTTGAATGGGCCGAAAATTTGACATACAGTATTCAAATCGCGCTTCTGTGTCACGGCGCTCTTCAAAAAATCGGTTTTTATTCGAGTCATGCATTTATACGCGACACTACAGTATTAGTGAGGTTTCGCTCTACGTAATTATGTATGAAAATCCGTATGTAGTACGCGCCGGGGAGCGAGGGCAACTTTCATACGTAAATCTCTCTACGGGTTTCCGTAGGAAAGCTGTTCCTACGTTGGGTCCTCCGTAGGACTTTTTGAAATATTTTTCACATTTTCCAGATTTGTCCATGGCAACGTTCAAGCCGCGCGTAACACAACGTACACACACCGTACGTGCAAAATAAACGCGGTTTCTGTTCATGGTGCATGCGGTGGGCGGCAGCCAACGCGTCTCCAAAGCAACAACGCATGTTGAGCAGTTGTGGAGAAATCACGTAGAGCGAAACCCAACAGCTCTGATTTTTACGTATGAAAATTCCGTGCAGTTCCTACGTTATTTTCATACGTAATTCCGTAGAGCGAAACCTCCCTATTAACTATTATGATGCAATAAGCGTGCACCACATATTGCATCATAAAAAAGACGTCGGCGTGTAGTTCTGTGAGGAATCACTGACCTTCTCACGGAACATCAAGTCAGCGATACTGGAGTTGCACACCCAGGGTATGTACTGGTGGTATGTACTGTTGTTGATAACACCAACACTAACTAACCTTGTAGACCTTGTGTGCAGCCACAAGGTGGTCAAACCGCATGTAGACCTCATGCAGCATGCGCACGACCTGCAGCGGCTGTGCTTGGCCACATATGTTGGTGAAGCCCTTGATGTCGCTGAAGAGTATGGTGACCTTGTCGTAGTTCTCCACCGGGACTGCTTTGCCTTGCCGTAGCGCATTGGCGGCTGACTCCGGCAGAATGGAGTAGAGCAGACGATCAGTCAGCATCTTCTCACGCTTAAGATCACACTGTGCCTTTTTCAAGTTGTCAAGTAGCAACTCCATCTGCTGCATGAGGCGAAACTCAGCCACAGACGTCTGTGCTTGTAGAAGGAGATCACGTGTTGCATCGTGAATAGGGATATCACTCAGGTAGAGGCCACTGCGTTGCAATTGTGTCATACTGCTGATCCGCGGCGAGCAAAGGAACAGCATCACGTTGTGCGAGTAATCAAACAGCATTTGGCCTTTGAGGCGAATGGAGCCAGCTCTACTGTGTGGAAAAGCACGCCGCTTGGTCCGCAGGATGAATACTCCGTTGATGTGATTCAATATCAAATTGAACGAGAATGGCATGCGGGGCCGAACGACTTCAAACAGCTGATCCAAATGGATAGGATCCTTGTGCTCACGGTAGATAATCCGCTGCAGAGCGACGCCCATTTGAATAACTAAGAGCTCTTTGTCAAACACCATATGGAAGGGGAAAGCTCTACACAGTACAGATGGCGAAATCAGATTCTGATCAGGAAGACGTATGTCCTCTGAGCTTCCGAGAACGCTGATTTTACGTTGCCGGTTGTTGCTTCTCCCTGAAACCGAAGTAGGACGCGTGGTTTCTTCATTCTGACGAATGTGAATAGCGAACACAACTGGCTTGGCTTTTCTCAGCAGACTTTCGCTGTCAATTGTGCTGGTACAGCTAAGCATTGCACTGGAACTCGCCACTGACGAGTCATCAGGGAAAATGCCAACAACATCAGGGTTATCCTCGGGTTCCGGCACAACCTCCATGCTGATATTTACATGGTAGACTTCTCTGGCCACTGCCTTGACGATACCAGAAACAATGGGATAGAGGCCCTCACGGACAGAGTAGTAATACAGGTAGATAACATCCTTGCCACTGTCCGCACATCGGAATGACGGGGCTTGCATGCCTGAATACGCTGTGCCCAGGTGGTCGTGCAATGCATCCAGGTTGGCTAGGAAATCACTCAAGGTACTGCCGAGAATCCGAAGTAAATTATCGTAGCGATACTCCACTGTCCAACTAAAGAACTCCTTGCCAAACAGTTCAAGCAGTACATTAGCTGTCATCTCTGGGGTATACAAGCACACAAAACACAAGTGCATGCACACATTCATGCACAAGCACGCCCAAATGAATGCATCCACGCATATGCGCACACACAAGCATACATACCGCACACAAAGTAAGGACAAAGACAACAATGAAGAGATAACGCTCCAGATTAGCACACAAAGCAAAGAAGCCACAGGAAATTCCGAGGAGGCCGTTCGCACCATAATTATACTCTTCAAAATCGGTACATTGGTGACGTGAGCAGTAACAAAACAAGTCCTTATTACACACTGCACCTACAAAAAAGCAGTGGCTTTCTACGTGATCAAAGCAGTGTCAAAGCAGTGTCAAAAAGGCACCTAAGAGAGCGCGAGCAGTGCCAACTACATGATTTTGAAGAAAAATAGTGCAAGAGGCCTCATCGGTGGTTTCTGTGCGTTGTGTGCTAGTTTGTCTTCCTCCAATACAAAAATCTATATAGCTCCATAATGAATTGTCCAGAACTCGGAGATACACTGTGGAACTGCGTGCAACATGCAACGGGAAATTACTGAAAAATGTGCTGCACTTGCAAGCCGCAAAGGGCACACAGAACCCCACCCCATGAAGTCTCAAAGAGTGGGAACAAATGAGGAAATGCGAGAATTCTCGTATTTTGTACTCGTTCCATCGTGCGATTGAGTGATTGGTGTGCTCGCATGCTCTATTGAATGTCCTAGACAACAATATCCAAAACATGGTGAATTTCAGTACAATCATGTATAATGTATATGGAAGGATATTGGGTATGCCCGGGTTGCACTAGATCTGCCATTGGCAATCAAATTTGGTTGCACCAAGGGGCGGTCACTTATGACACATTACAATGTGCTCGTATATGCCCGACTATGTGTGCATGTGTATGTGCATGAGTGTGTGTGCGAACATGTCCATGTTTGTCCAGAGACCTGATGCATGACGAGTCTCTCTCTCTCTCTCTCTCTCTCTCTCTCTCTCTCTCTCTCCATCCTTCCACAACGAGACCATGTAAAATGTATGGCAGTGTGTGAATGTGTGTATGCATGTGCAAGTTGCTATGTCTAACATAGCTGTTCGCTGTCATCGCTTCCGCGATGGGCAGGTCTGAGGTGTGTGCCGTGTGTGTGCATGTGTGTGTGTGTGTGTGTGTGTGTGTGTGTGTGTGTGTGTGCGTGTGTGTGTGTGTGTGTGTGTGTGTGCATGGGTGAGTGTGTGTGTGTAGAGGTGATGGCAGGGTAGAGATCAAAAGCACCAGCACAGTGTGACATACGAAGTTCGGGCTTCTCCTTCTCCAGGACAGTGATAGAACTTCGAACGAGTTTGGTGAGCAAGGAATCCGGGTACATCTCATGCAGCTTAAATCCATGTTCAAGATCAGTTTCAGTGGCGTCCGTACTATTGCATGTTGACAAATAAGCAGAAGAGCACACGGGCATATCCGCGCGCAAGCACACATTACTATTCAGCCACTGGCAAAGGTGTCCTTTGTACGCTCTCAATTATAGGAGCTATTGCACCGAAGGGTAAAAACCAAGCACTGTACCAACCGTGCACCCAAAATGCATGGTGACTGAGAACACTCCCACCTGGCTGTTTACCATGGTTTTGTATGAAAGTTGTGGCTTAAACACACTTTCCGCAGAATTTCACAGGCATCTATTTGAGACCTGTGCCCACACGCGGCAGGCTATATGTGGCACATCTACACAGTATGGTAAGTCCTCTGTTCACACAGTGCTCAGTACTGAAAAGGCAGAGCTTCTTTACAAATATGGTAGAACGAGGCTGTCTCGCGACTCAAGTTTCCAGTTAAGCGATCACCGGGCAAAACCATTGCAATATTAAACGGGGGAAACGGTTTTTTTTAATAATAACTATATCGCAAAGGAAAGCAAGTGAAGTGATTAGCTGTGGAATAAACGACCAGGTAGGATTCACTGTGTTTGTCTGACTATTGTGCGAGGAAGATGGTGGGAACCACGCATACACATGCATGCATCCACACCTGTACACCCGTACACACGCTCACAACTACACACGCACACACACACACACGCACACACACACACACGCGCACACACGCGCACACACACGCGCACACACACACACACACACACACACACACACTCGCCTACATTGCACACCTAAGTCCTTCAAGCTCCACACTGACTGAATATCACTATTATCCATTTTTCATTCACACCATGTCTCTTCAAGTTCTTGAAAAGCGCGCCCAGGTTTTTCCTACGGTAATTTCTCAAAAGTGGCATTGGGTACGTTCTCAGCAACGTAACGTTAGCAGGCCAGTATCCAATGAGCGGGCTGTATAGATCCTCTCGGGGGTTAAATTGCTTGGATATGGCTCATGCCAAAACGAGCATGACTCGACAGCCTATCCGAAGGCTACAATCCTGCAGAAACCTGATAATAACATGCATATAAGTTGGTGGATCTCGAAAGGGGCTGCATGGTATGGATCTGCATGTGCATTTAATGGACTACACCACACCGGAAAGGATAAAACACGTAAGCAAGTAGGGTGCCCCATAGCTCCAAGAGTGCTCAATGCTGCATTGCACGTATAAGGCAGAGCTTTCCCTGAGTTTCAAGTGAAATCACGATCAACAGACCCAACATGAAACTCTGCGTCGAAACAAAGGATAATGTATATTTTTGGCATTGCCCAATGCCTCTCTAAGTAAAGGGCAAGCGGAAAAAGTAGTCGATGGCGAATAGAGTGAAAAAGGATTGCATGGGAAGATGACATGCTGGGGCAGGGTTTCAAATAATTCGTTCTTTGATTTACTTTTTTAAATAGTCCAAGTCTGCAAGACTATGTAATCTACTCTAGCTTTTTGAGAAACGTTCGACCTGCATGACTATAATTATTGCTAGTCTATGTAGACCGACATGTATCACTATGTACCTGTGTGCTGAGTTATGAGTAAATAATTGGGGACCTCACAGACACAAAATAGACACAGGGATACGGGTACGGGACAAAACGAAAACAATCATTCTCCACCGTACCGTCACGACCACACTTGAATACCACAAGACTTACAGAATTGCTGTCCAGATGGTATCTCCAAAGCGACTTTTGATCAGACGCTCCAGCGCCTTGAACATAAATCCATACTGGATTGAATAAGAAAATTTGATTTCGAATCCAAAGCGAGACAAGGACGCGCACGACCATCACACAGCCGTACGAAGTTTGCATCCATATTCAGCGAATTCGCGAAGGGGCCGCATGGAAGGAACACACAGATGTTCGGGAACAACAAGGAACAGAAAAGATATGGACACCGGACAGAAGAACACAGACAGGCGTCAACCCACAGCACGTAGGCATGCACATGCACAAGTGCCCAAACTAAACATCCGATATTGGTTGATGGATGCATCCATTTCAGCACAAATCCAGGATGACCAGACAGACACGTACACGTGGGAGTAAATCCACTAACCATGATCAGGCAGCTCAAGTGGGCACAATAACCTCACAGAGCACAGAAGAGGACTCCAGGACATTCCGCTTCCTCTCCAGCTGAAGCAACATGCAGACTGCGTGTCAGCGAGTTTTTTCTCTTTGGTGAGCACGTTCAATAGGACACACAACTCTTTACTATTTTTTGGTTTTGACCAAGCACGAAACTGCACTGACACGGACGACTAGCACAGAATTCAGCGAGCATCAGACGAACAGTTTTTTCATGTCCGAGATCTCCTTTGACTTGAAGGCCTTTTGCAAGGACAGATAAATCGGTGGTAGTGACAGGTATGATGGAATAGAACGCAAAAGACGCGCTGTCCACTGCATGCAGTCAGATCAGCTGTGCCTATTGAACCAAGATATTGTCCGAAAATGCAGATAAGTCTGTCAGATCGGGCCTAGGGGGGGATACGAACTCAAATTTGGGCTAAGCCAAGTTACTAATAGTTAGTAGTAGTAGTTAATTACTAATCTTTGTGTTGGACTAACAAGGGTGTGGGAAAGAACTACAATGCACAAGTAACTTGTGCATGTGAAGCTACAAACAAAGTAGTACATGTACAACATAAACTCGCTCAGATAATCCAAAATCCATCATTAGACATTAGCACTGCATGCACTCGGGAACACGCATGATTTTACTGACGCGTGACCATCTGGTGACTGGTACATGGTACGCGCGTACGCGGTGACGGTGCACCGGTACGCGCGGTGAGCATTTAAAAAAAATTGGATTGGTATGTACGCATGTGTCCAGTCTACATACCGTATTATCTCTTATAGCTATGTTTCGCGTCGTCCGCACGCATACGTTTTGATTTTTTTTGGAAAAAAATAAAAAAAATGAACATGCACAGTGAATGTACGATCGTGCGAGTCATAAGTAGACCCAGGTGCTCGAAGTCCGTACATGGTATCCTAAGTTCGTACGCCCATAATTTCATGTTCTGTTATTGTATTCGACTCAAATATTTTATGGAGGGGACAGTGTGGTATGTTCTCCTCGCGTAGCAATTTTCAGGGATCTACGATAAGCAGAAGTCCCATACCACGCGAGTGGGTTTTCGAGTGTCCATACGAAATACAAATTGGGTTACATTTCATGCAAAAATCAACTTTGCCAAGACCGATTTCGAACGGACACAGGGTCAAACAGACCTTCACTCAATCATCAAGAGCCAGCTTAGAGCTGACAATGGCCAGAGGAGAAGAATTTACAGAGAACCACCAATCCTTGCAGAAAGGTTGACACTCCTGGCATCTCCACCACTGTTTTCCCGCGGGTTTCACAGCGCAGCTGCTTCTTCTCTGAGCCGACTAAAAACAGCTTGCATTTCGGCAACAAACTACGCTTTTGCAAGAAATACTGGTGGAAGCACATGCCAAACATATCCCTTCGGTGCTTTCGTCGTAACCGAGGGATTGCAAGTTAGCAATTAGCAGAAATATGTGTGTATTTCGAGTCACCTCTGATCAGTACGGACTTAGAGTACCCTCTGCGACACCAAAATTTGATATGAAAAATCAGCGAACTTCAGAGAAACAGATTGGATCGAAAGATGGCCTGGTTCAATCGAGCCTGGCCTCAGAACAAACTTGGACAAGATACCTTCCATCCACGAGCAGGATTCTGGCAAGTGATCATTGCTAGTGTGAGTTTCAGCTCGGCAAACACACACTGTAAAAGTGTACGGACTTCGAGCACCTGGGTCTACGTAGCCTCGTAGGTCTACCGGCATGTGTGACTCATGATGACTCCCTGATCCCTGGTGGCGGTGCACCGGTGTCACATACCGGTACGCAGGCGCGTACGCAGGGTCACAGCTAGGGGGGTTTCCAACCGAATCCCAAACAATAAGTTTTAACCCTTTCTAAAGAGCCCTATAGGCCTAGGAATTTTTCAAAATTATGCATTTTTTCGTGTTGTTTGGATCATAACTTCAGTTCTATTCACTCAATCTTCATTACTGTACATGTATATCATGTAATTTTAGGTGAATTTAAATTTCGGTATCAGGGACCCGCTAGGTTTCAGGTGCAATGTAGAATTAGGTGACCAGCCTACCCTTCGCATACAGTGCATACTCTAGTGCCTTTTAGGTGTAATCTAAATTTTGGTGCCTGAATTCTCTACCGAAATTACCGAAATTAAAATTACACCGAAAATAACTTGTTATACATATCTTGGGCTTCCTGGAAGTGGAAGGTACCAGGGGCAGAATGAGGTCGACCATGATAGCCAGGACACAGTACAGTCATGTACATATCCAGCGCTATAGCCTATAGGCTATAGCGGTAGAGTGCAGCGACGGTGCGAAAAATGCCCCAAACAGGCCCAAACGCGTCCTGCTCCAGCGATTTCGTTTTTCTTGATCGCAGAGTTTCGATTTTTTTGCTGTGTACTCTTGAAAATATCACAAGTGGAGCCCCTGCAAATTTGAGCGAATCAGCGCGACGACAATCTCAAATTCTCGATACTCAAGTCGCACTGCGCGCTTTTGAAATTGCCGAGATCGTGGCTCAACTTACAAATGATTTATCTCACGATACATTGCTCGCAGCGCTTCGCAAATTGTTTCAACCGACAGCTGAGAGTTTTCTATTCGACCTGAATATTTGGATCGTTGGATTTGAGCGAGATTTGACTGAGTTACGATCTATTGAAGTTTTGCATTCTTGCCAGATCGATCATGCGCCCTACCAAAAATGCCCAAAAACGTTGCTCGTTTGGAACATTTGGGGGGTTTCCGGGCAACGGGAAACCCCCCCTGCGTACGCGCCTGGTACGAGTAGTGTAGTGCCTACTAGTGGTGTGTAGCAAGCTACGTCCAAATGACTTGTTACATGTTGCAGGTGGAAGTGCTATCGATCCTTCATGCCCGTTGGCGTTGTGTCAAAAAATGGGAATGATCCCACTTTGGAAAGTGTCTTGCATTAGCGGATGCTCGAAAAGGTGGCAGATTCTGCTCGACAAGCAGTGAAATTGGCAGAACCATACAAACCTCATGGCGGGCAATTCCTCGAATTCCGCTCCATTTCTTTATCCACAATACCAAACATGCATGAAACTTACCAGAAAAAGTGCCGAATTCTGCCAATTTTTCGGCCGGCATTATCCGCATATGCCTATCAATAATAATTATATCATGCTCTACTTTCATAGTATTCTCAGGATCCTGATGATTGGTGTGTCATATTTTAACAAATGTGTAAAATACCGGTATTTACCACTCCCTGCTGTCAACTGCATTGTATGCTGCGAAAGCTGTGTTTGGTTGTTTTAGTGATTCTTTGCGACGATGTTTCTTCCTCCCAGTTTAGTTTTTCTTCTCTTCTTCTTTTTATTTTGCTGTTCCCGTACAAGATCAAGAGGCTTTACCGGTTTGGACTACTAGTAGTACTACTAGTACTGCTAGTGCTACTACTACGTACATGTATACGTATACGTATACGATATTAGTATAGCCTACAATTGTAGCCCGTCGCGTGCTGTCATCTTTATATCTGGTCGTAGTCCACCGTACCGTTGTTCACTTCAGATTCAGTTCAGTAATCGCGTCGGTGCTCCTCCTACTCAGTCTAGTAATACTACTCTAGAGTACATAACCGTTATGTACTCTTGCTATTACCAAGAGTCCATAACCGGGGTTTTGGACTCTTGGTACTAATAGCATGAATAGTGACTAGTGTCGGTAGGTGTTGCTCAAGCGACTGGTGAAGTAAGTAAGCTTCTTCTACTACTCAACTGTGTGTTCATTTCATTGTTGACGAGGAGGCTGCGTAATTCAACGTGCGGGATTCTTTGGGAGCCTTTTGTCTTGAGTGACTGCCAGATTGAGGCACTCGCCACTCGATGTCCAGCCGCCGGGCTACCGGTAAGGTGCCTCGTGTCGTGAGTTTGTTGTGCTACACTAGTCACTACACGCAGGCGCCGAGGAAATCGGTGTGATCCAGGGACTGGATTTCCATGTCCAGGACGTACAGTAAATAGTGGATATAACGTGCCCCTTTGATTTTCGATAATTTATCACTATATCCGGTGCATCACTATAGCCGATTTGCATGTATGACTGACACATGGTACAAGACTATGCATGAAATGATGCGTACATTCTGGAAAAAGCATGAAAAGCAGCCACATGTACATGTTGCTGCTTACAGCATACAGGGAAGAATTTTCTCTCAATCACGTCTGCTGCCTGATGCATCAGGCAACACTGGATCAGTTTTGGAAGAAGTGAACTATATTGGAAGAACACTTGTTTTGTGATCATCACTCTTGATCAGTATAATCGATATTTTCCTGTGCATTTGATATGGTTTGCTTCCTGAAGCCCATCACAATAAGCGATATATCGGTATAGCCGATAATAGTGTGTATAATGATATTTTAGCTGTATTTTTTGTGATTTGATTTTGATTTTGGCGAGTTCTATCATTATAGCCGGTATATCGTTACACCCGGTCACTTTATAAACGATACTCACTGTACATAATCATTATGATTGTTGTACAAGGCAAGACCTCATCATGAGGCTCATGTACTCTTGCGGATTGTCCCTCTGCGGAGTGTCTGCGGAGTGGTACCAGTGCCCGTGCCTACATACATGTATGTACATGTACATGAGTCATGAGCATTGAGACGTACCGTATCATCATTGCAATCAGTCAGGCCACTGTACGTTAAAAAATTAAATAATTACGGGAAAATCCCAGCTGAAAACTTGTGACAACTGTCGCTGATTTCCGGCTTTGTCTTCAGTTCAGGTTGCAATTATGGGAGGGCATGTGCTAGATCCAATGAAGTACATAGTCATTGTACAGTCATGCAGTTACTAATACTATAACTATAGTATAACTTATACTAAAAGTGGCTAGCAGCTTGGGATAGTAGTATGTCAAGTCACTTGAAGTTGTATCGGAAGAAGCCAGGAATTTCCGGTCCATTGCCGGAATTTGAGTCTGTGATATGTCTACTACATATACAGCACTTGTAAGTGGCATGCCGGCACTGGTATACATGCAGTGGTATGGAGCATGCAAGGATGGCCATTCATCAGAGGGTCATGGCATGTGTACGTGACTCAACAGCAACTTATAATTTCCACTTGACACATTCATACTACTACTAATTATAGGCAGTCTATTTTATACACTGTTGTACAAATCATCGTTTTTTTAATTAGTCAGTTTGTCACAATACAGTGAGTTCCGGGCAGGGAGTCGTAAAATACTGGTTATTGTAATATTGGTTGAGTTGAACAGCGATAATACTAGCACTAGACTCTCATCAGTCACTCTGCAGTCATACTGTGATTGATATACTCAGACATCTCAATGTGTGTCACTCAGTAGTCGACATTATGGTTACTAGCACGCTGGATTCAGAGCCATGATGCAGAACGCCTTCGGGGGGGGGGGGGGGGGGGGATATGCCGCCTTTTTGGTGTGCATATTTGTTTGCTCCTACACATACAATTAGACCTGTGAAGAAACGGGCTGCCTGTCTGTAAAGCAAGACCAGTTTTCTGCCTGTTTTCTACTTGTAAGTTCTACGCAGAGTGGTCTGCGACTAACAGGCTTCATTGCACGTCAAAGCAGCCTTGGGGGTGTGTGTGTGTGGGGGGGGGGGGGGGGGAGGGGTGCGGCATGAGACAGGCAATAGAGACCCAACAAAGACCCAGAGCAAAAAAGTCTTCATCTCGGGACATCATAATGCAGGCAAACAGTGCCAAACACATATAGCATTTTTGGCTAAACATGTACAGTGGTCCCTCTATAATCCGGCACCATTTGTGCCACGGAAAATCTGCTGGATTAGGGAGGGTGCTGGATTAACAAATCTGATTTACTGCTGCAATGTGCATGAAGAGGACATTTTGGCTACTGAAAATTGTGCTGGTTTATCGAGGGTGCTGGATTAGAGAGGGACGACTGTAAAAGGTATATTACTTGCTGATTAAGAAACTTATACTAAAAAGTCTAAAAACCCTTCCAAGTCCATTCACATCGCTGTGCATACCAAGGCCGCACCATACAACTGTAGTGAAAACACTATCCTTGTAGTGCAGAGTGTCCGTCACGTTGTCACAAAGAGTAAGCTGCCTTGCAGTACGATCGAGTACACATTATTGTAATGGCGGTATGTTAGATCAGGACCAATGTACATTTTCTGCACTGCAAGCTTCTTTCGACAATCTCGTGTCCAAGAGCAAAGTCGGGTGGGAGGCCTTCAGCGCTGCAAGTGCACATTGATGCTGATTTCACATGCCACAAGTCTATTTCTGCAAGCAGCTGTATGAACATCATGGAATTCTACACGCGGCCGAGGGAGAATACGAAACTAGACAAGTCTGTGACCATCTCTAAAACGCATACAGACAAACAAACAGGTGCAAACTTGTTTCTCAATGGGGAACAACGCCGCTTGTATGGGCAAGAACGGTGCAATGTTTGCAAAGGAACCTTGAAGGAAAAGGCAGGCAGGTCTACGCTACAGTACGCATCATACATGTCTGACACGGAAACCGACAAGAGCGCACGTATATGAATTTTATGAATTATTGAGTATGTGACCAAAACAATTACAAGAGGAGCACAGAACTTCTAAAGAAAGAAACTTTAATGACACATATTGACAGCATACTGGACAGGAGGCCAAAGGAAAGAAAGAGCCGGTGATTTTCGGTTGCTTATCACGAGACGACTATCTGCCTGCAGGAAAGCAAAATATCAACAAAGGTAATTGCAAATTGGGTGAAGGTTGACAGTGAAGGCATAGTGTGAAGGTTGACAGTGAAGGCATAGTGTGAAGGTTGACAGTGAAGGCATAGTGTGAAGGTTGACAGTGAAGGCATAGTGTGAAGGCATAGTGTAGTATAAGTACTCATACTAGTACAACGCAGAGTTACCGATGACTTGCGAAAGTGCTCGAACCACGAAAAGGAGCTTGCGACACAAGTTCATAACAGCGGGAAATAGCAGGAAAGTGTCCCGCCATTATCAGTGTCTGCTCCAGCGCCGGGTGAGCCGGGTAATCCACCCGGTTGGGCGGCGCTTGGACCCGGTTGAAAATATAGTCCGGGTCACCTGTGACCCGGTTGGTACTGTCGAACTTTGAAAGGACTGACTACATGGCTTGTATGTGTCAGATACTTCTTCTTCTTTCGTAGTTTTCTAATTCCTGTCCTCTCTTTTCTAAATGCGGCTTATCCATTTGCCTTTAATGGCTTTATATCATTGTGCCTAGTTCCCGTTTATTGTCCGAATTAAAATAAACCAACCAACCAGTTAAAACATGTGACTCGGCTGGTGAGACAGCGCCAGGTACATGTGTACCCGGCTCCGACCCGGTTGAAATGGTTGCGCCAGGTACACGTGTACCCGGCTGTCCTACAATCCTAGACGGCAGACACTGATTATGAACTTGTGTGGTCTTACAGTATGTGTATTCCACTACAACCAGGACTCAATTTGCTTCTATCAAAAATATAACACTGAACAACTCTAAAACGTAAAAGGCCACTCAGAAGTAATTTGCCGTGTTGAGGCAAGTTCCAGTGTCATGCACTAGACATGCACACGAGATCCTACTCCCTAAAAACAACATGTGTTTCAACCCCAGGTTAGGAAGCTCTATTAGGTCCGTGGGTCTATGTAACTCGTATCCGCAGCCTTGGCCTGTTGACCGCAAGCGTAGCCCAGACCAGCCATGCCATATGCGAGCGTGCACACTAGTAAGTTGGCCTTCCACCGAGGCGACAGAAACTGGCAGCCCGGGAGAGAAGACTAAGAAGCCCACATCGCTTTACCGTTTACGCTACAGTCGCGCATTCGACCTATAGAAAGCAGATCACAGTTGCATACTCCTGTTTGTGGACTCGTGGTAATAGTACAAGTACTATAAAAATATAGCCTCTTGTACGGGCAAAATAATAGCGCATATCAAACAAACTCAGAGCTCGCTGACTTGTCAGTTTGAGCACCCTGGCAAGGTATGTTCGAGCCTGGTTCAAATCTGGCTTTGGAAAATTTATTTTTCATTGCGATCTGGTTCGGCCTCATTTAAGCCTAGTTCACATTCGACGGGGCGCGACGGGACGCGACGTAAGGATCGACGGGAAGCGACGGGACAGTCTGACGGCGTCCAATGTGAACACCAGGAACGGGAACGCAACCGTACCGCCGTACGGATCGGGAAGCGATGGGAAGAGTTGGATTGATTCAACTTTTCATACCGTAGACGGGGACACAAGCGTACGAAACAGTTGCATTTTGAGTGTGAACAGGAGACGACGTCGTGCGCCGACTGCTCCCGATTCGTACTTGGAATTTTTTAGCATTTCGAACACCGCGCTTCCTATGATAACTCGCAGAATGGCTAACACGACTTGAGTTGAATTCTAGCAGGATAAGGTCTGATGTCACATATGGTATTTAGGGATAGCTCAGGAGCGTGACAGACGAACTGTTATATCATTTCCTGGAGCTATTATTTGAATGGCACACCTTTCGAAGCTACTTTTTTGGTCTTCATGAAAACCTGGTATTGTGAACTTGATTCCGCTTCATTGAAGGAGAAATAATTGAAAAGAAGTCCCGAAAAACAAGAAATTAGGTCCAAAAGTCACCCCGTCACGGACCGTGCCTTATGACTGTCGCCGTTCGCTGTTGAACGACGCAACGACTGCAGCATGTCGTGTCGTACGAATCGTACAAGATTTTACAGCTCACCCCAGCCTTCCCGACAGGCCCTTACGTCCCGTACCGTCGAATGTGAACTAGGCTTTACTCTGTGCTGCGCTGATGAGTCAACAAAGACAGAAACAGTTCTGTCCGCAGATTGAGTCATCAAACAAACTCATGCATGGATGCAGTAAACTATTAAATATACTATACATGTACTTACTTTGATAGTACCTAACGGGGTCAGCAGGCATCACTCAGTAGCTGAACAACAAACAACATAACAACACAAACAAAACACCATCACAACGCCTGTTCGCAACCGCTCCAGATAGCCATAAAAGACATCGTGGACTACGAGTACTCTGCCCAGCATGCTGTATGTGTGTGTGTGGGGGGGGGGGGCAAAGAAGTTGTCGTCGATGAATACTGGAGGGAAACATTCCTGCTGTAGCGAGTCGGCAACTGCTGGCTGTGGATCGGTTGTGTGTTGTTTCTATACTTGTAATCAAGAGGGCATGAAGCCCAGAGTGTGACTTTTTGCATGGGTGTCTGTCACAGCAAAATTCCAGGATTACATCAGGGTTGATGAAGATAAGCGGTGGCAAGTGGCGTAGTGCATACAACTGAGCTGCACCTGTGCACCAGGAGATCTGCTTGAACCGAGCTTGTACGCACTAACGTTACATCACTAAAAATGATGTAATCCAGGAATTTCGCCGTGGCAGCAACCCACTAGAGCTGCACACGCTGAGTTTCATGTACTCTTGACGTAATTGCCGTTCGCGCTTCAACTAGGACTTATGTATGGATGAAACTTTCACAGCACTCCCTGTCGGTCAGCACATACCCTGTATAACTCCACTATTGTCTCTTGATGCTCGCTCACATCACCTGTTTTATCTGATGCCCATAAAATAAGTGATATGCTGCTGCACAGCACATGCAGACTGTCACCTTCATCACTGGAATAGTCTCACCTCTGCAGTCTATTCAGACCATCACCTTCATCACTGGCACATTCTCACCTCTGCAGTCTATTATTCTCACCTCTGCAGTCTATTAGTCTCACCCCTGCAGTCTATTAGTCTCACCCCTGCAGTCTATTATTCTCACCCCTGCAGTCTATTATTCTCACCCCTGCAGTCTATAAGTCTCACCCCTGCAGTCTATTAGTCTCACCTCTGCAGTCTATTAGTCTCACCCCTGCAGTCTATTAGTCTCACCTCTGCAGTCTATAAGTCTCACCCCTGCAGTCTATTAGTCTCACCCCTGCAGTCTATTAGTCTCACCCCTGCAGTCTATTAGTCTCACCTCTGCAGTCTATTAGTCTCACCCCTGCAGTCTATTAGTCTCACCCCTGCAGTCTATTAGTCTCACCCCTGCAGTCTATTAGTCTCACCCCTGCAGTCTATTAGTCCAGTGTTACCAAGTGGCCTCTACCCCCATGCGTATTGGCCAGTGCCATTTTGCAGAATTTTCAGAGGTTTCCGTACTCGTTTTTCAGGTCAACATTTTGACTGAGTTAGTTCAACTGTAAAGGCTACGCACAAATTCAGTACAATTTTCAACTTCACTAGGTTATAACTCTGTTCTACTTCGCTTGATTTTCACAATCTAGGGCTCGTTGGAAAGCTCTAGCAGGAGCAACGCCAGGATGCCAAGCACCATTATGAAGCCGCCACAAAGCAGGCGCCGTAACACAGCAAAGTCGTCTCCAAGCCTAATATGCAAGCAAATCGTCCCATCAACACCATTCGACTCTCGTTCATCGCAGAACGCTCAAAATTGTTCGAGACGATTCAAACTTCAGCCGGCTACATCATTATAAAGTGCTCAATTGCTCAAAGGGCACGCAAAAAAAGGACCCGCCCAAAAAAAACAATGGCGAAGAGTTCGATGAAAATTTTGTTTTTGCCAAGGTAAGAATACCTGAATACGGCACGCGATATCTCTGGAGTCGGACGTCGCTTCAGCGATTGTTGCATTGGGCGGCTTGGAGTTTTTGCTACCGCGTAGACCCTTCGATTGTTGCCTTTGCACACGAAACGATGGAGTTATGATGGTTGTAGTAATCGATCATTATACATGATCGTGTGCGGGATATTCGGTTGAAATCCGTACTGCGGACAAAACTTCGTTTTTCCGTAAAAATACGGACAAATACGGGCAGTTGGCAACACTGTTAGTCTCACCCCTGCAGTCTATTAGTCTCACCTCTGCAGACTATTAATCTCACCCCTGCAGTCTATTAGTCTCACCCTGCAGTCTATTATTCTCACCCCTGCAGTCTATTAGTCTCACCCCTGCAGTCTATTAGTCTCACCCCTGCAGTCTATTAGTCTCACCTCTGCAGTCTATTAGTCTCACCCCTGCAGTCTATTAGTCTCACCCCTGCAGTCTATTAGTCTCACCCCTGCAGGTTATTAGTCTCACCCCTGCAGTCTATTAGTCTCACCTCTGCAGTCTATTAGTCTCACCCCTGCAGTCTATTAGTCTCACCCCTGCAGTCTATTAGTCTCACCCCTGCAGTCTATTAGTCTCACCCCTGCAGTCTATTAGTCTCACCTCTGCAGTCTATTAGTCTCACCTCTGCAGTCTATTAGTCTCACCCCTGCAGTCTATTAGTCTCACCCCTGCAGTCTATTATTCTCACCTCTGCAGTCTATTATTCTCACCCCTGCAGTCTATAGGGCTTGAAAGTGCTACGTCACAGCATAGCAACAATTTCAAAAATTCAAAAATTGGATCCACTTGGATCCTGTTTGTGTATGGATCCAAGCACATTTCGAGCAGTCTTACTCTCAGCATGGTGATGTAACCAGTGAAACTGACTGATTTGGCTACTGGGGCGGGGTTACAACTGGCGGCGAAGTAAAAGTCACCCCTGCATACGACATGAGTGGGTTGCTATGCACCCACATACTGAGGCAATAGCAAAGTCACACCTTAGTGGATCCAAAATAGAAATCTGATGTCAACTTAGTACTCCCTGGCCGTTTTCGACGTCATCACTTTCAAGCCCTATTAGTCTCACCTCTGCAGTCTATTAGTCTCACCCCTGCAGTCTATTAGTCTCACCCCTGCAGTCTATTAGTCTCATCTCTGCAGTCTATTAGTCTCACCCCTGCAGTCTATTAGTCTCACCCCTGCAGTCTATTAGTCTCACCTCTGCAGTCTATTAGTCTCACCCCTGCAGTCTATTAGTCTCACCCCTGCAGTCTATTAGTCTCACCTCTGCAGTCTATTAGTGTCACCCCTGCAGTCTATTAGTCTCACCCCTGCAGTCTATTAGTCTCACCTCTGCAGTCTATTAGTCTCACCTCTGCAGTCTATTCAGAAATAATAGAGCTTCTAGTTTCTTTCTCCCTATATAAAACGAAAACACGATTAGAAATATCCAAGTTCCTTCGCACAGGTCCTCTGGAAATGGGCTTCCATTGATTCTTTCTAGTTCTCGGCGCTGTGGAGTATTCCATAACAAAATTTTAGGCAGGTTTAACATGGGCCCAGTTGGAGTTTGAGGTCCGAATCCCAAATTATAGGTAATGAAATGGGTTTCGGGCCTATTACAAGTTTCAGCACAAATCCTATTCGAAAATATCCAGAGCCCAAAGATCCAGAGCCCAAAGATCCAGAGCCCAAAGATCCAGAGCCCAAAGATCCAGAGCCCAAAGATCCAGAGCCCAAGTAGGAAGTAAACGTACAATGCAATGGATCGATGTATTTCGCTCATAAACAATCATACAGTAATGAGTTCACACCCTGCATGCAACCAAAAGTTTTAAAAAACTGCTCACAGAGTGTACAATTCTGATCCAGCCTGCCATGCGTCCAAATTCCTGATCTACGTCATTGCTTTCCTGCCAGTGCGTACAGTCTACTCGCGATAAATCGTGTGCACTTTTGCAATTTGGACGGCATATACTTTTGTATATGTGCACAAAAGTGTCAGTCATGCACTCGCGATAAGTCACGCATTTTCGTCTTCAAAATCGGGTGTGCGACTTATCGAGAGTAGACTGTACCTAGTGAGCACAGATTGTACAGTACAGGAGTGCCAATCTCACCAGCCATGAGTACTGCGTTTGTGGTGGAGAATACTTCTGAAGTATGCAGAGCTCAGACAGTAAAGCACAGGCTGATGACGTGAACCAGGAATTTGAAGGGAAGAGCTAACCAAAGTGGAGTCACATGCTCTGAGGATACGTACTTTTGATGTAACTTAACACACAATACATCATGATGGTGCCAAAACCACACAGAACATTATAGGAAACACTAAATATTTAAAAGCGAACTCTCGATATATCAAGCAGTGGGCAACAGCAGCCTCAGAACCAAAGTCCAAAAGTACGGAGGTGCCTACATTGTACGAGTATAAAGCCACCTGAGCGCGCGCAGGTGGCACGATTCACACAGAACAAACGGATAGCACGGAAGACGGAAGAACGATCACAAAAAGAAAAGATGCCAGTTCAAAGTACAGTCAGACCTCGCTTATCCGGTCCTCTTTTGTCCGGATCCTCGCCAACCGGATGAAAATCATTACATTGTAGTTACCGATTTGCATCATGCATACATACAGTATGTGTGTTCGATTTTCCGGTTCCCTCGCCTATCCGGATATTTTTGTGCAAAACGGATGCGTGCGGTTAAGCGAGGTCTGACTGTGGTAAGATGAAGAGGTGAGTTGACGAGGGACAAGATAACAGAAAACAATAGTCTGTGAATGCGTCACAGCGAGCCCTATCACTAAGTTGGGATTTCGAGCGACACCCAAGCACACAACGAGCCTTCGTGATACCACAATCTCCCGAGATAAATCAAATTCGGTGTAGACACAGCCATCCCTACAAAGAATGGTGCTACCAAACAACATGAAATCTGCTCCAAAATGAGCACGAAAGGACGAGTACAGCAAGATCACGCGAGAATCATCCAGACAACGGAAGCTCGAAAACGGCCACTCAAGTGGCTCACAGAAAGGTACCTCATCACGTTCTCGGGACAAGTAAACGGCACTACACTACAGCTGACTGGAATGTGAGACGAGAACCTGCGCAAGCTACTGCGTCGTTGACTGATGACTGTTGAGAAATCTGACCAACTGCCATGGCGGTACTTCAAAAGTGCATGGAGTGCAGACAGACCATGGCGCAGGTACACCACCTGATACTAGTACCCATGGATTTACTTGTAACAAATCTAGTACTGCAGTGTACTTAAACTACATGTAGTTAAAACATAGTGCTGAGAGCCCACCAGTGCAATGGAATGAACATTTCTTGATCGTCACTTGGTGGCTGTGGTAGAAACAACTGTCAGCATACAGCCTTGAAACCATCACTGCTGATGAGGCTAGGGATGCTGCTTCGCAGCTCACTTGGCTGCCATCATTAGATCAAAGCGAGTTAGATGGTTAACTGCAAGAAAGAGAGACAAGCCCACTTTGTACAGAAGACAGAACACGGAGAGAGTGACCCGAAGCGCTGCCATTCATGCCATCCCAAACTGAATCCACCAAGCAGTGGGGATTAATGCAATGAAGGCACGAGTGCACACAGTGGTGAGAAGACACAGCCAAACCCAAAGATGCAATAGCAAACACTTGTTTTCAGCACATTTGCACTGTAAGATTCCGTGTATAAGCCCATCTTCCGTGTACAAGCCCATTCTTGCAAAGTCAACACCTTGGTTCAAGATAATGCTCATGCCCTTGCATGTTCTCAGTCACGTGAACAGCCTCTTTTACGGGCAAAAGCAACACAATGATGAGATTGCATGTTCTCATTGTGTACGACGTACACATCAGTGCAGCTCTGCTGTCCGAGTTCACAAGGCACACATGCACCGTACATGTACATCGGAACAGCTACCTCGATCGACCCACACACGGGCTTGACTTCGTTTTCGACACAAATGTACGAGTGGAGGTCGAGTCCGGCGTGACGTCATGGTGTACTTCGGGACAATGTAAGGTACCTTCTGTTCAAGTTTTCACCCACTTCAAATCATTGCAGAGAAAAACGAAGTACATGTACACCATTGTGATCACGGGCTAAACGACTACAAGACAAAGAATTCTTTTGGTGACAGTTCCCCTTTAAAACAGATACATTTCCTTGTTGCCTGTTCATGTCTTCCAGTAACCTTGAAGCACAACACGAATTTAGAATGACATGGGCAGACAACAAAAGGAGCATCACCCACAAACTCCAGAAGCAAATGCTGTTTCCCAAACCCACTAAATTGGCACAATAGATGAATGCAACTTACCGAGGTGGTCCATACCGGTCATAGCCCCTGCAAGAAACCACACAAGCACATCGAATTCCACTGACACAACTGTACACACAACCACACTTCTAAAGTACACTCTGGATGTTTGTGCAAAATAAACCTGTGAGTGTGCAAGCATCTACTTACATTTGCAGCGGCAATATACTGCAAGTACAATTATGTTACTACTGTATATTTAGCGGTGAGGCATCCTGCAGCTTCATAACTCGAAGAGAATTGGTAAGCACACATGCTCATTCCCTGGGCACTGCAAATTCACAACTCATTTCATTTCACAGAATCATTTTCAACGTTTCGGCAAATTGCCATCATCAGGATGCAATATGAAGTGGAAGTCTGCCAAGGAGCAGTTATATACACTAATTTGGTGTTCTTAGGTGTTGATAATATTTCTATGACTGGAGAGCCAGTGACAGGGCAAGCCGCAAATTGCGAGAGGCAGTGGAGATCAGAAACGAAGGCCCAGAGATCAACACCAGTACTGGATGGTCATTACTCTAAAACAGTCACACCACACTGGCTATCTAGGTGACAGTATTTTCTGGAAAACACTGACATGGTCACATTCGTGTATTGCTTGCGGGAAACCTGTTCAGACATTTCTCAAGTTATCTGGTGACATCTGCGCTGTGCTAACTTATTAGTATTACCAACACCCAGAATATGAGTCAATGAAAACTTGTGATCTTTCACTAGTTTTAGACATGTCATATTTCTAGCACTGAGGTAACATGTGTAGTCATAGAAATATTATCAACACCTAAGAACACCAAATTAGTATATATAACTGCTTCTTGGCAGACTTCCACTTCATGTTGCATCCTGATGATGGCAATTTGCCGAAACGTTGAAAATGATTCTGTGAAATGAAATGAGTTGTGAATTTGCAGTGCCCAGGGAATGAGCATGTGTGCTCACCAATTCTTTACTGTATATTTATGTAGTGAACACACCTTCCTGTTATCAAGAGTACATAACCAAGAGTGTGCAACTCGAGGATCCCCCAGCCCACGGCGGAATGTTTTCATGACATCAGTCTTTGGCGGCTGTTTGGCTCACTGATGCCATCATACGTAGCTCGAGATCAAAGTACAAAGAATGCGTACGTCACAGCTACGACAGTCAAAGCAGAACAACGGACGATAGATCGATGTGTCCTGAACCTGATGAACTCTCACTGTATCTACAAAGCAAGCGCGGGAATGCATGCACACTTCATCATACTGCTGCCAAAGAATGACGCAATAAAAAAATTCCGCCGTGGGTGAACCCATCACAACTCGAGACAGGAGTTGCACACTCTTGGTTATGTACTCTTGCTTTTATACATCTTCATGTACAGTTTGCAGAAACAAAGTCCACCCTCATGAACAGCATAGCCCTCCCCGCCCCAAGGGGAAGGTAGGCTGGTGGCAACTCTGCTTTATTCATGAGGTTACCCTTGCTGTAACTGTACATTGCACTACTTTTGCATGGGATGGGGTAGGATCTACAGAAAAGCAACTTCCCTGAACAAGAGAGCACTAAACACCCCCATTTGCATGAAACGTCCATGCACATGATTGTGTACACGGGGTCCAGTGGAAATGTCCTGTGTAAAATCAAATGATTGTACATGACTGTATTGTTAGAAAAAGAAGACAGTCGTGTGCAATCTTGTGACAATACCTTGGTGGTGAAGAATAGCGAGGAGGTGGTGGGGGATAGCGGCCACCATACGGACTACGGCTGCGATAACGTGGAGGTGGTGGTGGTGGTCCCCTGTAATAATCACGCGACGGTGGTGGTGGAGGCGAACGCCGGTCGTAGCGGCTGCTGTATGATGGCGGACCATAGTCTCGGTATCGCGGTGGTGACCGGCCACGGGGTGGAGATCGGCCTCGGGGTGGAGATCGGCCTCGGTAATACGGAGGTGGTGAACGCCTGCGCGGAGGTGGAGACCGTCTGTATGTGTACAAGTAGGATAGACAGGCAAACATACCGGTACACACATCGCACCACATACGATTTGTGAATTATTCATTAACACTTAAAACAGCCGACACTCATAAATGCATCCCTAGCAGTAGCAGCTATCCAGCCATACCCGTAGCAGTAACAAGAAATGTATATTAATAATAATAATAACAACATTATGTTTGCTGTGGGGCCCAGTTGTTTTCTAGGGGTTTATACTACCATGCTGTAGGTGTTGTTGTAGGTGTTGCTGTAGGTGTTGCGGTAGGTATTGTGTCAGGTGTTAGTGACTGTGGTTGTGCTGTCGTGCTGTAGATATTGCCTCCTACATTCGGCGTACCATCTTTTCATCTGTCCCTGTTCATATTTTGACTCAGCCCACAAACCTCACACCTTTCGGCCACAGTGTTCGTATTTGTTACATATACATGTATGATATAGTTGCCTGATGATCGTAGTACAGTCAAATCTGTCGTAAGCGACCGCCCCTTGGTGCAAGAAAAAGCGGTCTCTTACGGCAGATGTATGGTAAATCCGGCATACCGGGCATGCACATAATTATGCTTCCATGTACTCAAATCGACGAGAATAATGTGATTTTTGGTATCATTTTATTGGATATTCAATAGATATAGGGGCGCACTTGCAAGACAGCGCATTTCACACCTTGAAGTTGACAGCACACTGGCAAGTACAGTTTCGCACCTGACTGAACGTGGGTCGCGGTCGCTTACAGCAGATTTGAATGCAGCCACCGTGCATGAAATCGCGGTCGCTGGTCGCGCACAGCAGATGGTCGCTCTGGACAGATTAATTTGTACGTGAAACCGTTGGTGCACGGAAAATCGGTCGCTAACGGTAGATGGTCGCCTACAGCAGAGGTCGTTAACGGCAGATTTGACTGTAATACGTGAAACTCAGAGTTGTAACAAAGCTTCCAATCTCTCTCTTGTTTACATGTATAATACCTGTTTGGTTTGTAGTGACTGCATTCCTGAAGATGGGCGTTAACTGAAAAATTTGGATGACTGCCTTTTTCAGTGATTTATGTAGCCCAGAAAGCGCGTGGTGAGTGTTGTGAGGATGTATGATTACACTGTTGCACATGTACATTCACATTGCTAACTTTTAAAAACAGGTCAGAGATGTGCGAAAGTATGGTCAAAAATTAATAGTAGTTAACCCTTTCATTGCTGACCAAGTTCCCCCCTGCCGGCTAAGCTTTCAGCGCACTTACTTTCATTTCAAACCCTGCATGCACGTCGCCGAGCAAAATGTTTCGCCATTTTTTTGCATTCATTGATGGATTTCCACAATCTATGGCTTGTTAGAAAGGCCCAAGCCAAGCGAAGACTCCCTGGCTGTTCTCAGCTCCATAGGCATGCCAGGGTCACTTCTATGTGCTCTAGAAGATGCCCTTACATGTCTCAGAATCGCTAAACAACTTCATAATACATTTTCTTTCGCCATCTCTCTCAAACTAAACCAAACTTCACGATTCAAACTGCGCTGCAAAGCTGAGATCCAAGCGCTTTGTTTGATGCCCAACATGCATGCGCTGTAGCAAAAGGGGAATCCCCTAAAAAAAGCGAGTGGCGAGCAAAAAATTTGAACTGATGGCCAGAAAGCGTACCGGTATTATAGATTTTTTGCTATTCGTCACCGCTCGCTCAAAACTAGTCCTATCGCAAAGGACTTTATATCACTGGCAAGCTGAGCTCCATACATTTCCAACGGTATATCGTTTGTGAAAATCGGCCACCGTTGACATGAGTTACGACAGTTTGTACAGTGATATATGCACTTCGTACTATTGCGTGGGCAGTGGAGCGAGATCTCGCCATCCGCCGTTCAGGCACACTTTACAGAGCAAGATATCTCGTCATTAGCACAATTCAACTCATTTCACAATATTGTGAAATGAGTTGAGACTACCGATAAAAAGTGACGGAATGGAAAAGTTGCCAAGGTGATTTGATCACGTGACGTTACTGGCACGTTACCGGCGGAAAGGTTTTCCCGGCAGTAAAAAAGTGCTCAGGCTGCATGCGCGCTGTGAAAAAGGGAAAATCCCTTCTCAGCGCCGCGGTGAGAGGTGCAAAACTTACGTACCGGTAACGTTAGTTTATCGGTAGTGTGAATGTCCTTCACGGTTTATAGCCTTTCACGGTTTGACGGGGTTCACGGTAGTCTGAACTAACTGGTTTACTGGTTTACTGGTTAAGGGCGCGTTCAGACTACCGTGAACCCCGTCAAACCGTGAATGCCGATAAACCGTGAAGGACATTCACACTACTGATAAACTAACGTTACCGGTACGTAAGTTTAGCACCTCTCACCGCGGCGCTGAGAAGGGATTTTCCCTTTTTCACAGCGCGCATGCAGCCTGAGCACTTTTTTTACTGCCGGGAAAAGTTTACTGCCGCAGCAGCCGCGGCAGTAAAACTTTTCCGCTGGTAACGTGCCAGTAACGTGATCAAATCCCCTTGGCGACTTCCCCATTCCGTCACTTTTTATCGGTAGTCTGAACGCGCCCTAACTGGTTTACTGGTTTAGTAACTGGTGGTGTAGTGGACAGTATAGCGTAACTTGTAGTTCCTTGCTCCTTTCTCTTTTCTATAAATTAATTCTTGGCTCTCCATCCGAGTTGAATTATTGCAGTGTTAATTGAAGAGAGCGTGTGGGCGCTACTCTTAACTGTTTATGAAACTGCAGGAAGCCTCCCCACTTCTTAAAATTAATAGTGACCAGAAAAATTTACCTTGGTGGATATCGACTTCCGCCGCCGCCGCCACCACCACCAACACTATAGCCATGACCCTTAGAATGTGATAGCTGCATGGAAACGCATACGGTAACAAGAAACACACGCACGCACACAAGTACACACACACACACACACACACACACACGATATACTGGTTTTAACAGTCACCCAATACTCATCTGGAAACGTTCGACCCTGCAAGGCAGGCATGCACACACTATCTAGCATAGCCGACAAAGCCTGCATGAGAGGCAGTCAAAAATGTACGCAATACATGCAACAACAAGAACAAGCACATCTTCCAGCTTTCAATCAAGTCCATCCCATTCACAGATTATTATCATACATCGGGGTAACATACTACCCTTTCTGAGGTGCATGAACATTCAATGGGAGGGAAGCCAAAAGAACAGGAACACATGTTCGCGGGGAAAGGAATTCCAAAGCGATACCTAGCCGAAAGTTTAATAAAATTCAGGATAGAAATACCAACCTGAACGTTCAGCCTTTTATCACGCCACTCAGTACCATCAAGTTCTTGGACCGCTTCCCGGGCATCATCCCCATTCTCAAAATGCTAATGGGATACATGGTACAGAACAAGAGCAGCCAATCAAAACAGTACAAGAAACTACTTGTAGCAAAAGTCAATGACACCCAAAATAAAGCTAAACTACAACTACAACAACAACAACAACAACAACAACAACAACAACAACAACAACAACAACAACAACACCCAACTCCCTCAAACTTATGAATGACATCCACGTGAATCATTCCTCCTCCTTGGTGGAGTCATGATAAATGCACTGAGAATAGCACACAGGAGACAAAGCCTTTCAGGATAAGCTTGGAAAGGCATGCAACGTGCAGTCCAAAATATTGCCAGTCACCACTAACACTTGTACCAGAGACGTTGGCAACATGCCATTGATGTTCTAGTCGCTGAGCTATGGTGTACTGGTGGCGACGGCAAATGGTTTTGGTTTTCGTCCGACAAGGGTGGGATGCATTGCTTGCTAGAAAATCCTAATCGGTCTTGCATACGCACCGTACCGCAACTCGGTGATGACATCACTCAGTTGAAATCAGTCTAGTGTTGAAACGAAGAATCGAATAAGCGTACATCTTTTTTTCTTTATGGGGTCCCAGCCATTCCGGATAATTGACCTTCCGGATAGTCAATGTCCGGACAATCGATGCTCTACTATACAGACTTTTAATGGAGTCAGTCAGTATTGTGCCAGTAGTCGTTGACCATTTGATCCAGTGCCCTAAATTCTATGGGCTCCAACGTTTCCCTTACACGCCGAATTAATTCAAGAAGAAAGTACTCCTAACTACTTGGCGGGCGAAATATACATGTATATAATTTACAAGCCATAGGGACATATTTAAAATCCTGTAGGGCGCATCACGCAGCTTCATAAGTAAAAAGTGGGTTGTGAGCAACACTGGCTCACACTCAATCATAGCTTTTCACAAATTCATTTCAGGAAAAAGTATTTCAACGTTTCTGGTCATAAGATGCACACGGTCCGAGAAGTATGTTGGAGAAACTGGCTGTAGTGTGGCAACGCGAACCAAGGAACACAATGATAACTCACGCAACAAGACGTCTGGAAAAGCCCACGGGGAGCACTACCAACTCCACCATAGCAGCAAGGTACTGTCGCTTGGTGACTCAGCATTTACGGATGTTCGCGTCCTTGCCACTGAGTCGGATCGGGCCAGGCGGAGGATACGCGAGGCGATACAATTTCGCGACATGGCTCGAGAATAAACGATAACGCAGGGTGGGACCTCCTATAAAGGAATACCTTGCACATATATCTGGCCCCTCCTAGCCAGTAATGAGTATGCCCACTTCATTCCTGATGATGGTTATTAATTTTTATGACCGAAACGTTGAATTTTTCCTGAAACGAATTTGTGAAAAGCAGTGATTGGGTGTGCATGTGACCGTGATGTGAGCCAGTGTTGCTCACAACCCACTTTTTACATAGGGACTTACAGTGCGTTTCAAAAATATAGACGCGTGATTTCAAAAAACCATTACTGCATTAGACCAGCATCTATACCACATAAAAACTGTAATCACTTTGTGCATAAAAAATTCGAAATTGGGCGTTTGCTATCCTATCGCTTAAAACTCTATAATTATGAGAGTAATTGCGGGAAGGACCTGAGTAATATTCCGAAAAAATTCTCAAAAAGCTCCAGCCAAATTTGAAATATTTCAAAAATACCATGCGTCTATATTTTTGAAATGGACTGTAGTCCAAGGAAAACATGATTGGAAAGGCCTTATCAGCTTTACAACTAGTGGCTTTGTCGCTACGTGTGTTGATTACAAGCCACTTTATTTACGCTGCGTTGTATTGAGATTTGCCTATTCAGAGTCGCACTAGTATGCAGGCTTATACGTACTAGCCAAGAGTATCGGTACTACTAGTAGTAGTCAACCAATACAATTAATGTCAACAGTTGCAAATAGGCTGCCATGGCTTCAGCAGTACACCGTGCATAGCTGAATAGTTGAAAGAACTTACAATGAATGCATAATCTCGGACTATATCACATTCGGAGATGGCACCAAATTTCGAGAAGTGCTCCTTATTTACGCTGCGTTGTATTGAGATTTGCCTATTCAGAGTCGCACTAGTATGCAGGCTTATACGTACTAGCCAAGAGTATCGGTACTACTAGTAGTAGTCAACCAATACAATTAATGTCAACAGTTGCAAATAGGCTGCCATGGCTTCAGCAGTACACCGTGCATAGCTGAATAGTTGAAAGAACTTACAATGAATGCATAATCTCGGACTATATCACATTCGGAGATGGCACCAAATTTCGAGAAGTGCTCCTGCAGGTCACTTCTTCTAGCATTTTCAGGCACGTTTCCAACGTACACTTTCTTCACAGAATCTGGCATGACCGGGTCCACATAGGACAAGCTGAATAGGTTGGTGATAGAGGCCTGTATTCAAGGCTGTCGACAAAAAAAGAGACTAGACTTGTAGGGTCGGTCACAAGTAGGAAATTCCTACAGTCAGTAGCTTCTTCACTTTTCGTTCAAATGACTACTATAACAAATGTCCTGAAATTGGGACGAAAACGTTACTCTGAAAAAATCACGCACACGCCCTTCATTCGCGCCATGCATGCATGGCACACAAATTATGTCACAATCATGATTGTGGCACACATGTATGCACATAAATCAAGAGTTATGAACTCTTCGACATGTCACGTGCACAGGCCACAGTCGACCCGATATGGTGCATGTGGACCAGGCAGTAGATCTACAGTACAAACAAATACTGAGTAGCAAGAACTGACCTTTCAAAATGAATGCAAGGAACCCAAAGTTTGTTGTGGTTTGAGAAATTTGCCTCCGTAATTGTGGTAGGAGATGTTGTAGTATGGCTGGATATTCTCTCTTCCTGGAGAGAGCGTTGGAAAAGATATTGAGTGACCGAGAGACACGGCGATCGCAGCATGCAAAGCTCAAGCAAAAATGCGAACAAGCTCTTGGTAAGGAACCTTCGTATTTGAGTACGTGATAAATTCACGCCAATGACATTTGCCTTCATTGTTTTTCATTTCTAGAGCGGTTACAAGCTGCTTGCAAGACTAGAAGGTAAGGAAGACATGTATTTTGTCATGGTAGGGTGGTTGCAGAAAACTATTCCCAGTAATCATACTGTGCTCAACAAACATTAACTACAAGTAGACTGGTATTAAACTGATATAAACTACATTGTAGAGTTGTGGATTTCAGAGATACCGGGGTCTTTACTTTGCTATCGTGTCTCTGGGTAGAAAAACAAGAATCCTTGTCCGAGTATCTAGGGTGGTTTGCATATACTGGTATGACAGAATTGTATTGACTCATCATCTGAATATTACCTTGAGTGCATCGCCAGCCCAGAAATCAATCAAGAGGAATTTCTGGAGAGTGTCAGTGGGTTTGGGTGCTTTCTTGGCCTTTGTCAAGCCCATAGTCTAGATGCACGCCTCCACATGGTGCGGTTTGAAGAGGAGGGGGTGAAAACACGGAGCGTGTATACTAGCATCAGAAATTCAGGCATTCTAACAAGAAATGTGCCGTGTTTCCCCGAATACGAGTCGCACCTTTTTTTACGCTTAACTTCTCGGGAATAGAAGGGCATTCGACTTACAATCAAGTTTGAGATCCCACTTACGTTAATATAATATTGAAGCAATATGGCTCAAACCGAAAAGTGGGGTGCGACTTATATTTGAGACGGCCTGCACTGGCTGCTGGTCCTGGCAACACTAACTAGTCTGTGCATATGCAATGATGTGATATTCTATGCACACATACCTACGTATGCACACATAAGTCAGCAAGATGGCATTAAAAAAAGAGACACCAGTTTAGTGGAAACCTCCTCGATAGACTCTAGCCTTTGGGGTATCCTTTAAATATATTATACACTTTGGCTTCCCTCCCTCTGCCTCCATCCAACCCATCTTAGCTAGACAGCACCTAACACCGTTAAATATTCACTATGCTGCCAACCTCTATGTGTTTCTACATAGATGCATAAATGCTCGTGCTAGTCCCTACTTTGCCGACTTTTCACTCCTCGTGCTGTCTCATAATCCCGCACTGCTAGAATTACCCGTTCTCAGGAATCGCTCGGCCTGGTACTGCCCCATGCCAGATTGTATTTTGGCTTTCACTCTGTATCTTATCTTGGAGCTGGCCGATGGAACTCCCTCCCTGCCGCGATTCGCACCATCTCCCTACCTGCTGCATTTCGCTCCGCTATCTTCACGTGGCTAGGGCACCCTGTAAGAAGACCATAGGTCTGTGGGGACTGCCCTAGTAAAATATGAATAAATAATAATAATAATAATTTGAAACTCGGGTATTGAGCCAATAATAAAAGTAGAAAGGAAAAGGACATATGGAAACGAGTTAAGAGTAACTCTCCACCACTGTAACTAGATACTATATGCAGTCAGAAAGTGCAACAACTAGGCACAAAACTGACAGAGTACTGAGACATTCGACGTCCTGACACCTAGCTTCAACACATCTCCGTAGCGCTAACCGACAGCCTTCCAACTTGGAAGGTTCAAGGTTATGGAAAGACCAAAGAGGGGAAGGCAAGCGCAACGAAAACGAGCACAAGCTACAGTCCCAACGGAACAAAGAATGTCGATTGTCACTGGACGATGACGAGACCAGTAGGCGATTTGACAAAGCGGTCTAACTACAATTCGAAGCAGCAAAGCAGCACACCACCCAACTTGGGTGGGTCAAAAATATCAAAGATAAGTTTAGAAGGGGGGGGGGCGAGTTTCAAATTGCACACCTGATGAGCCGTCACGAACCATACGGCGAAACGTACGTCGTGTGAAACAACTTGTTTTGTAGTCAACTAGTCCATCACAATGTCATGCATGAGGAGTACTGTAGGAGTTTAGATTTCGGCTTGTACAATTCGCTGTCCCTCCAGAAACTTGCGGAGACATTTCGGAAATATCGCGGAAAAAGTTGCGAGGTAAAATGCCACAAATTGCGGGCAATATTGCGGATTTTGTCAAATATTGCGGGATTATTGTGGTAAAATTGCGGGAATTGCGGCCGATTTTGGTACTTGTACTGTAGTGGTGTACGATGTACGAGTCGTACAGCATAAATCATGCATGACAAAACAGAACGTACGTGTGCTGCGCTGACTGTGTTCAACTGCAAGACAGCTTTCCTCCATCCTCGGACAACACTCGACGCGAGCCTTGTTTTGTGACTTGTCAGCCGCTGATTTGCCCAGAAACTTCTCCATTCTGGTGTCGATCTCACAAGTAAACTACTGATGAGCTTGAAGAACTAAACAACATCGAAGAAAGACCCGAATATCGCGGTTGCTTTTCGAAATATCGCGGTGCTTTTCAAGTATCAAGGACAGTTTTCTACAATAACGCGGTTGATTTTTCAAATATCGCGGATATCACGGACTTTTGTTCAAATCGCGGAAAACAACGCGGCCGCGGAATCGCAAGTTCCTGGAGGGACAGAATTCGTTCTCGCAAAGCTTCCCCCTTCTTAACTTATCTTTGATATTTTTGACCCACCCAAGTTGGGTGGTGTGCTGCTTTGCTGCTTCGAATTGTAGTTAGACCGCTTTGTCAAATCGCCTACTGGTCTCGTCATCGTCCAGTGACAATCGACATTCTTTGTTCCGTTGGGACTGTAGCTTGTGCTCGTTTTCGTTGCGCTTGCCTTCCCCTCTTTGGTCTTTCCATAACCTTGAACCTTCCAAGTTGGAAGGCTGTCGGTTAGCGCTACGGAGATGTGTTGAAGCTAGGTGTCAGGACGTCGAATGTCTCAGTACTCTGTCAGTTTTGTGCCTAGTTGTTGCACTTTCTGACTGCATGTAGTATCTAGTTACAGTGGTGGAGAGTTACTCTTAACTCGTTTCCATATGTCCTTTTCCTTTCTACTTTTATTATTGGCTCAATACCCGAGTTTCAAATTGCACACCTGATGAGCCGTCACGAACCATACGGCGAAACGTACGTCGTGTGAAACAACTTGTTTTGTAGTCAACTAGTCCATCACAATGTCATGCATGAGGAGTACTGTAGGAGTTTAGATTTCGGCTTGTACAATTCGTTCTCGCAAAGCTTCCCCCTTCTTAACTTATCTTTGATATTTTTGACCCACCCAAGTTGGGTGGTGTGCTGCTTTGCTGCTTCGAATTGTAGTTAGACCGCTTTGTCAAATCGCCTACTGGTCTCGTCATCGTCCAGTGACAATCGACATTCTTTGTTCCGTTGGGACTGTAGCTTGTGCTCGTTTTCGTTGCGCTTGCCTTCCCCTCTTTGGTCTTTCCATAACCTTGAACCTTGCAAGTTGGAAGGCTGTCGGTTAGCGCTACGGAGATGTGTTGAAGCTAGGTGTCAGGACGTCGAATGTCTCAGTACTCTGTCAGTTTTGTGCCTAGTTGTTGCACTTTCTGACTGTATATAGTATCTAGTTACAGTGGTGGAGAGTTACTCTTAACTCGTTTCCATATGTCCTTTTCCTTTCTACTTTTAATAATAATAATAATAATACATGTAGAAGAGAAAAGGACATATGGATACGAGTTAAGAGTAACTCTCCATCACTGTAACATGATACTATATACAGTCAGAAAGTGCAATAACTAGGCACAAAACTGACAGAGTACTGAGACATTCGACGTTCTGACACCTAGCTTCAACACATCTCCGTAGCGCTAACCGACAGCCTTCCAACTTGGAAGGTCCATGGTTATGGAAAGACCAAAGAGGGGAAGGCAAGCGCAACGAAAACGAGCAAAAGCTACAGTCCCAACGGAACAAAGAATGTCGATTGTTACTGGAGATGTGTTGAAGCTAGGTGTCAGAACGTCGAATGTCTCAGTACTCTGTCAGTTTTGTGCCTAGTTATTGCACTTTCTGACTGTATATAGTATCATGTTACAGTGATAGAGAGTTACTCTTAACTCGTATCCATATGTCCTATTCTCTTCTACATTTATTTATGGCTCAACATCCGAGTTTCAAATAATAATACAAATACACTTTTCCCCGACTGATCCTTTGAATTTGAAGTTCTACCAATCCTTACAAATACACTGGTGAGTAGTTTTTAGAATCTAGGTTTGGTCATCTTGATCAACCGGACCGGTTGCTACGGCCCTGATATGCATGTGTTATTGAGTACTAGGGCAATACGGGGGGGGGGGGGGGGGGGGGGGGGGCAGGTATCGCCGTCCATATTGATTGCCCTAGAACACATTTATTTCATGGGTACACTTTGACCTCATGACCTTCCAAGTTTTTTTTCCATGTGGGCACTTGAAAAAGCACTCGGAAGGTCAAGAGGTCAAACAGTGTGTGGTATATCGTGTAATACTGTAACGGCACACTTGAGCGGGCTGTGAGGAAATATTGCACGCTAAGAATGGTCCCTGATTGCCTGTAACATTAGTTACGGTCACCTTGCATGTAATAATCTCTGATGTTCCACTTTTGTTGTATGATCAGCCCTGGCAGCAGGCATTCGATATCCACCGCCCCATCAGTATCTGATGTAGAATACTACTATCTTGTACTGGAGCATGTCTGCCAATCGCGCTCACCTCGTCTGGTCAGCACTGCTTTGGACTGCTTGCAGGTATGTGCCGCTGTGTTCACTACCACTGTTTTGTTTGGCTTGCCACACAGTCCGTTCTGATATACTTTCGCATTAGACACCCTTAGCAAAAAACGTTATGTTGTAACAGTATTATCGTAAGGGGGAAAATACCGTGATTTGGGTTCGACCTTTAGCAAGATGCACGCTATTTTTAGTACGCTGTTGCCACGAGAGTAGCTTTGATTTCGCGCGGTACAACCATTTTTGTCACCATATACGCGATACAAGGTGAAATGCGTACGGACTATGCAATATTTGGCCAAAACACGTACCGTTGGTCACAACGATAAATCAGCCCCCATAACGTTTATACTCTGCAGCTTCAACGCTATTTGGGTGATCAAGGTACGAGTACCGTAAAAAATAGCGTTACCGTTGTTTGCTAAGGGTGTCTATTACCAGTATTTACCACTAATATACAGTCAACTTCGCTAATAACGACTGCGGATACAACGACAATTCACGCATAACGACAGAATTTCCATGCCCAGAGCAAAGTCCCATCAAACTGCATACAATTAACTTCGGATACAAGGAGGACACTTTTCTGATGCCCCGCCGATTGTCGTTATTCGCAAAGTTGTCTGTATACGTACATATACAACGTAGACAGTTGTCTATATAGGATTTTGGTCATGTTTTTCAACTCAAAATGGGTATGGCACGAGAATAGCAAAAAGTATGTGACCAAGGCTGTGTTTACATGAGGCGTTTCAACCCGGGTTGAGTTCGACCCGGGTCAGATTTCAACCCGCCATGTACACAAAATGAATTGCGCGTTTACATGACGCATTGCGCTTGACCCGGGTTGAAATTTCGCCCCGGGTTGATTTCAACCCTCCCCTCAAGGGGAGGGGTTGAAATCAACCCGGGGCGAGAAAATCGTACTAACGTACTTCTGTGCGTATCTCGCGCCAGGTTTGAATAGCACTGCACATGCGAATTTCGCGCGAAAGTATTCACTTGACCATACAGGATTGTAGAAGTGGACTTTTGGCGGCATATCAGTATTTGACCCGGGTCAACTGTCTTCATGTAAACGCTCACCTCTTTTGTCTATCGTACAGACTTTCAACCCGGGCTGAACTCGACCCGGGTTGAAATTTCTCATGTAAACACAGCCCAATTCTTCCTTGCTAGGTCATAGTAGATACTGAGAGTTGAATAAGATACTTTTTTCGAATACCAACATCTCGGGCTCATCTCCTTGCCCAATATTACTAAGGCCTTTGCCCTATTTTTCGAATCCTATATAATAGGATTTGAGATTTTATTGGACCTTGTTTTATCCTTGAAACTGGTAGTCATACTTCCGGCAAACAAAGGACGAGAAAAAATTCCGTGGCCGGCCGCCTTCCACACTCCCAACAATACTGAGAACAGACCTCGCAACAAAGGGAATGAAGCTGCAGACGGATAAAGATCTCTCACACATCAGGGACCTGGCAGAGGACAGAGCAGTATGGCGGCAGCTTTTCCGCACCTGAGCCTGCAGAGGAATGCCCGGATTTGCCCAAACGGAACATGACATGATGTATGGTGAATTCAATGGACAATCTGATATATTTCTTCAATATCCTTTGCCTCCTGTTTCTTTTTTCCTGCCTTCGACCCCGCTGCTCTGTGACCCTTCCCTCGCTTTCTCTTGTCCTTACTGTCTTTTGACTTGTTGAGCGGCCTGAGCGAATGCTAGGGGTGGATGTGTATTATGTCGATTTGTTGATTTTTGTAGTAACACACCCTGATGCAAACGCGGAGAGGCAAATAATAATAATAATAATAAACTGGTAGTTTCACGATGGCATATGCGATATGTCGTCATGAAACCACCCCATGCCACACCTGTAATGTTCTTCTGCACATTCACTGCTCCAGTCCTTTCCAGGACAGCAGCTGAACAATGCTGCTCAAAGTTCCGATTCTTGCTAGAAATGGGTATTCATCAGAAATAGTATCGTCCTATGAATCCAAAAAGTAAACATTCATGCCTCAAACATATTTACAACTTCCATGGAAACCATTATGCCGTTATTATTGGTCATGATGACTAATAACAACGGCATAAAAGGCACATGTTTTCAAATCCTATACCGGTATATAGAATTTTTTGCCAGCAAATTAACCCTTTACCTTCCGATCAAATTTCCCCAGCAGTTCCGAATGCAACAATTCTCACCTTATTCTGAGAATATCTGCGGTTCCAATCAACCAATTTTCACAATCTTGGGCATTCTGGAAAGCTCTCCACGAGCTGCGTACATTGAGCTCAAACAGGACACTACCAAGATCACATATCCAGCGCCAGGGAGCTTCAAATACACCCCATCGCTGGATATACGAGGAAATTCTCTCCTCGCCAGCCATTTCTCGCTCCTTCATCATAAACATTCCAAATTTTTTGCTTGAGTTTCTTTTCATGCTGCCCACGCGCTCAAAGCATGCCAAAGCGACTCAGCATGTCAGGAGAGGGGAAAATCCCCGCTCAAGGTCAGTCACTCGGAAAGAAATTCGACTTTTGCCGTAGCTGGAATGTCGAGCGTAATATCTTTGGAATGCGACATCGCAGCTCTTTACCGATTGATGCAATGGAAAGCTGAGCTCTTCGGCTTCTTCCTACAGTCCATTCAGAAGAAGATGGACTTCTAGCTTTTGGCCATAAATGGGTCAAACGTTGAGCTTTTTTAGAATTTTTTTCTGCAATCCCCTATGGAATCCTCTTCCAAATATGTTTCTGAAGTCTATTTCTCCAAAAAGCAAGCCATGGTGAGAATAGGATTTCGGCTAGGTTTAGCCCAAAGAGCACTGAATTGGGGACATCCATCAAAATCCAGGCCGTTTGACCCTGCCTGCAACAGTGCATTGTACCCTTTTTGGACCCTTTTTCAAATTTCTAATTTCACAGCACTGCACTGTGTACGATAAAATCTTGAAAAATCGCCTAATACGGGAGCTCGCCAGAGCCAGGGCCCATCTTTTTGTGAATGGACTGTAGATACTTATTTCTTTAAATTCCGACAAGAATCGATCGAGCTAGAATGTTTTAGTGTATGCATGTCCATCGATCTCTAGAGATCGATTCAAGTACGCACGGATGGTGAAGGGTTAAGAGAGAAGGTACTTGTGTGGGGTTCTCAAGCCTGATTTAGGACAAACCGTGATTCTAATTTGTCCAGAAATGGTTTTTCACCTGCAAATCTGTACAGTCATCAATCAAAGTTAGACCAGTCCTGATTGCCGCTGGAGCCAGTAGTTTCAATCAAACAAATCTTGCATATTCTGAATATTTTTTACGCGTGTGCGTGCGTGCGTGTGTGTGTGTGTGTGTGTGTGTGTGTGTGTGTGTGTGCATGTATGTATGTGCATGTGTGTGTGTGTGTGGCGTCCATGCTTGCGTTTCACATCATACAGAAACTTATTGCACCAGGATACTTGACTGGTCTGTCACCAGACCCTGAAGATCCTACCAAGCCACTTGGTGATCGCATAGTCGACACTATTTGCTCATGCTTCAGTGGGGCAAGCACTGATGAAGATGTGCAGCTACAAATCATCAAGGTTTGTGAGAATCTTGCTTTCTGTTTCCGTAGCTATTGCGTTGCCGTGCAGTTGATCTCCATCTGTTTCTATATCTGGATTACAGACTAATGTATCTATTATTGCGGCCGCGGCCTTGACCGGTTGACCCCAAAGTTTCGCCCAATGCAGCCCACTCAAACAATGCCAGAATACAAGCAGTGGGCCTAGAACAGATCCTTGGGGCCCCCTGCTGGTATTACTTGCCACTCACTGAAGGCATCGCTGACACGAACACATTGACGGCGGTGGATGAGATAGTTGACGATCCTTTTCAGGGCTATATCCTTCAGGCCGAGGTGTTGGAGTTTCTTGTGGAGACCGGCATGCTAGACTCTGTCAGACTCTGTCGAAAGCTTTCGAGAGGTCAAAATGGAGGCTGTGATGCAAAGACCTTTATCTCGGCTCTCAGAAACCTCGTGCACGAGTCTGGCGAGCTGGAGTTAGGTGCTGTCATTTATTGTTTACACGAAAACCGGATTGGTCCATTGGAAGGAAGGGTGTGACGTGCTGGCAGAGTCTCTTGTGGACAATCCTTTCCTGCACTTTGCTGATCACACTGAGACGTGATATGGGCCTGTAGTTCGTTAGCACTGATCGGTCGGCTTTCTTGTACAGTGGGCTCACGGTGGCATCACGCCAGTCCTGTGGTTGCTCGCCTCTCCGTAATGACTCATTGGAAAGTTGGGAGAGTGACGGTGACAGCTTACGGGCTGTGGTTTGGAGGAGTCTGGTCGGGATGCCGTCACGTGCGTATCCCAGCCCTGCCCCAAGGGCGACTGGACCTGACAGCCTGGGAGCGGACTCCCGGATGTACATAACCTATATTATAGGTTACTGGGATATTCAGAGTAATGATCATGGCTGTGATGGCCTATGGTGGTGATGATGAAGCTGATGCTGATGATTACATGCTGTGGTTGTTCTGTACACTGTGTGCTGTGTTGCTCCATGCTACGCAGGCATTGTTGACGATGATGACGTCGGGTACATGCTCAGTGCATGAGGGTTCTCTCCTGCAAGTCATACGTACCTGTTACAATATCTTCCTGGCATCCAAGAAGCCCATCAACCAGGTACGTGCATGTTCTTGTTAGGAAGGTGAAAGGAATGAAGAGAACAGATATCAGATCAATTTGAATTTTCGTTTGTTCTCAACGACCGTGCTGCATGTGTACGTCGTAATGGGCTGTTGTGGTAGTTTGATCTGGCAACTGTTGTGATGGATTGAAAGTAACTACATCCGGCACAAAACAGACTTGAGGCCACACTGAAGAAGGTCTGTGGTTCGACTCACCCGACCGACCGTACATTTTTCAGCCCGACCGTAACTTTTTTTCGGCAGGCTGTCGTGTGACTGACGTACGTGGACTGAACACGTCCACGTCTACGTGCTGTGCAGCGTGAGTCTGCGGACGCAGGCGGCCCCTTTTGGACTTGACTTGTAGTTGTACTGCAGTGCAGTGAGTGGTATGACTGCTGCCTTGTGCTGGTAGTAGAGTCTACTCGATACGACCACCGGCAGACTGGCGAGACTTATTTTGAAGTGACCGTCCGGTTGAGAGTGATTGCCTCGTTCCAGATTAAGGACGGCCTTCTGTTTTGGGATGAAGGACAGACGAGATTGCACTTTCCTCGTGTATTGGGAACGATATTTCACCTGTACCGGTAAGTTGCTGCTCCATGTGTGCAAGCACAGGAAGCGTCGATGGAAAAAGCCCATGTATTCGTGCACGCCGACACCAAACTAGCAATACATGTACCGGTACATTGTACAATTTGTACTTCGAAGTAGTTCCCGAACTTACTTTCAACTCGCATCGTTCTTCATTTGCTTGATGATTTGGACAGTCAGAGTCACCGCTTGAAGTTATTCTCTTCTCGTTCCAGAGCTACACAATGTTTCAAAGTATTAGCCAGTGATCCCGTTATACAACATGTATGGCATAACACTGCGTAATAATGCCGATGTACTGGGTGTCTAAAGGCAGTACAGTGTATTTACATGTACTAATAAATATATTTAAAAAAAAAAAATCCTCTCGCCCGCCCGTAAAAAAAATGTCCATGTTAGTCGAACCACACACCTTCTTCAGTGTGGCCTGAAGACTGTTTTAGCCACATGGTACATTCACTAAATTGTATAGAGAATTTGTTGCATTTGTTCAATAACTAAGGCCACACCAAGTTATTTCATTGTTTCTCGTCACCTGAAAATCTCAAAAGGAACGCGGGCGGGCGGAAAAAAAACAAAATAGGGTTTGAAAAACAAAAACTGCTATTTACACTACAAAGGCCCAATTTATGACCTAAAATCAGACTATACACCACGCGTGACAGTTTACAAGTTTACCGATGCCCGGAACACTGTCAGTCCAAAACGGTGCACTGTCATGCACTGTCTTGACTTGTACCGGAACTGTGTGTAGCAAAGAAGACGACCAGGTCGTGTGGTGGTGTGGTACTTGAACTACCGGTATGCGTACATACACGGTGCAAAAGTCGTCCTTCGGTTCGTGCACTAGCACTGCACTCCAGATTTGACGCCGCGCGTACTTTTACAACGCCTTTTTATGCGTGTTTACCGGGACGCGAGATTTTTTTTTTGGTCCAATCCTCAAGAAAGGTACGCGCGGTGACGAGAAACAATGAAAAAACTTGGTGTGGCCTAATGGGATAATGGGATGAGTTTCAACTAATGGGATTTGCCATAGACTTTACAGATGGTCTACAGCACTATGTTGTACATGCATGTGGTGGACAGGAGACTGCACTCTTGAACATTATCCTTTCATGTTGTCACATGTTGCACGTTGATACTATTAGTGTATTGTAGTTACGAATTGTGTACAGAACTGTCACATGCTGCAAGGGCAGTATTGTCAAGACATGCTAGGTCGCTTGCAATATTGGTGCGGTGCGTATTACTGCTATGCATTTCGCGAGTGTAATAATTATTTTGTTAGTCGGTTAGAAGTACATCACGAGTGCATGTCTGTTACGTCTACGTCGAGACACATTTTACAACACAGTAATTGCTATGCGTGTTCGTACCACGCCATGTTCACGAGCGGAATATCTTGTGAATTGTTCTAATGTATTATATAAGTAGAATTGTTGACACACTAATTGGTTGCAATGTACATGTACTTACTAGTACTTGATCCGTTGCATTATCGCCATCCGCGGCAACTCCGCTACGATCTACTTGGCGAAACTTACTCTCGCTGACAGGGTGTGCTGTCACCCTGTCGCTGGGTGCAAGCACCCCTTGACAGACACTGTTTTCACCTCCGTAACCAACAATTCTTTATTCTTTCACTCCAGCACATTGCAAGTCATTATTAGTTTCTGCTTGTTCTGCATTTCAAATTATTGCTTTTCTTTTCGTTGCATGCACTCGTCCGCGCTGCACGCGGACTTTGGCAGTCGCCATATTTAGTATCTCTATGGCTACGATGATCATGCATTTTCTGTACGCTGCATTTTCTCTCTATGCCACGTCGTTGTGTGCATGCATGCAGCGCAAGCCAAATGCACGCACGCTGCACGTTTTGCTCGGGACAGCGATTTGGCGATCGTTGTTCGGTGTGTTCTTTGGTGTTCTTGTTGAAAACGAGTGGTAATGTCGATTAAAGGAGTTTCTGGGTTTTTGTGGTCTGCCTGACGATGGTTAGTTGCGGGACCAAGTCGCACCGCAACATTTGGTAGCAGAGGATGGTTTTCGAAGTAATAGTTGTAGTATAGTAGTCACGTCTAGGCAGTAGTACTAGAACTAGTAGTAAGAGTAAGACAGAGACTCAGTAACTGAAGCAAGAATGCCAGAAACCACGAAGAAGGAAAGAACACTGGCAAAGGCCCAGTTCACCAACAGCAGAAGAGCGCTGCTAGTAGAGATAAACAAGGAGGAAGCGGACAAGAAGGAGATACTAAGGGCACTGGATGGCCTCAGTGCTCTTGCCACATCCACCATCGCCTGTTGTGTGGAAGGTGATGCCACAGACTGGTATGAGGAAGTCCAGCTGTTGGAACAGCAATATGCCGAAGCGGTATCGAGAGCAGGGGATGTGCTGGAGCAGCTGAGAATAGAAAGGCCCAGCAAAGCCACCAGCATCAGCCACAGCCCCGCAACCAGAGAACGTGCGGCAAAAATCAGAGAAGTAAGGTCGTTGCTGAAAGAGAAACTGTATGACGAAGAAGATGAGGAAGAAGAGGAGGTACCAGGTGTGGATGTAAGTGAGAGTGCAGGTGTCTACCAGAGTAAAGTAAAAAGCAACGCACCTGTAAAGCGTACATGTATGTCTGACACGCCCACAACGTCAACCCAGGGAGGGGTCACGTCATCGTTGTCGGCGGTTACTATGGCAACGGCGTCGCGAGAGCCGAAGGCATCTGAGCTTAGCCAAGCCAGAATGAAACAAGAGCCATTAGCAGCCAGAACTGTGGCACCGAGCAGCACGGGTTCACAACGGGTACCCATGGCAACGGGTTTCGTGACTATGGCCACTGGCACAGCAGTCATACAGAGTACACCAAGTACATCAGCTACTACTAGGGACTTCACCCGGCGTACAGGTGCGCCATTGGCGTTGAGCCAGCAGTACCCCGCACCGAATCCGGCGTACACAGCACCGAATCCGGCGTACACTGCACCGAATCCGGCGTACACGGCACCGAATCCGGCGTACACTGCACCGAATGCGGCGTACACTGCACCGAATCCGGCGTACACGGCACCGAATCCGGCGTACACTGCACCGAATCCGGCACCGCAGCAGCAGTCTCAGTCGGCACCGCAGCAGCAGTCTCAGTCGGCATACACGTATACGCCTCAACAGTATGCACCGCAGCAGCAGTCCCAGGCAGCATACACGTACACTCCGCAACAGCAGCAGTTCCAGCCGTCATACACGTACACTCCGCAACAGCAGCAGTCTCAGCCGTCATACACGTACACGTCGCAACAGTACCTACCGCAGCAGCAGCAACAGCTGCCATCGACGTATACGCCACAATATCAGCCGCAGAACGTGCAACAGCCACAGTACCTGCGAACAAGTCAGCCACAGACAGACATCACCAAGCACATGAAGAAAGTTTCTATTGCCACGTTTGCCGGCGACAAACGGGAATACGAGGCTTGGAAGGCGGCTTTTGATGTATCCATTGATCAGCAGGCAACTTCAACAGAAATGAAGATGCTGCAACTTAGGCAGTACCTGTCTGGCGAAGCTCTGGCGGTCGTACAAAACCTGGGTTTCACGCCATCAGCGTATAGTGCGGCACGCAGACGGCTTGAGAAGAGGTACGGCGGACAGCGGAGGTTGGTGGCCGTCCATATGCAAGAACTAGAGGACTTCCCTGCAGTGAAAAACAGAGCAGCAGACTTTGAGAAGTTTGCAGATTTGCTAGAGGTGGCGGTGGTAAAAATGACGGATGCCGGCATGACCAGTGAACTCGGTACGGGTACTTTGTATACACGTATGCAGAAGAAGCTTGCAACGGAAAACCTCGTCCAGTATCATCGCTGGGTACAGGAGACCAATGCCAATGAATCTGTGACGACTCTTCTAGATTGGGTGAATCGAGAAGCCGAAATAATGGCTACAGCGTCGGAAACCATTGACGGCATCGCCAGTACTGCCAGCAGCAGACAGCGACGTGGTGGTTTCAATGACCGGAAACCGAGAAACACAGAGTCGTCCGGAAGAGTCTTCCTAGCAGAGAAGAAGAGCGAGAGCTGTGCCGCTTGCAGCGAGCAGCACCCAGTCTGGAAATGTCCGTCTTTCAAGGCAAAGACCGTGGATGAACGATGGGACCTGGCAAAAGAGAAAAGGCTATGCTATCGATGCCTTGGGTCCGGTCACTGTGGAGCGCAGTGTCCCAGAACCAGACAATGCGGTGTGGATAAGTGCAGCGACACCCACAATTGGTTGCTGCATCGTAAACCGAAGTTCGACAAGGTACACAGCGAACCGGATCGCAGCACTGAAGGGGAGCGACCTTCAAGGCACAACGTCGGCAACGTTATGTCAGCGAGTAACGTCAGCGCAGCACCAGGGTCACTGCGCACTGTGCCAGTGTTGTTGAGCAACAACGAGCGGACCATACGGGTCAACGCGTTCCTGGATGACGGCGCGACGCAGACGCTGATCAGCGCAAGTGCCGCAGGCGCACTTGGTCTCCGCGGAGAGACGAAGAGGATTACAATGTCTACTCTGAATGGGCACCAAGAGACGTTTCAGAGTATGCCAGTCACTGTCACACTGTCTGACTTGACCAAGAAGACAAGCGTGGACATCTGTGCTAACACGGTACCAGCAGTATCTCGGTCGCTAACACCAGTAGACTGGGAGATTGTCAAGAAGAGCTGGCCACACTTGGAGAATGTCAAGTTCCCGAAGCTCAGTGATTGGTCGACAGTTGACCTTCTGATTGGTATTGACAACAGCAGCCTGCATGTATCGCTAGAAGAAGTCATCGGTGGTCCAGGTGAGCCAAGTGCCCGGAGAACACCACTCGGCTGGACATGTGTGGGTCCCATCAGTCAAACGGCGGGAGACTCCCGGATGTCGGCCAGCGTGCACCATTGTCTGATGACTCAGTCAGACGCCGACCTCACTCAGCTGGTGAGGAAGTTCTGGGAAGTAGACAGTCAGCCCGCGGCAGATGGAGCGGCACTTCTAACCCCAGATGAGCGACATGCACAGGAGACGGTCGCAAAGTCGATCAAGCACATTGGAAGCCAATACAGTGTTGGCATTCCATGGAAGGATCACCCGCCCGGAGCTAATGCTAGCTACCACACTGCTCTGAAGCGTTTGGCCAACACCGAGCAGCGGCTGAGGCGAGACGCAGCAGTCGGAGAAGTCTACGCCGCTACGATAGCGGAACACATCAGCCAGGGCTATGTGCGCCGGGTTGACGCCGCAGACGTCAACGACGGAAACGCGTGGTACTTGCCCCACTTCCCGATAGTCAAGCCGGACAAGACCACAACAAAAGTACGCATCGTGTTCGACGCCGCAGCGAAGTCGAACGGCAAGTCATTGAACGACTTCATCTTGCCCGGCCCCAAACTACAGCAAGACCTGGTGAATGTACTGGTTAGGTTCCGTCGTGAGCCGATAGCACTGGTCTGCGATATTGCCCAGATGTACCTCCGTATCAGCCTAAATCCAGACGACCGGCGCTACCATCGATTTCTGTGGCGCACAGACCCAAGTAAGCCACCGGAAGTTTACGAATTCTGCAGCGTGGTGTTCGGTGTCAATGCTTCGCCATTCCTAGCGCAGTACGTGTCGCAGCAGCATGCCAGATCGCTCAGCTCAGAGATGCCGCAAGCCGCTAGTGTCGTGCTGGACTCCACATACATGGATGATAGCATGACGTCAGCACCTGATGTTACAGCAGCCAAGTCCTTATATGCGGATTTGTCGGATCTCTGGGGCCAAGCGAACATGCACGCGCGGAAGTGGCTCTCTAACTCGGCGGAGGTTCTGGCGGAGATCCCACAAGCTGATCGGGCAAGTCAACTGGAGCTCACGGACGAACAGCTGCCGAACATCAAGACGCTCGGCGTCCTCTGGCAAGCCGAGATCGACATGTTTACCTTTCAGTACAAGGTGCCAGATTTCACACGTCTGACCAAGCGGCAGTTTCTGCGTATTCTGGCAACAATATTTGATCCGCTCGGCTTTCTAGCCCCGTACATCGTCCGAGCCAAAGTCCTGTTCCAATCCATGTGGATCGAAGGCTTCGATTGGGATGCAGACTTGCCAGATGATCTCGTCAGTGCAGCTGAAGCGTGGTGCGCCGAGCTACCGGATTTGAAAAGAGTTCAAATTCCGAGGTGCCTGCGACAATCAGCAGCGACAACAGCAACTAGCAGCGTGGAAGTGTTTGTGGATGCCTCCGAAAAGGCGTTCGGCGCAGTCGTCTACATCCGGCAGCAGTTCAGCGATGGCAGCGACTCAATGCGTCTCGTCGCGTCGAAGATGAAAGTCGCCCCGCTTGCTGTCCACAGTATTCCGAGGCTGGAATTGATGGCCGCAGTTCTTGGTTTGCAGCTAGTGAAGTCTCTTCTACCTTCGCTTGATCTCACAATGAGTACTGTCACGTTCTGGTCTGACAGTGCTGATGTCCTCTACTGGATTCGTGGACAGAGCCGAAAGTACAAGCCGTTCGTTGCCCACAGAGTCGGCACGATTCAGACAGCGAGTGATCCCGACCAGTGGAAGCATGTAGCTACTACCCGCAACCCAGCCGACCTGTTGACGCGTGGTATGTCTGCAAGTCAGCTCGCAGATTCCCAGTTCTGGTGGTGCGGTCCAGACATGTCCGGGTTACACACGCCGTCCCCAGGAAAGGCATTGTCAGCAACAGCGGTGGCAGAGCTGAAGAAGCCTGCAGTTGAGATAGCTCATTTCAGTTATCTGGCGATCGCCGCCTTGCCCGCATTGGATCCAGAGCGCTACAGCAGCCTCCTCAAGCTGGCCCGGGTCATTGCCTGGATCAATCGCTTCTCAAGCAACGCAAGACACCTGAACACTGAGCGAGTGTCAGGCCCCCTGTCCGTAGATGAGATCCGCAGCGCCGAGTATGTCATCATACGTCAGTGCCAGCAGTCAGCCTTCCCAGGGGAAATCAGTGCTCTACAGCGGGGAAAGCCTATCTCTCCTAAGAGTGTGCTGAGCAGCTTACAGCCGCAGCTCGACGAAGATGGTATTCTGAGGTGTGGTGGTCGGTTGCGCTATGCAGAGCATATTTCGGATGATGCCAGGTGCCCGATCATTCTGCCCCGCTCGAGCAGAGTAACCACTTTGATAGTGAAACGAGCACACGTCCGCCTGTTTCACGTCGGTGGAACCAACCAGACCTTGGCAGCGCTCAGCCAACGGTTTTGGATAGTTTCGGCCAGAGAAGCTATTCGTGAGTATGAGCAGCAGTGTCAAGCGTGTCGACGGCAGAAAGCAAAGACCCTGCAGCAGGTCATGGCTCCTCTACCGAGTCACCGTACGAAGCCGTCATTGAGTGCGTTCGCTACAACCGCGGTTGATTTCTGCGGACCATTCTTCACGAAGCAGGGTCGAGGACGAGCCCAGTGTAAGCGGTACATGGCTGTCTTTACTTGCACCGCTACGCGAGCAGTTCATCTCGAGCTGGTGAATGACCTCACCACCGATGGATTTCTCAACTGCTTGAGTCGGTTTGTCAGTCGTCGTGGAACGCCTACAGATATCATCTCGGATAACGGCACCAACTTCGTCGGCGCAGTCAATGAGCTGCAACAGTTGGTCGGCGAAGTCAACCAGCAGCGAGTAGCCAACAAGTTGTCTGCTATTGGAGTGACTTGGCACTTTAACCCACCAGCAGCACCTCACTTCGGAGGAATTCATGAGTCCATGGTCAAGAGCGCCAAGAGAGCAGCCTACGCCATACTCACCCGAGCAGATATCACCGATGAAGAGCTAGCAACGTGCTTTGCCTCAGCTGAAAGCATGCTCAACTCGCGTCCCCTAACGTATCAGTCAGCTCACCCGTCGGACGACATTCCATTGACGCCAAACCACTTCCTCATCGGCCAAGTCGGTGGTCAGTTCGCACCAGCTTGCAGCGAAAGTAGCTTCAGCCCGCGCAGGCGCTGGCGCACTGTGCAGCATCTGATTGGTCAAGTGTGGACTCGCTGGATGAGAGAGTGGGTACCTCTTCTCAACCCAGCCAAGAAATGGAGGCAAGAGTTGCCAGACCTGAAGGTCAACGACGTGGTGGTAGTGGCATCTAACGATACACCACGTGGGCAATGGCCGTTAGCACGAGTAATGGAAGTCTATCCCGGTAAGGATAACCATGTACGAGTGGTGAAGCTGCGTCTAGCAACCGGTAAGAGCCTTGTGCGGCCTATTGCTAAGCTATGTCCGTTGGGTTGAAGCCCCCGCGGTTCATCAAGGTGGGGAGAATGGACAGGAGACTGCACTCTTGAACATTATCCTTTCATGTTGTCACATGTTGCACGTTGATACTATTAGTGTATTGTAGTTACGAATTGTGTACAGAACTGTCACATGCTGCAAGGGCAGTATTGTCAAGACATGCTAGGTCGCTTGCAATATTGGTGCGGTGCGTATTACTGCTATGCATTTCGCGAGTGTAATAATTATTTTGTTAGTCGGTTAGAAGTACATCACGAGTGCATGTCTGTTACGTCTACGTCGAGACACATTTTACGACACAGTAATTGCTATGCGTGTTCGTACCACGCCATGTTCACGAGCGGAATATCTTGTGAATTGTTCTAATGTATTATATAAGTAGAATTGTTGACACACTAATTGGTTGCAATGTACATGTACTTACTAGTACTTGATCCGTTGCATTATCGCCATCCGCGGCAACTCCGCTACGATCTACTTGGCGAAACTTACTCTCGCTGACAGGGTGTGCTGTCACCCTGTCGCTGGGTGCAAGCACCCCTTGACAGACACTGTTTTCACCTCCGTAACCAACAATTCTTTATTCTTTCACTCCAGCACATTGCAAGTCATTATTAGTTTCTGCTTGTTCTGCATTTCAAATTATTGCTTTTCTTTTCGTTGCATGCACTCGTCCGCGCTGCACGCGGACTTTGGCAGTCGCCATATTTAGTATCTCTATGGCTACGATGATCATGCATTTTCTGTACGCTGCATTTTCTCTCTATGCCACGTCGTTGTGTGCATGCATGCAGCGCAAGCCAAATGCACGCACGCTGCACGTTTTGCTCGGGACAGCGATTTGGCGATCGTTGTTCGGTGTGTTCTTTGGTGTTCTTGTTGAAAACGAGTGGTAATGTCGATTAAAGGAGTTTCTGGGTTTTTGTGGTCTGCCTGACGATGGTTAGTTGCGGGACCAAGTCGCACCGCAACATGTGGAGTTTGCAACCTTTGCTCAAACTTCTTTTACAGAAGCTATGTACATGTACGCAATTGTGCAAGGATAATTATAACATGGTGTGCATTGGTGTGTGTGTGTGTGGGTGTGTGTGTGTGTGCACGTGTGTGCGTGTGTGTGTGTGCGTGTGTGTGTGTGTGTGCGTGCGTGCGTGCATGTGCTCTCCTTTGTATGGGTGTACAGGCAACGGCTAAAACCACGCTCACCCAGGTCATTCATGCCATTTTCCAGAGAATGGAGCAGCAAAAGGTCAGTGCCGTGTGTACATGTAGGTGTGCACTAGTGTATCATATTGTGTTGTTTGGGTACTGGATTGCAGACTGCTGCTTTTCACGTGTTCAGATCGTTTGAGGCAACAGTGTACAACTGATAGTTGCTTGCATTTCTTGACATTTCGATTCCCCTGATCAGTTTTTCAGTGCCATAAGTTAGTTGACACCAATCTAGTATGTGGTTACATTGTGTACAATTATTCTGTTCTGAGATGTTGATTTCCCTACGTTTGTGCTCTATGCCTGCATGTGTGTGTGTGTGCGTATGTTTGTGTGTGCATGCGCGTGTGTGTGTGTGTGTGTGTGCTTGTGTGTATGGGCGTGTTGTTTACAGGAGGAGTCGGTTCAAGATGCTCAATCTATGCGTGAATCAGGTGCTATTGCCACGACTAGCACACCAACACCTAGTTCCAACACTCGACTAGATCGACCCAGCCTCCCAGTTGCATCCATGGGTGGTACCTCGCCTGGCTTGGTACACAGAAATAACATGTCTGTGTTGCAGTCACCCACAGGGGGTGAGTTTGGGCCACCATCTGTGGGGGTGGGTGGGGGTGCGTGGCGGTGAACATGCATGTGTAAATGTGTGTGTGTGTGGGGGGGGGGGGGCATTCTGAGGACTATCAATTTCTTCAAAACATATCCCATACCAGTCTGGTTTTGCCAGTTGTGAAAAGGTTCGATCCAGTGCCAGACGACCCCTCGGTAAACATTCCATGCAATAGAAAGTGCATGCAGTGTACTGCAAGGGAGGTATGATGAAGTCCTAGGCCAGAATATCTACAATATTGCTTTACAAGTTAACTCTGATGTTATCTTTTGGGTTTCATTTGATTTGTTGTATATGACACTACCTGGCATTCTCTGATTCTCTCTTCTGACATGTTGGTCTCCTGGTGTGTGTTTGCGTGTGTGTGTGTGTGTGTGGGTGTGTGTGTGCGTATGTGCATGTGTGTGCATGTGTTTGCGCGTTCGTGTGTGTGTGTATGTGTATGTAGGTGCTGAATCGAGTGTGGACCGTGCACTCACTGTCCCTAGCGACCATGAGATCATGCAGGAAATTGCGGCTACCAGTGGTCAGCATACCATGTTTGGAAGCCAGGAGTTGCGTTCTAATCCTGGCTCTGCGCTGCGACCAAACTCTCAAGCAAGATTTCCCTCAAGCAAGGTATCACCAAACATGTCACATTCCTCTTCAAAGTCCTCTTCAAAGTCGGAGAGTTTCTCCGAAGCAGACACCAGTGGTGTTTTCCTGCCACCAAGTACACACCATGAGGAAACCGGTGTAGTGTCTGAAGGAAACGGATCGCCAGTGCGTGATACAAGCAAAGGCGATGGCGCCACCAAGGCCCGTGATACTGGCCAAGAGGCTCGTACTGTCAGAGATGGTTCGCAAAGTGTTGACGGTGAAGATACAGATGGCACGGCCTTACCGGAGCCAAGTGATAGTGCTACCGGCAGGTCCGGTGCAGTTCGACCACTACAGGGAGTGCCAGCATCGCAGGAGTATGCTGCCGACTCGCTTGATGACAACAACGGCGCATCGAATGCAGCCAAGACAGAGATTAGCAGTGAAGCTGGCTTGGCACAACACTGTGACACACTTCCTGAAAGTGTAACTCCCAGAAGGTCAGATTCCGCTGTAGATCAGAGCTCTGTAGCCGTGGAGGTTCAACAGGTTCTCAGTGAGATTGTGGACAGAGTGTGCAATGGTGAGCTCTCAATTGGTGAAATGTGATTGTAGACTGTCCAACTATGCACTGTAGACAGCTATGTGCCTTTGTGTGGACACGAGGGGCTTTCTCTAGCACATGGAGATTTTTTACATACCGGTATACCAAAATTGCGGAATACTAGTATGTGTAGTTGATTTGACGTATATGCACTTGAACAAGTCAATTCCTCCCAAATTGGTGCTCACGCTTCCTACCTAATTAACTGACACTTGATTTATTATCCATGCATTGACTTGTAGCAATGTGTCGTTTTCTATTATTGTGTCCTGTTCCATTACAGCAGCTGATGCTAGTGAATCACCGCCCAGAGTACCATCACGTGCACTCTCTCCAGTCAACTCAATGACAATAGTGGGTCCCAATACTGTGGCCTACGTTGCATCAGACACTGCTGGTGTACCAGCAACTGAGACAAGCAGTAAACCGAGCAGTGACGTTGCCAACCAATCGTTTGAAGCTAGCTGGGGATTTGAGCACGTCGTACAAAAGGATGCGTTCCTGGTATTCCGCTCCTTGTGCAAACTGTCCATGAAAGCTATCGAATCACATGATCCACGGTAGGTACCAGCAATCATGTATTTCTCTCGACGTATTAAAAAAATTAATTCTGTGAAGGGCAGAGCCTTGTTTTTGGGCCATGACAATATGATCGTAGTGAAACCAATTGATTTAGTCCTTGCATATTTGTCTGCTAGGGTTTACTGGGTGTTAGCGGCCGTCGTGAGTTCCCTTTGGGAACGGACACGATAATTTACTTTTACTTTGTCTGTTTAGCACATGAACACAGTGTCAGGTGGCAGGTGGCAGGTGGCAGGTGGCAGGTGGCAGGTGGCACTCTCCTATAATGCTATACACTGCATGCACCTGGTTCCTGTAGACTACACGTGCTAAGTTCTGAGTGTGTCTCCAGGAGATACCATGCATCCACTTGATCTGGTGCCTTGTTTGACTGGCAGGATGTACTGTATTTACTAGTACAGTAGTAGTATGGATGCTTTCACCAGACTAGTGCTACTGTCTGTTTCTTCTTCGTGCTGTGTCTAGTTCACATGAGCTACGAAGCAAAATTCTCTCCCTGGAATTGCTGCTGAGTGTGCTGGAAGGAGCCGGCCCTATGCTGCGTACTGATCCGATGTTTATCAATGCCATCAAGCAGTATCTGTGTGTTGCACTCAGCAAGAACGGTGTCAGCAGTGTGCCGCAAGTCTTTGACCTCTCACTCTCCATTTTCCTGGCATTGCTCTCGAACTTCAAGGATCATTTGAAGATGCAAATTGAAGTAAGCGTCTTGCAAGTGCTGTTAATTAAATGTTATGAACTGCTAGAAATGGAATACTTTGTTTTTAAAGAGTATGTGTTCGTTTGTGCTCATAGTTGGAAGGGCTGCTGTTGAGTTTACGTACAAGAATGTCATTGAAGGTATGCATGCTGGTACGTATGCATGCTGTGGATGGACTGAAAGCAGCTTCCTGGGTCATGCTTGGCAAGTGCACCTATCTAAAACCAGTACTTGTATCTTCTCGCCAAGTGTAACTCAATGGCAACTTTCTTTTGTCTACTTACCTGCTGCCAGGTGTTTTTCAAGGAAATCTTCCTCAACATCTTGCAGAGTACTACCAGTTCGTTCCAGCACAAACTACTAGTGACTCTTGCACTGCGCAAGATCTGCAATGGTTTGTTTTCTTGTGCTGTGCTACCTTTCCTGCTCCTTCTTCCATCTCTCTGCCTGCTGTCTCTCTGTGTCTGTCTGTCTGTCTGTCTGTCTGTCTGTCATTCAACCTGTCAGCCATGGTAACAAGAGCCACAGACATCAATTGTGTTTGTTTGCTTGTGTGCGTACACACACACACACACACACACACACACACACACACTTCCATGTGCCTGTGGATTATGTCAGAGGGACCATGCTGGGAGTCTCTATTTCTAACTAATTTCTTGGCGTGTGTATGCACGTGTGTGTGTGTTTGTGTGTGTGTGTGTCCGTGTGTGTGTGTGCGTGTGTTCGTGTGTGTTCATGTGTGCAGATGCCCAGTGTATTGTAACAATCTACTTGAACTATGACTGTGATCTATCACTGGCGAACATATTTGAGCGGTTGGTCAGTGACATAGCTCACATAGCACAGGGATCCAATGCTGTCTTGCTCGGTCATCCAACACCACAGCAAGAGAAAGCCATTCAATATGCCGTGAGTGCAGATCTCACTGTCTAGATAACTGTTGATGTGTTGCATAGGGTCTACAGCATGTTTGATCAACCACTGGCCTTGTGCCGCTCACGTCTCTGGCAAGTGTACCTGTAATGGGTACACAGGTACATGTACATGTACAAGCGAATTAGGAAAAGAAGACTTAAGAGAAGTCAAAGTTCCTCTTCATGTGCTTTTCTTCGCCCCTAGAATTATCTCTAATTTTTGCATGATTTTTAGGACTGCATGCGAATATTATTATTATTATTGTACAGTCATGTAGCTTTCAGCATGTTGAGTATGCCACTGCCAGTGAAGATCCAATGTTCGTATGCTTCTTCTGCCGCACTTAATGTTTAGCTTGGTAATTTTTTTTAATGATTGCAAGCTAGCATTCGGGCATGGTGCACATACCGAGTGCTGGCATGACTCTTTGACACTGATTGGTATGTATTGTGCTATTGTCGTGTGTGTGTGTGGGGGTGGGTGGGTGGGTGGGTGTGTGTGTGTGGGTGTGTGTGTGTGTATGTGTGTAGGGAATGGAGTGTCTGGTTGGTATTCTGAAGAGCCTGGTAGCCTGGAGTAGTGACCTGTATGTAAAACCAGGTGTAGCTGCCCTAGCTCAGCAGAGTGCTGGATACGAGACGGCGTTTCCTCTAACACGCGATCCTGTTTCTCGTAAGTAACTGCATGTACCAGTGCTGACTGTAGTGTTGTACTCAGTATGCTAACTACTGTGAACTCCGCTGTAAACGCACATTACCCATATGCAGATTGAGCTGGCCTGCATGCATTGATCCCAGGTACTGGCTACGGTTCGGTACATGTACACGTACATGACTAGCTCGAAAGGACATCTCACACCGTAGCGTGAAGTTGGATGCCAATTATTGTAATAGTCCCACAAGTAAACACATAATTAGCTATTAGCCGACTCAGTGTTGTTCTTATTCTGATCAGCAGAGAAAGAGCCTACATGGTTGCCTTCATCTTTGGCTGTAACGGCGAAAACTCACATCATGTGGTGTAGTATTCACTTTGTACGCTCTCTGTCAGTTGTTAATGAACAGTGGAGTAATATAAAAATTAATACAATAGCACTCCCTGACAGAAACCCACTGAGCTTATGTGAGTCATCAACATGATCATGGCAGATATCCGGTCTGCGGGCACTCGTTGCACGTACGTTTGTTTGTAGTGCGAAACGCACCTGGAACATGTGACGGGAGTTTTTGCACTCTGGTACCCATATGCAGAGTTGCACACTCTGGGATTGCATGATTCCAAAGAGCTACTGTCGTGGACATGGAAATCCAGTCGAATGACTGGGGCTGGCGCCCTCAGCGCATAGAGAATGTTGCAGGCAGTGCACATGTTGATCCGATGCGACCAGTGCACTACAACGCATAAATGAATGTGTGCTCGTACCGCTTATATTACTCACGGCTGCATGGCCAGCACCGTGGGGCCGCTAGACGTGCAACCGGATTTCCATGTCCACGGCAGCACATTGTACATGTATATCTACCGGCTCGTCTGCATGTTTCAAAATTATTCTCCTGGTGTTGGTGTCATTGCTTTATCCAGCGCGGTTGACCAGGAGAACACTGCCACTTGCTCGCTCTGACACCAGTCCGAACCCCGGTCCTAAAGGTGGACGTGTACATGAGAGCCCCGTGGAAAGTGCGTCGTCTTCTCAATCTCTTGGTGGATTGGATCTTCCTGAAGAGTTTGAAGTTATCAAGAAGAAGAAGGATGTCATAGAGGAGGGTCTAGTGAAGTGAGTGTGACATCCTTGTCTAACTGGAATGATTTTCCAGCCTGTGGATTCACACCGTCCAATGTTATTTTCTTGATCAACGAAAGGAGGTGATGATGATTTCGGCTCATGGATATACAGAGGCAGCTTTTGATGGTCAAGCTGAGACTCTTGGTGTAACCAACTTACCCATTGCACGAGTTGCCCTGTTCGGATTGTCCTTCTGTACTTGCATAGCTGGTGTTTACAGCAAACCATGCCTGTTTCCTCATTCCTGTTTTCCTATCTCATTTCTCTGTGCAGGTTTCACAAGAAGCCCAAGCATGGCATGAAGTTCTTGCAGGAGAGAGACATCGTGGGTCGTGAGCCAAGCGACGTAGCTCTTTTCTTCCACTCGGATGATCGCCTTGACCCAGTCTCTATTGGTGAATACCTTGGCGAAGCTGACAAGTACTGTATTGAAGTTATGTACAGCTACGTAGATTTACTCGACTTCACCGACATGGAGTTTGTGCCGGCGCTCAGGATGTTCCTGGCTGGATTCCGACTGCCCGGCGAGGCGCAGAAGATCGATCGCCTGATGGAAAAGTTTGCCGGTCGCTACTGTGAAACCAACGCATCGACGTCAGTGTTTGCCAGTGCTGATACTGCTTATGTCCTGGCATACTCCATCATCATGCTGGCTACGGATTTACACTCAACTAAGATCAAGCGGGAAAACAAGATGACCAAAGAACAGTACATCAAGATGAACCGTGGCATCAATGATCAGAAGGATTTACCATCAGAGTACCTAGAGAGTATCTATGATGAGATTGCCAAGCAAGAGATCACGCTACGCGGTGGCAATAAGTCCAAAGCGCCTGCACCCGCTGGCATTACTGACAAGACACGCCAGCAACTCAATGATGTAGAGATGGAGCAGATGGCACAGACTGCCAAGGCCATGATGGAAGACCGAAGCCATGTTCAGAGTCACTTTATCATCGCCACTCGCACCGAACACGCCAGACCAATGTTCAAGGTTGCATGGACGCCGTTCCTGGCTGCACTGAGTGTTGCATTGCGTGAAGACGCTCATGAGACTATTGTTGCTCTGTGCCTGGAAGGATTCCGTGCAGCAATACGAGTTGCAGCTATATTTGATGCGAAGGTATGTTGAATGTATTGTAGTTGCTAGTATGTGCCTGTCTCTACCATAATATATACCTTTGTATTTCTTCCACATGCACCACTGACAATACTAGGTTACTGATGCTCAGCAGGCATCTTTCTGCTATTAAAATGTGTTTGGTTGTGGGGGGGGGGGGGGGGGGGATTGCATGCCTAGGTGCGCGTACTCATGTATATGCTGAGGATTGTGTGATGTATTCTGTGGTGTGCAGCTGGAGCGTAATGCCTTCGTTCAAACCTTGGCCAAGTTCACGCTACTAACAAGCATGTCTGGTGTTGGTGAGATGAAGCCAAAACACATTGAGACCGCCAAAATACTCATCAGTGTTGCTGACACCGAAGGCAATTACCTGCAGGGCACCTGGGCTGATGTTCTTAATGTTGTGTCACACCTGGAACTGGCACAAGCCGTGGGTAACGATCGGCAGCGCTTGAGAAATGGCAGTATCTCAGTGGCCACTAGTAGTTCAACTATTGTGGCAGCAGCTGCTGCAAGTGCAAACTCGAGCAGTGGTGGAGGTGGTGGCAGTGGCCGCGACTCTGCATCCGCACAAAGTAGTCTGGAACTCCGCGATTGTAAGTCTGCTAGTGATGTTGCCACTGCTTCTGCTGCTCATTGTGGACTATTGAAGCAATGGTGGTTGTATAGATGCATGTGTGGATAGGCATGGGTAGGTGTGCCTGTGGTTTTTTTTTTTTTTTTTTTACAAAATCCACATATCTCCAGACACTGGGGTGAATAATGGAGTGTGGTGGTGGGGCCCATTAAGCTCAGCCGACCAGAGGTCTCGGCTTCATAGCTCCATGAACGCACCAAGTGCGCATATGCGTTTTTCGCGCATTTGCGTATCCGTTTCCATGTGTGCACATACGTGTATGCATAATATTGTGCATGTGGTGTTTCAACGTATGTGAGTAATTTTGGCTATTTGTATTTCAAATAGCTCCTTGAGACACATCATAATGTTATGTTTTGGCACTACAATACACTTTCTATCGTGGTGATGACTAGTAATATGTGCGTATTGCATGGGCTTGCTTCTGTATAGGTGCAGCTTGGGAGAAGGTGGATTCCCGAACGTTAGACGAAGCTATCTCTCAGACTGTAGTCGTTGCTATTGACAGGTCAGTGAGATGTGCGCGCGCGTGTGTGTGTGTGTGTACTTGTATGTGTGTCTATGTGTGTCGGTGGGTGTTTTTTTAGTTTGTGCCTGTGTGTATGTATATGTGTGTGTGTCTGTCTGTCTGTGCGTATGTGTCTGTGTGTGTGTTTGTGTCTGTCTGTCTGTCTGTCTGTCTGTGTCTTAGCAGGCCAGCTTGCACACTACACTAGGATATCTAATATTTATTATCCACTAGGATATCTAATATTTATTATCCACTAGGATATCTAATATTTATTATCCACTAGGATATCTAATATTTATTATCCACTAGGATATCTAATATTTATTATCCACTAGGATATCTAATATTTATTATCTATACACGCATACACGCAACTCATTATGCGCTCATGCTTTTGCTAATTGTGCCAAATTATTTTGCATACTTGCTGTGGTTAGGATTTTCACCAACTCTAACCTGCTGGATGGGAATGCCATATGTAAGTAATAGCAGTAGTACTGATAGAATGCTATCATGATCATGAAGTACAATGTTAGTAATGCATGTTTGACGAGTGCAGATCAAAGTTATGGGGTTTCCTGTCATGTTCTTCATGATGTCTCCCTGTCCATGCCTGGATCATGGGCCTTGCATTGTGATACAATAGTCTGTCTTCTTCTGTGCATTTCCGTGATCCTGGCCATTAGTGTATGAAGAGGAACTGCTAGGAGACCAATGCAATGATGCTAGGTTTGTTTCTTGTAGTTTTGAGTGTCGTGGCAAAATCTCAACCAGCGGATATAGTTAAGTGATGAAGTGTCGGTTGTAGAAAGTACACTCAGCCTAGTACAGGAAAACCTGGCTGAGCGACAACCCCATGGTGTGTATGCAAAAGCGGTCTTTAGTGAGGTTCTGCCACACGGTAAAACGTGCCAAAGTACGTATGGAAACTTCGCCGCGGGATTTAGTTTGATACGGATTTTTTCATACCGTTTTCCGTGTGAAGCACGCTTCACACGGACTGGACTCCGTGTGAAAAGTGAGCGTACAGAGTACATGTGGCGAGGTGTTCGTGCATGCTTCGAGCATGCTACGTACAGCAGAACCGGTGCAACGTATGAAAAATCCGTGTCAAACTTCACTGCAGTTGACACGGAGTTTGGTACGTAGTTCCGTGTAGCAGAACCTCTCTTTTATGGGCAGGTCACAGTGTGTACGTTTTGTTGCTATGTTCTGGTCAGACATGGTTGTTGGTATGCAAAACGTGGACCACTAAGGCAGTGATTGCTGAATCCGGTGCACCTTCTATGCAGAACTGCCCGTGCATGAATATACGACAGCCACTGGAGGCAGGTAGTCAGTTCATCCACTGTTCGCTTGGCCAGGTTTCACTGCAGTTGTTTATGCAAGGAGGCTATGGACAAGCACCCTGTAGTCGAAAGCAGCTGATATACATGTACATGTATCTCCTGTACTTCAAAATGGTATCATATCATACTCACGTATATCCCAGGCCAGACACAGATACTTATTTCTCTGTGTCTGCCCTTTTTCTAGAATTGACATACTGGTACACACACGTATTCGAGTAGCCAGAGTACTGGAAACAGTGGACACAAGTGCTTACATGTAGATCTGGTACTTGACATCACGTTACATTACCTGTGCATGCTTTCGTCCCTTGTCCAATGTCGCTGTGTGTGCGTCTGTGCGTGTGTGTGTGTGCGTGTGCGTGTGTGTGTGTGCTTGGGTTTGCAGTGGATTTCGTCAATGGGCTGATTGGTGCTTCGTTTGCTGAGCTGGAAAGCAGACCCGCTCCTAGGATGTTCAGCTTGCAGAAGATAGTGGAGATCTCCTACTACAATATGGGCCGTATCCGTTTGGAATGGTCACGCATCTGGGCAATCATTGGTGAATACTTCAACAGGGTGAGTCTAGTCTTCTCACTCTGCATGTGCTGTAGTATGATTCTAATCAGTTCTGGTCCATTGTGTACTATCCATGATACACAGTCATGATACAGCCACTATGATGTCCATTGTGTACTATCCATGATACGCAGTCATGATACAGCCACTATGATGTCCACTGTGTACTATCCATGATGCACAGTCATGATACAGCCACTATGATGTCCACTGTGTACTATCCATGATGCACAGTCATGATACAGCCACTATGATGTCCACTGTGTACTATCCATGATGCACAGTCATGATACAGCCACTATGATGTCCACTGTGTACTATCCATGATGCACAGTCATGATACAGCCACTATGATGTCCACTGTGTACTATCCATGATGCACAGTCATGATACAGCCACTATGATGTGCACATAGTGTGACTTACGGTATGAATGTGCAGATATCTCTGGATGGAGTCACGGAGTTGCTCTCTGCATGTGCTACCTGGTAGCCCAGCCAACGTCTGTCTTTGCTCTGCTGATGTACAGTTCTATCTGTTATGCAGGGATATTCACCTGCATGAATAGCCATGTCACGTTTGAATGTTCGGTATGCTGTGGAGTGAGAAACTATCGTTGGAGATTAAATTTTGCTATTTTCGCAACCATTGCACACATTCGCAAATATAAATCGTCGCAAATTACTCTGTGCATTGCTGTTGAACAACACAGATCGATCTGGGGAGATACAGTCGCGAACATGTTGTCACCGTGATCCAGTGAACTTCTTGAAAACACCACATGGGCACGCAGTGAAAGTTTCCCTATTTCCAGTAATGTTCAAAGGGCAAGGCTATGATGTGCACCACCCGATGAAATTATCATTGATGATGAATTCCGTTGGCCAGTAATGTGCAGGAAGGAAATCTGCATTATTTTTTTGACTGAGAATTTCTCTTTTTGTTGCTGTTACTGTGTTATCAGGTTGGTTGCCACAGTAACGAAGATGTTGCTGTCTTTGCTATTGACTCACTGCGCCAACTCTCGATGAAGTTCTTGGAAAGGGGAGAGCTGGCCAATTTCCGCTTTCAGAAGGATTTCCTGCGGCCGTTTGAATACATCATGAAGCGCAATATGTAAGTGCATCCGCTGATGGCTGCTAGATGTACTTTAGAAGTATATTCCTACTTGAATACTCAGGCAACAGAGCCTGTTTAGACGTCAGGTATGATATTGCTCAACCCAGAGCCTGGCTCGGGAGCCGTGAATCTGTCGCAATGATACGGATGCCAGCTCACTGTATCTGATCGAGCTTGGCCAAGTTACTGAAGTGGGATGGTGGTGCCCCATTCTATGTCGTCATCACCAGAATGCACCATCTGACACTGTGTGTATTGCGTAATGTCACCATACATCGTGAGGCACACTGCATAGTGTTGAGAGTGTATGTACAGTGTCTATACTTACATTGCTTATGTCAGCTCTTTGCATCGTCGACTGTGATGTGTTATGACCTTGCGAATGAGCACATGCTGCTGGCAATAGCATTACAAGTAGGATATGAGACTTAAAACTTGTGCTGGGAAGAGGTGCTGTGCTGTATAGTGAACTGCTGATAGTTATCAGTTTTTACAATGCAGCGAATACTCCCACCTACAAGTAGAGGCAGTCCTGCTCCAAGCACTTGACAAGCACAGTCGTCATGGCGCTGTTTATCATTCTTTGTTGTGTCCTTGCTTTCTCCGGTTGTTCCTTGCTAGGTCTCCGAAGATCCGTGACATGGTTGTTAGCTGTATGGCCCAGATGGTACACAGCCATGCCAAGAACATCAGATCTGGCTGGAAAAACATCTTTGCTGTGTTCCACCTGGCTGCGTCTGACCATGACCCACAAATCGTGGAGTTGGCCTTTGAAACCACCTGTAAGTAGCCTGGAGTCCCTCTGGTGTTAGACTGTATACGAAGACATATTCGATAGCACAAACATGACGGCGGGTGGCACTTTTTGTGTACTACAGCTTTGTACGGTATGCATGTTCATGCCTTTTTCTTAGGGAGTTAGTGGTAACTTGGATAACTAACGAAATTTACAAAATTGAAATCCCAACGAACATTTTGTGCTGTATACTTGAAGTACTACTGTTTAGTAAGAAACTTTCACTAGACATTAAATTTCGCTATTTTCGCGGCTATCGCACATTTGCGTACCTATTTTTTTTTATCGTGAACCGGTGCAATTCTTCAAAATGCAAAACTTTGCTTGCATTTGAATTCCCTGTGATTTGCTCACATGTCCAGCTACTACAAAGTGTAGCTTGACCGTGTACTGTTTACTTGGTACATGATGTCATTCATCTTCATGCACCCACACAGTACATATATTATACATTGTGATTGACCCATTCAACACAGCTACTCAAGTACGTATTTTCATTTCTTCTTGTTTGTGTGTGTGCAGCCAATATCTTCGAGAAGCATTTTGCAGCAACAATAGCCGCATCGTTCCAGGATGCTGTCAAGTGCCTGGCCGAGTTTTCTTGCAATGCAGCGTTTCCAGACACGAGCATGGAGGCCATACGTCGTATTGACATGTGTGCACGGTGCGTAGCTAATCAACCACACCTCTTCAGAGATACTGCAACGATGGAGGACACTATGGATGCAGAGGATCGTGTCTGGGTCAGGGGCTGGTTTCCTGTGCTCTTTGAGCTGAGCTGTATTATCAGTCGGTGTAAACTGGATGTCAGAACACGGTGAGTAGTAGTGTGGTCACTTGTAAGTTGTATGTGTGCTACTTGTTTCTATTCTCAATCACTCTCTCGTATAGCCATCGTGTCGTAATATTGGACAGCACTGCCCGTTCGATATCGATGTAAAAAATAAACTATAATACAAATACCATTCCTCCCTGGGCCTTGTTTCACTTGTACGCACACATGCATGCACACAAATGTAAACACACGCACGCACACACACACACACACACACACACACACACACACACACACACACACACACACACACACACACACACACACACACACACACATACACACCACAACGCCAAAACACCAAATTTCCTTGGTAAAGAAGTTCTGGGTTCCGAATTTATTTTTCGACAACAGCCAATCCAGCACTTTGTAAGTAGGATTTTGAGCAACTGATGCATTGCATTCCTGCACACTACACAACAATACTTGAGATTTTTTTGGTAATCCAGCACTCTCCCGAACCCAGCAGAATCTCTGTCGGACTAGAAACTTACCTAAAGGCACCAGTCTACTGGGTTGGAGAGTCGGCGAAACGGTCTAACCTTTGGGAAAGTTGAATGTAAAGAGGCAGTGTAGTCGAAGGTTGTTTCAGTTTCTTGTTTGGAAAATGTTTACTATCATCTGCAGATGACATTTTAGTACCCATAGTAGCCACGTAGTAACGAAGAAGAAAAGTTTTGAAAGAACTTATCAGATTGTAGAACAGCTGTCTGTATGTCTGTCTTTGCATGTGTGTGTGTGTGTGTGTGTGTGTGTGTGTGTGTGTGTGTGTGTGTGTGTGTGTGTGTGTGTGTGTGTGTGTGTGTGTGTGTGTGTGTGTGTGTGCATGTGTGTGTGTGTGTGCATACTTGCGTGCGCGTGTGTGTACAGTGCCCTGACTGTCATGTTCAACATCATGAAGACGTATGGTGCTAGTTTCCTCAATCACTGGTGGCGCGATGTCTTCAACATCATCTTCAGGATCTTTGATAATATGAAGCTGCCAGAGCAGCAGATGGAGGTGAGATAGTTTGTGGAAAATACCAATATCGTGTGGCCTCCATCTATGAGATATTGATTAGTCCAGTGCTGCCAATGCTTGTTTGGCGTGGGTAGCAATGTCGAACATTAAACTAATGGAGTGTTGTTTGTTATACTACTATTTTGTGGAGTGGACTCGTCTTGTACTAGTTGTGGTATGTTTGATATACCACTGTATCACTCGGTCACTGTCTTCTGCCACAACATCGGTCTGCCTTCACTGTCAGCATCAAGAACGTTCCTCTCCTGATCACTGTCTTAACACTTCACTCTGCTTCCTTACTCCAAGTCAACAGCAACCACAGCCACTTGCTATTGATGGTATTTTTCAGGCGGTGTGACCATCTCTTCAGGCATCACTCTCGTTTGCCTGCCACCTTTTTTGTACTTCATCTTGTGTGTGAACTGCTCATATCCACTCGATGCCACTCCTTAGTCTCACTATACAGTGTAGTCATTCATCTTTTCCAGCCTAACCAGCCATCTCCATCAGCCGTCTCCATCATCTAACTAGCCATCTCCATCATCTCCACCAGCCATCTCCATCATCTAACCAGCCATCTCCATCTCATCATGGCTACTTCGTTCCACTTTCAACTAGGCACCATCGATGGTTTTCATCCTCTGCTCTTCTGTCGATGTTCTTTGACCATCATACGTTGCTCTGCCTTCTTCCAGGAGCTACACAATGAACTTCCTTTCCCCAAACAAACTGAACTGGAGTTGGTAAGGAGTATGGTCTGCAGAGTTGCCAGTGGTTACTTCACATTGTCTAATTCCGTGCTCCTCTTTCACTGTTACTCCACTCCCCCTTGTGCAGTAGTCTTTTATCTGTAGATGGATTTTTTAAAGAATTTATAGTCTGTTTAGAAAGCGTACTAGATTTGAAGAATCCCTGGCACGAGTAGAAAGTATGTGGTGTTTCTTGGGACTGGAATGCAATTTACATGTATGCTCACCAAATTTGCCCGTCAAGTGTAAGAATACGTGGGCCACGCTTGGTCCGCCTGGAACCTGGAGTGCTTGGTTTCCAATGCAACACTGCCTAGCTCTAATTCAGCCCAATCCATTGTTTTTTAACTGTTGCAGTTTCAGTAAATACCCAGGATGATGATGGCTCCTGGCTGAAAATTTGATTGAGAAATTAGTAATTTGCAGCGAAGAGACCACTTGCTTTGATGATAGTGTGTGTGGTTTTTTTCATGTAATGAAGTGACTGCAGTGGAGCTTGTGGACCTTAATTAAATATTTGTAATTGAGTGCTTGCACATGCTGCTCTGTTTACTGAATCTTGTTCAGTTATTCTCTTTAGCAACCTGGGATAATGTTTTTGAAAGTCTATGCTTCTGAGTCTGTACTCCTCGGCACAATTCGGCCTTTTAATTTAAATTGACTTGTTCTCTCTCTCTCTCTCTCTCTCTCTCTCTCTCTCTCTCTCTCTCTCTCTCTCTCTCTCTCTCTCTCTCTCTCTCTCTCTCTCTCTTGCATTCCATTTTGTACTTGTTTTTTCGCCAGAAAACTGAGTGGATGACGACAACGTGCCCGCACACACTAATGTGCATCGTTGATGTGTTCAGTCAGTATTTTGAAGTACTTGCACCAGTGTTGCTGGATAACCTCTACAGTCAGTTCTCATGGTCGGCTCAGCAAGGTTAGCGACGCTGTGCAGTGCATGCCCTAACCAGTTCTGTACTGTATTTTCCAGTGTATAAACCCAGTGCTGGCAAACCGTCCGATTTTTCGGACAGTGTCCGATTTTTGAAGGCTCTTCCGAAAACCGGTCCGAAAAGGGAAACGTCCGAAAAGCAGCCAAAATGTCGGAGATCATTACTTTCCTTTGCAGAAGTCCTGTAGGCTGTACTTTCACTTTTCAGCGCAACTGAACTACTTCTGAAGGCACAAATCACTGTACATTTGCTTCTAAAAAGGCTAGCGCTTGGCTGTGGAAGTGCAAAGTAACATGCCTGGATCAGGCTGGATGGCATGTACGCTGACAGTGTTTCCAGAGTCAGTGTGCGACACTCATCATTACAAAATTCATGACAACTCCGGGGTTACCATGGCAACGAAGCAAATTTTCATGGTGTTTTAGACGATATTTTGAATTCTCTGTAAAAAAATTGCCGAGGGGAAAATTCGCACCATGTGGCCCGCCTTGGCGGTGAAGGGTGTCCGATTTTGGGCGAAAATTGTTTGGCAGCACTGTAAACCGCACTTTCAACGCCAATAATTCACCCAAAAATCGGTGTGGCTTATACTACGATGGTCAAATTATCGGCGGCAGTGAACCGGGAAGATGTCTGTATTTCGTGACAAAAAAAAGTCTGGGTGCCGGTTCTATTCCAGTGCGGCTTATACTCTGGAAAATACGGTACATGTAGCTTGTTGGAGATGCTGACTGACTATCTGTGCCATGTTCATTATCGTAGCAAAAACTTTCTTTTGCTGTCTGGAGTTGTGATGGGCTGCTACTTAGTTAGCTGTGGTGTGTTGTGCATGCACATTGTTTGTTGGTTTAGTGTAGCCTGAGAATAAGCTATTGGTCGCTTTTGGGCTGGAAAATATCTTGCTCGCCAATCACTGGTGTTATTGGTGTTCTGAGGTTATTTGTTCATGTACCGGTATGTGTCCTATGTTGTATGTCTTACCTTACGATCACCGCTCTTCCCACGGGTTCTCCTGGTCATTATCTTCTTCGCACATGGACTTTCCGATGTTTCGTTCTTGCTCGTAAAAATGTTTTCTAAAAAATAATTGTCACGGACGCATTTTGTTGGTCTGGAGAAAAGAGTGCATGGAACCGATACCCGAACCGTGGGAAACTATGCTGGCACTAGGGTACCCGCACATGGAAAACATGGAACCGTTTCACCCCTAGTACATATGTGAGCAGGTTGGATAGAAATCACATGTTGCCCCATTTTCAAATTTTCGAGAGAAAAAAAGGCTGCAATGGTTTGGGTCCACGTGCGCAGGCTGAAATAGTTGCCATTAGTTATGACTGCGGTGTGTGCTGAAGGTCTTGACCAAGGTGTCTTGCAAGTACGTCACCTGCTAACTCAGAGGAGTCAGTTGGCAGTGACAGTCCAAGTGAGCCGAGTGAACCACAGTTGAATCCTGAAGCCGCCTTGTTACTTGGTGGACAAGTGGTAATATTTAGGGGTGAAATGAGTGCCAAAATCAAGGAGTCGACTGCTCTTTGAGAAAATGAGCGAGTACGAGTATTTACTGACAACATGCAGGATTTTCACTAGTTTTTTCATGTTCATTGTGTTTTCAATAGCATAAGAAGGGCTTTCAAGAGAAAATTCCACTTCGCCCATTGGGGGGGGGGGGGCATGTGGTTTCTACCCGACTCGCTCACATACATGTATATTGGTGACCATGGCTACTGTATGCTGACATTGGGTGATGAAAGCTGACCATTATATTATGCTGTGTGTACAATGTGTGTAATGTATGTGTAGATAACAAGGAACTTGCTATCGCTAGTCTGGATTGCTTGGAGAGCTTTGTGACTACTAATGGCCGTCACTTCTCTCGCCTGTACTGGGACAAGACAGTGGACTGTCTGGAGAAGATATTCAGTGCTACACTGCCACAGGCACTGCTCATGTGGAGATCAGAAGATACCGGTGATCCAGGATCACCATATGATGTTGTGAGTTGTGTGATTGTATGCTTTTACTATACACTACATGATGCTGCTTCACCTAGCCTGACGAGCGGGGACTTTGCAATGTGGCTGCGTCGAGGAGAGCGTTGTAATGTAAGGTGTTGCATGCAAAATTGCCGCAGAATCAGAAATGTTAATCCTGCGCACCGTCAAGGGTTTGTGAACACTGTTTACCTTGCCGTTATTGATATACCAGAGCCAATGGCATCTTGTTGTATAGTCCTGCAGTGTGTAGTACTACGGGACACAAAGACTGACACACAAAGACTGTACTTGTACTTTATAACCCGGTTTGCTCTGTGGCTTGTTTCTCTGCTTGTATTTTATCTTTCTCCTTTGTAACTGTTATGTGCATACATGTGTGTGTTTGTCTGTATGTCTGTCTGTGTATGTGTGTCTGTATGTCTGTGTATGTCTGTCTGTCCGTCCGTCTGGCTGCCTGCCTGCCTGCCTGCCTGCCTGCCTGTGTCTATCTGTCTGTGTCTGGCTGTGTATATGTGTATGTGTATTTATATGTCTGTGTGTGGGTGTGGGTGTGTACATTGTGTTTGAATTTAGCCAATGATTCACATTCACATACCTCGCAAAGCGTCCATACAGAACATGGTACCATCAGTGACAGAGACGCGTGAAAGCTTCCATTCCAGCAAGACTGGCAGTGCAGCAGTGGCTGTCACCACACAATCACCCAAGAGAGTAGCACCGCATGGGTCCACTGAAGACGGCGGCGTCGCTGATGATGCTCAGCTGGATACGCCACGTTCTGCTCGTTCCGGTAGAATCCACCATCGTCCTCCGTCCCCTAGTGAAGACGATTCTGAAAGATCTGCTTTATCGATGACTGCAATGCCGTCAGATGATGAGCGTGCACTGGATGCTCGTGAGATAGGGACCGACGTTGATGCCAACGCTTCCGCTATGGATGGCAGCATTAATGCTTATCCACGTGATGCATCGGAGTCACCGGACTTTGAGGGGCCACGCACTAGTGAGTTGGCTGGTTGGTATCAGTATGTCTTTAGTTTTTAGATCTTTTCATGTGCTCGTTTGGACACAATGTACAGGGTGTGCAGACTATAGAATGTTTTTACATTTGCAGTAACTGTTACAATCGTGTAAGCGTCGCCAAGAGTGCATAACACTCAGGAGTGTGCAACTCCAGCTATGGGGTCTGCGACGGCAGAACTTTACATCACTTGACGAACCCGTACACATTATTTGCACCCTATGCATGATAGATACGGGCTATACGCAACCCTGCTTTGGGTTCAACTCTCTTGTGGTCACTTTGCACTGTTTGCCAACGTACACTACGTCACGTGATGTGAAGTTCTGCCATCGCAGCACTGCATAGAGGTTGTGTAGGCAGTCGCACACTCTTGGGGGTTATGTACTCTTGGTGCCGCTGATGACAGTTTCACTAGCCACATCTCTAGAAACCCAATCTTCAGACCGCTAGCTCTATTGCAGGGCGCGAAATAACGGTCGGACATAGGACAATTTCCGACCGTTTACGGTCAGTTTCCGGATGTTTTGTACACATCCGGACAAAGTGTCCGCGCACTTTTTTGCAAATTACAAAAATAAGGCACGTCAATCCTTTGTCTCATAGTCATTAGTGATGTCGTCTGGCAAGAGAAAGCGTGGGTCGCAGCAGCAGCCAAGGTCGGACTCTTTTCACGTCGTGATAACATTTCGATGGTATTAATTCTATACTGAACACTGTGTGATTTGATGTGAAAATTTGCATGTCCGGACATGTCCGGCCATTTTTGCAACTGGCAGGACATTGTGTCAGAGCACATTTTAATCCTTAGCGCATGCCCTGTATTGTAACTCTTTCTTTGCTCGTGCTTTTGTGTACACTCTTCTTCCGTATGCACCATTAGGTTCGGATGACAAGCAGCGAGTGTTTGGCACATTGGATGTACGCTGTCATGTTCAGCAATGCCTAATCCGTGCTATAGATCACATCATCTTTACGTCGGTTGGTAGTAAACATCAAGATCAGCGGTTGTTCTATGCAGCTGCTAAGGAGGTCAGTACTATCTACAAGTCGTCATTAGATATTTTCTTTGTAAAGTGTCAATGTACTGTCACCATGATATCAATGCTGGTGCCTGGCACCATCATGCAAAGATCTGTGTAAGGATACCAGCATATTTTAGCACATGTTCAGCTCGGCACGGAAGCAGTTGTGTGTATCTTTTGTTGCTAGCTGCAGTGTGTGTATGTGTGCCTGTGTCTATATGTGTGTGTGTGTGTGTGTGTGTGTGTGTGTGTGCCTGTGTCTATATATGTGTGTGTGTGCCTGTGTCTATATGTGTGTGTGTCTGTCTGTCTGTGTATGTGCATGTATATGTGTGCATGTAAATGTGTGTGTGTGTATCTGTGTGTATGTTTGTGTGTATGTTTGTGTGTGTGTGGGTCTGTGTGTATGTTACTGCTGTGCTCCACTGCTTGTTTTGTAGGCATCTCATTTGCCTATACCCAGCACAACACAAGGGCCCGTGTCAGCTAAATCTTCACCTGCTCACTTCTTGCAGAGTGACACAACAAATACTAGCAATTCCAGTGGATCGCCAGAGGCAATGTTCCCACAGCTGAGCAGCGCACAGCTATTGCGGCTAGTCTACCTGCTCATGGCGTCGCATGACTTTGCTAAACTCTTCAATGCTGACAATGAACAAAGAGCTGCATTGTGGAAGGCGGGTGAGTTTTGTCATGTGTGAACGGCGAGTGCATGCTTCACAATCTCCTTGCTGCTTTTGTTCTTGTTGTCTTAGGATCGTATATACTAAGTAGTGAAATGCCGGGTCACAATATGCTTATACCTTCTGTGTTGCCATCTACAGAGGCGAAAGGCTATGTAGCTGTAACTTTAAGTTTCACGCATTTCAGCGATCATCAGACAGCAGCATTTGCAAATGCTGCTGTCTGATGATCGCTACTTAAAATTACAGCTGCACAGCCTTTTTGCCTCTGTTGTGTGTGTATACTGCTCTGCACATTTGTGTATTGAGCACTCCACCTCGAGCTGCCTAGACCGGCCTTGTTTTTGCATTTAAAAAATATGTACATGTTTGTGTTTTGTGATGGTGTTCTCCGGGCGCTGGGCATCTAACTGAGGTTAACTCTGTCCACATGTGTTGTGTGTTTATGGAACTATTGGTGCTTATAGATTGTGATATTGCTGTACACATTGTATACCCCGGCTAATTACTATGGGCATGTGTGTGTGTGTGTGTGTGTGTGTGTGTGTGTGTGTGTGTGTGTGTGTGTGTGTGTGTGTGTGTGTGTGTGTGTGTGTGTTGTGATGTTATGCTGACTAGGTTTCCAAGGCAAGTCCAAGATCAACATGTGGAAGCAAGAAACCCAGAGTCTACTGTGTGTTCTGAGAATTCTCTTCTCCATGCTGGCATGCCAGCAGCATGCCTCCTGTGCGCTGGCTGTGGAGGAAACCCTCATCAAGTAAGATCGTTCACACCAACCATGCGTCAGATTTGTGCTGTTTTTGGTTCTCAGTCAGGACATGGGCAATCGCTATCCAGATGCAGCATAGGTGATGCTTGACGTAACCTTTTCGACTACATTTTTTGTATCTGCACTACCTTCCATGCTTATATTAGCTGAAAAATGGCCATCTCGCCGTTCGGATCTTGAATGTGCCTGAACTGTATTCATCAACTTCACAGTGCACCTCCCATGCCTTAGTCAATGCACAGTATATCACCCCCACCCCCACCCCGCTTGCACTGATTCAGTCAGGTGTGTAGCATCCCTGCTTGAACTGATTCGACCAACTGAACAAGATGCGACCGCCGCAATACTGCTGATAACTGTCTACACTGCCTATCCCCTTCTGGGTATTGCAGCATGTGTCGTTGCCTGAAAAAAGGAGTCCAGCAAAAGCCTGACTAGCTGGACCAAGTGCTTTGCCACTGCTCTCATATACTGTACAGGCAGAAAATGTTGTCGATGAATAATGTCGTCCAACTCCAACGAAAGGGAATTTGTGTAGTTGAAAATTTAGTCCATGGGCCATAAATCATATTGAAAAGCTGGACAAATCAACGTTAGTCTGGCATTTAATTTAGTCCGAAACTCCTTGGACGAAAAGACAAAAATAAATTCCAGACGATTATTTCTGCGTATACAGTATGTGCATGTCTGTGCAAGTTTGTGCACGTGTGTTAGCAACTTGTGTGACATTACCTAACTGTACGCGTACTGGTATGCTGTTGTGATGTGTGATTGTGTGATTGTATGATTGTACTACTGTACAGCATATGGCAGAATGCGGTGGCGTACTACTGCACACTGGTGTCATTGAATCATCGCACAGAGTGGCTACCGGTGCTGCTCTTTCTCATTGATAACTTGAAACGACTTGAGCCAATCAGGGTAAGTACCATGCAGCAAAACAAAACAACCCATTGTACCATTTGTATGTATGGCATTGAGTTTCTACATTTATCACCACACGCCTTGGCATTGTGCTGGTGACAATGTCTTAAAAACTACTTACTTCAGTAATGTAACTAATGTTAATGTACAGATTGTTACTTGTAGCTTTTTCTAAGTGATACACTGCGAAACTAAGACGTGGATATGTCCTCGCCTTTTTTTCTGTTGTGTAGTTTGACCGTCACTTGTTCCAGCCCGGTGCCAAGATTCTCTACAAGATGGTGACAGTTGACATGCAGGCAGAGCTGCGTTGTGTCCTGCGTGACCTGCTTGAACGCATGCATGACCGTGCGTGCTGCTTAAGATCCGCTGCCCACCAGCCTGCTAAGGCCGCGGGAGCAGCAGAATCAGCAATGAAGAATCCCCTGCAACAGCAGCAGCAACAACAGCAGCAGCAGCAGCAGTAGCCAGTGTACTGAACGCATTTTTTGTCTGTTTGTGTACTTGTATACATCCAGCAGAGGCTTGATCTGTAGCGATAGCTTGTCTTTATTTCAGGTTTCGGCAGAGTTTCCGAACGGCTTGAGCAGCTAGTCTACAATGACATTATGTAGCAGGTATGTCCATGTACTTAGTCCTATCTCATATCCCATTGGTCTAGGCATGGTGTGTTTGTTTGAATTGTTGCATCGTCTATTTTCTCTATTTTTCTCTACGCGATGGGTATATCAGTACTATTTTTACTCTTCTCGGGCCGCAATGCTTGCTGTCATATTTGCACTTTACCCTTATTGCTATGTGCTGTGTTTGTCTTTTTAGTCTGCTTAGTCTGTCCGTTGTCACCTAGAGAATTTTGAAGTGCATAAATCACCTATGCCGTGTGCCTCTCTACCTAGCTTATCAGCTAATATTTCCTGCCGCCGAAGCAACCATAGCTGCAGCAGTAGTAGCGATAAAAGCAACTTCAATGATATACGCATTAAAAACAAATACTCAAATACTCAAAACATTTCTCTTGCTCCAACATGTGCCAGTTTCTTTTTCTATTCTGTTTTCTAACATTGCTCTATTCAGCAATGTAGCCACTCTATATGATGGCCCGCTTTGTGTGTCCGAGTATTTGTTCTTCCGTTTGTGATGGTCAGACTCTATCCGAAAACTCATCAACAAGGATTATGTGTCTGTTGCCAATGCCCCACCCCCTCTGCTCATGAAATTTTCTTGCATGCGCTAATCGTGACTCATCATGTTTGCTATCCCATGTGGCTATGTCACTTTCCATCATTTTACTTTTCTGTCTTGTTGCTGGGCAATGATGCTGATATTTTTCTCCTTTGCTTTCTGCTCCACGCCATTTTACTGCAGTGTCAGGGATGAATCAACCCTGCGATAAGTTATGTAGACATTTTATTCTCTTTTCATTTTGCTTACAACTCACATGAGTTGTACATGTGTCCGATACCGGTCCATCATAACACTTCCTTGCTAGTCCGATACCGGTCCATGCATCATAACACTTCCTTGAATCATGTACAGTCGTGTTCTTTGGGAATGCCATAGTCATGACTACTGTTCAGTACACCTGTGAGGCTGTGACCATGTGTGTTCTTTTGCTGCTGGTTGTGTTAGCGGACAGGGTGACCGTGTGCATGGGCATGTGTGTGTGTGTGTGTGTGTGTGTGTGTGTGTGTGTGTGTGTGTGTGTGTGTGTGTGTGTGTGTGTGTGTGTGCGTGTGTTAATGTGTATGTGGTTGGTGTGTGTGGGTGGGTGTGTGTGGTGTTTGTACGTGTGTGTGTGTGGTGTGTGGCGGTTCTCTCTCTTCTTGTCGTTGTCTCCCGCTTCTGGGAGCGGCGTGGTCCGATAGGGTAGCTGTACATAGTAGTGTGTGTGTGTGTGTGTGTGTGTGTGTGCGCGCGCGCGCGCGCGCGTGCGTGTCTATGGTGTGTGTGTGTGTATGTGGTGTTGTTGTCAGTGATGTCTGGTAATTATTAGTTTACCGTATTACTGGTAGGTTTTCTGCCCAAGACTCGCGCCAGAATGACTACAAACCCTTCAAAGTTATTTCTGTTGAATCTACTGTCGTAGCGCAGGGTCATACACTGTTTCTTGATCTCGACTGTTCTGTGTTCAGCTAGCGGGCATGATGGCAGCCAGGGAGCCCTACACATACCAAATACCAGTATATTTTATTATTGGTATGTGTAGGGCTCCCTGACAGCAGCAACAGTACATAACCAGGTTGAAGTGCTGAAGGCTGAAGCCTGCTGAATATGACGTGACATCCTTGGAAGTAATGACAATTACGTGCGGCCTTGGCGGCTTGGCGTCGAACCAAAACTGGCCTGAGAACGCCACTGTACTCGCGATCGTATCAGAAATAATTACACACAGACAGAAGGCGTAAAAATGTTTCCTTGTTCATGTTGTTTGTCGATTCGGTTCGGACTGGCTTTGTTTCTGGTCATTCCCTGACTAATATTAAACCCAGTATTTATAGAAGGCTTTGAACAGCTACTGCATTCCCCGAACGTGATGTATGACTAATAATTTCTGTTGGTGAACCGATTGCATTCCAAGAGTAATTCTGCTAGCGGCTTGTAGGACACTTTGGCACTGAGCTGTGTGTGGAGAAAGAGCTAGCGACTATGTCCATTCGCGGTGAAAAATCAACATGGTCACCGTTGGAGACGCCGTTGAAGCTGCAGCACTTCGTGTGGGCTGAGGCGCCAAGGCCGGATATTCTGACCTCGTTGTTACCAGCGAAAGATGGTCAGGCACCGGTGGATACATCGTCAGCACGACTATGGGCGTGTGGCAGCCCTGGTATTCTGATTGCATCATTGGATGTGAGCACGGGATCATTGAGTAAGTACTCTATACCGAACCCAACCTATCCACCTAGATACTTTCAACGCGAGGAGAAGAGTGAGAAGAAAAGGAAAGATGCTACAACGCTGATGGCGGGTCTAGCTGACACCAAAGCTGTGTCCATGGTTTGCGTTGGCGGCACACAGCTTTGGGTAGGGACGGAGGGTCACTCGCTGCATGTCCTTGATGTACCGGGCTTCTTCACGCACCACGTGGCCGTAATGAGAGATGCTGTGCTGTGTCTGGCTACTGGCGAGTATCACATCCAGGATGGCGAGCAAGCTGAGGACGAGAACCGCCGCACGCCGACCCAATCCAGCAGTGGTACCAGTGCCGCCGATACTGACAATAGTGCTCCCAACACACAGTACGAAGTGCACGGTACAGCTAGAGGCGGCCTGCACTGGACGAAAATGACCACCGGCGGCAGCAGCGACGCCAAGTTAACGGTGAGGTACGTGCTGGCAGGTCTCGCTAACGGGCACATTGTCAAGTTTAGCTGTCTCAGCGAAGAGGGTGGTGATATGGAGGCGCCGTTTCAAGAAGCACCAACGGTAAGTGTAATGATGCACTGGTACACACATGGCCATAGCCTTCTGGGCTCTGAATCAACGCTGTTAAAGCAAGCTGCACTGCATCATTCATCCCTATCTCCTATCAAACGCAGTCCTATTTCACTTATGCATCAGCTGATGGTGTACTACTGTTGCTGCATCAGCTGATGGTGTACTAGTACTACTGTTGCTGCATCAGCTGATGGTGTACTACTGTAGCCGCATGAGGTCAATGTAAATGTAGCCCATAGTCAATTCTGACCGTAGAGGCAGTGTTACTGTTAAAGAACTTCTGTTTGAAATGAGCTCAACATCGTGATTGTGATGGGACCTGGTTTGAAATTTTGAATGCATACTACCTATTTTTTCTCTGTTGTAGCCTAAAGGCCTTTGGTATCGAATCACAGTAGAGTGTAGGTGGATAAGCAATTTTTATTAAGAATCGAAACGTATTCCTTTGCGCGTACAGATGCTACGACTTGGTGGAAGCCCAGTGAAGGCTATCGTCATAGCAGCGGACGGCCTGGCCTGGTGTGGTGTTGGAACTGAGATTGTGGTGCTGCAAGTGGAGACGCTCCGAGAAGTGACTCGTTTTGATGCTCAACCAGACAAGGTTAGTCCGCAGTTCAGGAGCAAGACGTGGAGCCCTCTGTGAATGTATTGTGTACTGTTAGTGCATGCACAGGTTGAAGCCATATTCCTTTTAAGTGTGTTGTAATGATTTCTTGTTCCAAGTATTTGTTGTCAAGATTTATTCATCTTGGGTTATGTATCAACAGATCCCCGTGCTATTTTACAATAATGTTGTGTGTGTGTGTGCGTGCATGCATGCATATATGTATGTGTGGATGCGTGCATGTATGGGTACTGTATATGCTATCCACTACAGGCTTACTCATCTCATCGTCGCTCTCTAGTCTCTCACCTTGTCTACAGCACACTGGGTATTTGGAGTGCATGCTGGCACACAAACTCTGTACAGCTATGGGATACAAAGACATTCAGTCGGCGCACATCTATCCTATCCTTGTGAGTCACGCTACGGAGATCAGTAGCTAAGTGGGTTTGCTGGAAAGTCATGTGCCGGTCTTTTAGTTCGGAACTGTTTTATGGCATCCGCACAGGTGGTTGAACTGTATGAGTAGAATGTTGTTTCGTATCCCATAGTGTGTACGCCTGGCGCACAGTGCACTGGCCAGAACTGTGGTGTATGTATTCCTATAAGGAATCTACTCCCTATAGCGGAACCACTCCCCGCAGAGGATCCACTCCCTATAGCAGATCTGCCATCTATGGCAGCCCCGGAGGCTGTGGTAGGTCTGTTCCCAATAATACACTGTAATAGGTTGGTCTGTAACAGGGTGCCCAGATATACATGCATATCCGTGAGCATGTGAGTCCCCTCAACTGAAGATCTGGATAGGCATCGCGTAATAAACGAAGGGATTCAGAAGCATGAAGAGTATTGAAGACAGAATGTAAACGTCAGGATTGGGATCAGGAAGAAGGAAAAGAAAACATGTACAGCTGTATAGTGATATAGCTGTGAAAGCATGTGGGGATTGAGTCGAAAGTATGTGAGGATGGTGTCGAAAGCATGTGGGGATCGAGTCAGAAGCAAAGAGTGGGAAAGCATTGAAACCATTCCGAGAAGGAACTCTTGCAGCCTGTAAATTAATTGTCGGATAACCAGTTACTGTGTATCTATCACACTTCTGTGTGGATCTAGTCCAGCACATGTACACTCCAGTCTCTCCGGAGGCGTGGGTTCGAATCCCACCGCTGCCACCAATGTAGTAGCTGGCCCTCGGAGACAATTTCACACACTCAAACAAAGCACTCACTTTGTGGTTTCACGAATACTCGTTAGGACAGAATTATTAGTTACACACTCGGCAAGTAAAGATAAGAAGTGAAAGGAGCACAAGAAAAGAACAATGCAAGAAGACAAAACACGCGGCGAACGGCAGCCATGTTTTTAGGTCATCAACCAATGAGCAATCTATATAAACCGGTCGCCGACGAAATTCTAGAATATTCCAGAGCTGTGAACTGTGATTGGTTAATTATGCCAATGTTCTAGAACAATAACACTAGCAGCAGGCATACGGGTAAATACGGGTTTAGCCATACACGACTCATACATTACTCACGAGCGACTCACGGAAAGGGTAATAACATGCAGATACAAAATACGCAAGGAGAGAAAAATGTAACTAACTGCCCATCTTGGGGTTTGAACCTAGGAATCTGTATCAACACAAGCTCTACAAATAAATACTCTTTTACTGCGAAAAATATACTTTCTATCAAAATGCAACTCCTACATAGACACGATTGATACGGTTGGTGTCATGATTCAGCTTATCCGCATTGGTCATCTTTTGTGATGTGTACATGTCCAGGGCTCATGATGAGCGTGCACGATGGGTGCAATCATCAGCGGACGTATCGGCCATGGCTGTGACACAGGGAATCCTGACTATTGGTACGGAAGGTGGCAGTCTTCTCCTCTTTGACATTGTGCCTTCAGACAGCTTGACCAGCGGCAGTGCATTCCGACCACGCTTTCTCGGCACCGAGGATATCTGTTCGGGCAACATCCACTGCATTGTTCCCATGGAGACAAAGCTGGACCTTGCAGCAGCAGATGACGCTTACGATCCAGAGGCAGATGACCCAGATTGTCCGATGCGTATCATGACATGTTGCGCCGCCAGATTTGATCAGCGCCGTGCCGATTCGACTGGCAGTACAGGCAAGGGAATACGAAGCCGCTTAAGAGCTAGTAGGAGCGGTGAAGACGAGAACGAGACGAAGAAAGTGGAAATTTCATGCTGGGAGTTCCGTTCTGCCCAGGATCATGATCGTCACCAGAGACTGCGCATTCACAACCAGTTGATGAGTGGTGCCACGCACAAGCCATTCAAGTTTCCCAAGCTAACCTTGGTCAGGGTTTGTCCGACTGCTGTTGTCACAACACCACTTGGAGATTGATGTCACAGACCGTATAGTCCACACAGTCAGTCCGCCATGCAGTCCGCCATGCAGTCCGCCATGCAGTCCGCCATGCAGTCCGCCATGCAGTCCGCCATGCAGTCCGCCATGCAGTCACGCCATGCAGTCCGCCATGCAGTCTTCGCCATGCAGTCCGCCATGCAGTCACGCCATGCAGTCCGCCATGCAGTCCGCCATGCAGTCCGTCAGTCCGTGCAGTCTTCGCCATCCTGAAAAGGAGCCGCATGACATGTACAATGTTTAAAAACGACATTGCCAGCTAACTACTTGACTCCTTGATTTCTAGGATTGTTTGGATTTCTCGCTTGTTAGCGGCCGTCGTGAGTTCCCTCGGGAACGGACATGTTGATTTACTCTCTATTTTTGTATGAATACTACAGTAAATCTAATCATGGCTGTGCCATCATGTTGTTTTCTTTCTCTTGAGTATTTATAGTAGAGCGCACACACGACCTGATTCGTGAGTGCATCACCAGGCAACCATTCAGCAGCACAGCTTCGAAAGTCTCTCAGAATAATTATTTTCAATGTCATGTAAGCTTCCTCAGAAGGCTTTGCAAGAGTAAGATAACCTCTGCGATCAGATTCACGCCACGGGTGATGATGTGCCTGTGGGTGTAATGCGAGCTCAGTGAATATAGAAATTGAGGTGCATGCAGTGTTTTCTGTATGGATGGATAGCATACCCATCATGGTGGTGGATTTCTCATGCCAGTCCGTGAATGCCTAAGTTTGTATCTCTGTTATGGCGATTGATGCCCATGGCACACACAAACACACACACACACACACACACACACACACACACACACACACACACACTGGCGTGTGCTCTCGTTTGTACGTGGGCATGTGTGCCGTTAGCCCGCCGCCAATCTGGTCTGTTTCTGATTTTTTTAGGTGGAATGAGGTGCACGCTGGCATGTACCATGTGCTCCCCAGTGTACGGGTGCATGTGTACCATTTGCCGCACTGCATACATCTGATGATCAGATCAGGCTATGGGTGTGTTTCTGACTGTGTGCGATGGAACGGTGCATCGGCTTGCTGAACGAAAGGCACTGTGAAGTTATCCTGTTATCCTGAGTCTGCTACTGTATTGTAAAACCTTCACTGAGTCACTGTCGCCGTTCATGTTGACGATGAAGCCGGTGATCATGAAGATCGATCTACCAGACTGCAGTTTAGTCTGTAGATCTACTGCAGAACAACTAACACGAAGTCTTTACAGTGTCTGAACTCTGTGCTCTCGTCGCCTGCATGATGCACAGGGAACCTCACTCAGTCATACAGTCATAGCCATACATAATTATAGCCGGGTCCAATAGACCGTCTACCATGGTCTACCTTAGTACCGACCGTCCGGACCATGGACCGTCCATGGTCTACCATACTCCGGACCATAGCCCATACCTGCATGTAGATCTACATGTACATTGATTGTATCAAGACTTGACAATAGTCCATGGTATAAACGAGTTACGTTTTATGCACTCTACGGGCAATAATCCATCATGCCATCTATGTATATAATATAACCTAACCAGTTGATTATATGGGAAATATAAGTATCTATTATTGCACGATTAAAGAGGTCAATATATGAAATATAGAACGAGTAAAAGACCGAGGTCCCCCGAGGTCTTTTACGAGGTCTATATTTCATATATTGACCGATTATGAGGGCAATAATAGATTTATCACGACATAGCATACCTAAAACTGTTTTTGCTTTGCTATAGGAAGAAAGGAATACTATTGTAATAGTATAATAGTATGTACATATGCCGTTTACATTGGACATTACTTCTGTGTAAACCAAAGTTTTCAGTTGTCTCTTGTAGTATGTTCCCCAAGTTCTTTGACTGAGAATCTGACAGTTTGGGTTCAAATCCCAGCATTTGGCTTCAGATTTTTCTTCTTTCAGTTCTGATTTTTTTCTAAGTTGAGGAAGAAGTTCTAAGTTCTCGGGCTAAGTGGTCAATAATAAGTGGTCAATATAAGCGGTCAATATATGCTGATATTTGACCGCTTAGAGATCACAAGTTTCTGTGGGGGTCAATAATAAGAGAGTGATAAACCTGTATACAAACCGAGGCGAAGCCGAGGTTTGTATATGTATAGATTATAGACCGGTTAGGAGGTCTATACAGGATATATAGACCGAGTAAAAGACCGAGGTCCCCCGAGGTCTTTTACGAGGTCTATATATCCTGTATAGACCAACTATGAGGTCTATAATCTATTTATCGTGTTCTCCACGCAATAGTTTCTCTTCATATACGACATATCCTTGTAATTCTAGTATTATACTATAGCCTATACTGCATTGTACTGCATTGAAAGTCAAGATCATTGTTTAAACTAGGTTCAGCATCGGTAGCACAGTGGCTGGGTGGTAAGGAAGAGTGACTGAGATTCACAAGGTTGTGGGTTCAAATCCCATCTTGTGTATTTCTGCTTTCTTCAAAAATTTCTTTTTCTAAGTTGGAGAGAAAATTTCTAAGTCCAAGAAGTTCTAAGAAGTCAAATATAAGTAGTCAAATATATCGTGTATTTGACTAAGCAGTCAAATACGCGATATATTTGACCGCTTAGGTATCAGGGAAATTAGTGGGGTCAAATACTAAGAAGGCGATAATGGTTTATATTTCCCATATTCAACTGAGTAGGTTATATTATGCTTATACTGAGCTGATATACAAACTCCCCTAGTGTGATCCTAAAAAAAAAGGAGTTTATATACCAGTTTATACACCAGTTTATACACCAGTTTATATACCAGTTTATATACCAGTTTATATTCTCGTCATCGAAGTACCTGTTATATGCAAAATACAAGTCTGGAGTGTTGTGTGGGGAGGGATGGGAGTTTGTATACAAGCTCAGTATAAGACCAGATATATGACTACCAAGTACCAGTACCACTACCAGCAGACTAGACAGACCTTGTCCAGACCTTGGACTTGGTTACAATGTAACCAAGTCATGGCTTCTTGCCGGTTGCTATGACTGCAAGGAGCCCGCCGCGCGTGAACCATGCAAACGCCGAAACGGGTCCGGGCAGATTCATTCATTCAACGTCACTTTCGAGGAAGATTCTGGACATTCTGGTATTCCCAGTCTCACTCACTGGTCGTTGCGAAGTAATTAGTTGAGCTGAGCGAATACAATGTATTACAATTTGTAGGAAATCAACAAATCAACACTCTTACCATCGATTCAATTTTCCATTGGGAAGCAGTTGCTCGCTCTTTTTCTTTGTAACCGTCTCGTTGCCACGCAAAAGTACACACTGCGAGTGTAAGCCACACCTAGCGGTAGTGCTATCAGAGCTGTAGTAATCACGTCACCACCAATACTGGCACTAGTCTAGTATGGCGGACAGTATCCAGTGGTGGGGATTTAGTCCCGGAAGAAGTCTGCTGGCTGAAGGTGAGACTAGGCCGCACACACGCAGTAAATATAAACTGTCCAGTTGTGGGTCCTGCGGCTGACACAGCTTGAAAACAGCATTTACACCATCCTAGGTGCTATACGTGTAGCCTTTTGGGTAAGCCACACACGCTAGGATGTCGCAAAGACTCGGCCACTCATGTGTGTACATGCTAGCTGTACTCGTTGCTACATGCTAGGTGTGTTGGTACATGTTGCTACATGTTGCTACATGTTGCTACATGTTGGTACATGTTGGTACATGTTGGTACATGTTCAGTAGCGTGGTCTACGTCACAGTGTTTATAGCGGCTGTATATTATTACTATATTAGTGATGCATAGATGTAGTGAGCCGCACTACTGTCAGCAATAAGACTCAGCATACTAGATGCTGACAGTGTAAACCAGCTAATCGGCTATAGAGGTTTGCGATCTCATCATGTTGAGAATTTGAGATGCTTTGGCAAAGTCTCGGCAAAGCAATGCACTACTAGGGACTCACGCTGCATACGTAGCGTCCACAAGTGGTTCCGCTGACTCGCCGCCATGACAACATTCACATAACCTCTATGGGGTATGACGATGATACACCACTGGCTGATCGGAGCTGGCAATTGTAGCATGTAGGAAGGCAACACGAGATAGCTCTGTGCCCGAAGTGGATCTGGAGGTTTTTAAGGATTTTTCGTATGACATACAAAGCAACCGAAAAGTGGATCCAATTTTACTGCAAGTTTTGCGTAGCTAAAGTATGTTAACGCGGTGACGTAATGTTTTCACTGTATGCAGATGTCTATCACGCGCGTGTTCGCGCCAGCTCACGGATGCGCCGTTGTGCGCATGCGCAAACTCTCTCGGCAGCTCGCTTTGCATGCGTACACCCTTCAGCAGCCTTCGTGCCTGGCTCTCTTTGTTAGTTGCATTGGCTCGCATGACTCTTGCTCCGTGTTTTCACCCACCCACCCACACCGACTTCATTGTGTTACAATTCTCATTCTGTAGCACCCCGTTTATACTACTAACCTCGTTCGTCTTCCAAACTCACTCTGCTAAACAAAAACAAAAACAAACAGGGATTGGGCACTGGACTCTCAGTAGCTGGCAGCATTCTCTCTACTCTCCCGAATCACTCTATTCGGTTACTGCCCTTGGCAGGTCAGCCGCCATTTCGGTCTCACTCCGAATCACTCTATTCGGTTACTGCCCTTGGCAGGTCAGCCGCCATTTCGGTCTCACTCTCGGTCCCCGCCTCTGTCGGGTCGGCCGCCTCCATGGTTACACACTGCCAGCTCCTTCGCCCAGTTACCCTGTGGTGCCAACCAACTACTGCTGTGTCTGTGTGTGGGTCGTGTATGCCTCCGCGTACGGAGCATGCGTTAACCAGAAGTGGTTATGCTGTCAAAGGGATACTCTCTAGTCTCATGTCCGATGTCAAGTTCTAAATGCCAAGACAAAGGTAGGCGTAAGAGAAGGTTTGCTTTGTTTTCCCAGCGTCATGAGAGATCCTGTCTTCCGTACCCTTCCAGGGACCTTGAAGGACCTCCTCAGGAGATTTCACATTCATTCTTGGTCCAGCGGTCTTCTCTCACACCTACCCTTGTCTTGGCATCGCGAACCTGACCTCGAAAAAATGAGACTGGAGTGTCCCTTACATCAGGAGCGTCGGAAGGCATTTTGGGTGGGGCAGTCAGCCGACGGAGGTGCCTCTTGGCTGGGCGTACAGAGGGGGAGGAGGGGGGGGGGGGCAGGCGTTGGAGGGGACGTGGCTGGATGTAAAGGGGACTACTTGACTGGGTCTACAGGAGGGGGGGGACTTGATTTAGGTGTACGATTATTGGGTACATGTTTTAAATTGTTTTTGTATTGCAAAGACGTTTTTATCAGTTCGAGTAACACGCATGATGACCTAGGAAAAACAAAGCATAGTGAGAGCACTGCGCTTTCAAGCTCTCTCGTTGAATTGCAGCGTATAGTGGTGGTGGTGGTGGTGGTGGTGGTGTCGGTGGCAGTGGCAGTGATATTGGTTAAGACCATGGAAGTTGTGGCATATAAATACAGTACCCTCAACGGCCTGGCCGCTCTAGAACTAATTCCGATGGTAGTGGATCTTGCATTGTTCGGAACTTTTGCCAGAAATTTATATCTTTGATACCTGCTTATTGCCTGTAGGGTCTGTTGCCGATAGCAATGTTCTGCTAGCAGGTAGTGTGGATATGCGGATGGTACTCATGACGCTAGCTGACCTGAAGTCAAGGTGGGCAGCAGGGGAATCACCAGATGCCAAATCGGCCAAAATTCAAGTAAGTGCTGCATGTTACAAGAGGTTGTGCACAACGAAAATTCGTAAGATTTGTGCGCAACGGCCTGGAGTAACAAAAGTAGTACGAACTTTACAGTCAACTTTCGGCGAAGTGGGAGCTCGGGACCGAAAACTATTTTGTTCCAATCACCGTAGCGCCATGCTGTAAAGTACGACAGGTGGGTACTATCATACACTGCCCGAGTGCATGCCAGTCTGTTGAGACCTATCTCCCATACTCGGACTTGAAAACATGAAGCTCCCCCTGTTGCACAAGCTCCGAATCAACCAATATTCGTAGGCATTTTCATTGTTACCTGATCCATCGAACCCTAACTACGAAACTTCGTTATGCACAACTCCTTGAAGGACTGCATTGTTTTAACGAAGCGAGTTTTGATGATTGCATTGTAACTGGCATGTAGCAGGTCTGCGCTAACCAACTTACTTGCAATACAGTGCTAACCAACTTGCATTACAACATAACAGTGCATGCTGTTGTGCAGAACGAAACAAAACGAACAGAAATAATTATTCTAATTACAGTTGTGAAAGGAAAAAGAAAGATGATGAAGGCGAAGCCGAATAGCACCTGCCAGTGGGTGTTGGTGGCCAACACAAGGTGACAGCAAACCCTGTCAAGTATTGGAGAATATCTCGAGTAATTAATTCTGTACCGGAACTTCACTCCCAGCAAGAATACAACATATCACGTAACTCTAGCAAAACCTGACATTTCAATGTCACCTGTCTTGTGAACACACCATAGAAAAACGATTAGTGTGGCCATGGTTCTAACTGTGTCACTCGTCACACAGTGATTAAACTCATAACGCACATGTACAAATAAATCGAACCAGAGAATAACTAAGAATAAGTCGGTCCGCAACGCAATTTAACATAAAACTAGACCAAAATAAAAAGATCTGTCAAGTGGTTGTTTGCTGTTTCTCTCACAGTTCTTCATTGCGGAGAATAGCCTAGATACGGTTGCTAAGCAACTGCTACTACTCAGGTTGGTCATGGATGACACAGAGGACATCAGTATACAAGGTGAGTGGTAACCGTGGTAACAAGAGGGTGGGCCATGGGAATTCTAGTGAGTAGGCCTGGGCGGATAATGCTATCATTTTAAAAGTGTGCGATTTGGAGCGAGCATAATGCCAGCATAGTAACACTGCATTTTCCACAAAATAAGCTAAATAGCATTATACTCATTTTGGCAGTGTTCGTCGTCGGCACAATAGGACGGCGTAGGAGTGTACTCAGCGGTTTCTAAGGGAAATGAAACACTTGCGAATCCCACTCAAACGACAAGACTGAAGCTTCTCCAAGACTGCATGTAGAAGGTTGGGAGAAGGGACATCTTCTTCGCGAGTTTTTTTCCTAGCATCAAACAACGGTGCTCTTCGGATGCGTAGCCGCTATGACTGCACGAAAGATGGCCTGAGCAGCTGCGCAGATGTCGACATTTTTTCAAAAAGGGTGGTCAACGTGACAATTATTATTTTTGATTTCTGAATTATTTGAAATCTGAATCTGCATGCAGACTTGCGCAACTATGCGTAAACTAACCTGGCCACTCCTCTTGGTCAAGCTGCGTGCAACCCTGACTTTACGTGACCAAGCACTTTCCCTGAAATGCGTCACGTATTGTCTGTAACTTTACATGTGCACCTCATTATTGCCGAGCCTTGCAGTGGATGTTGCTTGGCTAATGTGGTACAGTCAAACCTCGTTAGGACGAACACTGATACGGTGAACTTTCCTTTAGTACGAACTAGGGCAAACCCTATGGTTGGCCAGGCATCATGTCAAGTCAAAATTGTTCGTTTACGACGAACTCTGTATGGCGAACTTTCGTGAAGACGAACTAATTTCAAGCGTGATTTGAACAAAATCAGCGTGTAGTTTGAACTTTCGGTCCCCGTGGGTACGCTGGCTGTAGTTTTCCCGCTAGTCGAGGCCTCTTGTAGTGGCAAAACATGTTACAAGGCGGATGTAATGCTGTCATGAATAGATGACTTGCACAAAGATCCGAGCCGCGAGTGAGACGGGGCAAGTGCACCCAGGCTACACTGCGGGCACCCGGGCTACATCGGGCTACACCGGGCTACACCGTCTCAGCGTCTGTAGAGTGTAGTGTAGTGTACTTTTTTTGTCAGCTTGAATGAACGGTGCACGGCATGTAGATCTACATGTACATGATCAGTACCGGCACTGTCTTCAGCAGCTCATGAGTCATGCATGTGCACTTGTAGGGTTAGTGCCAATAGTGGAAGTACATGACTGTATTATTATGTGAAGAGAAGCCAGGCATCCAAACCAACCCAAAGTACTCTTGCCTTATTCTTCGGTGAAATAGTTATAAAAAATTGTCTTACCAAACAACAGTGAGCATAGAAGCAACCTCGATGCACCCAATAATATGGCATCCGGGAACAGCAAGTGTTGCACGAGGAGCCCAAGAACACGTCAAGTTCCGTGCTACCCACCGCCATCAAAAGAACGAAGGATAACTGTGCTAGCCTAGTTCATATTCAATGTAACGCTAACAGTACGGGATATAGGAGCCTGTTGGGAAGGTGTGGGTGAGCTCTAAAATCTTGTACGGTTCGCACAGCACAACATACATGCAGCAGGTATTGCGACGGTTAATGTCGATGGACGAGAGTCATAAAGCACAGTCCATGGGGGTTGACGTTTCTGGGCTTCCTTTCCGAAAGGAAAGTTATAATATTATTTCTTCTCAAATAAAGCAGAATCATGCTGGTTATACCAGTCTGTTATGAAGACAAGAAAGCAGCCATGGACATTGTGCCATTCTAAAGGAACGACAGGTAGAAGATACAGCACTTCATCTGAAAACTCAAGGACAATCCATAAATACAGCAAATGATAATCCTAGCCTGGTAATGTCCAACTCCGTCATGTGAGCCATTCGGTGAGTTATCATGGGAAGCATAAGGTTCGAAATGCTGAAATTTGAACAGTTGCAGTTGTGTTCGTCGCCACACAATGCCATCACTAGTTCACATTCGAAATGTAGCCATTTTTACGCTTGTGTCCCTGTACACGGCATGGAAGGTTGAACAGATCCAACTCTTCCATCGCTTCCTGATCTGTACAGTAGTGCGGTTGCATTCCCGTTCCTGACACTCACATCCGTCTCCGCTAACCAGCATCATGAGCACTCCGATGGTTCCCGCCGCTCCTTCCGTATCGTCCCAGCGCGCCCCGTCAAAATGTGAACTACTGTAGGCAACGGAGCCAGTGTATGATGAAGGTGAATGCACTGTTTGATGATGCTCCAACAAATCCTTTCACCGTTGTATGGAATTTGTAAGAACTTGTGGACAGTATAATGAACCTACTTGCATATAGCGAATTTCGTGATTATAACGAACCATCGTCCATGTTCCTGTTTGAACCCATACAAAATTGACCCTTTATAGCGAACAGTTTTCGTTTATAACGAACCAAATCTTGTAGGTCTGCGTGTCAACCAAGTGCAGTCATACTGTCATCGGGCACATGTCAGTCCTGACTTGCTGTTTATACGCGTGCATTTCTGTTATAGCGAACTTCGGCTATAAAGAACTATTTCTTCTGCACAATGGTGTTCGCTATATCAGGAGTCAACTGTACAGGCTATTTGGGCCCAATTTTCCCAAAAACATTCGCGCGCGAGAGGTCCCCGGGTCGCGAGCCCCCTGTATAGCCGCACCACATAGTTTACTACATGTACTACTACTACTACAGTGTAGCTCTACAATGTAGCCTAATGTAGCCTAGTTTAGGTGGTCGCAGTGCTGAAGAACCTACTATCGTGGACATGGAAATCCAGTCGAATGACCGGGGCCGGCGCCCTCAGCGCGTACAGGACGTTGCATGCAGTGCTCATGTTGATCCAATGCGACCAGCGCCCTGCAGCGCCCTGCAGCGCATAAATGCGTGTGTGTACCGCTTACCCACGGCTGCATGGCCAGCGCCCTGGGGCCGCTAGACATGCGACCGGATTTCCATGTCCACGACAGTACATGACGTACATTAGAGAGGTTCCGGAATACGATTTTTCGTGCCAAAATCCGTAGAGGCGCTACGGATTTTTATACGTCGTTTTCGAGCAGTGAAATTTTCCGGAGTACGGAACTTATGTGTTTGCCGTCATTGCCTAGGTTACGATCGCAAACACGTCATATTCCCGCGCTATGCCTTTTTATTTTGAAAATTTGTGCCGAAATCAAAACTTCCCGCGGAAAATCGATGTTTCTCGTACCAAATTTGTACCCGGAAAATCTTTCTGCGCTCGATGACGCAAAATCTCCATACGAAACATGATTCGTATGAAAGCCTGTGCACATGGATTCTCCGTGCCGAAAAATCGTATGGAGCACGCCTCGAAAAAATTCGTAGCACCCATAGGCATACGGATTGTGGCACGGAAAATCGTACTCCGGAGGCCCAAATTGGGCCAAAAAGGGCCAAAACCTCTCTATTGTACATGTGGTACATTGTTTTTCCGTCTGATTGATGTTCGAAGTTTGTGCTCACCTGGCCTGGGCCTGGGTCCGATGGGAGCCCTACACATACCGCGGTACCGGTACACACTGTACAGTACTCAGTAGGGCTCCCTGGTGCTCATGATCGCGGCACACCACCTGCCGTAGTATTGTCGCTGACCGGTACAGCCATCATGCTTGAGTGATCTAGATCTACGGAGTAGATCTACATGATCTACGGGGCCGATGTCGCCGCTGATGACGCTTTGTACATGTAGCTCTACTCGCTTCGAAATCGATTGCATGCTTCTTTCTTTTGATTTTTGATTGTTTGTGGAATCTGGTCCACTCGCTTGTGAGCGAACCAGAACCAGGTCCGTGCTACTTCAGTTTAGTCTAGTTTATTCTTTCTACCGTGATGGAGGATACAGATGAAGAAAGGGAGAAGAAGTTGCAGTTAGGTCGTATGCGTCTGGCCAAATTTCAGCAAAAGAGAAATACTAAAAAATCTTCCAAGAAGTCTAAGCGACCAAAGACGCCTGAAGAGCAAGTCCAAGATCCCATTGTGGAGGCTGCATTACCCCCAGTTTCTAATGAAGGCCCTCTGGGTCTGGATAACGGATCACTGAACGAAGGAATTCCAGTAGGCACCAGCACAAGTCACATTGAGCATGGTAGTGGAGGTAGTGCACCAGCGTTTACTGAACACTTGGATATTGAGCCAGCTGAGGATGAGATTGTGCCCAGTTTTGCTTCGGATGAGCTGTACGAAGGTGGTAGCTACGAAGATGGACAGGCCACGCTGAATGGTAACGTTGGTGACGAGTTCTTTTCTCACAGTAGTTTGGTAAACGACCTCAGGAAAGAGCTTCAGCTTGAACGTGACGCAAGGCAGAGGAGCGAGGATCAATTTCGCCTAGAGCTTTCAGAACGCGCTGCTCTGGTAGGGCAGTTGGAGCGACAGCTGGAGCAGTGCAGATCGAATGATGTGTTGATCCAGAATATGAAAGTTGAGCATGATAGCGCCATCAAGGAGCTACAGTATGTACATGAGGAAGATGTCAATCGTGTCCGCTCTGAGGAGCAGCAGAGACGTGCTGAGCAGGTTCAGTCATTAACGAAACGGTTGGAAGCGCAGCACAAGGAAGATACGGATGCGCTGCGAGCGCAAGTACATCAGCTTCAAGAGGCAGTACCAAATGACACTGCACACTTACAGCAGATGGTAGTGGTCATGAGAGAACAATACGAGCAAGAAGCCGCCAGCAAGGCAACTGAACACCAACGGGAGCTAAATCTACAGGCTGAGAAACACAAGCAAGAGCTGGTATCTACACAACAGCAAAATGTTGCACAGATGGAGGCGTTTCGCAATCAAGTTCAGGAGAGCGTGTCGGCGCAAGTGAAGCAGTTCCACGAGCAGTATCAAACGGCAATGGAGAAAATGAAACAACAATGGCAAGAAGCAGCCGACCATGTCACGGCACTGCAGTCGGAGAAGCAGGCGCTGCAGGAGAAAGTGGGGTTGAGCACTTCAAATGACAGCATTGTAGAACCATTGCAGGCAGCTAATGATTCGTTGACAGAGCGCCTGGCCACTCTTGAGCAGCAGTATAATGACAGCAGAGTTGAGTTGGATAGACTGCTGCAAGAATCTAGTCACGTAGCTGATCACCATCAACAAGTACTTGCACAGAATGAGAAGGAAAGGCGGGAGCTTCTCGCTACCATTGCCGAGCTGAACACCAGCCAGGACTCTGCTCCAGCTGCGGTCGTTGACCAAAGTGAATTTCTCCGCGCCCAGGCAGATATGGAATCCATGCAACAGCAGCTTGAGCTCCTTCAATCGCAATGCACGAATCATGTGGATGCGCTGGAGTCTGAAAAGTCGCTTGTAGGTAGTTTAACTGCAGACTTGGAGACAGCACTGTCAGCTAAGGGAGATTTAGAAAGTCTTGTTCAGACACTGCAAGCGGAGTTTGATGCTTTCAAGAACCAGGCAGGTGACCAAGAGCTAGCACTACAGAACGAGCTAAGTCAGAGGCGCCATGAGTATGATGCCCTGTCTGAAAACCACCGCAATCTCCAGAGTCACATGCAAGATTCTCTAGCGCAGTACGCCAAGCAGGTCGAAGAACTGGCGTCTTCAGCCGCTGCGGACTCGGCCGCCAGCTCTGCTATTTCAGAATTACGCTCCGCGTATGAGGAGCAATTTGAGCAGCTGCGGGCAGATTTTGAAGCACAAGAGGAGAGCTTGACGCAGCAGCACCGGCAGGAACTGGCCGATCTTGCTGCTCAGCAGGAGGCGTTGAACCAGCGTCTTCTCGGTGAGTTTCAGCATGAGAAGGACTGTGCTGCACAGCACCTGGATGATTTAGCTAGTGCCAGCGAAGACTTGCGCAAGACAGCCGAGGAGAGGTCTGCTCTAGTGACCCGCAACACATGGCTGGAACAGCGCATCAAAGAGCAGTCAGAGGAGAGTCATCTCTTCGTGACCGAGTCGCGGACGCGCTACGAGGATACGGTCAAGCGTCACGATGCAGAGCGTGCAGCGTGGAGTGAGGCCGAGCATAGCCTTCGTGAACAGCTGGCCTCTACTGATAAGAACCTTGTGGAAGCTAGAGATCAGCTGGCTCAAGTGTCACCTGCATCTGAAGAGAATGCTGCTGTCTCGCAACTCTCTGCCAAACTGGCAACTGCTCAAGCTGAGATAACACAACTTCAGCAAGCATTAGCGGAACACGAAGCAAGAAGCAGTTCTAATGCGAATCTATCAGCGACGGTGACACAGCTGCGTTCGGAAATATCGCGGCTTGGCCAACAGCTGGAAGAGAAAGATGGTGAGTTATCAGATCGCAGTGATGAGTGTTCCCGCTTGGAGGGCGAGCTCTCTCAAAGCCTAGCTGACCTAGCATCGATGCAGTCACGAATGGATGCACTCTCCCGGGATCTGCAAGCGCAATGGACAGCATCACACCAGAGTAGGGAAGATGAGAAAGTTCGAAAGCAGACTCACGAGCAGGAGGTTGAAAGCCTGAATTCTCGCCTCTGCCAGTTGGAAAAGGCCCTGTCCGAGCAGGAGGAAGCTGCCACTGCGAAGAATGCGCTTGTGGCCGAGTTGGAGAATCGCCTCTCCGCACAGCAATCTTGCCAGGATGATTTGAATGCTGCCAACAATGAAGTTGACCTACTTCGCTCGCGCCTCGCTTCGCTGCAGCCTCTGGATACTGGCGCGATCGAGGCAGCAGCTAATCTACCTTCTGGAAGTCAGCGTGAGAATCTCCAGGCCGTTCTAGAACAGCACAAGCTTGTCCTGGAAGAGAAGCTAACGGAAAAGTCTCGGCTTGATTCCTTACTGGAGGAACAGCGCGGCGCCTTGGTACAGCAGCTATTGGAGAAAGCTAAACTAGAGTCGCTGCTGCAGGAGAAAAACCGACTGGAAGCGGAGTTGATTCGCCAGCGTGGCCTGCTAGAGAAAGAGCTGACAGACTTAGAGCAGCCTGGTGCGTCCGAATCATCCTAGAGTTTAGTTATCTGGACATGGACCAGTTAGTTTTTAGTGCCAACATTACGGCTGTCCACTAGTAGCATGCATAGGTCATATCAGTCGTGTTAGCAGGTGTTGCTGTTGCCAATGTTGCTGCTACTGCTGATGATGATGTATGTCTTGCCAGGGCTTACCGGTGCGTGACCCAGTTGATATGTGCGAGTGTCTTTCCTAGTATTTGTCAGCACTTTTGATACATTTTAGGTACAGCTATTAGTGCTGCTTGGCTTTGTCCGTATCGGGCATTGTGTATTGTACCATTCTTCACGAAATTCATACCTGCTTGACGAAACCTATTGCCTGAAATCATTTCCCTTCATAGATCTGCCATGAAATTGTAGTTTTGCATTTTTATGAAATCACCAGCCTCGTTATATCTACTTTCTCTCGGCCATCCTTCCATTCTACCTAATATAGAGTAGATATGTTTCTCCTATTCTACACCGTCTTGAATTTCTCTTGTGTTGTACCCTATCAATTTTATTATTTTTAATAGCTGCCAGCGTGTAGGACACCGGTTATGGTTGTTTGTTTGTTGTTGTTTGTGTTGTTGTTCTTGTCCGTGTTGCCAGTGAGTTTGTGACCTGATGCCGGGTGACATTCAATGGTATAGTGATTTGTACTGGATCGTGGTCGGTCCATCTATTTTTACAAGCAGTCCTTCTCTTGTGTGTGGGTGTGGGTGTGTGCGTGCGTGTGTGTGTGGGGGGGGGGGGGGGTGTGTGTGTCGGTGTCATGGCATATGTTTTACTGGTTACTACCGTTAGGCCACCCTTTGTTAATTCATTGTTTAACGTCCTTTTTTTCGCGAAAAGGTACGCGGGAACACATGTGGCTCCAAGTCGAGACATCAATGCCTCACACTCGTGTGTTGCTATCACTATAGACGATAATTTTTCTGCACAAAGAGGTGTTTTGAATGGTGATTCTGTATCCTTATAGCCGATTTATCGCTATATACGATATATTGGTTAAAATGATAATTTGACTGGCTTTTTCTGGTTTTGCTTCTGATATTTTCATTTTGTATCAATATAGCCGGTTTATCACTATGTCCGATGACTTTATAACCGATATCCACTGTACTTTCTTGGTTTTTTTTCCGGTCGGAGGCAAAAAGGTACGCGGGCGCGGACGTTAAACAACGAAAAAAGAAAGGGTGGCCTTAGTATGGTCACCACAAGCAAGTGATGTAAATTGTGCATGCAGTCAGTGTCACCCACCCAGTGCCGGTCTTGATCTGTGCATGCAGTCACCCACCCAGTGCCGGTCTTGATCTGTCCCCGGGGAAAATTGCGGAAAAAAATCGCAAAAAACGCGGCATAATATGGCATAATTTGCGGTACATATGCGGTGAATAATATTGATCTGCGGCAATTTTCAGTGAGTATGTAGTGAAATCAATCAGTTACAAGTCTCTGGTGTAAGCACTCGTCATATTTGAGTAAAAAGCCGCCACGATGAGACGTTGCTGACCGAACAGTGCACTGTGTGTACGTGTAGTGCAACAAAAAAGTTCAAAAAACGCGGGAAAATCGCGGAAAACGCGGTCTTTTAAAAAATCGCAAAAAACGCGGAAAAAAACGCGGCCGCGGAATTGCAATTTTCCCCGGGGACAGCTTGATCTGTGCATGCAGTAACCCACCCAGTGCCGGTCTTGATCTGTGCATGCAGTCACCCACCCAGTGCCGGTCTTGATCTGTGCATGCAGTCACCCACCCAGTGCCGGTCTTGATCTGTGTTACTTCGGTTCTTGTCAGTATCTAGGCAGGCCCGGCGGAACCACTCCTGTTGGTCAGGCCATGGCCGGACCAACTTTTTGACCGCCACCTTGTGTTTACTGCTGAGGAGGTCATGTGTCTACAGACTACCGTCCATATCATACACAAAGTGTGAAAGGTTAGGGTATGGCCGGACCAATCAAAAATTGCTTCCGCCGGTCCTGCTAGGGTATGGTATTTCATGATCATGTGCCATGCAGAAAGAACCAGCCTGTTCCTGGAGCTATTTGGCAACTCACTTGTCCGTCCACAAACTGCAGTCTATCTGAGTGAGACGAGTAAACGCCTTGTCCGGTGAGTGGCATGTGGTGCATGCTGCTGCTGCTGCAATATAGCACTGCCTGGTGCCGAAGAAGGGGGGGGGGGGGGTCGGAGTCGTAGCCTACAAAGTAGGCTGTTCTTATATTTCATGTAGAAATCTCTATACATGATTGTAATTGAGCCCCCGTGTACGTATGGGTACCGTAAAGTACCGCCAGAGCGCCCCACCATCTCATCCTTTCGTGGTCGTATTGTGGAGGTGGTCGGCTGTCTGTAGGTCATACGACATGAACCTTGTACGCATATTGCACGTTTTGCAGTCAATCCGCACCTTCAGGCTGACACAAGCTCCACACAAAAACCTGCCAAGTGTGGCCTAAGATTCTCACATCGTACACACTTCGTTGCACTCTGCCGTACGATTTTCCTTTCTCTGGCTGTAAAATCAAGGTGGGGCGCTCTCGTGAGACGGGGCGCTCTGGCGGTACTTTACGGTACATGTATCCTGTATCTGGAATACTTCTAGCCTGTTCATTCCTCATCACCCGACAGTACGGCACTGCACCTGTCTCCTCTGTGTATTCGGCATCAGTGCAAGTGCGCGTACATACCTTCCGCTGCATTGCGAAGATGACTTGGCATGCCAGCATGTTGACTCAGTGTTAGCACGACAGTACTGCACAGAACACAGTGCATGCTTTTAACTGCTTTATTATTTTTCTGCGCTTCATTCATCCCATCCGTACCCCGTATTCCCAATCAAATTTGCACGCTTCCCCCGTCGAAATGGGAAGAATGAACCGTACCACGACAATTGCAGTGGGGAAGTGTGCAAATTTGGGTGCAATATAGAAGGAAAGGAGTATTGCAGCTTCCATGGCCCAACACCATTCTGTTTAGTGGCTAGAATCCGGCTGATCCTTTTATGGTATTACCGTATTTTCCGGAGTATAGTGCGCACTTTAGATGTGCTATTTTAGGCCCTAAATCGCAGGTGCGCACTATGCTCCGAATGTGAAATGCATGTACTTCAATGAAGATTGAAGTGCGCACCCCCAATGAAGATTGGGGGTGCGCGTTATACAAAGGTGCGCACTATACTCCGAAAAATACGGTAACATAATTCCAACGTTAGCGTTCTGTGTTATGCGGCGCAGAATTTGCCTCGGGCATGTTGACACAGTTATTACGACTGTATACCTGTGTGTCATCGTCCAATACTCCCACTGCCGTGTTCACTGTCCACTAAGTCTTGTTGATGTCCATAGCTACTACTTCAAGCAGTATCCTCAGTGTTGTTGACAGACCACTTGTTGATGTCCATAGCTACTAGTGTCCTGTTGTCTACATGATGTATTATAAATTGTTTGCAAAACAGGATGGTGACAGATGACGACTACATGAAAGTTTGCTTGCCAATGGTGGATCTGTCGTCTCTGCGTGTGAGTTTCAAGCAAGTACTTCTGACATGCTCTGCACTGATTTCTGTTCTCAGTAGTAAAGAATCAGTTAACAGTTAGTACGCCATTCTTTTTATACTTCAGTACCTTTGTCACTGAAGTTTTCAATCTGCCTACACTCTATATCTTGGCCGCCATTCAGTGAGTCCGAAAAGGCTGCGATGCAGCGTTCAGCCCTTATTCCCAATCGAACACGGTTGAGTAAGCGGGCACGTGCTCATGCGTACACCAGTCACCTGGTCACCGTGCCCGCAGGCTACAACTTACAGCCTGTTTGGGCGCATTCCTGTCACTCGAGTTGAACCTTTTAAACTTTGAGTTGAACCTTGGTGTGAAAGTGAAAAGAGGAGACTATGTGCACTACCCGCTATATCATACACAAACTGTATGCAAGGCAATGGCATGGCCAGACTAATCAAAAGTATTGCCTATATCATACACAAACTGTATGCAAGGCTATGGCATGGCCAGACTAATCAAAAGTATTGCCGCTTCCGGCGGTGGTCCTGGGATAGTACTAGTAGTCAGAGCAACGGCTAGGGCTGGATAAACCCGATACGGCTTATACCAATGTGGTACATGTACATGCAATTTAAAAACCTTTTGCTCATCAGACCCAGCTCATCATTTCTGACTGTGTGTGATCGTGGCGTTGTACAGTTCAAGGAACGAGACGCGCTCGAGGACATCTTCAAGTCCTGGAGGTCAACTGTAGCGTTTGATGTGCAGACACATTGGTAAGCGAACAGTGACATGTGCGCGCACGCAAACACACACACACGCTCGCACACACATACACACGCATATACATACATACACATACACGTACACAAGGGGCATGCGTACACACACACACGCACATGCACACACATAAAAGCACATACTGTAAGTCAACAAATATTCGGTGTATATTTAATTTCGGCAATTTTCGGCCTGGTCATGTTTTGCCAAAAAAATTGTTGCGGCCGAAATTTTGTTTTGCAAGGTTCAGCGTGACAGTGTATACAGGCAGCAGCAGCACAGGCCGAAAATTTGATGCGGCCGAAATGGGTTATAGCCCTGGGAAGGCGAAAATGTGTAGACTTACAGTACAAATGTACCCACGCACACACACACACACACACACACACACACATGCTTGTTTTTCCATCACGAGTACACACCCCGCCCCTCCTCACATGACACAGATGTGAAACCACTCCATAGACATGGTGTGTCCGTGAGTGGAGTATCACTGCTCTATTCTGTGTGCTTGTGCAGGGATGGTCGTGTTCGGCACAACCTTGCCGCTCGCTATGATGCCCGCTATGGTGTATTCGACTGGGACTACAACATGAAACTGATGGATATGGTACGAAACAGTGAACATTGAGTGAATAGCTATGCTGTGCAGTGAGTGGATATGCTGTGCAGTGGGTGAATAACTATGCTGTGCAGTGAGTGAATAGCTATACTGTGCGTTAAAGGGGAAGTATACCCTAAAATCAAATTTTCACCATTTGTAGTCTTCTGGGTGCTGAGTCGAATGGTGTTAGTCCGAGGAAGCTGCGACGCTCCCTTCCTACTTGAATCCCAATCGAACTCGCGCACTTCCACCGAAACTGGGTGACTGCGCCCTACTAGATGGGGATTTGTATGCAAAATGTCACTAAAAACGCCATTTCGTTCTTATAAAAGCACGGATGACCGCGATTGGCCCATATGTTGTAGTCTTTTGGACGCCGAGTCGACTGGTTTTGGTCCGAAAAGGCTGCGATGCAGCGTTCCTCCTTTATTCCCAATCGAACATGGTTGAACAAGCGGTCACGTGCTCCTGCGTACACCAGTCAGCTGGTCACCGTGCCTGCAGGGTACAACTTACTAGCCTGTTTGACCTTTTTTGGGTGCAGTCCTGTCACTCGAGTTGAACTCGAGTTGAACCTTGGTGTGAAAGTTGTCACCTGCTGGCGCGGTGACCAGGTGATTTGGGCACCCAGGAGCACGTGACCACTTGTTCAACCATGTTCGATTGGGAATAAAGGAGGAACGCTGCATCGCAGCCTTTTCGGACCAAAACCAGTCGACTCAGCGTCCAAAAGACTACAACATATGGGCCAATCGCGGTCATCCGTGCTTTTATAAGAACGAAATGGCGCTTTTAGTGACATTTTGCATACAAATCCCCATCTAGTAGGGCGCAGTCACCCAGTTTCGGTGGAAGTGCGCGAGTTCGATTGGGATTCAAGTAGGAAGGGAGCGTCGCAGCTTCCTCGGACCAAGACCATTCGACTCAGCACCCAGAAGACTACAACTGGTGAAAATTTGATTTTAGGGTATACTTCCCCTTTAAGTGAATAGCTATGCTGTGCGTTAAGTGAATAGCTATGCTGTGCGTTAAGTGAATAGCTATGCCGTGCGTTAAGTGAATAGCTATGCCGTGCGTTAAGTGAATAGCTATGCCGTGCAGTGAGTCAAATAGATATGCTGTGCAGTGCTATGCTGTACAGTAAGTTTTAAGATAGATATGCTGTGCCTGAGTGAGTCAACAGCTATGCTGTGCATTGAGCAGATATGCTGTGCACTGAGTCAGCAGACAACACCATTATGTGTAGCAGTGGTTACGGTAATGTGCATGAGACATTGTGGAGTGGTTTTAAGTGCCCAGTGCTTTCAGCGCAGATGGTTTTGCATTCGAGGAGCTTTGTGCTATCAGGGTTTCCACTCTGTCAGCCTATGTAAGAGGCTCAAGCACATGTTTCAATAACAGTTTTCAAAGTACCATTCCTAACTGATCGTCCAACTCTCCGATGCATGTATATAGATACATGTACACCTGAACGTCACTTTGTCCAGCGCCAGTACAGTTGATGGGTATTAAGACATGTATTACACTCTACTTAGTGTCGGTGGAAGTACTTCCAAGTAGGTATAGCCGCTACCGTTGTATCAAGGCTAATTCAAACCAGAACACTTGTCTTCTACCTATTTATTGGCATTAATTTTTTGGTTCGTTTAGGTGCTTTCTATTGCCAGGCTCTTTCTGGACATAGTCATTGTGGCCAATGACATCCTACCCACAAAGCGAAACAAATATGTACAGATTGCTAGCCGCAACACTAGCAACGGCCATAGTCAACAGCTAGCGGTTAGTTGTCCTGTATACTAGTATTCTTTGGTTACTTCGAAGTACATGTGAACTTGAAAGGAGAATATACACGACAACTAGCCACTAGCTGACGACTATGGCCATCGTTAGTGTTGCGGCTAGCAGTCTGTACACACTTGTTCCATTTTGTGCTTAGGATGGCATTGGCGACAGTGACTATGTCTAAACTGAACAGCCTAATAGTGGAAAGCCCCTAAATTGACCAAATTCTACCCAGTACAGTCACACCTCGCTTATCCGGTCCTCATTTATCCGGATCCCTCGCCATCCGGAAGAAAATTGTTGGTCACCGATTTACAGCAATGCTATGCACACACACAGTGTGTGTTTTCGATTATCCGGTTCCCTCGCCCATCCGGATATTTTTTGTGGAAAACGGATGTGTGCGGTTAAGCGAGGTCTGACTGTATAACTGTTCTTCGGTAAAGACCCATATCTGTCCGCAAATCTTGCAGGACCAGTACTTGTGCAATCTACCATCAATTAGCTATGATACACCTCATCAATTAAGTCGGTAACCATTGGAAACGGGTGTTTGCTCCCTACTTCGGAGCTCGCCTTTCCTATGAAGTCATCGCCGCTACCACTATCTCGGACCATGGTTCACCTTCTAGTTACTACTGCCTACTCGAGTCCAGTCCCAGATTCCAAGTTAGATGCTCCACAGTCTCACGTAATTGATGTGCTGTTGATCTGAAGAGACTCTTTGACTACATTAGAGACCTGTGCTAGTGCCATAACTCGTGAGTGGCTCTTGTTCTGTCTTACTTCTGCAGCCGCTTGATATCAGCTGGCCTGAATACAAAGAATGGAGAGATACCGGTGTTGGCTTTCAGTTACGCGACTCAGCTTCATACAGTGAACCGAACCGATCCATCTCCACCTGTGTACATGAAAGAAGAGTAAGAACAACAACTTTCATCTGGTATATCTGATGATTATGATGTTGGCAATTCTCAACATTGACTATCAGTTTTGCGACAATACATTTTCATGATACACATTGCACCATGGAGTACTGGCTTGTACAGAGGCACTCTGGCTGATCAAGTCTTGCGTGCGTGCCGGCCGGGGGTGGGTACGTGCACGTGTGTTTGCACGGCTGTATATGTGTTTGTGTGCATGCATGCACACGTGTGTGTCTTGCTGCACCGTTTTCTTAGACTGGTGAACGGAGACCAGTATCTGGTTACTATGGTGATATCACCACTGGTCCTTTTGTGGCATTCACCAAGCACCAGCCGGTGAGCGAGAAGAAGAGAGACACTACAGGTGCGCAACATCCACAGGTAGGTATTGGTCTTTTAGGATCTACAGGCTTTAGGGTTCACATTGTGACGGTGAGAGGGATCTCTGATGCACGGTGCTGATTTGTAAGATAAAGTAGTGAATCGACTCAGCAATGACATGAATGGTCACACCATTACCACAGCGAGTGCAAGAAGTCAGTGCAAGATCGTAACCGTTTCAGCCCTAGTACGTATCAATGACGCCGCATGTCCTAGCGTCTGTGCCCGTGGCTCAATCCCCTGAGGGCCCGGTCGTCATTGAACCCAGGTCCTTCTGCTTTTGAAAAGGTGACTCATTCTGCACATGTTTGGTTATGCCAATGCCGCTTTCTCTCACATGTAGAAAGCTGGAGTTGAAACAAGACAGACTGTGTCTGACATCATCGAATCATTAAGAGGGCCGGCTAGTTCTGGAGATGCTGCCAAGTCTTCAGCGTCCCTAGCTACACTTCAGGAAGAAGATGAAACAGAGGAGTCATCGCCAACTACTCAAGCATCTGCGGCATCACCTTTGAAAGGTATCCGATAACTTACCCTATGTTAGTATGCCCACCATTCCCAGAAAATGTCAGTACAGTGTACTTGCAGCACGGCAATCTCACAAGGTCTAAGCCCTTCAGATACCTGTTATACGACATACAACATGCATTCAGTGCACAACTATGACCATTACCAGCAAGAGTACATATGTGCTCTTGTCACCAGGGATAGCAAATACCACCACCACCCCCCCCCCCCCCACACACACACACACCTCTGACAGGTTGATGGGCAAGCTCTCGAAAGAATACTCATAGGGTTTTCTCCCTGTGCAACCTTTTTTTGTGCATTTTTTAGAGCTGCAGCGGAACGTGTCAATCCACTTCTTGCGACTAGACGCTGTCGCAACGCTCGGTCAGCAAAGCAAGTACACAAACTTCTTCCACTGTGCTTTCTTCTCAAACAGGTAAGACAAATCATTGTACATGCACTTCAAAGTACCTACCATGGTGATATGAATGGAAACCGTCAAGGATTCCAAGCATGCCATACTGTGTAGAGTACTAGTACTTCCTCCGGCAAACAAAATATTGGTTCAGTGGAACAAAAAGTCCACAAGACACTGATTGGATCTTCTTGTTTGAAGCATGTACAGTACACCAATATACAAAAGAAGCGGCACCTTTCGAGTCTCACTCGAAGTCACTATCGCTTGATTCCCCAGAGCTCTATTAACAAGAACTGACAGGTTGATGGAGGTCACAAAGTTTTTGTTTCCCCTGTTACTTCAGACTACACACTGTCCGTGGGCTATTGATGTTAGGGATGGTTTGCTATTGTCTGCAGGATGGTGCACCACCTGAAGGCCAACATATCTGAAATCTTCACGGACAATGCCCGGCTCTTCACAGAAACGGTCCTGTAAGTGGTTTCCATGCTCTCATGTACAAGCCTGGCAGGGGTGTCCATTCCAAGTTATTCCCAGCCTGCACAACCTACACACTCATAAGTGAGCTTCTGCCCCGCGGTAAAACGTACCAAAGAACGTATGGAAACCTTGTCGCGGTACGGGATCAAGTTTCACACGGATTTTTTTCATACCGTTTTCCGTGTGAAGCGCGACTGGTCTCCGTGTGAAAACTGAGCGCACATGTACATGTGGCGGGAAGTTCGAGCATGCTACGCACAGCAGAACCGGCGCAACGTACGAAAAATCCGTGTCAAACTTCACTGCAGTTGACACAGAGTTTAGTATGTAGTTCTGTGTAGCAGAACTCACAAGTATCAGGCCACAGCAGCCAAACACTGGTGTGGCGGCAACACTGAAAAAGTTGCAAACTTCCTGATCCCCAAGCATGCCAGGAGCCGGTTGGGATACTTCTGTTCATGCCGTGAACTTCATGGTATCAGCTGCAAAGGATACCGAGCTTTTTTTTAAACACATGCGTGCGTGCATGTGTGTGTGCGTGCGTGCGTGTGTGTGCGTGTGTGTGTGCGTGTGTGTGTGTGTGTGTGTGTGTGTGTGTGTGTGTGTGTGTGGCTGAATAGTGGCAGTCAATTCTTCAGCCTTGCAAGCTGTTGAATGGTGCAATCCCAGCACAAGCTGCTATGGCTTCTGCTGCAGCATCGCTCTCATCGCCTCCGGCGATGGGCATCCAAAGGTCTAATGGTGTGTGTGTGTGTGTGTGTGTGTGTGTGTGTGTGTGTGTGTGTGTGTGTGTGTGTGTGTGCATGTGGCACTGCAGGTTTGTCCTAGATCTCAGCAAAGAAAAGAAGGACGAGCACACTAAACGGGTGACAGCACTGGCAAAAGCACTCAATTTCCAGGTACTAGTATGCACAAATTACCCATCCTGAAGAACACGCTCACACTGCGACCAAACACGTGCCCACGCGCTCAAGCAGCCACGTTGCATGGCAACGGCATGTACGTGACCTAAGCATCATAGTTACGTTTAAAATCTTGACCGCAACATCAAGAGGGGGGGGGGGGGCAGCTTTAGACGTTGTGTCGCTTGGACATGAAACATATTTTCAACAAAACCGAGGCAGAATTCAAGGCGCGTGATCATCAGGCTGAAGTTTTGAACTCTTCAGTCACCGAGGCGAGACAATAACTGAATGCAAACATTTCTCGGAGCATCGAGAAAATTGAAAACGCAACACCTTTCTTTGGTGGCGTTTTTAGACCTTGTGTGAGCACGATTACCATGTTTCTGATTGATGTCGCTTGGACAAAAGCCTCTTGTCGCAGTGTGAGCGCACCCTAACCAGGTGGCATGCGTGAGTAGTGAAATCTCTCCCAGATGGATGCTCAGCCTGGTATGCAGACATGTGCCTTTGGTTATGACATGAGTGCATTCACACACTGGTTTTCATGTGCAGACTTGGTACCGTATGTCAATCAACTGGGACTGAAAAGATACAACTGTGTACCCTGGGCAAAGAAGTCGAAGTCTGCTAACATTTTTACTAGTCTTCTGCTCACTAAAATAAATAAACAACGTCAACACTACACCACTTGATGTGAGTTTTCACCATCGGCAGACCCCATCGAAAGGGTAACCAGGGTTGTGCACTCTTGGGAGCTGATGTGCTCTTGCAGATACTTGGAATGGTTCTCCAAGCTCACATACTTGGAATTATTTGCGAATAGGTTTACTGATAACGTCAGAAACATACTGAAAGGAATAAAAAGAACAATATGGCGGGGCAAGCTAGCTAATTAAAAGTCGATGTGCATTGGAGAAAGGCTGAATGCGCCCAGGTAGAGTTTGCCAGTATTGTATGCAGTGCAGCTGCTCCAGCAGCGCATTCCTATAGTCAAAAAGAATAATTTCAATACGGCTTTTGTCTGTGCATTCAGCTGCAGGCTTCTTCAGATCAAGCAGAGGAGATGGCAATAATGACTAGCGTTCTGTCATACAGGCGCAATCCAGAGCTCAGCAGTAGCGCCAGTGGCAGCGATTGATACACCCACCCCGCCCACACACAGAGATAGCAGCCACACGCATTGATGATGGCTGACATGCAGCTGTGTCGGCAGTGGCAATGGAAGCCCAGGTGACATACTGGTGATGAATGCAAGACAATTTCCACCACACTGACTATGACTTGATATGCCCGTAACAGCAACATTGCAGTACTTGCATGGCTTGGGGCATATAGATGTTCAACATGTTCATCAGTGTATTGTCGTTCCTATCGCCAGAGAATAGCCAATGCCATACAGACGCAGCAGAGAGCTACATACTGGCTCAGTCGTTCACCTGCACGTTGAAAAGAGTAGAAGCAGAATATGTAGAAGTGCTTTGCTTGGGATAAGCACAGGGGTGTATAAACAGTGCACAACATCATTGACTCGTTGTACATCAGTATAATAATACATCATGACTTGAAGCGTTTAGGATTTTGAACCCCCTTCTCGTGTGTGTGTGTGTGTGTGTGTGTGTGTGTGTGTGTGTGTGTGTGTGTGTGTGTGTGTGTGTGTGTGTGTGTGTGTGTGTGCGCGTATGTGTGTGTGTACATGTCACTTGGAGATATCGCAACAAGAGTAACATGTACAGAGCACATACCTATTCTAGCCGCTTTCCAGAAAGTACCAAGAAGCCTGCAAGAAAAGATGGCAAAACAGACAAAATATCAACAAGCAAATAGCTTTTTGGCTTCAGCAAGAACATGAACGTGTGCACTACAGACTCTGTGACTCGTCCAGGCATGCAAGAAATATGGATAGGCTGCTGAGCATCATCAGAACTGGCAAACACGCACTGTCGACAGTTGAGCTACAATACAAGGAGGATACTTGACAAACATTAATGTACACTACATGTACTAATGCACTAATGTACACATGTACTTGCACTACAAAACTTCACACATGAATACAATACATTAACCTGCGCGCGCAGCTCTGCATGTGAGTTTGGGAAAGTCGGATTCGTTGTTACCATTTCAACATCAATGTACAAGTACGGTAAATTATGACATCATGGCATGAGCCAATCACCGTGATATAGGTGCAGTGTAACTCTAGAGTCGCCAATCTTTAGCTGCCATGACTCGCCAAAAGGAAAATACTGATGTAAATATTACATTTCCAGAAACCATAGTGAGTTACACACTCTTGTGTACGTCCTCTTGCTTCAAGTACCAGGTATACAGGCACAATATCAGTGTGCGGGTCAACGGGAATACACATGCTTTCACTCACCCTGTCTTGTTGCGGTCCAAGATGCTCGGTGCAATGCTTCTGACGTATGCACATGTACAGATGAACAGCAGAATGACTGCCAGCAAGCTTTGGAAATTGAACAGTGCAGACTGCATACCAACACCACATGTGCATACAAATATACACAGAACCCCAAATGAACACATTGCACACGGTGGGTAGTGCATGCACATTTTCATCATGCGTGGCAATGCGCACATTATGACATACATACATGTGTTGCGGGTGCATGTTTTGGATAATTACTTATCAATTAGAATGTCCGGATCATTAAAAGTTTCTCTGTGGTAATTTATCTGTACTGCCATGACATTTACAAACATGTACAAGTATACTTAGTTATTACCAAAAATTGGTCATGTGGGTCTCTCCAGGAGAGGTGAGAGCTTCGAAAGGAATCATGGAAAGATGACTCAATTGGCTACTGAATCGCCCTACGACTCACCCCGCTGAACCGACAGACTCTGGGTGGACTTGGAAATGATAACACGTATGCGGGCACATTATGATGCAGCAAGCAGTCGAGGGCAAGGTGCAAAAGTTATCTGCCCCAGGATCCAATGGCATTTATCCTCATCTTCAGTGAAGTTACAGTGGAATATTGACTGACACTAGTGCTGGTTGCTAAATTGCAGCAAATCTGATATAAGTTTCACTAGCATCATTGATTACACCAAGAGTACATAAACCAGAGTGTGGAACTCGGGATGGTTTCTGTGGGAGCGTAATCCGTGCAGTACGTCATGACAGCATGGTAAGGCACAGGTACGGTGACAAGTCACGGTGGTGCAGGTCACCGAGTTTGTCTTGATTTCGGTTTTTTTTAATACGGATAGCCTGGTGGATTTACTTGCCAGCGGATGTACGCAGCGTACCCAGTCACACAAAAACACTGAAATCCTAAAACAGGACGTCTAAAATCATGTACACTCGGCTGATTTCCGGACTGTGAAACACGAAAATTTGAGCTGTACGCAAGTCGCGGCTTGGCTGACCTCATCAGGGTGACGTAGTTCACGAACTCCGTTGTTTCAGATCTCATATGCACAGTTGCACACTCTGGTTTATGTACTCTTGATTACACACATACACACACGCATACACACATACACCCCCACAAACCATGTACCATGTACGACCGTGGCAAGAGAAGCAACCAAATCTGCACAAATGCACTGGATGCACACCCACTAAATTTGTCTTATAGCAACGATAGCAGACAAGAGCTGAATGAAATAGATCAAGACACACACAAACACACACACACACACACACACCCACAAACTCTCACACACACACACACACACACACACACACACACACACACACACACACACACACACACACACCGCAAAAGTAATCATGGATAGCGTACCATTGTGTCCACTGGTCAGATACACCGTCCACAAATAGCTTGTTAGTTCACACAGCGATTTGCTTAGAGGTAGTTTGTTTGATGAACCAATTGTGCACAAAGGGAACAATGGATTTCCTGCCCTTTTGTGTCAATCAAGCCTGGCTTGATGTGCACGCAATAATATCTTTTTCAACAAACAGCCTGGTAAGTCTGAAAAGCAGCTTTGAAACTCCTCCTGAAGAAAGGAAATAGACTTTGATTGACTGTCCTAAACTGAGAAAGGTCCTTTCCTTGAAAGCTGAAGTAACACGTTAGCTATCTGTATAAATAGTTCCGAAACTCTTGACACTTGAGATTACAGTACTACTCTTTGTGTCTGAAAATTCTTTTTGCCTTTGTATTGTGCATGATCACGTCATCACTACTTTAATTTTAATTTATTATAGTATACCATCAAGAGTACATGAAAATGATGAGGTTTTCATGTACTCTTGATACCATGCATGGGCATGGTATACTATCGGTAGTACATGTACAGTGCTGGCAACTGAAATCCGACCCCCTTGGCGGCGCGCCGCCGCGCCAAGGGGGTCGGATTTCAGTTGCCAGCACTGTACATGCATATAAATCATGATTGCACATCAGAGGCTCCGCTCCATGTAACACTGTAGTGGCCCTACATTTTTACTGCATAAATAACCAGTTTTCAAAGCTTTTTTTTTTTTTTTTTTTTTCGTTCCTACACCATAACACGCATGCTCGGCCAGTCCTTCCTCGGCCTTGTTTTTACTGCATTTTCTGCGTAGTTTGCATTGCATGCCTCTTCGAGTTTTTCCAAAATATCTCCACGATGGACGCTGTTTTGGATTTGCTGCATACCCTGGCGCAGCCAGAGGTACAATCTGCCATCGCGGCATCCGCCCACTCCCGCGGAAAACAAATAGGAGACACCGTTTCGGGGAACGGTATACAAATTTCCTCAAATAATTCCGCACCCACGGGCGGATTAGAAACTGGTCGTGGCACCACCGCAGCCTCTGGCGGTCAAGAAATGGAGGAGGCTCGGAACTCTTCCAACAGGGAAGGGAACCAGGATGACTCTCGGGTAGATGGCGGGGAGCCTTTTCGTTTTGTCTCATTGGCCGAACGTCGTTCGGCAAGCCTCGGTTTTTCCACGGACCGCCATTCCAGCAATGGCGGCCGGGCGCGGGGCCATATTAGGGGTGACGTCACTGACGTATCTGGGTCACGTGATTTACGTACAGATAGATCTAGATCATGCTCACGGGACAGATCTCCACCCCACTCACGATCTCCCCCTCGTTATCGTTCTGCTTCATGTGAACGACGTACACGTACTCGCCATAGATCGGCTGGTGCTACACGTACACGTAGATCTAGATCTAGATCTCAATCTGCGGACAGATGTCGGTCAGGGTCACGCTCGGGTGCTACGCACGAGTCCCGCCTGAGTGCCCGGGGACGACATGGCCATGGGTCACCCAGACGGCGCGAGTCGCACCGTTTCACCAGGCACCGAGATAGTTCTGGCACTAGTTCTAGCTCTGGTACGTCAGAATCTGACGATAGTGACTCCGACAGTCCTAGTGGCACATGTCCGTCATCCGACGACTCGGCTGCCCAAGAGCATCGCCGTGGTAGCGGCGCGGGCTTCGATCCTAAGGGGTTAGTGGACGACTCTGTATGGTCTCCCCCCTCGCACATGGCCTCGTACCTACGGGAGCACTGCCGTGGTTCCCTGTCCTTCGCTGAGCGTCGACGGGTGCGGAAACTGTGTCCCCGACCGGACGTGGAGGAAACGCGATGTCCACGCGTGGACCCGTTCTTGGCGGATGTCCAGGGCCTGGCCAACGCCAAGAGAGCGGATAGAATGCTGGCCAACATCCAACAAAAGGTTACGGACGTTTTCCGTCCCCTGGCCGCGCTCTGGGCTGCTATTGAGCAGGGCCGGCCGGTCCACGAACTGACCGAGCTGGTCCAGATGGCGATCGTCATGACGGGCGACGCCTCGAATGTATTGTCGGAGACACGCCGTCAGCGCCTCATGGCAGCGCTGCCAAAGAGATGCCCGAAGAGCCTGCTGCAGGGCTTGCGTCCTTCCGGTGATCTCCTCTTCGGTGATGGATTTTCCCGGGAGTATAAACGGAAGTGCCAGGAAATGGACGTATTCCAGCCACGGCCTTCTGGGCGGCGCCCGGGGACCGCACAGGACCGGTCGCAGCCTGCCCGTCCTGACCGTTTTTCTGGTCGTACCGTGTACCGGTCAGATCCAGGGCGGTTCCGCCCTTACGACAGGGCAGGACGGGGTCATGTCACCCGCCGGCCTGAGGAGCATTTCCGCCAGCCAGCAAAAAACGGCCGGGGCCAGCCCTTTCGCGGGCGCCCTCGAGGTCGTTGACGACCTCCCCCGTGCCTGGCTGCCTCACGGAAGCCCCTACCCCCCAGGTAGCGGGCCGATTGGAGCATTTTGCGGCAGCCTGGCGAGACCTAACGCAGGATGCGTGGGTGTTGAAGACCGTCTCAGGGTACTGCTTAGACCTCCACACCATTCCTTGCCAGCGGTCCGCTCCGACAGAGATGTGGTTCCCTCCCGAAAAATGCGCCATCGTCCACCAGGAGATAGAGGATCTCCTATCCAAGGGTGCAATTCGACCGGTGAGCCCATCTCCCGGCCAGTTCGTGAGCCGGTTATTCACCGTACCCAAGAAGGGTACCACCGCCGAACGTCCAGTCATCGACCTCCGCCACCTGAACGAGCACGTGCGGTACGAGCACTTCCAGATGGAGGGTCTCCACCTTGTTCCCCTATCCGTCCGAGAGGGCAATTGGCTCACAAAGCTAGACCTCAAGGACGCGTACTTCACCGTGCCGATCCATCCCCAGCACCGCCGGCTCCTGCGCTTCAGTTGGGAGGGCCAACTCTACGAGTTTCAGTGCCTACCGTTCGGCCTGTCCAGCGCCCCCCGGGTATTCACGAAGCTGATGAAGGTCCCGATCAGTGTTCTTCGTCGTCAGGGCATTCGTCTCATCCTGTATCTCGACGACCTTCTCCTGATTGCCGAGTCACGGCCGGCCGCCGTGCTGCAGACGCAGCAGGCCATTCAACTCCTAGAATCTCTGGGTTTCGTAATCAATCGGAAGAAGTCCATTCCCGAGCCTACGCAACAGCTCGAGTTCCTAGGATTTCAGTTGAACTCTGTGGCCATGACGATGTCGGTGCCGATCGACAAGGCGCGGAAACTCCAGCAGGAGTGCCACCGAGCCCTGTCCCAGCCCTACCTGTCCATCCGCGCATTGGCCTCACTCCTGGGCAGGATGGTTGCGTGCTCCCCAGGCATGTTTCTGGCTCCACTGCAATTCCGCCACCTTCAGCAGTTGAAGATTGCAGCCCTTCGTCGCCATCAGAGCTACCTTGCCACGGTACGCCTGACGCCGGAAGCCAGGACGGAGCTGACGTGGTGGGCAGCAGATCTAGAAACTTGGAACGGTCGCTCGATTCTCAAACCTCCCGCTCAGCTCACCATATTCTCCGATGCGTCCCTGCTCGGCTGGGGAGCGGTGTGCGGCACAACGAGTACTGGGGGTCAATGGTCCCCTACCGAGGCCAATCTCCACATCAATGCTCTGGAATTGATCGCTGCCTCATTCGCGGTGAAAGCCTTTCATCACCGGGCCTCTTACCGTCCTCTGCACATCAAGTTGTTGATCGACAACACGACAGCCGTCAGCTACATCAACCGCTTAGGCGGCACGCATTCCCGTCTCCTGTCCCAGATCGCTTGCGACCTCTGGAGATGGGCGGTCCAACACGATATCCGCCTCCAGGCGGAATATGTGCCGAGCGAGGAGAACCCAGCGGACCATCCTTCTCGGGGCTCCCTCTCCGAGTCCGGCGACTGGCGCCTGGACCCTGCTCTGTTTCGCAGGATTCAGAGGGCAGCTCCTTGGACCTTGGTGCTAGATCTGTTCGCATCTCGACTGAACACGCAACTTCCCGCCTTCTATGCTTGGAGGCCGGATCCGGAGGCTCTCGCTCTAGATGCGTTCTCTCAGAATTGGAGTCTCCCTCATCAGGACGCGGTGTATGCCTTCCCACCATTCTGCCTACTGGACAGGGTGCTTCATCGTGTGGCCTCACTCCATACTTGCCGGATGATACTGGTCGCACCAGTATGGGATACGCAGCCATGGTACGCGACTTTGCTGCAGCTGTTGGTCGATTTCCCCATGCTTCTGCCCACATTCGACTGCCTGCTACTCTCACCCTCGGGCCATCCACACCCACTGGTACTATCCCGCCACCTGCGCCTCGCCGCATGGCCTATCTCCAGCAGCGCTTCAATGCAGCAGGACTTTCTCCACAGGTCGTGCGACTCCTCTCCTCCTCTTGGCGGTCATCAACCAATGCCGCTTACGCATCGGCATGGGAGCAGTGGCTGGGCTGGTGCAGTCAACGGTCAGTGGATCCCGTTTGCCCATCTTTAGCTATGGTGCTCCAGTTCCTGGCCGATTCCTTTGAGGACGGCCGCAGCTACAGTACCCTGAATGTCTATCGGTCAGCGATGTCTGCTACCCTGCCTGAGCTGGATGGTGCACCCATTGGCCAGCACCCGTTGGTGGTGCGTTTGCTCCGTGGTATCTGCCTAGAGCGTCCGCCGCAGCCGCGGTACTCACATACTTGGGATGTGGGTATTGTCACTTCTTGGCTCTCTAAACTGCCTGCCAACACGGACCTGTCTCTCCCTGTCTTGTCTGGCAAGTTGGCCATTCTGATGGCCTTGACTGCTGCTCGGCGCTCTTCGGACCTCCACCGGCTAAGCCTCAACTCTCATCGTTTCTCTGCCGAGGGCGTGGTATTTGACTATCTCACACCCCCTAAGCAGCATCGCCCTGGTTCGGAACCAGCCCGACCTGTCACCTTTGCTGCCTTTCCTGTGACTCCTGCACTCTGTGTTGTGGAGTGCTTCAGGGAGTACTTGCGTCGGACCGCCGACCTGCGACAGGCATCTTCTGCACATCTGTTCCTCAGCACGAAGCGTCCGCACCACCCTGTCACCTCTGCAACGATTGCTCGTTGGATCAAGCAGGTTATGTCCAAGGCTGGTGTGGATACATCGTTGTTTGGTGCCCATTCCACTCGTGCCGCTTCTACGTCTGCTGCGAAGCGTAAAGGTATGTCGACAGTGGACATCATGAAATGTGCTGACTGGAGTTGCGCATCTGTGTTCCAGCGCTTCTATTTCAAGCCATGGGAGGGTGAGACCAGCGGCTCTTCCCCATCGGCACATCAGCAGTTCTGCCGCTCTGTGCTTGCGCCGTAGCGCTACCAATGTTGGCCTGGCCAGGTTCTGAGTCTGTGACTTTGTGTCTACCTCAGTAATCCGATTGCTGTCTGTGCCTGGCTTTCTCAATGCCGTTCTATCTGTGCATGTGTATAGTACACGGCTTTCCTCATTTATTCTTCCTTTTGCCATTACGCCTGTGTCCTTGTTCTGGACAGGCCTTTTGTCACTTTCTGCGGCAAGTTTCCGTGGCACCGGTTTACCCTGTTCCTTACTGATTTGGTGGTGTGCATGGTGTGCTGCATGCCCGGTTGGGGGTTTTCATGGCCTGCGTTGGTCCCTCTCTCCGGTCTTGTGGTGTTCGCTTCACCTCTGATTTGAGCGTTGAAATCTACAGTGTTACATGGAGCGGAGCCTCTGATGTGCAATTGACGATTATACAAGGAACTCTGTTCTGATGTATAATCATAATTGCATGAAGAGGTGAAGCGAAATGTAACACTGTAGTCCCTCCCGCCCATCCCATTTACTTATGCACCGGGGAGTGCCCATGGGCTTTATCTTGGCCATTGACGCGTTCAAACAAGGCCGAGGAAGGACTGGCCGAGCATGCGTGTTATGGTGTAGGAACGAAAAAAAAAAAAAAAAAAAAAGCTTTGAAAACTGGTTATTTATGCAGTAAAAATGTAGGGCCACTACAGTGTTACATTTCGCTTCACCTCTTCATGCAATTATGATTATACATCAGAACAGAGTTCCTTGTATAATCGTCAATTACAAGTGCATGCACTGGTCACCATGTACCAGTCACCATGGGAAATAAAAAAAGGGTATCTCCCGTTTTTTTTGAGGGAGTACTGGTACGTAGGTATTTTACTACTCCGTGGTTTTTCCCCAAAACCTGAAAAAGCGTGTGTGTGCACAGCGCGCGCTAGCGGGTGCACAGCGTGCCCGGCGCGCCGCTCTCAGCGCTAGCTCTTGCGATAGTGCGCCCCTCGCCGGGAGTCACTACGATCGAGTACGAGTCGTAGTGCACTACTCCCTGCCCCTGGCATGGTGCGCGCGATATGCCTTGCTCGCGTGACTCATTCCCGGCGCACTTCATGCAGCGCAGCTAGCAGGATGATATCAATAAAAATGGCGTCATTCGATTTGAAGAGGTTTGGTTCACCAGTGGCGGGCCGTTTGTTGTCGTTGGGTTCGTTTTCATGCTTACACAAGTTACAGTTACACGTGGATGATGAGCAAAACTGCTCTTCACGAACAGTCTCATGTTGTTCCCTTTCGTTGCAAGTTGATTTTGTTGTGGTGGCTGGTCGAGTAGCTCTGCTGACTTTTTAGTATGAAGTTGTTGGATGGGACTCATCAAGCCACTGCTCTCTCTTTGATGTGGTAGGTGCAGGGTGTTGTACTGGATGCCTGGATAATCTCCACTGAAAGGGGGTCAACATTTCAGTGTTATGTCATATTTTCTGTCAGTCCTGCTTTTTTCCATGGCGTACAGCCCTGTTTACCCCGCACCACAGAATGTTTCGGGAATCACGCGCTTCTTGTATATTGCTCTCTTGTCTGTTCGTTGATTTTTCTGTTTTGTACATACATGTACATGTGCGTGGTATTACCACTTCCTCAATGCCCACTTCAGAAGTAGAATGAACTCACAGCTGTAATTGTGTGGGCGAAAGTGCACTCGTAATTTTATTGTGGAGCATGCAGTTGTAGTGCTTCGCAGCAGGAATTATGAGAATGTTACATGACTGTATTATTGTTACATGTTGTGAAGGCATTCGAGAAATGGTACTCACTCAGTATTTGTCCTGCTGGATTTTACCACTAGTGTACTGAACGGAATTTTCACGACTCGAGCAATTCGAGCTGGGCTTTTAGTTACATTTGTGCACTGGTGGTGTTTATGTCAGTGGTACATGGTGGGCCTGTTGTCGCTGTGATTTACTGCATTAGCCATTAACTGCGCTCCAACCGTTCGATATTAATTTGTGTAGGCACAATAGTAGCTGGTTGTGTTTCTCAATACATAATATAGCCGGTGGTAACGCGGACGTGCGAACTCTCCTTTTTACAATAGTAGTTCACCAGTACAGTTGCAAGCCTGAGTCAAGTGGGGGACATCGTTAATGCGTTTGCACTTGAAGTGGGCTACGCACAATGACTGTGGTACTACAGGCTGCGTAACCCAGGCCTTGGTGCAGTATGCAGTGGTCTAGAGAGAAAGAGAACAGTAGTTGTGATTGGGATGGGGTGAGAAGATTGAGGATAACTGACACTATTGCACAGTGAATTTTTTCACATGCCCAGAAATATAATATCTCCATACTAAAATTTCCACGCACACTGCATGGCTCGTCACACGTTTTCAGTATGTACACAGTTTGTTTCCCATGCAAATGTTCATGTTTGGTCAGTGCACAGAAATCACCCACTAGTACTGGTATACAGAACCCATACTCTGCTTTTGTATGGGTGGGCTGAGGCCAGTGAGGGGCTAATATTTACTGGAGAGAATCGGAATGGTGTTAGATGCGACAGTGCATATTTGTATCATTTGGCGATGCGAATGCATTGCTGTAGCAAGAGTGGCCGCCAGATTGTTTGTCCCACCGGTTATCAGGTTCTACGTCGGATTCTACGTAGGTAGCCTTTTTTGCGAGCCAACCAATTACAGTTTATTAGTTGGACCAATGCTGGCTGCAGTGAAATTCAGTGTAATATTCCCCCAGGGCTGTAAAGATCTACACTTGTTTGCCGATTAATGGATTTTCATGGTCAAATGACTGTACTTTCATTATGCACAAGAGAGATTGGAAGCTGTGTCGCAACTCTGAGCTTCACGTATTACTACGATCATCAGGCAACTTTCAATATATAAATAATGTGCAATCAGGCTAAGGAATGGCACAAGCTACGGGCTCTTTACTATCAACATTCCTAACTCCAACGTTTCCACTAGCACTTTCATTGCTTTGTCTTCAAGAGGATACAGGCAGAAGAAGAAACTAATTAGTGCAATAATCGCCTGTTGTTATCGCAATGCATATCACGCTGATCACATCTCTTTACACGTACACGTACATCATTAATGCATAAATGTAGTGATGAATTACATCATCACTTTAGTTTACTCCTTTTTCTGTGTTCGTGCGAATCTACCTACTGCTTATATCACCTAAATGTTGTTTAAAGAGCGTTCTACTAGTTAGTTCCTTCTGCCTGTATACTATTCATCTGAAGAGATAAGAAGGCATGTAAAGAGTCTGAAGCTTGTGTCATTCCTTAGCCAAATGACTGGCATATCGTAATGCTGTGTCCTAAGCACAGTATGTTATATCCAAGGTACTTTATGCTGTTTCCCCTTGCTATTGATGTTTGTAATCCTTGGTCTAGGGAGTAGTACGAACACCAATGTAACATCTGGGTCTCATGAGGGTGACTGATACATGTTTCATCAGGAGGTACATACCAATAGGCCTTCCTGGGCATCAATCCCCCCCCCCCCCCCCCCAGAGAGTTCGAGTCTTGGGTGCGGGAAGTGTATCGGATCAGCCGTGCCGTATTCTGCTCCTCGCACCCCAATTGATTCTCGTTGTGTTTGATTTGAATGCGTCTGTGTGCAGAGATGTGAATGGCATGCTCGTCTTCATCCAACACAGCAATGGGCCGACTCGATCATCCTAGCTCGCCATCTGGCCCCGGATGTAAGCCGAGCAAGACGTCGACGCTGAATGGCTGTGTTACGCCAGGTCGCCATGATGCGGCTACACCTAGTGTTACCAGTCCTGCTGAGGTATGCCTTGTGTGCAGTCAATGGTTATCTTAGTCTTTTTCTTGCCCTCTTCAATATCTGGGGATTATGCTATTGCTTATGTTGCAGTTAGACTACAGAAACTGGGGTCACTGTGTGTGTGTGTGTGTCTCTCTCTCTCTCTCTCTCTCTCTCTCTCTCTCTCTCTCTCTCTCTCTCTCTCTCTCTCTCTCTCTCTCTCTCTCTCTCTCTCTCTCTCTCCTCTCTCTCTCTCTCCTCTCTCTCCCCTCTCTCTCTTCCCTTTTGCCACATATCAATTTCTATACTTTTTCATTGTTCATGTGTGTTGTGTTCCCAGGGACCCTTCTGCTGCTCTTTAATTTGCAGTATGGTGTTTTGTCATTGCAGGTGTTTCGGACTGACCTGATCACAGCAATGAAAAAACCCGATGGTGACATACTGACTGATTCGGAGTATGCTCTTATAGAGGATTCGTGGAAGCCAGAATGGGAACGAGGCGTGCAGGTATGCAATGAGCAATGGCCGCAATGAGAACAGTTGCCTGGCATAGTGTAGCTAGCTGTGTTCAACAACTACCATGATCATGTACCACAGTACCTGGGGACAAATATGGTTGTGTTTAGTGTGCTGGTCCATGTTATCAAACCTTCTTCGTACCGAATCTGCCGTTCTCAGTCTGTTGAGGTGCTGATAGTCAGATACTGTCAAGGCTGATTTATATGTTCCTAACTGATTTATCATCTTGTAGGTCTGTGTCAAGCCTGAATCATCGATGAAAGCACTGAAAGTCAGGTAAGTAGACATCTTGACATTGGATGTGTGTTGAGCTGGTGGTGGAGGCAGTAGGGGCGTGTGATGGTAACAAGGCTTTGGCTTTTGTTGTAAGTTGCTATGGAACTTCATCTGAAGCTTCCGTAAAAAATATTAAAAAAAGGACCGGGAGAACGAAAGTTTTTTCTTTGTTAGCTGCTTCAAGTCCACCACTTGAAACAGCTTGCTTTGTGATTTCCTGGCGTTTGTTGTGGTTCCTGTGGTCATGTTGAGTTTGTTGCAAACTTCTGAGTTAGAGTTGGGACTTTGTTGTGGATATATTCATTCTCTACCAATATTTAGGAGCCAAAAACCTGGTCTCATCAAGTACCTGTATCACGGGGGGAAATGACTGCATTGCTAGTGAAACGGGGTGGCAGGTTTCAAGGGTGTGTTGGACAGTCCCATCCTTGTCTGCAGGGTGGGTCGACTGAGAGATATATCCATGGTGGTGTACTCTAGCAACATTTTTATGGTACCTGTACTTTTCTTCGTGCTTGGCAGGTCCGGCGTTAGTTTCGAATGTCCGAAAAAGTTCTGTCCGTAAGTTACTTCTGCTGTGTCTCTTGCTATGCTTTGCAAGTTTCCCTGGATGCGCCTTTTTCGTGTATTTTTTGTTTTAAATCTCCTTTCCAAACACTACTATTCTCTGGGTTTCCCCGAACATGAGATGCACCTCTTTAAGTTGAACTAAAGGCTGAAAAGAGTGTATGACTGACAATTCAGCCTGACTTGCTACTCAAGTGAGTACATGTACAGTAAAACCTGCCTAACCTGCCTCAAGGGACCTTCGAAATGTGGTCTCTATTACCAGGTGGTCTCCTTATCAAGGGTCGTTTGAGTGGAAATTGCATCTCTTGATCCTGGTTTCAGTGGTCTTCTAGAACAGGTGGTCGGCTTTTCCGAGTCGTCGCCTTGACAGGTTTTACTGTACTTGTATATTGAAATGATGTGCCAGAGACCTGAAAAATGGGGATGTGACTTATGATCAAGGAACCACTTAGAATTGGGAATTGTGGCAGACGCACAAGCTAATCTAACACGCCGGGCATTGTTGTGAGTTGTCGCCCGCCTCATCTCACTGCACTGTTCTTACCAGAGGTTGACTTCAGTGCGGCTGTATTTCTTCTATGTTGGCTGCATTGCACGACAGACCTACTGTGTATATTGAGCAAGCGGAGCGATCCAGTGCAACCAAGGTACCCGGCGGTGATCGTGTCCAATACGACATGGACAATATGGACTCGCAATGGCTAGCGCGTTTGCACTCGTTGGATGTCAAAGGTGAGGTTCCTCAGTATCTTCTCTCTGCCTGTTTGCTTAGCATGGCTCCATTTTTTGTAATATTGTTGATTGTTAAGGATGCCTGGATCTGGCAATGATGCTAATTTTGGAGCGTCCGGGTAGCTGCTACTGTATAACATGTAATTTTAGGTGGATTAAATTTTCCTGCCAGGTTTCAGGTGTAGTTTAGAATTAGGTGACCAGCATTCCCTTCACATACAGTGCAAACTTCGAATCACCATAACTCCAGAATGCATGGCGAAAATAGATAGTTCTTGCCAGTTTCCTATATGCTGTGCTCTGGAAATCAAATGCAACCCAAATCGAAGAGTTTGGCGCAAATTTGCAATGGTGTAAAATCACTAGTTCATCAGATATGACCGATAGCGGAGTATATTCCTCTCAAATCGGCCTTACTGTCATGCTTTTTCTGTGTGTGTGTGTATGTGTGTGTGTGCATTGGTTTTGTGCTGAAGGTGGCAAGGATATTGACGAAGACAAACTCGAAGCGTGCGTCTCGTTCCTAGATTTAAAGGTAATGACTACTTGCTCGATTAGAGGGGGGGGGGGCTCAGATAAACCAGGCTTTCTACAGAGCTTGTGTGAATCCTGGCAACGCCCACCACCACACTACTTTATCTTATGTTCTGGAGCCAATGGCCAATGGTGGTTGACGTTTTCTGCTTGACATTGCTATCCCTGTGATTCGCCACAGTGTTACGAGAACATGTGTGAAGCCATAAAGACTGACGATGGTCTCGGGGTGGAATATGATGCTGACGTCATGTGTGCAGTGTGCCGAGCAGTAAGTTTGTACTCAAACGGCTGGTGTGTATCTGTGTGTGCGTGCGTGTGTGCTGCATATTTAAAGTTACTTCTTTGAAGTACATGTATACTGTATAAGGTCCCATGTCCACCCGTCTGGAAGTACACCCAGCCTCCGTGTGCTGGCCCAGTCTTGCACAGTCAACACCTTTAGCCGTGAGGATAGTGCCCATGCCAGTGGACAGGCCCAGGTGTTTACATGGCACTCATAGTGCAGTGGCTACACTATGTAGTGTATAGCTAGTGTACGTCACCGCACCACCTCTATGCAGTCAAAGATCTTTCTTGCAGTGTTTTTGGTGAGGGGAAGGGTTTCAGTATTTCCATCTATCCCAAGTATAGTCCCGGTGTCTATTTGCGAACTTGTTAATGTATCATAACTTGACTTTGATAGCAATGGGGACGTGGCCCTAATTCACCTTTGTTGACTGTTGCTTGTGTTTATAGCTGGACAGCGAAGAAGGAAATGAGATGGTCTTTTGTGACCGGTGCAACATCTGCGTTCATCAGGTCAGTATCACTATGCCTGCACTTGGGGACGAAAGATCTTGTACACGCACATGTACAGTGGATATTCCCGTGGACTGATGTTTGGAGTTGTGATTGCATTAGGTTTGCATTGTGTATGTCTAGAGCAGATAACACCCTCCGGCATGCGTGTTAGGCCTTACTCGTTCTCACAAGGCTACACCTAGTGCATAGTATTCCATGCTCCATTTGATAGACTTGAGGAATGTGCAAATGCATTGGTTGCTGAGTTGTAACCTGTCCAATGCGCGACTAGACTACCTTCCTATCCATTGAACCGTTGTACAAGTGTTATTCGGCTGTATCAAAAATCCTGTGCTTGTGCTGTTACCCTCTACCTTTCTTCCCGTTTGGGCCATTTGTTGGAAGGCTTGCTATGGAATTCGCCACATACCTGAAGGCAAATGGTTCTGTAGTCCCTGTGCTAACAATATCAAGCCTATCTGCGTATTATGTGGACAAGGTGGTGGTGCACTCAAACCTGTCAGGTAAGCTAAACAATAGTAAACATCCTATTGCTGCTGCATATCTGCCGAGCCGCTCGTCAACGTACCACTGACCTGGCCTATATGTTATCTCATTGGCGATGCGTACAACTAGCGTTTGGTTGCCCACTGGCAGCCTGCTTTCTACCTACGCACGTACCTATTTGTGGTGCTTCTCTGTGCGTCCTGTCCAGGCTTGGGACACGCTGGGCTCACATAAGCTGTGCTCTGTGGATTCCCGAAGTGAAGATAGCTAATGTAGATACTATGGAGCCTATATCAAACTTCCATGCCATTCCGGTGAGTTTTGAATATGTTGTGCCAGCTGGACATGATAGCATGTAAAAGCTTTGATAGTACAGCGCTGCTAAATGAAATCTGATCGTGTGAGTCAAGTATGCGCCGGGCGCTGTGCAGTCCTAGACCTGCGAACACTAGGCTGTGTGCTGGCCGGTAGGGTACACCACGGAGGATCTACATCACTTTGCACGGCTATACGTTGCATGTTGGCTCTCTGGAAGTGTATTCTTATTGAATGTGCATGTACGGAGTTACAGTGAAAGTGTCATTGACTGTTGTACTGTTTTTTTGCGTTGTTCATGCAGCAAAGCAGATGGAATCTGTTGTGTTCTATATGTCGGTTACGTCAAGGAGCATGCATACAGTGCTGCGTAAGTACCATAGCTGGCCTGACAGATGCCTGGTCATATGTTTATCTCCCATCCACTCTTATGATACACCCTGCATGCTTTCCCTAGTCTTTGTGATTTTGTGTTGCCAATCCTATCTATGCACATGCCCAAGACCACCACAGCATAGTATGCGTCATAGCAACGCGCCATGTCCAGTATTGATATTCAACACTGAAGCTTATCTTTGTTTTCTTCGTGTTGCTTTTGTTTTCTTGTAGGTATCCACGTGTACTGTTGCATTTCATGTAGAGTGTGCGTTCCAACAGAGTCTGAAGATGAAAAGTCGCTTAGATCACACAGTTTCTGATGCTGTGCGGAATGAGGTAGGATGTGCTGCCTTGTTTATACCATTCTAACCTTTTCCTGTAGTCTACAGCTTACTGCATGTTAGCTGAAATGTTCATCGGGAATTTAATTTCCTCGTTTCTGTCCATCGAACGTTCGGGCTAAATCAAATGCCGGTCTAAACGCAATTTGCCTTGTTCTTCTGTGCCTTTTATGCTCCGTGGAAATTTCTGTGGAATTGGACAACATGATTGGTATCCACCGACTTAACTTTTCTGCGTGTACAGTAGCTATGGTGTATTGTATGCCTTGCAATGGTATCCTTGTGTGTGCCTGTTCTGTGACTCTCCTTAATCTGTGGGCCCGTTGTGCTTATCCATGTCAATGTACTGGAGATGTCTATTCTGTAGCTGTTAAGCGGGATTCACAGAAGCTTTTTTTGCGATGCGACAGACGCGAAACCGGGAAAGCCCCAATTCGCAGCCATGTCGCACCCCACGCAACTGCCGCAACTGGGCCATCGCAGACCATCGCAGAAGTTGAGCTTGGCTCAACTTTTGCGATGCGACAAGCGGTTTGGCGTACGATTTTGACCTTTTCTACAGCAAAGTTGTACAAAGGTTCAAGAGTTGCCTATAAATTTGTACAAGTTGTATCAAACCGCACGAATATCATGGTGACGTACCCAAATCAGCAAGACTTTGTCGCATCGCTGACTTCTTCTGTGAATGGTATTTCGCGAGTTCGCATCGCACGCATCCATCGCAGATCGCGTCGCATCGCAAAAAAGCTTCTGTGAATCCCGCTTTAGTGTCCTATATAAGGGGCCGTCGCAAAAGTTTTTTGTCGTCCCTGAAACGAACATGATTCATTGGGGGGGTGGGGGGGGGGTGCGAGCCAAAATCGCAAGTCGACCGACACTGTACATATGACATGTACATGCATGCGATTTTCGTCGTCCAGCATAACAAGCTGTGTTCGTTTCAGAGGGAGGGGAGGGGGTCCGAGTACGAAATGAACGATATTCGTTCAGGGACGACAGAAAACTTTTGCGACGGCCCCTAAGTCAAGTTGCTCTGCTGCTGCTGTTACATCCATGATTCACCTCAGGTGTAATGGTTGGCTTTAGTCTGCGGGTGGTTCACCATTCCACTTTACGTTTAACCTTTTGGACAAGATGTCTACTGCTCTGTGTTCAGATGCTGCTTGCCTATTTGTTAGTGATATTTGCTTTGGATGGCATGTCTGTAGGTACATGACTGGTTGTGCATCATGTCATTTTGTATTAAATCTAGATTGTAGTTTTCTTGCTACTAACAGTTAATATGTCTGTTATTGCTACTGCTTTAGGCTTATTGTCCTCGCCATGCCCTACTTGCTAGCAGTCCTGCACCGAACCAGGCCAACGCATCCACGCCACAAATCAACCAGCGGGAGCGGAGGTACGGGCTTCTAGGGCATGTACATGTACTACAGCTCATAAACTGAGCTATTCCACCGCTTAAACTCCTGCTTGCCTGTGTGTATGTCCACTTTCCCAGTTGTTCTGTGAGCCATATTTCCAGTGTTGTGCTTGGCTGGGTAGCTGAAGGTTCAGCTCTTGAAGAGTGCATCTGCTGTTACTCTCTCCACAACCGCTAGCATGACGGTGGACTGCATTATGTTGTCGGGCACATGTGCCATGCTGTGGATGGGCAGCAGGATTGCGTTTGTTCCTGTTAGCGATTTACTGAGTGCTTGCTCACTGTCTGTGTTTCGGTGGTCGTGGTAGTGATTTCGCTATAGGTTTTGATTTTGTGAAGAAGAGGTCCTCACCCTGCTGGTCTCTTTGGTTTTTGTTTCTGTGTGCATAGACTAAAAGGAATGATGGAAAATTTCCATCAGTATGCTCGGCATACCGACTTGGCGAGGAAGTATCGATTTGCCAAGCCACTCGCATGCCTGTTGCATTCTTTCTGGGTGCTGAAGCGCAGAGTAAGTACTGCCAGTAGGCGCTGGTGGCGGTGGTGGTGGTGGTGACTATTATCTGCACTGGTGTAACTTGTTTCATTAGGTGATCAGATACTAGTGCAGTCATGTACATCATGCTCCTTTTGTGTTGTTCACAACTAGTGTGTTTGAATGCATACTTCACATCATCCCATGCTGATCTGTAATTCGTCTCTGTGTGTTGTCTTACAGCTTCACAGCAACCAATCGTTCCTTCCTCTACCTGATCCGTGGCAGGTTGTTGCTGAAGAGCGTTTGCGAGAATTCCAAGACGACAAGGAGAAAGAAGAGGTTAGGGTTGCACTTGGTGATTTCCTTCTGCATCTACATGTATTAGTTTGTCTGTGTGTTGTTTATAGCGAGGTCAGACAAAAATTCGGGCAAGCCCTGTTGAATCTGGTTTTAATGGAAAGTTCAGGGCTTCGTCAGCTCGAATCTGGAACTTGATATCAAACAGACATGGATCTTCACCAAAATGATGAACTGGCTAGCTAGGTAGCAAGTTGTCTGGTTATTAACGGCAGCTGATCTCCAACAGGCCATGCTGTTGTGGTGATTTCAGCGATCTATGCTCATGTCATGATTTATCACAGATGGAATCCATTGTCTCGAACAATGGCGATGGGGTATGTGTCTTCGGTCATCTAGTCCATAACTATGTCTAGTTTGTTCATCTCTTACTGTTCGTATTGAAGTGTATATTTTTGACTATACTTTTTTCTCACCTTGTGAATGCAGGCGGAAGATCAGTGTCGACCCATGGTTGCCGAATGGGAGCTTGAGTGGGAACGGTTCATGACATTGCGGCAGGACATGGAGAAGGTACACACTCTTTCCTTCCATTGTGACATAACTGTGTCATGTTTTTACTGGTGTTCCTATTTGTGCGTTGCAGTATGACAAAGCATGATGTTAGGAACCCGTCTACTCTGCTGTCAAGTGATATCCAACCATGCGTAGAGAAGAGCTGTGCTCGCTGCCTAGTCCAGTGTTTGTAGGGTCACACAGCCCCGGAGCTGTTATAATCACTCGGTTGGATTTCACTTGTCATGGCTGCAGGGATGCCTAAAGTTTGGTTCGAATGTGATGAGGCAAAAGGACTTATCTCACTTTCGTTTTTCAAAGTGTCTTTCTTCTTCAAATACATTTTTGTTGTAGCTGCCCTTCTAGGTTGTCCACGAAGCACTCAGGATGTTCAGTTTGTAGTTTAGGAAGGTCCTAGCAGCACTGCCACTCTTGGCATCGCTGCTGAGAGTTATGCCCTTGAGCTGAGCGGAGTAAGTGTGTGTTTGGTGGCCCTACCCCCAGTAATGAGCTCTACAAGTAAGAAGAGGGTGAAGAGGCCAGATGGAGTACTAGTACCTGATTTCACAGGAGTCCATGGAAACATGTTTCAAAGATAGATACCTCATCATTGTAGTGTACTGTGTAGGTACTACTTCAAAGTTCAAAGTAACTAAGTTTTTTTGTCCCTGTGTGCTGTGCTATTTCTTCTGCACACGCAGAGTCGCAACTTGTCCTACATGATTTTAAGGAGGGAACGGCTGAAAAAGCGCTTGTTGCTGGCGCAGCATAATATATTTCTCAAGTCTGCAGATCTGGCATTGGAAAGTAATGACAGTCAGAATCTGGCCCTGGCAGACTTCGTTGTACGAAGTCTTCACTCGCTGGCTCTGAATGTAGCAACTTCAACAGCAACCGGCACGTCTTCCGTATCATCTGAAGTAACGACTCCAGCTCCGATGTCTCCTGAACCTCCTGCTTCTCATGCTACCGGTGCTGTTTCTCGGTCACTGCGATCATCTGTGGCAACACCAGGTCCTGTATTAGCATCTGCAAGCCCTGATCATCGGCATCATCGCACTACCAGTGATTTACCAACACCTAACCACTACATGCCTGCAAAGAGGTTACGTGCTTCATCGCCCGAAAAGGCTTCGAGGGCTTCGCTGGCTCATGTCACGGCCTCTTCAAGTCCTACATCATTGTCACGAGCTGTGCCCAGCAAAATCAGCTTAACAGTAAGTTCCTCTGTGATGGCAGCAGCAGCTAGCCCAGTTTCAGAATCCGTCAAGCCACTTAGAACTCCTAGTCCTTCTAGTCCTACGCAATCAGTGTCGTCAACATTAGCCACCTCTAGGCGCCGCAGCTCTAGAGCTCTATCCTCTTTATCCTCCACACCCTCTTCTCCTAGTGCTGCTGTACTCGCACCCGATGATGAATCAGTGCTTGATTCACCCGCTGGGCTAACTGCAACAAAGCGACGCTACTCATCACGGAGATAGCACTGGTAATGCTCTGCTTAGTAATAGCCAGAATACCGTTCAATTTGTTCACATCATCGCTCCCACTCTTTGTGGCAGCAGCGTTGCCAGCATTCTGCATGCGTCATGAAACTCAATCCAATATCAATACCTCCCATTTTCACACTCCATATTAGAAACATTTTACATTTTTTAATTTTTCTGTCAGTGTCAGTGAAATTCTTCCTCACGAACTCCGGTGCACACTTATTTACTTCCTTACTCAAGCCATGAGCACTGTGCACCGACATTTCATGAAACTCTGCTCACCTTATCCCCTTGCGTACGTGTGTCCTTGTCTTCGTTTTGTCTTGGAATTTGCTACCTGTATCCTCTTGCTGGGCTTTGTGTTACTTCTTGCTGCTGATGCTAATGTGTGTGCATTGCTAGTGGCTGGTTGAGAAATCCTCTTAGATTGCTGATGTCTTGTATATACTATAGTGTATATGCTGTACTTCGAAGTTGAGAGCCAAAACCGACATGTTCTGCTGAGTTCATGTGCTGTTTCAATTTGTGTGTTGGCACAAAGATAGGTACTGTACTAGGTATGACTGTGACAATGCTTCGTTCACTATTGTCACTCTGACGTCTCCTTGTGCTTGTAGCTGGCATCGATCCTTTCGCTTCCTTTTTTGAGATGATTTCCCTACGTTTGTATATTTATCAGTTCTGTGTTCGTGACTCCATTTGTCGAATATACGAACTCAACCTCTTACTGCAGTCCTTTTCAGTGTGAATAGCTACTGTGAAGCATGCGAGCTGGGGATGGTCACGATGCTACTGCTACTGTAGTGCGGTGTGTTTTCAAGGTTGTATTCAATAGATCAGGTACATGCAGCAAATGTACGCTTTCAGTTTGCACTGTGTATGTGCCCTCCTCACTTTCTGTGTGTGTGTGTGTGCGCGCACGCGCGCGTGTGTGGTGTGGTTGTTCTTTCGGCTTTCCACAATGTATTTACTTAGTTCAAACTCCACCACATGGCCATGCACCCTCTGGCTGACCTCATTCACACCAGCAACACAACTCGCAAGTTGTAGACACCGGCAAGAATTATTCCTTCATACAAAAAAAAGGCCAAAGCGCATGCATGTAAGTAGTTGGAGTTTGAAACTGGCTGACACCTGCTGCTTACCCTCCACCAGGGAGTCATATCATGCAACGGTTTGGGTACGACTCCCTGCCCTCCACAATGTATTCTCATTTTATTTCTTTTTTTATTGTGATGCATCATACTAAGTAATCAGGGAGTCATCAAATACCGGTATTTGACGACTCCCTGATCATAACGCTACACAATCTGTCATGGTCTGTGTGCATGTGTGTGTGACATTATGTATTTGTATATCTGTGCATAGGTCTGCATAGCAAGGTTAGCTCTATTACAGGTGTAGAGTGTCCAATATCACATGAGTGTCATGCCCCACTGCCTGGACTCCTGTGTGTAATTGACTTTTATTGTGGTTCTGTGGAGTGGGGAGGATGTCCTGTCTGAAGGTCATCCTGCACATGCATGATTTACACAAGTTGTAATCGATCTGCACTCTGTACAACTGCACAAAAGATCAGACTTGCGCGTGCACATCTTCATCCACAGGCATGTAGAGCAGTGCATGCGTTGGTTCAACACCGTATTTTGACATACGCTGAAGTCGCTTCACAGATCGAAATTTGCCGGGGGGGGGGGGGGGGGGGCAACAGTACTTTACGATACACATACTTGTGCTAGCAGGAGGTGGGATATCAAAGACCCCCCCCCCCTCTCTCTCTCGCTCTCTCTCCTATGGTCATTGGTTTTTCGGACATCCTTTGAGGATAATTGTGACTGCAGCAGCTCTCCAGCAGAGACGATAGGGAAAATAGGTTAAGAGGAATTTGATATTCAGCAGAACAGCACAGGGCAGCTATAGTTCTGGCATGTTTGATCATTGAAGCAAAGCATTTGAATGAGTTCATGCACTGTGTGCAGCTAATGGAATAATAATGATCATGAATTCATGATAAATCAATCTAGAATTGAGCCAGTGAACATGACCAGGATGAGTCATAACATCTGTTTAAAAACATAATCCCGACAAACTTCAGAACTGGGCGGGAATTCCCATTGGGTCCAGAATATTTTCCAACGAAATTTGAACAAGTCGTACAATCTGATGAGGTATAAGAAGGATTGGAGAGAGGAAAGCAAAAGACAAACCTGCGGTCACAGCTGACCGTGCGAAAAGACTACTACTTGCAATGACTAACGGAAAATGGGACTACCTGACACACCAGACAGAGAAGCAGCAGCAGCAGCAGCGGCAACAGTGCCAACGTTCCTTGACTGTACACAGCATTGCAAGTGCCTGCAAGCTGAGAGAGAGAGAGCACACCACTATTTGAATAAAAAAAAGCTATAACAGGAGCAGACTTACTAATGAACAAGAGCCCATATGAACTGTACAGCGGTGGCAGAAGTTACGAGCAAGAACGACGATGGCACAACAGGCGGTCAGTTTTCGGCCATGCTAGTGCCTATCCACAGCACTTACTATCACTCTCAACTGCTCCTGCTCTCTGCTTGTTTGCATGAGGATTTCGCAGTGCTTGCGTTCGTACCTCCTGCTCCATACCTAGTTTGACTCCATCCCATCCATCTTCCGGCACCAACTGACCACTCTGAACGAGTTCATAAAGACGCATAGCTATCATAGAGAACGCTTCTTCCACATTAGACGATGACTTTGCAGATGTTTCTATGAATCCCAACTCATGGCGACTGGCAAACTCCACTCCCTCCTGTGTTGATACCACACGGCCAGCCTCTTGGTCTGTTTTGTGACCAACAAGCACAAATTGTATCTGATGTGGCTCAGCACATTGTCTTGCTTCCTGTAGCCAGTCACGTATGTGCAAGAACGATTCTCTACTCGTTATATCATACACAAGCAGACCACCAGCAGCATTTCGATAATAAGATCTGGTTATAGAACGAAACCTTTCCTGGCCAGCTGTGTCCCAGAGCTGAAGCTTTATGGCATGTCCATCAATTTCAACGACTCGAGCGTGGAAATCCACACCAACCGTTGGGTCGTTATACTCAAGAAACCGATTCTCTGTGAACTGCCTGAGCAGCGATGATTTTCCAACAGTGCTGTCACCAATTAGAATGAGACGGAATTGGTATTTGAAATGAATATCTGCCATAGAAACAACTCTGACTGAGGCGTCTTGCCTCACAGCATTCCAGTGCAAATCTCAATCCAATCTCTTCCTGGAACGACAGGAAATCTCAAACCAGCTTATGACTATCAGTAATCCAGGCCTCTCTCTCTCCCTCCACCGTCACTCACATCCTCATCTTCACCCAAAAATGATTGCTGAGAGCTGTTTGAAAGGAATGCAGAAAACACATGACCAGAAAGTAGAAAAGCAGAAAGTAGAAAAGTACGAAAAACGTAGCGTCATTACAACACAAAAAGAGAGAGTCGTATTTTTATGAACCACTGTGCGAGATGCTCATGCATTATCATCAAGAGTAGAGGAGACGGCTCGATACCGGGACGTTTTGACAGCCAAATTTGTATAGACCCAAACCGATCATCAGCGTTGATTTTTCACTCGAAATATGTTTGTGGAAGGAAACTGGCATGTTGAAGTTTGCTCTGGGGCCATTGCGCAAGGAGGGGGCTAATCTTCTCGCAGAAAAGGGGGAAAAGGGGAGAAAAAGGGGGAAAAAGAGGGGGAAAAGAAGAGCGGGAAATTGAAAAAGAGGGGGTAAAGAATGGCGGGAAAAGGAAAAAGAGGGGGAAAAGGATGGCGGGAAGCATCCACCGTTTGAATGTGCATACATCTAAAGTGAGGCTATTTCCAGGCTGTGCACAAGCCGGTACACGTCCACCACGGCCTCTCGCAGCCTCCTCCTCTTCCCCCCCCCCCCATCACACACAATGTGCCGATTATCCTAATGTCAACTATCCAAATGATTAATTATCCAAAATAATTGCTTGCATTTAATTGAGGGGTAGAAGATGAGTTTCAAAGTTAGTGATTTTCGTCGCTCGGGGCACCATTGAAGCGATTCACAAGATGTATTAAAACAGGTTTGAGTCAAAATGTGTAATAATAGTGTCATTTATTTAGAGGAGCATGAGTGCACCTAGTTCCTGTTTCACTGCTGAAGAGAACGAAAATGATGAAAACATGCTGGAATATGCATGATTTAGATAGATGTGTGACTGCTCTCTTATCCGAACATTCTTCTCATCTGAACCCTCTGGAGACAGCCCGCGTCCCGAGGGGTGGGGATAATTGGCACTCTCCTGTACATCAAATTCTATTCTTAAATTATATACATATTGTAGAGCTCTTTCTGCTGCCGGGAATGAGAAAACACATCCCAGGTAAGGATACGCCCCTCAAGGAAACACAGCTAGTGGATTCCAACAGTCAGGGGCGTCGCACACGGTACGGTCACTACGGTATTGACCGTACCACTTTTTGCCCCAGATACCCGTGAGTCAACAAAATACACTGGGGATCTAAAATTCAAAAATTTTCGGCTCAGCCACCACTCCCCCACGAGTCAATTGTACTTCAGATGGCTGACCGTACCACACTAAAATACCTTCCGACGCCCCTGACAGTAGTATGAAACTCATACACAATCAATTAGAAATACTTTGGAGAATAAACCTTTGTTGGTGAAACAAAGTTGGGCGAGAGTATGATGTTCAAGTAAAACGATACTAAAGTGCCGTAACGTGAAGAAAGGAACGTAGTGCACAAGTTAATGAAGATAAATTCACATGCAGAACACAATATGCCCAGATGTGGAAATTTAAGTCAAGATTAGCAGAATATACACACATGCAAACACACACACACACACACAAGCGTGTGCACACAGACGCAAACACACACACACACATATGCACACATACGCACGCACACACACACGCACACGCACACGCACACACACACACACACACACACACACACACACACACACACACTGTTGGCTGCTATAATGCGATGGCAGCCTAGACAGAGGAAACAAAGTTTACACAAGCAAATTCCTACTCTTTTTCTTTCTTTGTCTTCTTCTTCTTCCTCATATTCAATTCAAGGCAGGCTCTTCTATTTTTTTTGCTTCGGCCAACCTCGTTTTGGGATCTGACCCAATTTATTGGGGCAGTACAGGTACCCTGAACCTGAGAGTGTCCTTCTGATGTCATCGCTCTCCTACATTTTCTGCACGTCTATATTATTCTTTCTACGAGGACAGCAGAAGGACAGAAACAAAGACATCCACACCATTTTTAAGACTGCATCTTCCAAAGAACACATCAAAAAGCAAATTCTACACGCCAAGCATCGGTTCACGCCGTAACAAATCTCCACGCCATGAAAAATTCGATCGAATGCCTGGTGGGAGATGCTTTTTAAAAGGCTTGCATACATTTTTCACAAAAGACATTGTTGTAGCTGCCACCGGATTCGTACAAGAATATGTCAACTTCTAATCAAGGACTGTAATGAGTACTGCCTTACGTATTAGAGGGGAAGTCTGCTGAATTTTTTTTAATTTCAGGACCCGTAGAGTTTGGGGCGCTGAGTCGAATGTTCTTTTCCGAGGAGGCTGCGGTCCATGGTTCGTCAGATACGCCCAATCGAAAATGAGCGAAAGCGAGCACGCAGTCTACCTGATCCAGGTGATAAGGTCACAGTGTGCAGCCAGGTAGCCACACCATCTATTTGTGTGCAAAATGGCCAATATTCGAAACGCGTTCGATTTGAGAACCATCTGTCGCAGCTTCTTCGGACCAAGAGCATTCGACTCACTGTTACAAGCCCTACGTACCCTGTGATTTTCAGCTCGGCAAAATTTGAGGATACCCCGTTTTTAGCCGTTTCCGAGTTGGACTTTTTACATCCGCTGGCTTCTGCGTGCATGCCATAGTCAACAAACATACGGAACACTACACTACAGTACTGCCGCGCACCGAAGAACGGGGTCAGGGTTCTAGCCTAGCCCGTTCTTATTTTTGGCGAACACAGCAGTTTCGTTCATATTCGATGGTACAGTCTTACATGTACATTTATGCAGAGTTATACGTCTGAGTGTACATCATATTCATATTGTACATTACGTTTCTACTTAGACCGTTCTTAAAAAATAGCGAAATTATAGCCTGGCCGTTCTTCGGCGCCCGGCAGTACTGTAGTAGTAGTAGTAGTACATGACTACACCCGCACTGCTGTGCTAGCGCTACGCGAGTCGTGTGGTAGATCTAAATGTACAAGAGACTAGTCAATACACGGACGTGTCATGTACTGCACCCGGTATGTAGTTAGAGAAGGTGTGCTCCTCCGGGCCAGTGATTGTGCTTTGAGAAAGAAATATTTTAGTTTTCCGCTTGGAATAGTCCAGCCTCATTTATGCTACAACGATGAGTCCACAACCGTGACAAGCGACAAAACCGCGAACAGCTCCCGGACCTAAAACGTTCAGATCCCGAAGTGTTGTGATCCTTGAATCGAAGAGTCGTGTCCGTGGTTCCAAGAACCTGCATTGTATATCCAATCGAGCAGCGTCCGAGCTATGTTTGCACCAAAAATCGTGAAATTTTCCACTGTATCATGGAAATGCCAAACCCCTACAGTCCCGCTGTTACCATATTTTACCGGTATAAGTCGACTTATTGAATTGAATTCAGTGCAAACAGGAATTTCGGATAATTGACCGTTTGGACAGTTGACATTCGGATAATCGGCATTCTACTGTAATCCTAGTGCATGCAATGAAACATACTTGACTGTTGGGAGTCTTGCTGCGTCAGTGCAAATTGGCAGTTAATGCTAGAAGCTGCAGTGAACAACATCACAAATAGAAAATAAAGAAAAGCAAATACAACTGAACTTTGATACTGGAAATTACAGATCTGCTGCCCGCATCCACATGTCCATATTCTACATGTGCGATTGATCCTGCAAGATCTTCACTGCCCGTCTAATTGAGGATGACACCCCAAATAGAGCGGACCGCTTCTAAACCAATCAAAGACCCAGGTTGTTATACTCCAGCAACCGGGCAAAGACCTGTCCTAAACCAATCAAAGACCCAGGTTGTTATACTCCAGCAACCGGGCAAAGACCTGTCACCCACCCATGACCCATCAGCCCATCTCCTTATGCTCACATTTTGGTGTAGTAGTTGAGCACCTGTCCTTCCTTCATCAAGTGGATATCCTAAGCATGTGACTTACCGCTGGTATATCTCTGCACATCCATCTTGACTGGTTGTCAAGTCCCTTTCCGGAGAGGTAGAGTGGATGGTAGGGTCAGTGCAGTCCTGGCCACGCCATGAGAAAGAAGACATTTTCCCATCAGGAGAAGGCCAACATCCTCCCTCTGGGTAGTGCCTTGATACCTGCAGTGCAGTGCAGTAACATTAAACTGCAATTGAAACTGTCTCCATGCCATTGTTAAGCCCAGTTCACATTCGACGGGGCGCAACGGGACGCGACATAAGGATCGACGGGAAACGCCGGGACGGTCACCCCGTCACGGACTGTGCCTTATGACTCGCACCATTCGCTGTTGAACATCGCAAAGACTGGAGCATGTCGTGTCGTACGAATTGTACAAGATTTTACAGCTCACCCCAGCCGTCACAGGCCCTTACGTCCCGTACCGTCAGCGTTGCGTCGAAAGAGAACTAGGCTTTAGAAAGATTACGTGTTGGTATGTGCTCCTAATTACACACAAATATACAAAAGGTATATAAAGAGAAAGCATGATCCACCCCATCATTGACACCAACAGCCTGGCACAAGAGCAGCAGCACCTGCATTCTATTAACCCAAAGTTCATCTGCGAATATACTCACAGAGTCGTCTCCTTTACTGTGCCCGACCTTGGAAGAAAACAACACAGCAACGTAGTGTTGGTTTCGGTGAGGGCTTCTACGTTCACATGAACACACAGAAAAGCACAATATATTTCCAAACAGACGCCAACTAGTATAACCAAACAGCAACGACAACACCACAAAGACCTAACAGTCTCTTGAGCACAAAGTGTCTGGGATAAAAAAAAGAGCAGAAGTTCACCATCGACACTGGTATTATAAAACTTTCTACAACTGCTGCAGAGGCAGCAGCAGGGTTCTAGTGCCCGGACCCAAAGCTCATCTGAGAATTTTCGCCATTGATACAAAGCAACGACCATGGTAGCAGCAGAGAGTAACAGCAGCAGCCGTTTGAGCAGCAGTATCAGCAGTCTCCAGCTTCAAGGGATTGACCTAGCAAATTTTACAGTAACATGAAAAGTGCAACTGCACTCTTTCCGGCACCAAATATGCCATGCTGTCCCCCGCTGCAAAATAGAGGACAACTCTCAACTGTCGCCAACACCTTGGCCCAG